CCCTCTGGCGCTGGCCCCTCTGGCGCTGGTCACTCTGGCGCTGGTCACTCTGGTGCTGGTCCCTCTGGTGCTGGTCCCTCAGGCGCTGGTCCCTCTGGTGGTGCTTCTAGTACCGAGGCTGCTCACCCAAGCCAGACCAGTCCAGTCCTTTCCAGCGACAGCACATCAGTCCGCATCACCCGCAGCGCGACTAGCCTGGCAGGTCTTCTTGTTCTGGCAGCGATCCTGCTGTAAAGCGATCCTCCGCAAGCCTGCCAAATTTCCTTTCATGGCGAGTTGCCCTATTTCATCCATCCATACCTCGTACTATCTCAAATTTTGTATGTCACAAGCATACTATTCAAAGGAGACAGTTGTATCGAGCGAGAAATTTATTTGATATTAATCCGAGGACAACATTGCCCTCTTTAGTCGGGGTTATTACCTTTCTGCATAATTCGATCTTAAATTCGAGCTAGGGACGGGAGATCAGTCACTCCACAGCAAGGAAGTTGACAAGAAATTTTGTTAAATAATTGTAATTTATAATTATACTATACATAATGACAGCAGATAGAATTGAAGCCGTTTTTAATCATATATATTGTCTTTTTGGTTATGTGTTATATAGTGTCGATCTATGGGTAGTGTTCCCTTAGGTAGTTTATTCTTTTGCCCTTCCTCTGAGGACAGGCCCAGCATTGGGAAGTTCGGAAGGTTGCAGCCGATAGGTCTGGCACGTAAAGGCTATGAATTTATCGGGAGGAGACATCTAGAGACTTTCCAAGGAAGTACAAGCTATGTGCAAGGTATTTCCACCGTTATCCAATTTTGCCCCTGAAGATGCATATCACGTGATATGTGTCCCTTTATCTATCCCTCATTTTGTTTCTATACAAAATTGCAAAGCAAACTCGGAAGTCACATACAATGATCCCAACTCATGGAAAAGAGTCTCATATCCTACTATTCAAAGGCAGTCGGTATCAAGCCAGCCCGCCTACCCATGCCAATCTTTGCATTGCAGCATGTATAGGCATAGCACAAACACTGAACTACTTCAACCAAATAGCAACAAACTAGAATCTTGCAGCAAATCACAGTGGTAATAGACATGACGAATAAGGTCAGGCATTAATGGCTCCTCAGATAAAGGCAGGAAATTCAGCTTGAATTCAAAGGATGGACAAAGGACAATAATGCTGTTCTGCAGTGCAAACTCGAGAACAGAACACATGCAATCAAAGGGAACACATTGGATAAGGCAACAAAAGTAACGGTAAGTGAGCTAGGGGAAGTTGTTTGCCAAAACAGCATTTTCCATATAAAGTGGCTTATATATTCAATTTTTAGCTATAGGAAAGCCTTCTTTTTTTTCTATCGTTAGCGTTCGTTGATCATATGAGAAGATAAACACATCCATCCATCTAGTTAATTGCTCGAGGCCTAGATCGAATATCAGTGCCGCTCCCAGTTACTTCACTAGCAAGAGAGTCTCTGAGCAGCTTCGTCCTATTACTGCATCCTCATCCTTACTACGCAACCAAGACAAGCATCACCATATCCATGTGCTGGCAGACCGAGAGCTATCATGTCCCATGCGATCACTGGTCTAGCCCACGCGTAGAAACACGATGCGACTGGGCAACCATGAACGACTTGCATTCTGGATGCCACGGTAATCAGGTTATTGGCACGTCGAGGGTCGATGAGTTATGCGTCTCTTGCCGATATCGAGTCAGTATTGAGTTGCCTCAATCTCAGATCACCCATCGTTTAATTTCTGGCGAACTAGACGAGGCAAGTGAATTGACGTCCGAGACTATAGAGAGAAAACTGCTGACGCTCGAGCATCAGCAACAGATGGAGGAGCTTAGGCCTGCAAGAGACCAAGATTCTAGAAGGATGGACGGAAGTTAAAGGAGTTGGACATGCAAGCTGTTGTGGAGAAACAAGCAGCAAGTGTCTCCTGTTCCCTCTTAAGCAGAATGGGCTCCTGGGAACGAATTCGTACTACGTTTTTTCTTCGAGTATATTTTGCAATTCCTTGTTTTTTTTTTCTATAGCTAGTTCATAGAGTTGCAAATACCCTCTAATGTAATTGCATGTTATCTTCGCTGACGAAAATTGAATATCGATTATATCCTCAAATATTCTTAGAAGCTGAACATACTATTGAGTGACCATGTCTTCGGAAGACTAAATGTTGTGCTGGGCTGGAAGGAAATTCTCTTGACTAGAGTAGCGGATGTCTTAATCATTGACGAGGTTGATTAAAATGGTGACGGGTCAGGGAAGGGCAGAACTTCTACAAGGGATAGAGGGATTCTCCGTCAACCCCAGGAGCGATTGTACTCTTGACCTGAACACCGGGGAACCATTTTATACTATAGTCCAATATCCTTAACTCTATGTATAAACAATATAAATGAGCGTTGAGTGTGTATAGTGTGGCAATCTGGGAAATATATCAAAGAAATTAGACAAAAACATCTGTCCTCTTTGTATTTAGACAATACAGAGTGGCTTCCCTCGATGCACGTCGAAACAAAGGTGATGAATGAAAAACAAGATACCTATTACTACATCGTCATTAGACAATGGGGAGGGGTTCTATCTTCAAAGGACTCCGAATTCTACCCAGGAAAGGGCCGAGTCGAACATAATGTCAAAGGAAAAGTCAATGCAGAGTTAAATAATTTAGACTCTGTTCGAGTCTCATGTAATTGTGTATTCCATTGTGTAGGTACGCTATAACAAAGAAGTATGTCACTTGCTTATTAGTATCGAATCAAATAGAGCAATACTCACTAGAGCTGCTAGTGTTATATAACCCAGTGTCTCAATTAAAGGAAATCACTTCAGAGGCACGTACAAAAGTGTAGTTAGTTGATAAACCCAATAAAAATGAGACAAAAATTATAGCAATATACCATTAAATATAAAAATTATGAAATTATAGGCTCTCGCGCCTAACAAACTACAAAACCTCTGCACTACAGATGATAGGAGGTTATTGGCTATGAGATCTACATTGTTAACATATACCGGGTATAAGGACTATGTTCAGACATACTTTGCCGCATACCAGTAATGTGAATAAATTATTCTTCGTGTACAGCACATTATTAAATTTCGTAGACACAGCTAGCCTAATACAAATTTCCACAGATTGATGGGGTAGCTCTAATTGGTAAGCCTCAATAATCGTGGTGAATCAGTTTAGACATAACTTCACTAGAATCGCCATGTGGACCAATATTGAGTTAAAAGTTAGCTGGATGTGATAATTGCTAAACCTGAGAACTTTCACTAGCTTCCACTTCTTAGATAATGTCACTTCGACATAGTGTGGTAGTCGCCACAATCGAGCCCTGAAAGGATTTGAGGCTGCTCCAAAGCTTACTGTTTAAGGATTGCTCGCGGTTTCTTAGCATTGTTGCGGATATTTGCGGTACTCCTAATGGACAAAGAGGGCTCGGCAATCTCAGTGTTGCGTTTGAACAACCTGAATTGACTACAACAAAGACAACTGATAGATCCAGCTGTTTAAAAGCCGCTTACAGAATTACATATTGTAGGGGCTTATCTTCACATATACAAATATTCAACACATAATGACCAATGAACTAATAGGCCTTTATTGTGGCTTTCGTAAAATACGGAAGTAATGTTTATCCCGAACGGACATGCCAATAGCAAGTGCCCCAGTGAGACAACAATCATTGTTCCCGTCACAGGGCTGAATTTGAAACCAAAAGTATGAAAGAACGAAAAGAATGTTCTGGCGAATTATCAAGGACAAAGCGGCGGTGAATGTTGCAACCAAATGCGACGGAAACATTCAACTTTGAAGACTTGGCTCACATATAGCAAGCCATATTACCACGCTCTCCATGGGAATGAAAAATGGACCGATACACTCAGGATACTGTGTATTGCTACATAGGGTGCATGCACCAGTGTACTGGGGAGATATCCAAGAAAGAGGAGCGCCAGAATGGTGGGGTTGCTGGAGGCTGGACAGCCTTAGCAAACGAACTTGTAGTGTTCTTGAAATGGCGTAAGTCGATTCTCATTCCAAATTCGGTGCATTCCACTCATTCTGTCAATAGCATTGTACTGTCCCTCATGTAGGCCAGTAACAGAGACCCAAATGCCATATGCACACTGGTGTTGTGGACATCCCATCGTCGTGAAATACAAAGACCTCTCGTTCAGACTCGACAAGCCCTCAGATGCCTATATTTCCGTTACTCATCCCCGCTGGTGCCCGAAATGCGCGAAAGTCCGTACCATGGCAATATTGGAAAATACGAAGATCGATCGAAAATACAAGGAAGATAGAAGAATGCCGGCCCACTTTCAGCTCGCATGGAAACTTGGAGTCCGAGATGGTAGAATGGCAGCGCAGACAATAGACCTTGAAAAATGGAGTCTCATCAGTGCTATTGATGCATTTTTGGCAAGTCAAAAATCTGATGGGCATTCCGGTGAGACCTACCCCTCTGGCTCTGAAGCCCCAGTGAACATAACTAACGTTTGAAGGGAATGGCAAGTCCGGTGACGCAGTAGGGCAGCTGATTGCCTCGATGAAGCTGGCAAAGCTCGATGTATCCAGACAAATAACCGATGGAGAATTGAGGGCCATGATTCTTAAGACTGTTATGCTCGATGAGCGAACGGGTGCTAGGCAGACCTTGGCTGTCAAGTACCAGGAAGGGAAAATGGAAGGCGTTGACTTTCAGTTGAAATACGAAAAAAGTGTCATGAGCTTGAATGATCCGATGGCTAGAATGGGAGGCATGGAGGCGTCGCTGGGAAAGCACGACGTACCTTGGTGAAGTGGAAAAGACCAATTCAGCGGGGGGAGCGTCCACTTCACAACCTCACGAAAGGGCTAGAGATACATTTTCCATTCTCACGCTACGTCTCCTGGGCTGAGTAGGTAGCTGGGTAGCTCTCTCCGAGCCTTGAAATTGTCCAAAGTTATTCCTCGCCCAAGTAGTGTCTAGAACTCGGACCAACCGACTGTGGAGAACACGGAATAGGCGTTTCCAGGTAGACGGATGTAGTATTTTAACATTACTCGATGGAGAAATGTTGTGTCTGTGCAGAACTATTGGCTCCACTGGGAAGCGGGCCGCTACTTCATTTTATTGAGTTTGCTCATAGAGAAGCTGAAACTAATTTCTGGTACGGCAGACCGGATCGATATATCGGTTTGCAGTTCCGTTCGCTCTGCTCATATTGTGATATACTGGATGTGCTGGAGATCACTGCCGGGGGTAATTCTAACGTAGGGCTTAGGGGGAGTAGATCCTCGGTACCGGCGATGTGTGTGTCTGGAGGATGGCACCTGGGACCTCCGCTTCTGGGCTCCTGGGTTTCAGTGGTAGATAGTTGCAAAACGGGCATTTAGCTGGGTCAAGATGGTTGCCAGAAACCGAAACATTCATATAGGATGAGCAGCGAGAACGACAACTACGGAGAGTAGGGTGGTGCATTAGTGTGGGATTTTAGTATCGGCGTCACGTGAATCCGACGGGGCGCTGGGTCTTTGACGATAACCACTGTCCAGAGTACTGTAGAGGACTCGTCCCAGAGCAGTGCAACTATGTCGGATTCACGGAGCCCTGACTTCTGAGATCTGACAACCTGGTGGGAAATCCGACGGCCATGGATCAGGTATCTCACATCTGGCGCACAGACTGGATCTCAGACTGGATCTCAACGCCACAGAAGGGTGGACGCCAGAGAACTAAAGGGTGTTTAGACAGTTTAGGGCCAGTCTTGCTCTTGACTCTGCGGCAGCGTGCAGATTCCGAGTCGTTGACTCGTTGGCAAAGGATAATAATAAGCTGGCGCCCCTTTTCCTTTTCCCGCTATTTGCCTGCCTACTTGCGCTCTTTGCTCCATGCGAGGACCTTGAAATAGACAACTGCCTGTAGTCCGCAATCCCACCTCTCGTTTGCTTCCCCGGACTGACCAGCCACAGGCGTCGGTCGATATTACCGTGCAAGCAGTATTAGAAATACAGTCACGCGTTCGGGGGGGGGGCGACGAGCAGACAGTTGCTGTAGCTGAAATGGCAGGCTGCAACTCCTACTGCAGAGGCACATAAGATGAGCGCAGCAGGATCTTGATCCCGACCCAGGTCATATATACTCCTCGGTGGTTGTCGTCTCCTTGGATGACGCCGGCAGCAGTGCGACCTTATCCAGCACCGCTGGCCCAGCGAGGATGCGTCTGCGTCTGCGTGTGGGTGCGATCTCGAGATTAGGTTCCTCGAATGGCGCTCCGGCCGATGGGGCGGGCAGGTCAGAAGCCGAAGAATCTCTGGTGGCAGACGCAAACGACCAACGACGAGTAAGTAAGCTCCAAGCCTCGCAGCCAACCAACAACTACTTTGCACCGAGAGATCTGAGAGTCCCCGAGGCCGCCGCTTTTTCGTTGGATCGATCGAAGCTGATTACAACGCACAACATTTCGTAGCGCGCCCGTGACACCACATGTCTCCCACGCGAGGTCCTTGGGTTGATACAGTAAGGGCCCCAGGGGCTCAAGCTTAGATTACGCCGCACCTGTGTTTATCCAAAATGATGGCAGACGGAGGAGCGAAGGCGACCAGCTACAAGGCTCAGCAAAGAGAAGACGAGAGAAATGGTGCCATACCCATCGGCGACAAGCTGTCCATGAAGACCCCTTCGTGTTACCCTCGATGCTTGCTCAAGTGCCGTCCACAGCCTTTGGGCTATTTTGGGAATCTGGAGCAAAGGGAGGCTGAAGTTTGGAATAGAGAGTCTGTGAAGTAGAAATGGATGGTACTCGTAGAGGCCAAAATCAGGATGCTTCGTATTCTTATTATCATTTATACCGCTATTATATCCCGGAATCTGTTTTGTGCTCTACTCCGTGGAGACGCTGCATGATTGCATCTAAGCAGCGCAGTTACAGTACATACTACTCCGTAGTGTGACATGTTAGTACAAGATCATCGTGACTGCTAGTCTCCGGGCTAAACTGGCGCGGATCCCCATCCTTCTAGATGATCACTTTGCTGATATTGGTGGAACTGCTTTTTTTCAGTTTTGCTTCTACGTCTAACCTCCGTGGTACGGCCTGGCACGATACCCAATGGGATGTGCAACTCCTGTCTTTGCTGCCCTCTAGGCTCGCCACAGCCATGGAAAAAGCAGGCTCCATAGAACCACACCGGCCCTTATTCCCCATATGTGCATGCCACTACTGTACGGTACGGAGGAGAGCCCACTTGGCCTTGAACAGTAGGTATGTGCAGAGTGCAATAATGTACGAAGTACATACATGTACCGGAGCGCTGCTCTCGCACCCCTGCGAAGTATTATTGTGTGCTTGACATAGCACATCAGTAACCACCAGCCTCTCGATATATCCCTCCCTTGGGTACCCGTACCCGTACAGGTACAGGTAGGTACAGGTACAGTACTGTACTGTACATATCATGGGTGCCATGAAACTCATAATCCAGCGTTTGACTCGATCTATTTCGGGGCCCGGTCCGGGTTACTATGGAGCCATGGAGCCATGGACCCTCAAAGTCCCCCCAGGACCGAACTTTCAAAACATGCCGGTTGATCTTGATATTCTCCGACTCGCCGGGCTCCCATCACCCATCCCCCATCCCCCATCCCCTATCACTCGATCACCGCTTGAGCCCCTGACTTGGTTTTACTCCTTGCATCAGGGGCCCCGTAATACTGGTTCTGGAGTGATTCAGTATTATTGAATAAATAAACTAGCCCCCTTCAACTCGATCCAGTAATAGTGCTTCGTAAACAGGTACGAGCAGTACGAACCTCGGTTCTACTCCACAGCACCCCGTAACGTAAACTAGGGGACTGCTCCGTAGTTACGGAGTCCTCTGCTACTGTAGCACTGTAATAACTTACTGCCCCCTCTTGTTTGTCGGATTGTCCCTGAGTAGCAGCGGGTCCCGAGAAGGCCCCTGGCGTGGGAGGTCGGTGGGCGTGCGAGGCGTGCTAGACGTGCTGGGCTTCCTGGGCTTACCTGGGCCTCCTGGCCTCCGGGCCCCTTCAATTACCTGCTACTGCTACTACACTACGGTGCTCTAGCTCGCTGCTTGGGGGCCCAGTCGCGCCGCCGCACAGCAGACCCATACTCATAGTACTCCGCAATAATTATCTTGTCGCTGTCGTTGCCGTTGTCGTCGTCGAACTCGTCGAAGTCGTCGAATCCTCCTGAGTTTGGCAGACCAACGACGACCACCTACCTGCTACAGCATTGGGGCTGTTGAATGCGCTGCCCGTTACACCGCATTGCTAAGTCCTAGGGAACGCAATTCTCACCGAAAACCCCTTCTCGACTTTTCCAGGTATGTGCAGAGACACTGTTTCATGCTTCCTATGGTATCGATAGAATCTTTCCAACTCCCATCCGCCGTTCTTCCACATGGCATTGCTTGTACCGCGCTTCAAGTGCCACAAGATCCCAAGATAAAGATCGGTGGTGCTCGATAGGTGGACGACCAGAACAATACTAAGAGACAATCCGATCGGGGTGGTCTTGCTCTGGCTTGTCAGCAATTGCATTGACCGAGCCCGGTGATCTTACACCAAGCATCTTCCTGTTATACCCCCTCATTCCCCGACCGTTCCTCGAGCTTTCCTCCCCGCCATTGCAAGATGCGAAAAGGCTAACCAGGCTCATGAAAGTACAGTTTCGCAACTGGAACGCATGGTCTCGTTCAATCTAGTCGCCGATCCGTCTGCCCCTGAAGGCGGAGTTCTTCACATCTGAGGCCTCCTACAGCGATAAGGTTCCCGATTAACGACAAACCAAAAACAAAACAAAATAAAATACCCAGCGCAAAAGGCGGCGCAAAAGAAGAAGCGCGGAATTGCCGACGCCTGCGAGAATGGCTCATCCGGATATGTCTTCGTACCCGCGGTCAGCGCGCTCGCACAGTATCTCGAGCGACAGACCCTCCCTTACTGGCTTTGGGGGGCTCCTGTCACCGCCAATGTCAATATCCCCGGATCCGGTATTTATTGCAGCATCCGCAGCGTCCCAAATTGTGACAAATGATCACGATAGCCGATCCGAGAGCTGGTTTGACCAGCATGGCATTGAACCTTCGGGTGAGACTGCGCTGGTCGCGCCGGCGGCCTTGAAGTTAGTAAATCGCTTTCTGGACCAGCTCCTATTCAACTTCCTCTCGGTCGCCAAATATACATCGCTTGCAGCACTCCGACCGGCTGTAGCCGAGGTCCTAAAGCCCAAGCTGGCAAAAGATGCGATCAATGGCGCCGATCAGGAGTTGCACGAGTACCTGGGCGGCGGAGACGATGAAGAAATTATGGCACTTCACAACGGGCAGGAGGGAAATGGTGACTGGGATCTAGAGCTGATCTGGAAGCGTACACGGCTACGTTGCATGGTTTATTCGTCACTTGGTGATATGGAGGAGGAGGACGAGGACTTCTACATGGAGCGCGAAAACTTGGAAACTCCTTCAGGCTCGACCGGCCAGTTCACCAACACCTCAGGCCCTCTATCGCCTGCCGTGGCTATATTCCTCACGTCTATCTTAGAATTCATTGGGGAGCAAGTTCTGGTTGTAGCAGGCCAGGCATCATACCAGCGATTGAAAGCGAAGCTAGAAAAGGAGGCTAAGGACGGTGCTAGCACACCTACTGACATTGCAGAGCGTGTTGTAGTAGAGGAGTTCGATATGGAGCGTGTCGCGCTGGACAGGACACTTGGCCGGCTGTGGAGGGGGTGGAAGAAGCGCGTGCGCTCCCCTACGAACTCGATTTCCATGACCCGCTCGTTCTCCCGAGACTCTCTAGCATCGCAACCGCAGACCAGCCGAGCAGGCAGCATTGCTCCCGAAGAATTGATTGAAGATGAAGATCGGAGGCCATCCCTTGCCACGGTGCTTGCAGAGTATGAACACGCTGCTGCCATCCCCATTCCTACGTCCGCCAATGATATTAGAGAAATTGAGATTCCAGGTCTTGCAGTTCAGAGTGACGATGAAGATAGCGATGCTTCATCCGACGATGAAGAGGCTTCCGCAACTCGACCAAAGAGCATGATATTCTTCAACCACCAGGATCCGCCGAACCCTACATCAACCCATCTTCAAAGACCTTCGATATCACAACAGAGAACGAGATCCAACTCTCTGCCTCCCCCCGCCCGGAAATCGTACACTCCTTCGAAGCAACCAATCCAGCAAGAGGAAGAACTTCCCCAGGAAGCTGAGACCAAGCAATTGGAGGGAGAAATCCAAGATCCGAATGCCGAATCAGACACCGAATCAGACACTGACACAGATATTGATTCTGATGCTGATATCTCCGACGACATCGGTGAATCGGATGGCGAAGAAAATGCAACAGCAGGCCACCATAAAGATGTACTAGCCAATGCTGTACCAAGCGCAGCTACAGCAGCAGTTGGGGCCGGCGCTGTCACTGGCATAGTAGCCGCGGCCAACCGGCATGCCCCTCAGTCTGGTCTCGACAGCAATCTAGAAACTGACACGGACGAAGAGTTTACTGAAGAGCCGAAAATCATGACATCGTCTCGCATTTCTATTGGAGATCGTATTTCTCCTGATGATGTTAACGCCTCGCTACGGCACACAAATAGCCGATCTCATAGTATCCATTCACTCCGTGTCATCGAGGTCTCATCCAAAAGCCCAACAATTTCGCGGACCAGTTCTGTATCCCGAGCCAGCAGCATACACTCTCCCCCTGCGGATTCGCAGGCAGCTAAGGTTGCAAGTTCAACATCCCACAACTCTGGTGTTGGTGGTCTGCATGTCCGCGGCAAATCTGCTTTAACGCCACCTCCTGCCAGGAGCAGTGCTGGGGGATCCATTTCAGAAGTCGAAGAGAAGGACTTTTACGAATCAGATGAGGAGCAGATGACCGCGATACCAGCAGAACTCGCCGCTGCCATGCAGGGAGTTGACGTCGACCTAAGCCCGCCTCACTCTCATATCACATCAACTGAAGTCAACAGAGAACCCAAGCCTCAACCGGCCAAGTTTTTGCTGGCTGCAGCGCCCCCGCCCCGGAATCCACAAGAATCAAAGGTGTCCACAAATGACTATCAACACAGCCAGACCAATGGTCGATCAGCAGTGGCTCACAAAGTTTCTGCTATTGAGACTAGTGCTCCCCCTCTAACTCCGCTACGAGAGACGATGGAAGTGGCCCAGGATTCTCACGATGCGTCGAGACCTGTAGCTGCGTATAACCATGTTCGAACCCCGTCTGAACGTGGCGTGAATGGGCGCTATTCGCCTCCAGCACCGATCTCTATAATAACCAACATACAACGACAAATAGAGTCACCCAAATCGCTCCGTCCCCAAAATAAGATTATCACTCGAGGCTCTCCGCCCCGTTCAACGCCGGAGGAATACGGAAGAAAGTTACCGGATCAGCCCAGGAGTCAAAGATCTGTACATACTCAGAGCTCTGGTTCTTCTTCTTCCCACAAGATCAGACCTACGCGAGCCTCTGAGGATGGTGGTTCAGTTTCAGCTTCGGATAAGGGCCAAAGCTTTGAGCAACTCATTAGAAGCGACCAGACCATTCAATACACTCTCACGCCGGAGAATATGCGCAGCATTGAGGTAACTAGTCCGGTCAGTCTTATAAATTTGCAGGAGCTAACCCAATCTTTAGTCCCCAAGTAGCCTCCAGAGCACTATTAAGAATAGCCAAGAGAGACCACCGACAAACCGATCGCACTCCTCATCAGTGGGCAAGTTCGCAGGTTTGCGGTCAAATCCGACAGAAGCATCTTCTCAATCGACCAGTACAACGCCCAGGGCAAAACCTCGTTCAAATGGACCTCAACCTCGAGATGCGCGGGCGGATAGAGATTCCATTGGGGACTTTGCTGATTTCATCAGAAGCACAGGTATGCCGACTACGTCACTTTCACCGTCGATGGACAGGTGTTTTTGGGCTTATTCATATCTACTGTTTTCGCTCTTTCCAATTTCCATGCTAACATACGACTATCTAGGCCCGGCAAATTCCTACGAACCAATACCACCCCGATCTACACAGACTCATCGTGGTGCGAATGGCACTCCACGCAATTTCAGTGCATCTAATCCTCGTCCGCCAACTGTAACGTCTATTAAACGTTCGGAGTCATCTCTCGGTCGAAAGAAGCTCCAGGCTCGGGATGCGGTGACGTCCAGAGAAGATAGTATCAGCGACTTGATTGACTTCGTGCGGTCAGGCCCACAGCTTGAGAAGCAAGGACATCGAATTCCCCGTACCGTGGCGCCTTTCCGAACTACCATGGACTCAGACCAGATGGCTGGTGCTATTGGTGGCAAGGCAATCGATGCCACCTTGCCTGATCCACGAAATAGCCAAGCATCGAACTCAGTGAATAGCTCTGTTCATTCGCAAAGTGCTCTCTTGAAAAATGCCACCGCCAGCAAGCCCTCCTCAAACCAGAACCAATGGGACGCTGATGAGGAGGATATGATGCCGAAGCGAAAGACTCGAAGAGTCCGTGATCCATATGCTATCGACATCTCCGACGAGGAAGATGAGTTCAATGAGGCTCCTACGAGGCCCAAACCCGTTCAAGAAGAGAGTCTTGCCGACTTCCTTCGGAATGTTCCTCCCCCGAACCCAACTGTCACACCCATCTATCAAACCGGCCCGAAGTTACCCAGCAAGGATATCAAAAAGAAGTCGAGCACTCCTAGCCTCATGTCACGTTTTGGTCGCAGTGGCTCCATATCAGGCCAAAAGTCCAACTCAATTAGTGGACGGTCATTGAATTCAAGAAGTGGAGCAACCAGCTCCATGAGTGGGAAAACTAATACCTCCGTATCCTCCAACTCAAAACCCGGGAGACCCAACTATACACCGATTGCAGCGAAGTTCACTAGTACCACCACTGCACCGCGGGAAGCCAACTATCGCAGCGAGAATTATTCAGAGCAGGTTGGCTCTGCGAGAGGGAGCAACAGAGTACCACGCAAAGCCTACCAACCTCGTGATGCAGTCGCGATGCCAACCGCTAGAACTAGCGACTTGGCTGACTTTTTGATGAGCGAGCCTCCTAGCTCTATGCAGACGCAACCGCAAACTTTTGTGCCGAATATCCACAAAGAGGAAACCAGTACCTTTTCAAGAATGTTCAGCCGGAAGAAGGTGCATTAGTGTAGCCTAGAGCTATCGAATTACCCTCCTTTAAACTCCTCTTCCCATCAATACCCTCAACCTTTTCGACTATAACCTTTTAACGGCTTTTCCTGTTTTAATATTTTCCCCAGCTCCAAAAACAACCATCCGTCTCTACGCGTTCATCATTTTACTCTTCATCCATCGCCGGGATAAAGAGAGCTTATTTTACCTTCTGATGAATCTTCGATTATACGCCTTTGTTTTAGATACCACAGTTATTTTTTATGCGATACGCATGTATGCATGACGAGTTCGAATTTGTTCTCCCGGAGAAGAAGCGGGACGGTGAGATTGTTAGAGTTTGCAGAGAGAGTGTGCTTTGAGTCCGTTAAGGTGGATGGGTTTTGATATGCTATGATAGATAGGGGTTGCTTGTGTTGGATATAGTAACATAGTTATGAGAGGAAAGAATACAAAACGAAATTGCCTATGCATCTCCTACTCTATCTAAGGATCTAAAGTGATGTCGCGGTAAGCGTTTAAGTAATGAGGGGCCGGGGCCGGGGCCGGGGCATGGTAGTTGTCGAACTGGTGTTTCTGTAGTGTTGTAGGACGTTTCAAGGTGAATGGGAGACACATATAATAGTTGATAATTCCTCTATTTACTAAGGCATCGTTGTGTGAACCATCCTCGACGCAATGTTGAGTTGATCAGCTAGCGGCCAACCCATCGCGTCGCCCACCCGCTTACCGAAAGGGGGGGGGGCAAGTGAAGTCTCAAAACAAACAAAAAAGGAAAGTGAAAACAAAAGAAAAAAGAAAAAAACTACAACAATACAAGAAAAAATGAAAATAGTCGTACGAGGCAAAGGAGTTCATTGCCCACAGCCAATTTCTCTGCCGTTTCGATGTTATCGCTAGACCTAGTTATATTTTCTCTCCGATATGAGTCGTCGTGTGACACTTGTGGGGAGTGTCTTAAAGAGCTAGGTTGTCGTTCAATGCACTTTTCTTATTCAAATATATATATATATATATACCTTCTCAAATAGTAGCGAAGTTATCCCGGCCGCCTGGCGGCGGCAGCGAGTAGAAAAGAGCGGATTTAGTTGGCATTTATGGAAGACAAGGGCGGTCACTTGGATAAATGGGTACAGATCAAATTATCCGGCCTGAGTGGATTGAGGGAATCGAATTATAGTACGGCAAGGGAATGGAGGTGAGTGCGGCTGAACTCTTTTGCTTCTAGAGTACATGAGTAAAGGGGTAAATTATACTTTTAATTATAGGCTTTTACGGTTTCCGTTTTTGATAGACGTTGAGATATCTTTGGGGTTTGATTATTGTGGGTAGAGAACTTGAAGATAGAAAAGACGAGGCATACTTGAATTGTTTACATACTACCGCTATACTTTGTAAGGGAAGAACTTGCCTTAGCTATAAACTTGAGTGAATGGACTCACAAGGCATGGGTACTTTTTTTGTTGCACATCGCACGAATATCTCAACGCCCCTGTATTCCTGACTTAATCACCGACAAAATTTTAGTTTTTGACTGGCTGCTAAAATGCAACGCGTACAATACTGTCTACCAACCTAGGAAGTACTTGCCCTGCTATCCCTAATTTGCTTTTCCCTCTCCTATATTGGCTTGGCTTCCACTTTCCGCTATTACACAGCCCTAATATCCACTTGTAGGCTGAGACATGGTGAGCATAACTACCCTTCTAGATGCTGTTGTGTATATGGGAACTAGTCTTTTGCAAGGATATTTGGGGAGGGATCGAGGTAGCCTACACTCGTTGAACAAGTAAATAAGCCACGGTGGCCTTGGTAAAGGCTGTTATGACTCACAAAGTTGTTGAAGATTGCCCGCATAACCTTTTAAATCTAGGCACCATTACTTCACTGCTTAGGGTGGTGTACCCTGGACATTCGTTTACACATATATTTGAAATGAGGCCAGAAAAAAATGTAGAAACATTATCATTGTGATGTCTGTGCTACTGTGCTCGCTCATAGACTACTTAATAACAGAACTTCAATGCAATAAAGCAACCCGCCGTGTTCCCGTACGCCGTTTCCCCGCCGCTCTCACCGGCCGAGAGGTTGGTATATACGTCGGTACTAATCCTACAACGCCCAATTCATACAAAAAATAGGAAACAAACGATAAACAAGAGTATTAATGAGCCTAGAGCACTAGGAGGACCGTTAATAAAAGAGCTTGCAACACCCCAACCAAAAAGTGGGCACAGAGGCAGCAATTTTTTAATAATCTATGTCCATGGAAGAGGCGATATCTTCACTGACGCCTCGGATTGGACTCTTGTAACTCTGCTCGTCTGACTCATCATCAGCTTCGTCGTCGTAGGAATCGCAGAAGTCGTCTCCATCAAAAAGGTCATCAGCAACATCATCTTCGCCCCACGCTCTGGGCTCGCAGTCGTCCAGATCTGCATCTTCATCATTAGTGACATGAACCGCCTGGTCTCCAAACCAGTATCTTGCACGCTTGTTGGCTCCCAGGTCCAGCCCATTGGCACTCCTCTTCGGCATGCAGATACGTGACGGGCTATGACTCATCACCGGGACACCTCGGACGTAGATATAGGCGATGCGCTTTCTCGTCTTGTTGAAAAAGAAATAGTTCAGGCTCCATATAGAGCCCTCGTCTCCATCGAATGGATCATCCGGAGGGGCCCAGCAGTAGACGGCACACTCTTTCAAAGTCATCTCCTTATCGATCATGGACCACATTTGGGGGCCCCATGCTTGACTTGTAGGAGGCGCAGATGCCGTAGTTGAATAGCTAGTCTGCGGCGGAACCTGGAGAGTCATACCTGAACTAGGCCTGAGATTGTACAATGTTGAATCGATAGTACCGATAATAGTCTTCAAGCTACGCTCCTTTCGGAAATCCGCAGGTCTAAGGATATGAGAGAAGTCATAGTCGGGGTGGCTTGCATTGAGCGTGGCGATAAGATATGCAAACGTACGACGACTTGAAACCTGGCTCAAGGGGCCGAACGGGCTTGCGCGAGACAAGTTTACAGGCGACGGTTCCGATGAGCCTAATGGAGGTGAGACAGAGGCCGATAATCGGACAAGTGATTCATATTGCGACTCTAGCGAGTTCTCAATATTGCGGTACAGCTTCTTATCGGAGCCTGCTGCCTTGGTAGTGTATAGATCGCAACCGCCGATGACGTGGCAATCTGGGGTGTCGAAATTCAACGCGCTCGTCACGTCTTCGAAGTCGCGAAGTGGTAGGAACTTCATTTTCGCGATCCTGGAGCTTCCTAGTCCTAGAGACACTCTTATCAACGCGATCGGGGTTATGTAGGTGATGAGGGTTGATGCGCGTTATCGATGAGGCAAGAGCGTGTGGCAGCTGAACCCGAGTGATCTGTTGGAGATGACGACCTTGTGGGTGGACTCTTCAGACTCGGCGAACGGACGACCAGGAACCAATGTCTCGTAATATCGCTGGGTTTGGGGGGGTTGAGGAAAAAGAAGGAGAATATAATATGTATCTTTGCGATGGCTGCAGAGGCAGCGCTCGGGGATTGACTGTGAATGTGTTTGGGCAGACCTGCTGAGGCTGGAGTGGACAAAGGTTGGCCCCTCCTCGCGCTGGCTGCGGAGGACAAGTCAATTTGCACTCAAGCTAGACCGACGTCTAGCAGGTATGGATCATCGTAGGTATCGGGGATAGAAGGGTTGTTGGTGTTGATGGCGGTGGGCGGTGGAGTTGGCGTTGGATGGTGTTCGATAGATGGAAGTGCGGAGGTGGTGATGGAGATGATGCGCGGATGGGGGGTGGAGAGATATACCGTACGAATACCGTAATAATGGCGAGGTCCCCAGGCCGGTTGAAATACGGGAGACGGTAGCGCGGCACATGCGCTAAAACCAAGGCAGGAATCCGTCATCAGTCATCAGCGTAATCGTAATCGACGGTAACAGCGTCCAGTATCTTGGCAGTTGGCGACGCAGAACCGACCAATGGCTGTTGCACGAGGTGAGGGTAAAGGCTGCTATCAAGGGAGTTGAGGGCCAATTGCAATAACGGCTTTGGACCAATAATAGCAACGAATTGCCTGGACGTGCAACCTCTCGGAGTCTCAAGATGGGGTTGCTTCTCTTAGATCGGATGTCGCTGATGTGTCAGAAACAAAACGTGGCGCGGCCGACTGTCTCTATTGACGCGACGACCACCAGCGCAATCAAGGTTCTGCATGGTCAGCGACGCCGGGCAGAGCAGTAGCAACAACAAAGAATTGGAATCGAACCGTCTAGACGACTAGTGGGCTCGTGATGCGATGGCTATAGCGATAGGAGACGGGCAATTCGTTATTCTATCAATGTCATGCTTTGAATATCAGTGCAACAGTTGCTCATGAACAAACATACTTATCGATTTCGGTCAAACTAGGTGCCTTAGCCCGAGAATACACGGTCTTGTCCTGTCCTCCCCCCAGAACGCCAGTCCAAAGCTAGTCCAAAGCCAAACAGCGACACCTGTGAAGAAGCATACGAAACCCTAGATCGAACCTGAGAAAATGAGCTAAAGGAAACCGCTATCAGTGAGGGCAGTGGCGATTTCCTGCTTGCCCTGTTAGAATAAGACGATCATAAATGTAGTAGGATATAAAGGTTGGGGGAAAGTGTGTTAAAAGCTCATATACAATCCCTAAACTCCAAGCGCCTATGTCCTTATCTTCCCATACATGATCAAAGCCCCCTTTTCACATAATCTTTGTAACCTCTTCATCTACCTGAAAAAGGGAAGATACGTGTCAGTGTATGAAAAATTGAGCGAGCTGAAGAAGTTGGTGTAGGTATGCCTTAAACAATATACGAGACGTTGTGCTTGACTAACCTCTGTATCCTCTATCGAATCCTGCGCCGATATAACCCTTAGCACATTCTTCTTGCTACTCTCCTGCATCTCTCCTGCCAACAGCAATTCATCTAGGATGAAATACGCCTTTTGGAAGTTGAATATCTGGAACCTGTCAACATTCGGCATTAGAGGAGTATGGAAGTGTGCGGCATACGATATCCAACTAGTGCGTGGTCAGTATTTGAGCTCTATTCGGATAGATACAGGAGGCTAGACATACCTCGCAGACATTCCCATAATACTTGTCCATCTGCTCAACGTATCGGTGGACAATCTCCAGAGTGATGAGTTCATTGTCTGTAGAAGCACAACCGGCGATGAAAAACAAGGACGCGTAACGTCGATAGACAATTTTGGAGTCTATAAAGAGTCTCGTCAATGGCTGCGCTTTGAGGGCACCAAACAAACAGCACCGACCTTTGTATTCCAGGAAGTTGCACATCCTCGTCCGCCGTGCCAGCACCAGCTGCGAGACATCTTTAATTATCTTGGCCTTCTCCCTCGGCGATAGGGTGGTAAACCACTTTGCGAGCCTCTATTCGCAGTTCAGTTTCGTGTTCAAGGGACAACGGAGCTTCGATGGGATGGCGAGCGGCTACATACGACTTTGCCCTGCCGCGAGAGCAGGATCAGGTAGCTGCAATAGATCAGCACTCGGCATTGTATATTCCATACAGAACTTACTGGATGGCCATTAGTGCCAATGCAAAGCTTTCGGAAGCTCTGGAGTGGGTTTGGGGTTTGTTCGTGCGGAATGGGGTTCAACGGTGTACTCGGCAAGGGTGATGAATGAAGGCAAATTTCAAGGGGCCGACTCGCCGACTCCGATCAACCCCACCATTGGTGATGGGCTCGTTTTATGTACGATAACATAAGGGAACTACAAACTACATATCCCAAAGCCACACGAGCAGTCATGTCTTCTGTACCCTATATTATTGCAATCATATCTAAAAAGCGCCTTATCATTGCACATACATGAACCTCGGTAACTGCGCTTTTCGTTTCTTCACATTCCTGTTAGCGCCATTGCCCTGGGAAGAACTACGAATTATCTCCGCGAACTTCAACCTTACAAATCACTCCCGAGTCTCTCCTCCCCAGGACCACGGCACGCATTATGACGCGATTAATACTTTCAACCTCGTATGCACACCCAATTCCCCTTGAAATTAGGGAGAGTATCGCTAATGATGATGCAATTCTAGCAATGTTATGACCGGCGGCCCCTCGATTATGAGGAGGCCCGGCGCAGACAGATCAAACCTCGAGCTTATAAATTCCCTTCGGAGCAATTTTCTCGCCGCCCAGGAGGACTATTCTCCTTCTTCCACGTCGAATGGCAGTAGCCCCCGGAGTGACCAAGAAGAATCCCAGGTCCGGCCGCCTGTCTCTACCTGGACGACTCGCCATGCCTCGGACTTTTACATCCCCACAATTGACTGGTCTTTGGCTGGTCTCTTCGAAGAGCGGAACCAGTACGATATTACCGTCAAGTTATTTTATCTACCGGCCGCGGATATAAGGGACAGAGCGCAGCATACCAAAGATGCAATACAACTGGTTCTCAGGCAATTGGGTGTTCAGTATATCGACCTTCTCATTGTGTCATTTCCTGGGTTGTCATTTGATGGAGACTGTGAATGGGAGGCAGATAAGAAGAACTCGGCACAAGGGAATGATAATGAAGAAGTTGCTTCCTGGGCGGTGCTTGAAGAGCTTTACGACCAAGGCACTGTTAAGAAGTTAGGCGTTGCGGAGTTTGGCAGCGAGAAGCTATCCAGATTTTTGACGAGAGTCAAGATACGCCCAAAGGTGGACCAAGTCAACATAAAAGACTGTTGTAATGTTCCACCTCCCCTTTTGAAGCTTGGAAAACTGGAAAACATTGAACTTCTAGTGCACAATGATTGCACTAATATCCTTCCTAGTGGGACACTGAGAGAGCTACTGGGACAAGGTCCAGACGGAGCTGGAGTGTTATCGGAGACCAAGCGGGGTTTGGACGGCATAAAGGGAGACTTGACGCCTGAGTGGGTGGTTAAATATACAGCAGTTGTTCGAGACCGAGGCGTGATAGAGAACAAGGGTTACTTTGCAGTAGCACAGTTGAAGGAATGATGGCAAGACCTGTCAAGGGAAACGAACAGCACGTACGACGAGATACGCATATATATATATACGCACGGATGATAACGTTGGATTTGGGTAGATCTAAGGAGTTTGACGTAGATAATAGGTTTAATTAACTACGAGTCTATACTTTTCCCCGTTGCGCCTTTGCCAAATTTTATTTTGAAATCGAATTAACCCAGCATGCTTCGTTTCCTTCCTCTCATCCTAACATCCTCTAATTTCTTCAGCACGATATGAGCCCCTTTAAAACTCTTCCCATACGCATCCAGCACCTCCGAAAACAACGGCTCTGCTCTCGGGTGTGTACTAGCAAAAGCGCGCTCCAACACATATAGATCAACCGCCCTATCCTCATCCTGCGTACCTTGACTGGCGAGTCCGAAATCGATCAGAACAATATCCCCGTCTAATATCTGATCCTCAGTCTCAGAGCCCCCCGCCGCACTAACAGCTTCGTTCTTACTCGGCCTTAACATCATATTACTCGTCGTTAAATCCCCGTGCACAATCCCAATGCCATGCATCCTCCCCAGCGCACTCCCAATTCTCCTCATCAGGGCCCTCAAGTATTCCTCTCCCAGTTGTATCCCTCCCTCAACCCCCTTCCTTCTACGCAGCCACTCGTTCAGCCTAACCCTCACAACCTCCCCTTCTATCCATTCAAACATCAACCACCCGGCTTTCTCATCTAGTGCATATACCGCCGGAACCGGGACGCCCTCCTTTCTACACTTCACCAACACTCTCGCCTCTGACAATATCCGATGTTTCGTGAGCCGGGTATCGAGGATGGGATGTCTATATGGTTTCGAGGGACGGTACTTAAGCGCGCAGGGTATGCTGGGGAGGAGATAGGTTGTGCGGTAGAGAAGGGCTTCGGCGCCTTGGGCTATGAGTTCTGGAGGAGCGGGGTCATTTTGGAAGGTTACCGGGAGAAGATTGGATGACTTTGGTGGAACTGGAGGTTCTAGTGGTGCCGCCTGTGGTATTGGCGGTATTTCTTGAATCTGAGCGGTCATATTTTGGAGATGCGGTTGTTGAGTTGTAACCCGTTAAGTGGTTGCTCATTTGGTTGGCATGAATATTTCATGAACCAGCGCTGGCGAGTCCTTGAGGGGTTGGCGGGGCAGGCGCATCACAGATCACTATATGTCGCAGCAGATAAGTACCCAACGCCCTCCACATCTACTCCTTTCACTTCTTACAACTTCTTCCCGAATATTTCGTTTTATCACATAGGTTTATCGAGTATTTCCCTCTAACACCTCTTTTAACACAAAATTCTAGCATTACTAGCCATATGGTGTAGGTGCCAATGTCCGCCGACGAACGGAGTCCGTTTGCCCCCTGCAGTTTGCAGGGGGCACAGGTTCAACAGACCACACAGGAACGTGAAGTCATTCATCCATTCGCCTCTCACTCCTCGCCATCGCCATCCCCAGCCTCTTGTCGATCCCGCCTCTTTGATCCACGAGTCCCCTTTTCGAGTATGCTCGAACATCGATAGCTTCAATCCCCATGCTCGCCATTTCCACAGATGGCAGACACATCCGATCTCTCCCTCCTCACCATCTTCCTCCTCCTCACCGCCTGCCTGGTATCGGTCTTCGTACTAGGACAGATACTCGCGACGTACACGTCAGCGTATCTTGTAGCACCGAGCGAGATCACGACCTTCATCGACGCAGTTGACTTCTCCATCCAAGAGAATGAGTCCTACGATGGCGATGTCGCGAAGGTGCCGAGGCTGGAGGATAAGCTGCGGATGGGAAAGCTGTTGAGGGAGATACAGAAATGCGGTGACGATCTGAGGGAGGATCTGAATAAGCTGTTGATCGATGAGGGAGGCACCAGACTGAGAGCGAGCACGAGATTGTTGTGGGCAGCTAAGAGGGGTCGCTTGGAGGAAAGGATGAGGAGGCTAGATCTGCTACGTATGCGCTTCTTGGTCGTTTATATGGGCTTGATTGCTGCGAAAAGCAATGAGCCTCCCAAGGACCCCGAGAAACAGCGTATTCATCAACATATCCCAAAGGCGCCTGTGCGGCCTAGCTTACCTATGAGCTTGAGTGAGGGTATACAAAGGAAGCCTCCACTTCGGAGACTTACTACCCAGGCTATGGGCCACAATGACCATGTTGGGGAAGCTCCAAAGATGGGATGGATGGGAGTCGTGGCTGAACTGCAGAATTCGCCGTTGATGCATAAAAGACATGCTTCGATTGAGAGTGCTATGAGTCCTCGCAGTCCATAATGCGGGAGACTACCCTCTCCAGCCATATGCCTCAAAGGGCCTCTGATCCAAGATGGAACCAATGAGCCTGGGCCGAGAAGACAACGCTCAAACGTTCTCCTAAAGCAGGCCCAGAGCTTTGGTCTCGGCATTTCCAGTTTGCCTGAAGGACAATGGACTTCATACCAGTGATATAAGTCCTGGAGTATCCAACCAACCATCACTGGAATAGTGTGGATTGGTGGAAGCCGCTCTCCTGGCGATCTAGCCACAGCTGCCTCATCGCCATCCTCACCAACTCCCCCACCAACTACCTCGCCCCCTAGCCCCATTCCACATGACGGCCAGTGTCTCTTACGAATATAATGATCACGACGGCACGAGCCTTAGAAGACCCTGCGACGTATTTTTACGAACCCTACACTTGATGCCATATTCACGAGTACATAGAACTCATTCATGACCCACAGTTTTCACGAGTTGTACACGATATAACATGTACGCGATATGTTGGCTTTCAGCTTTGGAGATACCCCTTGCACACCATTTTTCTTTTTGGAAGAAGTTACAGTGTTTTAGTTGCGTTCATAGTGGACATAAGATGAGATAGGATAATAATGAGGATGTACACCCCCCTGGACCTTTAGAATAAAGCGTGACACATTTGCTATGAATACGATGTTACTATTCGTTCACACTCGGAGTACCGGGTTGTCTAACTTCCTATACTATGCTTTTCCAATCGCCTTGCTTTGCGCGTTCTACTATGTATGTTAAAATACACATATATCGGTAGGTAGTGGATCTACTTAGCCTATTTCTAGTTTTTCATTACAAACTCAAATTAATTTAAAGACGTAAGTTACTAGCTATTAGTTCTATGACCTATTAGTAGCACCTCAGTTCTTATAACCCTAGAATAACTGCTTATAACTAGTACGATTACGAGTATGTTTATCGAAGTAACGGATATTAGAGGCGCAATCGGCAGGATGGGAAAAGGAAGCACGGAATCAATCCAATAGGAACGGGTTAATTCATCAAGACGACTTCATATGTCAAGGCTTTTTTAAAGGGTCTTGATCCTAGGCAGGTGGATCCAGCAAATAGAACTAACCCTCTCTGTATAGATACAGTACCTACTCCGTAAGGTAGGTTGACAATAGGAAGTCGAGGCACCGAAAAAGGTACAGCACCAAGTAACAATTTGCCATGTGACCCGCATCTTTTCTTTACTCTAGCTCTTGTTACTCGTGCCACTTTGTTATGCAGGATGAGATGCTTGCTATTCCGTAGATGGAGATCTCGCTGGAAGATCACAGGCCACGAAGCCCTCCAGGGCTCTATAAAACAAGCGTTGGTGGCTGCTGCGGACCTGGAGAAAGTTCGAGGGTTCTCCAGACTCGGCTCCATGTGAGAAGCGCAGCGCCGTGACGTACGGGCTTGCATTCCTTGAAGCGGCCTAGCGCCCAGGCAGGCCTCGGTATCGTCACATGCTTCGGGGGAACTGCGAGGACACAGGACACAATCTCCAGGTCCGGCGTCGTACTTAAAGTCACTACGACGAAAACATACAAACTCCCGTTTAATTGCACTTGTTGATCTCCTCTATTTATTAACCCGCCATCTGCAGCAACTTGTTCAGTGCCTGTTACAATACAACCTCTCAATCTGCGAATCCATTTCCTCTTTCAAGCCGACTTCAAATACCATACCACGCGATGTCTCTCAAGAACGGTAAGCATTCCGCGACATGCTTCTAGGAATCGAATATCCTACTAATTGTGCAATCAGACGCCTTCCCCTCCTCGGAAGCTTTCGAGGCTATTAGCAGTGCTCTTTCTTCCTCCGATGCCGAGCGCAAGAATGCCATGAAGCAAGGCAATGCTGTATTCGCGTTTACTTTGAAGAACAAGGCCGGCGAGACTGAAAGCTGGCATATCGACCTCAAGGAGAAGGGAGAGGTAGGAAAGGGTCTTGGTAGCAAGCCAACAGGTAAATACTCTCCTGCCCTACACAACCCAGGGTTTTATGTTTCATATGAATAACACTTGGCTTCCAGTTACTCTTTCACTATCGGACGAAGACTTTGGAAAGTTGGTCGCTGGAAAGGCGAACGCACAACGGCTGTTCATGTCAGGAAAGCTAAAGGTCAAAGGGGATGTTATGAAGGCCACGAAGCTAGAGCCTGTCCTCAAGAGGGCGCAGACTGTGAAGGCCAAGCTGTAAATTGAATATAATATAATATAATACAATACAATATCGTTTTTCTGGAAGTGTTAGGTCGTTCGTGACTATGAAATGGGGATTATCATTTTAGAGTGATCAGGATCCGATACACGACCTTTCGAGCTGCTGTACTTTGGATAATAAAAATTGGATCTGCATCCGATTCTACTCTACTATCTCTGTGAGGAATGCAGTGTAATAAATTCACCCATTCCTTGTTATTAGCTTGACTTGGGTTGCTACAGAACGCGCTCGGGCTTCTGCAGGAGCCTGTTCGTAGTCAGGTGATCACGGGCTTCTCGCTTCCCGCCCTGTTGACCACTTTTCCTCAGCCTCCTTTATAGCATCGCTCCATCAACGCGCCTCTCAGCTTTGAATCAAAACAATACCGCGACTTTCATCTTGGTGAATCTCTCGACATGTCGCGCGACTAATACTACCTACGCCCGACCCCCCTCGTATATGCGTAGGTAAAGGAAAGGTCACCCTCGTCGCCCCGCCGGGCGTATTCACCTTTGACGCATCCTCACATCACCTTTCAACCTAGCATCTCACCTTCCACTCTACCGGAGCGTGGTTAGCCGCTGAGTACAGATCGAGATAATTTGAGTAGGGGGGTGAATCCAACATTAAGTTGTAGCTATGGAGGGCCCACCACGCGCCAATGCTGCGCAGCTCGCTGCTAGAAAAATTAAAGACCGTCCAAAGGGTCGAAGAGGAGGAACTCCTTCGACACCCAGCTCGCTTTCCTCTGCTCCGCAGTGGGCTCCTGTGCAACCTCAAGGTCCAGCACAATTTGGAGGCGCTGCAGCAGGAGGAGGGCTATTTGGGGGAAGCGTACAAGCAACAGGAACATTCGATTTTGCCGCCCCATCGGGCCCGTCGTTCCCACCTCCATCTTTCGGGAGCACCACGAACAATATATTTGGCATGAGTAATGGGGCGTCAAACCAGGAACCAGACCGCCCAGTAGAAGACCGACCGACCAAGAAACAATTCGGTACCTCCACAAACTCTGCGCGCCAACCAAACACCTTTCAAACACCGAATCTTTTCGCACAAGGTCAACAAACAAATATATTTGGCTCAGCAAACCAATCACAAGTTGGAAACAATCCATTTTCGTTTGGGAATACATCACAACCTGCAACGAATTCTGCTAGCTTCCCCCCCACGTCCACAACGCAGAGCCAACCGTCCAACAGCATATTCTCCTTTGGAGGTTCCTCATCCGCCCCAGCTCCCACTTCTATCAGCTTTGACTCCGGCACTACTTCAGAGAAGCCCGCATTCAATATTTTCAACTCGGGCCAACCTACGGCTCAACCTGTACCGTCGACCTCAGCTTTCAGTTTCGGGTCATCGACTTCTCAGAACAAGCCTTCAAGCACTCCTTTCCAGTTCGGCCAGACCTCCAATCAGTCAACAAGCTCCAGTACGAACGCCATCTCTGCCCCAGCGATAGCAGCTCCGTCGAGCAGCATATTTGGGAACCTTCAACCGCAACCACCTTCCCAACCGACGAATATCTTTGGTAAGCCGAGCAGCGATTCCGGAACACCCAATATATTTGCCAACCTCAAACCAACCACTCCCTCCTCAACACCCCTTTTCGGAAACGGAACACAAGAACCTGCGAAGGCCACGACCAGCCTGTTTGGAGCACAAGCCCAATCAGTTTCTCAACCAGGGCAAGAATCCGCAAAGGCTACGACCAACCTATTTGGATCACAAGCCCAACCAGCGTCTCAGCCTGTGGTTAATATCTTTGCCAAACCCACCCCACCGCCTGCCCAGTTGCCAAGCTTTACTGGCCAAGGTTCAGAAGCTTCAGAAAGTAAACTGGAGACTACCAAGAGCCAAACGCCATCAACAGGCGGGCTCTTCGGCAACTCGACTCTGCAGCAACCACAATCAGGCAATCTCTTTGGGAGTTCAGGTTTGTCGGCCAAGTCGGCAGGTGACCCTCTCGGCACTCTCAACCAACCCTTCCAACAACCTTTCGGCCAGCCCACAATGCCTGAAGTGAACGGTGCAACCTCAAACTCAGCTGAAAATACAGCTACAATGAACAGTAACTCGCCATTTTCAACTGGTGTGGCGCCAGTGACCTTGAGCAATGCCGCTGCCGCATCTAAGCCACAGGTAAGTCGCTATGTCTCCTCATCTCACTTTCACTACTCTAGCAGAAACTCTAATCCGCCATTGAAAATTCGTGATGTGGATGCTGACGTTTCAAAGTTGACCTCGACATTCACGTCACAGCCCTCGTCGTCCGAAAGTGCTACTAGTACAAGCTCCTCGCTTTGGGAGAAGGCTCCTTCTGCAGCCCTTGTGCCCCATACTCCTGAAGTATCTTCGTTGCTGAACCGTGTTGAAGCATCTGAAACTGGGATTGTTGAGAGGGACGCTGATGCACCGGAGGAACCAGCACGACCGCCTTCATTTGTTCAAAAGGTGGCTGAAAATACCCTTGCAGACCTCGATGGCGATCTGGATGACTTTGCAAGATTATTTCCTGGGATGGTCTATGCAAGCAAATTTCCTATACAAAAGATGGCACCTGAAGTTCCTCCAGAGTTCACCCCGGAGCAGCGCGTTGAATTCTACTCGGCTTGTCGCATGAAGGCGCTAAATAAAGCACTCCAGCGATACTTGAACAATATTCAACTCACCGACAACATATTTCCTGCCATGAGGTTCTATGAGCTGCTGAGGCAGTCTATCTTGTCACGTTCCGATGAAGAGCTTGCGGAAGAACTCCAGAATCTCAAACGCAAAGCTACCGACCGTGCAAACGAGGAGAATGAGCAACCCAGCAAGCGAACGAAGCAGGCCGAGTCCTCAACAGCTTTATACCCACAACTACCCCGGGATAATGCGATGAGCTTCACAGCGCCTTCACCCCCTAAATCATTGCAACCTCCCTCGAATGAGACTGCAGCTTCATCAACCCCTTCGATGGGCGTTTTTCAGGCATCCCCTACCCCGCCGACTCCGGATACAGCCCCGTCAAGAGGGAAGCGGAAGGGCGAAGAGCTTACAAAAGACAGCTACGAAAATGAATCATCGAGCCCACTTAAACGCTCGAAGACACAAACTTCAAACGGGGCTGAGGCCGGCTCTAATACATCGAACATATTCAAGAAGCTTCTTGATAGTCCAGCTAAACCTAGCCCAGGAAGACGAAGTCCAGAGAAGATGTCTCGATCTTCGGGGGATGAGAAGCCCCGCTTCAACCCCTTCGGAAGTCTACCGGTTCCAGCTTCACCAGCTGCCAAAACCCCCGCAACAGCACCATCTTCTACCAGCCTGTTCGCACCCAAAGGCCCATTTGCAACTAATGAATCTGCTCCACCAAAGTCTTCTCCAGCCACAGCCGCCGTACCATCAAAATCTGCGCTACAAATGCCGGCCGCCATCAAGCCTCCGACATTTGGTACCGGCCCTGTCGATTTCCTGGCCCAATTTAATCAACAGGCCTCCAAGCATCAAAAGGATAGCGAGAATGATTTGATGGAAAAGGCAAAGGCGGAAGATCTGGATTCTGATGACGATGAGGAAGAATGGGAGGCGAACTACAAGAAGAAACGCGCTGAAGAATTGAAGGCAGTCGAAGAGCTTGCTAAGAGCAAACGTGCTACTTTCGTACCCGGCAAAGGATTCATGTTTGCTCCAGTTGAACAGGCTCCCGCCTCCAGTTCAACTGATGCGGCCAAACCCTCAGAGAAATCGCCCGAAAAGGCTGCAGATAACACTCAACCAAAGCCACTCTTTGGCCAGAATTCATCGATAGGCTCGGCTAGTGGTATTTTTGGCTCTTTAAATGGCTCTAAGGCATCAACCTCTGGCAAGGGGTCTGTCCTCGACAGCCATAAGCCCGGCCAAGCAGTCGCCTTTGGTGCCAACATTTTCGCACATCTGTCAGACGCTGATTCAGGAAGCGATAGTAAGAAAGTCGATGATGCAGATGATGAGAGTGCAGACGAAGAAACGGATAATGAAAGCGACTCGGAAAACAAGGACCCTACCTATAATCCTGGCGCAGAGAGCAAGAGTGGACCTGGCACACCAGTGGAAGAAACCGGACCTGGCATAGCTTCAGCCAAAAAGGGCACAATTCCTTCCACTTTCGGGTCCAGGCAGGGTGGGCTTTTCGGTACCCCTTCCATTTCAGGTACCAGTTCTCCAGGAGGCAGTCTATTCGACCGGATCAGCAAAGACAGCAATGGAAACCCCATCCGAGAAATCTCATCAGAGGAGAAGGAGAATACCAAGCCTAATACAACGAACATCTTTGGGGAGATGAAAAATCCCTTCGCATCACTCAATAAGCCTGCTGGAACCCCAGCGGATCAGACATGGAAGCCGGATAGCCCCATCAGATTTGGAAGCACCACGCCAACCAACGATGCTAAAAGCTCTGGGCCAACCGTCAACGTCCAAGCCGCTACGCCAACCAAGCCCTCCTCCCCATTCGGAAATCTCTTTGGGACCCCGAAGGACGTCCCTACCGTCTCGAACGGATCAGCGACTAGCCCAGCTCCATTTTCCAACCTCTTCGGAAACACCAATAACACGAAGCCCGCTCCTACTGCCGGGGTGGGCTTCAACTTTGGTGCTTCTAGCACGAGCTCTTCCCTCCTTCCTTCCGCTGCAGTATCTGCCAGCACCTCCCGGGCTACCACCCCTGGAGGAACAACGGATGGAGATAGCGCTGCGGAAGGCGACCCTGATGCTGAGTATCATGAACAAATCGACCTAACGGCTGGTGGCCCAGGCGAAGAAAATGAAGACGTGCTCCATGAAGTACGTGCAAAGGCATTGAAGTTCGTTACACCGGGTGATGGCACAAAAGGCGCTTGGGAAACTAAAGGTGTAGGACCACTAAGGGTACTTAGAAACAAAGACACCAAAGCTGTGAGGATTCTGCTCCGGGCCGAACCTCGGGGAACGGTTGCGCTTAATAAGGCGCTTCTTAGCAAAGTCAAGTATGAGGCGACTCAGAAGACGGTCAGAATCTCGGCGATATCTGACAATGGGAAATCCATGGAAACCTGGGTTTTACAGGTTAAAACCCCTGAAATTGCACAGGGTTTAGCAGAGGTTATGGAGTCCAATAAGCCGTCTTGAACGGAGTCAAAGGGAATGCGGTCCTTTCATTTTGTTTCATCGCCCAATAAACTCAACAGGAGATAAGATTGAGATGGCGGTGGTGACTCATTATATTGATACCTCTATCCATGGACGAATACATCCAAGGAAATAGATGGTGGATATGTTGCGGATTTCGGAAGTCTGATTCACAAATCTTTGTACACACAAAAACGGATATGGTGCATGGTGCATGGTTTGGCGTTTTAGCATAGCGACACAATTCTTGTTAGATTTAATAGAAGCCCATTTCACTTCAGTTTATTATTACAACAGTAGTGTTGATCTTACACCTCCGATCCTTACTCCCGTTTGTAAATATAAAAGTAGCCCAGAGATATTTGACGTTAGGTATCACCATGGAGTTCAAAATACTCGCTGGGTGCTATCGGCCTCCCCGCCATTTTATATACCTAATCGAGCGACGCCGATTGGCTACTACTTTTGACCTCGGCTGCACCCCAGATACAAGGATTCGCGGTGACCTATTCCCGAGGACAACCCCAAAGCTGGTGTAGAAAGGAACCGAGATAATAACAGTCTTTTAACTTTTAAAAAATATATTTCTCAGTTCTGCCATTCCTCTCCTCTCCTTTCCTCTCCCCTCTTTTTCGAAGGTGTCAACGCCCGTCACCCGTCACCCATCACCCATCACCCGTCACCCCGAATACCACCTCTACAATGTCTCACCAGACCTTCACCAGGGAGGAGGTTGCAAAGAACAACACCGAGGACTCTCTCTGGTTTATAATCGACAGCAAAGTCTACGATGTAACAGATTTTATCGATGCCCACCCAGGTGGAGAGTTCGTTCTCAAGCAAGTGGCAGGTGCCGACGCGACCGAGGCCTTTTACAACTTGCACCGTCAAGAAATCCTGCAAAAGTACTCAAGCCTATGTATCGGCACTATTTCAGGCGAGACACCCAAAGTAATCGAGCACAATCCTGGAGATCTAAGCGTGGTCCCGTATGGAGAACCTACATGGCTCACCCCACAGTTCAAAAGCCCTTATTACAAGGAGAGCCATAGGAAACTACAGAGGGCGATGAGGATATTTGTCGACGAGGAGGTTTATCCCGTTGCACAGGAGTGTGAGAAGGATGGGAAGTTGATCCCCCAGGACCTGATTGATAAGATGAGCAAAAAGGGGATCTTGCATATGCGGATTGGACCGGGGAAGCATATGCATGGTGTGAGCTTGATGGATGGGGTGATGAAGGGGGAGGAGTTTGATTATTTCCATGATTTGATTGTTGCGCAGGAGTTGGTCAGGGCTAATGCTAGGGGTTTCCAAGATGGGAATATGGCTGGGTGAGTCTCTAGATCGAAATGGTGCTCAATAGAGTTGAAAACATACTTGCTAACACAACTACAGCATGACAATATCGCTTACCGCCGTCCTCCAATTCGCAAACAATGAAGAGTGGAAGAACAAAATCGCTCAAGAGGTCTTTTCTGGCAAGAAGAAGATCTGTCTTGCTATTACCGAGGCCTTTGCTGGTTCCGACGTAGCCGGTATCAGAACGACTGCTGAGAAGACACCCGATGGCAAACACTACATCGTTAATGGAACGAAAAAATGGATTACGAATGGTGTTTTCTGTGATTATTTTGTCACTGCTGTTAAGACCGATAAGGGCCTTTCTGTTGTGCTGATCGAGAGGCAGGAGGGAGTTGAGACTGAGGCTATCAAGACTGCGTACTCCCCTGCCGCAGGAACAACGTTCATAACCTTTGATAAGTATGGACTCCTTGGTTTAAACCCTTTATCTTCGGGTCAGACCAACGAAGTGGATAAAGGGCCTTCAAGAATTAAAATGCTAACCTTGCACAGCGTGAAAGTTCCCGTTGAAAACCTCCTTGGACAAGAGAATAAGGGCATGCATGTCATCTTGTCGAACTTCAACCACGAGAGGTGGATGATGGTCTGTTCCGTTAATCGGATGAGCCGGCTGGTAACAGAGGAGTGTCTGAAGTGGAGCAACCAGCGATTAGTCTTTGGGAAGAAATTGACCGACCAACCCACCATCCGACAGAAGTAAGCCATCCTCTCTTTCTCCAAGCTACCTCATACCCCAACTTCAATACAGCAAATTTAACAATGCTAGGCTTGCAAAAATGATATCTCACTGCGAGGCCAACCAAGCCTGGTTGGAGAACATAACTTACCAAATGACGCTCATGCCATACTCTCAACAAGCCACGCATCTGGCTGGGCCAATTGGCTTGTTGAAAATGTTTGCGACTCGCTCCGCACACGAGATTGCCGATGAAGCGGTGCAGATCTTTGGTGGAAGGGCCTTGACGCGGACGGGAATGGGTGCTACGATTGAGATGTTCCATAGGACGTACAAGTTTGATGCTATTCTGGGAGGTGCGGAAGAGATTCTGGGAGATCTAGGAGTGAGACAGGCTCTGAAGAATATGCCGAAGAGCATGTTGTGATGAAGACCTATACTTAGACTCCGATTGTACATAAGGGAACACAAATATGCCTTGATAGGTATGTGTAATGCCATCAAGATTCGGTGCTAGCTTGATGTTGACTATCCACGGCTTACGTCCCTTTGGGTTTCCACCTTGTTAAAAAATAAAAAATCCTTCAAAGCCAATACGAAATCTGCACAAAGAATATCATAATCATTTTGATATCCGGAATTATGTTTCCGTAGTAGAGTTGAAAAATGCTTATCACCTTCCCATTGCGTCGTCGTTATCGGCGAGCTCCATGGCGGGGTATCCCGCTGTGAGCCGCTGTAACAACCACCGTGACACCGCGTCTGCCTACCTAGGTATGTAACTTCAATAAATTAATCCAGGTACAAGTACGGCGACCTGTGACGGGGAGGAGTCATTGCTAATTCTGAAGAGCTCCATAAATGCTTATTTGAAAGGGATCAGAACCTAGAATAAATCGAGTAGCTTAGGACTGCGTGCTCTCATAGCTCTATTGCTACGCGATACAGCTCTGCAGGATGGAGGCCCGAATCAAGCACATGGACTGGCCGTCCCAAATAGGAGACGACGAATGGAAAGAAGTTTCCGAGGGACTCCCGTCCAAAGAGGAGCCATTCATTTGGAAGTACGTCTCCGGACGCGAAGCACTTATCGCACAGGAGAAGAAGCAGAGAAGTGGTCAGTTCAATTTCGCCTTTCCCTGCCTTCGTCATGGCTGTACATTACTTACTAACTGGTATCATTAGATTACGCCTTCCGTCAGTCCCTCTCGCCGCTCGCCACACGAGCCTGCGAAATCGTATCCCGCATCCGCGACGAAGAGCAGCGTACGATATGGACGGGCGAATATGAGGATTTCCTTGCGCGCGAGGCGGGCGCACATGTGTATCCAGGCATGATGTTTGGCCTTGCCAAGGAGCGTATGGAGAAGACGAAATTGTGGAAGATTGTTAGGAATATGCCAAAGGGCGCGCTGCTCCATGCCCATATGGATGCTATGGTGGATTTTGATTATCTTTTTGACGTGTTGTTGGAGACCAAGGGGATGCATATATATTGTGATCAGCCGCTGGCGACAAAGGAGGCGAGGGATGGGGCATGGGTAAAATTTCGGTTTCAAAAAAAGGACCATGGTATGTTGTCCTTCGGGCTTAGGGGATATGGGGGTTATGGATGGACGTAGTTTGGCTGACTTTGAACCTAGTTGAGGGGAACTCGATATGGAGCCCTGAGTATGAGCCATCTGCGCCTATCCTCCTTACCAAAGCAGCGGACGCTTTCCCCAACGGCGGCAGGCCTGGATTCATATCCTGGTTGAAAAGTCGTTGTACTATCACATGCACGGAATCATGTGAACATCACCATGGTGTCGATGCGGTTTGGAGGAAGTTTAGCTCTTGCTTTGGTATTTTGAACACAATTGTCTTCTATGAGCCCATCTTCAGGCTCTTTATGAGGAGGATGATGGTTCTTTTGCTGGCCGATGGGGTTAAGTGGGTTGATTTAAGACTCGCCTTTGCATTCCGGTATTATAGAGAGGGGAGCGAGGAACCTGATAAAACGTTTGACGGGCTGTTTAAGGTGTTCGGGGAGGAGATTGAGAAATTCAAGGTAAGGAGCTCATATCCGCCAATAGTTTCGTCCTCCGAGGAAGATCTAGATATGCTAACTTGAATATCTCACAGGCTTCAGAAGAAGGCAAGGCTTTCTGGGGTGCAAGAATGATCTGGACAGGTCTTCGCGCGATGGATACAAGAAAGATCGTTGAAGATATGGATGCATGCATTGGGATCAAGCTGGCTTACCCTCACCTGATCTCCGGGTATGACTTGGTTGGACAAGAAGATGCTGGTAGACCTCTCAAAGATCTTCTTCCGGAACTCTTCTGGTTTAAGAAACAGTGTGCTCAGGAAGGGATTGATATACCATTCTTTTTCCACGTAAGCATACCTTCCGCGTAGTACCACCCATCATTCACATACTCACTTAACTTCAGGCCGGAGAGTGTCTTGGTGATGGGAATGATACAGACCAGAATCTGTTTGACGCCGTCCTTTTAGGAACTCGGAGGATCGGCCACGGCTATTCGATTTACAAACACCCACTCCTTATTGACATGGTGAAGGAGAAGAAAATCCTTGTGGAAAGTTGTCCAATCTCCAATGAAATTCTTCGGCTGTGTAACTCAGTTCTGTCGCACCCACTTCCAGCACTACTCGCTCGCGGAGTGGCGTGTGCATTGTGCAACGACGATCCAGCCATCCTTGGCCAAGATACCGCTGGCATGACCCACGATTTCTGGCAAGCTCTCCAGGGTTGGGACAATCTTGGCCTTGCTGGACTTGGGTCGCTGGCGGAAAACAGCGTCCGATGGGCAGCCTTCGAAGACCAGACTAATGCTCAGTGGTTGCAGGGCATTAGGGATGCCACATTGGGAACTGGGGTTAGGGCTGAACGGATGATGCAGTGGTCCGTTGAGTGGGAACAGTTTTGTTTGTGGATTGTGACGGAGTTTGACGATGATGCCGAAGTCTCGGACGAGGGCGTGGCTATATAGACAATTTGATTTTGAGGGATTGATAGGGTGCTTGGTCTGTTATATGGTGTTCAACAAAGGTAGAGTGTGGGATAGCTAGCGATTGGGAGAGGAGTCCGGATGGCCCTCCAAAAGTCGAAGTTCAACCTTAGAATAGCTGGGGGTTCGCTTGCTCGTACGTAATCTTACTTATACTTATAACCAGTGGTCTTTATTTTATGTCGCTGCTTTTCGTTATTTGATGGGAATATATGCTTTCTTTGGACCGTACGAAGTAGTTAGCCGCCGACTTGGGAAATGGGACGGTTAAACCTCGGTCTATCCTCCTCCATCCTGGCGCGAGTGTGGCTAAAATGCGCTAGAGGGTGGCTTGCCCCAGGTCCCCGGCCCTTATCGATTAGCATTACGAAGTGCATGTTATGCCCGCCAGGTGACAACGCTGCCTCAGTAACAACACAACGCTCGCGGTGGTGGAAAGGAACACCACTGAGTGAGAACGAAGCACTTGCCACCAGGTCCTGTGTAGGCCTCCGGCCCGTTATTATATTCGTTATTCAACAGCGGATCCTGTACCAACCCGACCGTCCTGTCAATAATGCAACCCAAATCAAGAGCATCGCATCGCTTGAGACTGTCCACGCGATCTAGAAGATCAGGAGGGGCCGCAGTTTCTTGAAACACTACTGGGCTCTTTGTAGGGCAGTTTATTGCCCCAGGAAGCTTGATATCTTCCTGTGGCTTACCTTCTCTCTGCTTGATCTGCTATTGCTCCTGCCAGTATGGCGTCCTATTTCCAGTCATACCTGCAGGCCTCGTCGATGCCGAAACGCCTTCTCCAGTATGCTCTATCACGACTAGAGATTCTGGAGACCGACGGACTTGACCTAGAAAATTTAGATATTGCTTGGGGAAAGAATAGTACTTTTGAGTTTAGGGACGTGGGGTTACGGTTGAGGGTGCATACTTAAAGTCCTCCCTTGCAGTAGGACCACATGCTAATAGGTTATCTCATTAGAAACTCGAGAATATACTTCAGCTACCTCCCTCCTTCGAACTCAACAAAGCCCGGGTATTACTCCTCCGCCTCACGATACCAGTTGATATATATAGCAGTCCTATTGTTGTTGAAGTGGATGGGGTTGAAGGGCAGTTGCGTGTAAAATCAAAGCCTGAGAATAGCACAGCTCCGACATCTCGGACAGATCATGACCGAAACAGAAATGGAAAATCCTCACATCCAGCGATTTTTGGAGCTAAAAGTTCCAGCTCAAGAAGTCGAGGCGGGAGAGGAGGGTCGGATTTTATGGAGGATGACATGGATCCTGCGATCCCAACGGCTGCTGATCTGGCCGAATCATTCCTACAAACAGAACCAGAAAAAGAAAGGGCAGAATTGGAAGCCGCTATACTGTCAGAGACTGAGGAACTTGGAGCAGCCTCTGTTTTAAGCGACGATGGAGAACTACCTATTGGAACGGGTGCTCCTCTCTCCTTACCCGGCTTTATGACCAGGTTCCTCCAGGGTATCGTCGATCGTTTACAGGTTAGAATACATGGTATATCTGTTAATTTGGATATCGATATTCCCGTGGAGAGTTCAAGAGCAACGATATCGAATGGCACCGATCCCGTCACGATTCAGTTAAGGATAGACAATGTGGATATTGAAGGAGTTACTCATGATATGGACGAGTCATCTCTGGTGGAGGATGACAGTCAAAAGCTGAAGCATAAGGATGGGAAGCGATTGGTATCTCTTTCGAAAATTCGTGGCGCTCTGATATCTGAGGCAAACTTATTTTCTAGTCTTGCTAGATCATCTGCCCTGTCTTCTCCGTCAGCAGCACATTCAGATATGTCCGAGAGAAAGTCAATGCCCAGATTTTCAAGTACTCGAGCTAGTGGATTTCGGACGGCTGATGGAACATCATCTGACCATGAGTCCATTGGTTCATCTAGGAGGTCTTTGCCACATTCCCCCTCAAGGAGTGCAAGCGGTCTACGCTCTCTCAACGCGTCTACCGTTGCTAGTGACACTGGGCGTTTTGATGATGCTTCGGAGGATGGAGAGGCCTCGAACCTCTCCGGAAGCCTCCGCGATAGTCTCAGTGAAGCAGGTGACAGCTTGTTCCAGAACTCCGCATATCTGGATGAACTTACAGAAAGCCAATTTCTGGACGAGGAAGAAAATAGGGGAGGAGTCAGTCTTCCTCCGTCATCTTTCCATGATATCCAAACAAGCGCCGGTCCCTCGACCCCGAAAGCTTCGGCACATATGGTAGCGACCCCGGAAGGGGAAACGCAGCACGTTGGAACAGAATACTTCGATTCCAACGTTGTTCCCGGACCAGAGACTCAGTCAATGCTGCAGTCGACTATATTGCCAATGAGGCCGCACTCTCGGTTCGCAGCCGACCGAGTTTCGCGGTCCCAGCCCTTGCTTTCAACAGGGCGAGGCATGGCTTCTCCAATTGGAATGGAGTCTCCTCGCAAGGATGTAGGAATAGATTTCCATGATACAGACGATATCATTGACGGTAGTGGTGATGAAGAGGCCGTTACCCCTGTAGCAGAGGATGATCTCTCAAAATCCCAGTTATTTAGTCATGAGGATGCTGAAAGTATGTATATGAGCGCTATTTCTCATACATCTTCCGCGGGGAAAGTCCCTGGAGGCTGGTCAAATTCTAGTGGTGATAGCGATGGCCCACCAACCGCACCTGGGAGCCCCGTGTCACCACAGCTACGAAACGAGTCGAGAGATAACCTAGAACATGCTCTACAACACCCCGCTACAGAGTCTCCGGATTCTAATATTATGCAGCGATCATCTGCCTCCATGTCGGCAACTATGCGAGGATCAACCTTTTCGAATTCTGCAACGTTTACGCACAAACGCAAGAATCCTTCAATTCCTCACGTTTCAAGCGGCGTGTCGGAGCGCTCAGCAACTTCTTCGGATTACTGCTCTCGTCTAACGAAGCAAATACTTAGCCTTGATCGGGTTGATATATATATCCCTACTGGGATTCCAGAGACAGATTCTGAGGACGTTCCTAGTGTGCCTATGAAAAATCCTATAGATGGGCAACGGGATACATCGCAGTCTGTGTCCGTCAATATACCTGGATCATTTTCCACACATCTCCCCGGAAAGCAAAATCCAACTCCTCCCGTTCCTTTGCGGGTGAAACAACCAGGGCCAGAGCCAAGAGCGAAGCCTCAACCTAAAGACAATGCTATTGAGGTTGTTGTTGGCAAGCTATTAACTCAATTTGACATCTCTATCGGGAGATTAATTTTCAAAATTGTTCGCCAGCTACAGGAGACCCTTAACCAGGACTCTACATCCCCATCTCATCCTGAAACAGAGCCTAAGGAACCAAGCCTTAACCCTAATGCGGTCGACTTCAAACTCTGTGCTCAGAAGGTCTCTCTAATATTCCTAGAGAGGCTTGAAGGCACTCATGGTTCTGCCAATGCTATGGTTGATACGGGCCATTGGGTAGGTCCACCGGACGCTGATATACTTCTACGGACTGCCATCGACGGCCTCAAAGTTGATTCGCACACTTTCCAGTCAGCTTCGAATACAATAGTAACAGTGCAAAAATTTAGTTTTGGCTATGCACAGGAGAATATCGTGTCTTTCAATGCTGGCTTGCAGATGCGTGCTTCTGTCCGTGACCTGAAAACATCCGACGGTATTGACTTACGGGTCAACCTGTCGAAAAAGGACGGCATTAGCCGATGCGAAGTCATCACATTGCCAATGCATATATCAATAGACCTCCAAAGGCTCGATGAGTCGTTTAGCTGGTTTGGAGGGCTTAGCAGTGTTTTGAACTTGGGAAGCTCGATTGCATCCAACGCAACCATTACGGCAACAAATTCTGGCAAATCCAAACCTCATGGTGTACGCTTCGAAACCCCTATAAAGCCGGATGACAAATCACAGGTTGCGCAGAACAAAGCCGATATTAGAATTGGCGGGTTTGTGCTGGACCTAGTAGGAGCCGAGTGTAGTATAGGGGTCGAAACTTCAGCAATCAAAGTGGTGCATCGTGATGAGGGGATTGGGGCTTTCATACAGGGTATAAGGTTATCGGGGCCACGCCTCAGATATTCAAACGACGAACCAGCGATCATAGCGGACATTACCTCAACACGCGTAGAATATCTTATGACCCCAAAGGATGTCGACTTGGATCGCTTGCTGTCGCTTATTACTCCCTCAAAAGCTCAATATGACCAAGACGATGATATTCTGCTTGATACTCTATTACGTCAACGAAAACAAGGAGCAGTCCTGCGACTCACCGTCGAAGACTTCCAAGTACGCATGAGCAGGTTAGATGAACTTAGTTATCTCCCAGACCTAGGAGAAGAGATCTCAAGATTGTCTACAGTTGCCAAATATCTACCTGATGATGATCGGCCTGGACTTTTGTCCCTGATCATGATCCGCAAGATAAACGCCCATGTCGATGTCAACAACACTTTGGGATCTATTCAGCTCTCATCCCATGATATTGAAGTAGCACACATCACGCTTCCATATCTTGTTGCACTTAGTGTCGGTGGCGTATATGCTCACCGCAATGGTTCAGAAGAACTTATTGGCGTCGCTACAGATCCGGAACTCCGGGAGCTGAGAGCAAGAGCACCAGCAATTATGGCACGAATGATAGGCGACGAAATGGAGCCTGTTGTTAGGATCAAATTGTGGAATCTAAGGGTCGAATATCGAGTCCCTACTCTCATGACTTTACTCGGCTTTGTCGACGGTGCGACCACGCAAGATATGTCAGCGGGCCTTGCTGAATCAGTAGCAACATTGACAAACTTTGCAAGGACGAGGGCTTCGCGGGGGCCACAGACATCTAGTGCTTCCAACCCCAAAAACATGGCCCTCGATGTTGTCATGAAGGACTGTATTCTTGGGTTAAATCCCATGGGCCTCCCTTCCAAGCTCCTTGTTGTTTTAACCGAGGGTCATTTGACCGCCGTCCTCCCGAAGGATGAAAAGACGACAGCTTCTATGGAATTAAGCAAAGCCTCACTACTCATTATTGACAATGTTGCCAACGTCATCACAGGTGGTCTTACGGGGATGTCGAGACGCCAGTCATTCGATGGTGGTAGTAGCCAGGTAGCAGATCTTTGCATGATGGGATTTGTTTCCATCAGCTACATCTCTTCAGCTAAGGCTATTTTGGTCATTAACGTTGATAATAACGGGGAGCAGTGTATTGATGTTGAATTCCGGGATGATCTATTTGTGCTAGAGACATGCGCCGATTCTACGCAGACCTTAATCGCCGCTCTTAATGCACTAGCCCCACCTTCAGTCCCGAGCAAGGAAAATAAATATCGTACAAAGGTTATAGCCGTCGAAGATCTGCTCGCATCCTTGTCTGGCGATGCTTTCGGCACGGCGGAAGGAGACTACAATTTCGATGACGACTTTGGCATCGAGTTGCCAGAGAGCGGCGAATTAGAATCGGACGAGTTAGATTTTGACTCGCACTTCTACCAGCAAGGCTCCGAAGAGCAATATGGCGAGGCTGTCGTGGAAGACATTGGCGGGCTGTCATCTTCTGCACGCCTAAGCAGCCGAGATACCCATGATGGGGTCTTGTTAGGTAGCTTTGTTGAACCCGAGGCACCGCTAGAGGGAGAACTCGAATTTCATGAGGACCATTTTGGCACTGGTTCTGTGCTGGAAGGGACAGCACACAGATGGAATTCTGTAAAGAACACATATGACAGGTCAAACTCATGCAAGATCCGGAAGAGCCCCCTGAAAGTATGTGTCCGTGATATGCACATTATTTGGAACCTCTTTGATGGGTATGATTGGCAAAATACTCGTGATACGATCAGCAAGGCAGTCCAGGACGTGGAGTCGAAAGCCATTGAGAAACGTGCGCGGAATGAAAGGCGCTCGACATTCGATCAGGATATGGACGAGGAGGAGACGGTGATTGGTGACTTCCTATTCAACTCAATTTATATCGGCATCCCTGCAAATCGCGATCCTCGTGAGCTTGCCGCAGCGATTAACCAAGAGTTGAACGATAATGTTACTGAGACGGAATCCCTAGCGACCACGACATTTTCGTCGTCTCCTAGCCGACAAGGCGGCGCTCGCAGACCCAAGGCAAAGCAGTTACGACTGAACAGAAGCAAGCACCACAAGATAACTTTTGAGTTAAAGGGGGTCAATGTTGATCTTGTGACTTTTCCTCCCGGAACCGGGGAGACTCAGAGTTCGGTGGATGTTCGTGTCCATGACTTTGAAATATTTGACCACATCCCCTCATCGACATGGAGAAAATTCGCTACGTATATGCAAGATGCCGGGGAGAGGGAGACCGGGAGTAGCATGATCCATATGGAGCTTCTTAACGTCAAACCCATTCCCGACCTTGCAGCGGCCGAGATTGTGTTGAAAGTAACGATCCTCCCTCTCCGCCTCCACGTCGATCAGGACGCCCTCGATTTCATCACTCGGTTCTTCGAGTTCAAGGACGACTCCGCACCGGTTCATTCGTCACCTGGTGACGTTCCGTTCATCCAGAGGGCAGAGGTCAACGCCGTGCAGGTCAAACTAGACTTCAAGCCAAAACGTGTTGATTATGCAGGCCTCCGCTCTGGTCATACTACAGAATTCATGAACTTCTTGATTCTGGATGAAGCAGATATGGTTCTTCGCCATACGATAATCTATGGAATTTCCGGGTTCGATAAGCTGGGGAAATGTCTGAATGATATATGGATGCCAGACGTCAAGCGAAATCAACTGCCTGGAATCTTAGCTGGGTTGGCACCGGTACGGTCAATTGTGAACGTTAGCGGGGGGATCAAGCATCTCGTCACCGTTCCAGTTCGTGAGTACCAGAAGGATGGACGAATTGTGCGTGGTATTTCGAAGGGTGCAACAGCATTTGCAAAAACTACCGGCACTGAACTGGTCAAACTAGGAGCTAAAGTTGCCATCGGTGTACAGACTGTTTTGCAAGGTGCAGAAGGATTCCTAGGCCCAACTATAGACACCTCCCAAGGCGCCGCAGACGACGAAGACTCAGAAGATACCAAGCACATCAGCCTCTACGCCAACCAACCCGTCGGTGTGCTCCAAGGTCTGCGTGGCGGATATACGGGTCTGCAGCGGGATTTAGTTATGGCGCGAGATGCCATTATTGCGGTACCCGGCGAAGTCATGGAGAGTGGTAATGCGGCGGGCCTTTTGAGGGCGGTAAGGAAGCATGCGCCAACTGTTATTCTTCGACCTGCTATTGGGGTAGCGAAAGCAGGGGGCCAAATTTTGATGGGTGCTACGAACTCTCTAGATCCGGTGAATTTGCAACGTGCTGATGCTGTAAGTGTCTCTTGCATGGAACAACATGAAGCAGAGGACTTGAATGCTAACCTTTGCGTGTTGCAGAAATATAAAAAGCATTGACGAAGTTATGATACACTGAATTGCATAGGTGGCGTCACTCCCATCGCGATCGGAAGCCTCTGGACGGCTCTGGTGCATTTACATGTCGTTTTGTGCGAGGCGTTCAGGCGCAGAGATGGAGTAAGGGTACACTTCATACGAAGTAGATTGGATTTATATATCTCAGATTAGTACAGTACGATATTTCTAGTCAACACCGACCAAGATAGTCAAGATCTTCCGCGTTCCGAAGTGATGGAGATGATCAGCCACCCAGTGGCCCGGCTGTAGTTGGTACTAATAAAGTTTGGCCATCTATTCGCCTTTCAGCCTTTCTCGTAAAACTTCAGCCTCGCTCGCAAAAATATGTGGATAATCTGAGTTTCCAGGAACAGTAGACTGTACAGCGCCTGTCCTGCACACGAACTGCATGGAGCACGGAATGCATGTACTGTGGTGTGCTTGTGCTTTCTGCTGCTGCACGCGGATGCAAGGCGATCGGTGTCGGTTACCAGATCTCTTCACGGGATCGATAATACCTTCGAATGGTGGTTGTTCTAGGCCGGGTGACTGCTACTCTGACATGACGGATTATTGAGTCCAGATTGTGTGTGGCTGCAGATGACCGTGAAATATGGCATGTTCTCTACGAAGTACATAGGTAGGTAAGGGGTTGTTGAGCGAGCTGGTTGATGGGTTATACGTAGGAATAGATCAAAGATCCCATGTGGTTTACGACGGGCGGTGAGAGTGCGATTATCAATATTACAAGTAGTACCCTTGATGTCTCTCTTCGTCCGGAACGGGACGCCGGCATTTGCGTCTTGCAGTAGTTGGGACTTTGGGAATAATTGGGATGTCTATATGTGATATAGACACGCATTACAGCCTGAAGCCTGAGCACGGCGCTACATAGCTCCTACATTATTTATTATATAACCATCTTTCCGGAATAAATGATATTAGACGAAGACCCACGGGACGTATGTAGTAGGTGGATATATCGCCTCCTCTCGGGAAACCCGACTTGCCAGCGGGATCTGAGAGCGCCGTCTCTGAGATCCTCTCGGGTAGATAGTAAACAGATAGCGTGGACATGCATGCCTAGGCTCTCTTAGGCTCTATTTGAGGCTTGAGCGAGTAAGGAGGTACGTGTCCAGTTACTCCGTGGTGTCCATCTATCAACTGCCTCACTTACGGGTGTTATTGCAACGTACTTAGAGGGGCTGGCATAAGACAAGAGCAAGAACAAAGCCTAGCCTGTTGGACAAAGTGCTACCTCCGGAGTACGTCCATTGCCAAAGAGCCACGTGAACAAGCACAAAGTGCTCTTGTGCGGCCAGCACCGCGTGCAGGACGACTAAAGCAGAACTAGAGCACGAATAGAGATCCTGTTCTGCCGTATTGGCTGGCATACGACGACTCATTACGAAGTATTGGAGTCAGTCTCAGACTTCTCAGCGCCTCCATGTTTGTTTCTTGTTCGTTAGCTACCGCTAGTGGCTCCTTATATAGCAATAATACTGCCACCCCGATCTTCTTTCTGATTCTTTCCTCCTTTTGCCTCTTTAGAACCCTAGTCCCCAAACTCAAACCTCTTCCAGTCCTCTTAGCTTATTATTAGCCCTTGCCACTGTCACTGCCACTGCCACTGCCACTGCCATTCACTGCTAAGGGACTTATTAGTATCCGAGGTAGTCCGCCCTGATAGCCGCACGCCACAGACAGCCTTTCAGCACCTCATCAGCACCGCGCCACTCACCTTATTACCACCTTATCTCACCGTCGACCTCGCCAGCCGATCTACTCTTCCAACCTTCCAACCTTCCAATCTCCCATAACCCGCCAATCTCCCTCAAACCTTCCAACTTCTACCTCTGGTACACTCATTACAACACTACTACATCATCACATCACCAAAACAAAGACTTCATATACACCAAACATCATGCACTCTACACCATCAAGCTCCCGTTCCGCCTCTCCAGATATGGTAGATACCATGCAGATCTTCATCAACACCGTCTCTGGTTCCAGTATGCCTCATATTCCTTCCTCTCCTTCTCAACAGTCCCAAGAGCAAGAACAGGAGCTAACTCCCTCGGCAGCAATTCCTATAACCGTCCCATCAGACCTCTCCATCCAAAACCTCACCACACTCCTCAGCGTTCGGACCTCCCTCCCTGAGTCAGACCTCCGCCTCGTCCACGCCGGGAAGCACCTCTCGCCCTCCTCAACACTCGCCGACTACCACATTGCGCGAGACTCAACACTCCACCTCGCACTGCCTCTACGCGGCGGCATGCCTCCCAAGAAGATCCGTTGCACGTATAAGGACTGCAAGGAGGGTGCACAGAGGATCATTGGGGATTGCGGGTTCTGTAACGGACATTATTGTGGGAAGCATAGGCTGTTAGAAGACCATAAGTGTGATGGCTTGGAAGACGTAAGTTCTTCCCCTGACCTTTCGGGGACGCAGTGGTGGCTCCTGGGCTTATTTGGGCTCGTTGGAGTGGATGATGAGAATATATTGGCTAACGCGATGAATTAACGGAACAGTGCAAGAAGGAATCGCATGATCGGAATGCGGCGCAGCTTAATGCTGAGAGGACACAGGTTATCAAGGGGATTTAGAGACCTCAGGGCGCCTGAGCGACCGACTCCCCAAGGATCATACTGTACATGGGCTTGCGAGACTTAAGGGCGTTTTTTCGGCCGTAAGGGACTGGCGTCGAACATATTTGTATTACATCTGATTTCGGATGAACCGCTTGCTTGGGGACTTTAGCGGGCGTAACATAGGATCCTCTTCGGGGTTCTGTCAGATCTAGAATAATGACGACATTTACCCCATAGAATTTTTAAGTCTTTTCTAGTTGTGCTTTTAGATATACAAGTATACGAAGTATAGATACGTATTCAATCATCATCAAACTTTTCATTTTATTACCCAGTGAAACAAGCCACCTTTCCACGGAAATATCTACTCGTAAACAGTAATCATCATGCTAGCTAGCCTGAAGTAACATCATGTAATCATACCTTGGTCATATCAACCACACAGCGAATGCAATCGCCTTGCTTCATGGCATCGAAAGCATCGTTCATCTCGCCGAGGTTCTTTCGATGAGTGATGAACTCATCAACCTTCAGCTTACCCGTCATATAATCATCAACCAAGTCAGGAAGTTGGGAACGACCTTTGATGCCGCCAAACGCACATCCCTACAGACTCGTTAGGAATCGCCCAGTTTCAATGATAAACGACCATGGGGTTCTCTTACCTTCCAGACACGACCAGTTACAAGTTGGAATGCTGTAGAAAATGTTAGTCATCGGGAAATATAGAGCGAAGGAATGAATAACTTACGTCTCGTCGAGATCTCCTGTCCAGCAGCAGCAACACCAATAACAATACTTTGACCCCACCCCTTATGACAAGCCTCTAACGCAGCCCTCATAACGCCAACATTGCCCGTACAATCAAAAGTATAATCACATCCGCCATCAGTCATCTCAATCAATTTCTCCTGAATAGTCTGGCCCTTCAAGTCCGCGGGGTTCACGAAATCGGTAGCGCCGAACTTCTCTCCCCAGGCCTTCTTAGATGGGTTCAAATCCACAACAATAATCTTGCCCGCCTTCTTCGCTACAGCTCCTTGCACGACAGATAGACCGACACAGCCAGCGCCGAAGACAGCCACTGTGGAGCCTTCCTCGACTTTGGCAGTTTCAACTGCCGCGCCATAGCCGGTGGTGATGCCGCAACCTAGCAAGCATGTTCGGTCCATGGGGGCGTCCTTGGTGATAGCGACGACGGAGATATCGGCGAGGACGGTGTACTGAGAGAATGTCGATGTGCCCATGAAATGAAGAAGGTCCTTGCCCTTGCACTTGAATCGAGAGGTTCCGTCAGGCATGACGCCGCGGCCTTGTGTTGCTCTGATCTTGCCGCAGAGATTCGTCTTTCCAGATTTGCAGAACTTGCATTCTTTGCATTCTGGAGTACTAAATGGTGGGGTTGTCAGTCTCCTTGAAGGATCGAGGCAATTGAAAATTTAGCAGGGGCATTTACTAGAGAGCCACGACATAGTCGCCCACCTTTACAGATGTTACACCCTCTCCGATAGATTCGACAATTCCAGCACCCTCATGGCCCAAGACAATTGGGAAAGCTCCCTCGGGATCTTTTCCAGAGAGCGTGTACGCATCTACACGGACAGTCAGCAACCAATTTGACTTGCTCCTCGTCGCAGAAGTTGGGTCACGTACCAGTGTGGCATACACCCGTATAAATAATTTGGACTCGCACTTCGTGGGCTCTTGGTGGGGCTACTTCGATGGTCTCGATGCTCAATGGTTTTCCTGCCTCCCATGCCACCGCTGCCTTTATACTTCGTTATTTTCCTGTCCGATAGACACGGGGGAGTCGAGTGAGTAACTTACCTTACAGGTAATAGTCTGCACTCCAGGTCATTGATTAGCACTGCGGTTCTCGGCTCGGTGACGTGCCCCACACAGAAAGACTTACTTTACCCTCCGTAGACGCCATGTTTTATAAATGTGCTAGCTTTTGCGTTGGCTTTGGCAATTGTGTGGTTAAGGGGAGACCTTGATGTCTACCTGTTGTTCTGTTTGTGGAGATGGGAGTGGTTGTTTGTACGGTAAATGAAGAAGAGCGATTGTTTGTGATAGAGCGTTATATGGGGCCGTTTGGCAAAGAGGGGCTCTTGTCAGCTCCCGAATATCCTCGCTTTTATGTGGAGGTCCAGGAGGGGCAACTGGTTGCTATCTACCTACGAAGTCAACCCTGTCGCGCCTCCCCTCACCTTGGCCGTATACATGCATCTCTTGATCATACATAACCCGGCAATTGGATGGGCAGGATACCTTCCTGTCCTCCGATCATATCACCATCGGGGCGTCAAAGATGGGCTTCCGTCATCACCCCGCAGTCCCAGTGCTACTACGCTGCACAACAAATGAATGTGGGGGGGTTGTATCCTTTTGCGGAACTGATTTCCCGATTATCACCGATTAAGTCTACTGGAAGGATGCGATATGTGTTTCTAGGCTTCTATTCTATTTTTTTAAACGCTCTATTTCCACTTCTTCCTCGGTGCTAACCCGGGATTTATTTCCTATATCCGATGTCAACATCCCGAGCACCCCGAGCACGCCGATCAGGCCCTAGACTGATGACGATGCTAATAGCACCATCGTAAGTTTAAGTAGAGTATTGCCAAGTCAAGAGATATAGCCAAGAAAAATAGAGAAGAGAGTCGAAGGGCTAGAAAGCGATTGTACGCTCTGCATGGGGTTTTGCATTGGCAGTGGCGTCCAAAGATAGAGATTCGCGTCATATTCTTGGTTCCACCCATGGATGCTCATTGATAGAAATAATATGCTCTAATGTTTGCACATGCCAAGTATATCTTAACCCAAGCCCATTAAGAGATTTCTGTTAGTCCTCTTGAAAGTGCTGGAGGACAACGAGGAATACAGCTGGCTGGTGCCTGCTTATAATCTATACTACTCAGTCAGAAATGATATCGTATGGAGAAAACGTGTCAAATTACAAAATGCGCTGTTGATGCAAGTGTTATCAAATTAGCAAGGCAGTAGCTATGCGGCTTGTCAATCTACTGTTTTATGTGTACAAAACAAGCTGGATCCTCAACACTCAGACGGCATATCTCGAGAGCTTGGATATTTACCTACTCTTACTTACCAGGTCGTTTGACTCGCCCGCCATCACTACACTGATTCGATGAAATTTTAAGGCTAATCATGGACATAGGTTATGCTGGTTACTAAACGAGACACAGTTTGATGGGTCACACCCGGCAATAGGTGGCCTACTTGTAAGTAGGGTTGGGATATGCAATATTTCTTTTCTTCTGGCATCTATAGAATTATATCGGCGGCAGCGAGCCTTCTTTATTTTCCCATAGAAATTACTGGTATGGCGATGCAAATGACATACGGCTATAGATAGTCTACTGATCGATGACCTTGCTAGAGATATTGGTTAAGTAAGGCTCTGGATATAACATGGGCTTTGGCACACTAATAATCTTCCAAGGGCGTTTAACCAACCTCAATTATTTGCAAACTACCCTTCAGCGGCAATGTAAGCACTAGCTTTAGAGAATTGCAAAACGTATAGGACAATTGGCTTTCTAAAGTTCAGGTCCTTTGAGGCTGTTCTTCTCGCCAACTACTCAGCAGTTAGCCGTCTATAGAGCTCAACTTTAAGGACAAGAAAGACTTACCATCTAAAGCAACGAGAAATCTGCTAACACAGTTATACGCAGCAATCTATCCAACACCAAGACCATTAGCACGTATTCCCAGTAAAAAATCCAAGCCACAATATCCGCAACATATGAACTCACGGTAGCCGTAATTTCCACAACCTCCTGCTCAGAGAAAAGCCTCTTAATCTCCCCGAACACATCCTCCGGAACCTTCACATTCGCCGTCATTTCATCCGTATACCTAACAACAGCCCATAGCTTCTCACTTAATAACCCCTTAGCTTTCTCCCCACCCATCCCTCCTAAATGTCTATCGCCCAAAATCTTCAAAGCTTCCTCACTAACACCGCCGGCTTTGGCGAGAGGGGCATGGTGCCCCCACTCATACCACGCCTCATTTATAACTGCAACGCGACAGATAGCAACCTCCCTCACATCATCGCTGAGGCTTGTTTTCGTTCGGATGGCTCCCAGGAAGGAGTTCCAGCCGTCAGCAACTGGCGGGGCGTGCAGGAGTGCGAGGTCGAGTGATTGGAGGGGTCGGGGAGCTCGGCGGGCGCTGACGCGAGAGAGGATTGCGCTGTTTTCTGGAGAGTCAAAGGTTGAGGAGCTGGGGTCAACGTATGGGAGACGCATTGTGATAGTAGTATGTTAATTTATTTGACGGGTTTGTTGGATTCGTGGACGGTTTGCGTGGTGTTTAACTAACTACGAGGTCTGCTTTCAACATAAGTGGATGGTGCGGGGCGGTTTCGGGTATATCTTCTGCCTGTGACAGCCGTTCCGATTTAGTACCCGACTTATTATCATTAGGTTTTATATAATCCATACGTGAAGTAAGGAAGTGTGTTAATAAATGCTAGGTATTGCTTCCATTCTAGGGTTAGTAATATAATATATACCGCCTGGGAAATATTTTGCTCAGCTGGGATATCGTAAGCTATTCAAGAGGTCTTCCTCTATCGCGGACGAGTTTCGAAAACTAGATTCAATTGAGAAACTCTAATACATAGCACATTGCCTGGCTCAAGGTCGAGAAAGACATTGCTACTACAACAGACAAACTAGCTTACACGGCCATATTTGACCACCTTCGTTACCATCTCCACTTCTATGCAAAACTCCAGTATTTGTGGAACCAGCAACAGTCCAGATGTTTTGGGCTACGAAGATCCCACTTCGCAACCGCCCTCAATCCCAAGGGCCGCGTTGTTCCGTCCTCAATTCATTCCATTATTCACAAATAGTCGCGGAGGAGATGTACGTTCACAAATTGTCTTATGGTCCTCCCTTGCATCCCGGACGGTCCGTTTAGCACGATACCTCCAAGCTGGCCTTCGAGTTCATTAGAAGGGCGACGATCAAGCCGTAAAGACCTATTAAACGTCAGCAAGCCAATTTCATTTTGTGGCTCGAAGGCAACTTACCCAAGACTTCAGCAAAAATGAGAATAAGAATCATGCCAACAAAAAGTCGAGGTTGCTGTGCTGTACCCCGTACACCAGCGTCACCAACGATACCAATAGCGAATCCTGCAGCGAGACCAGACAATCCGACACTGAGGCCTGCACCGAGCTGAATGAAACCAGTGTATAAAGGCAGTTGTTGTTTGAGCCCATCCGAGATCAAGACAGACACGACGAGACCATAGATACCAATAATACCAGCCATAATAACTGGGACAATGTCTGGTATGCGTGTTAGTGCATAGTTCCGATATAAAAGCTTGTTGGCATCTCACTCTTCACGATCAAATCAGGTCGGAGAACAGCCATTGAGCAAATCCCAACGCCGGACTTGGCAGTTCCATAGGCAGCACCGAAGCAAGTGAAAACAATAGCTGAGGTGCAGCCCATCACACCGAAGAACGGCTATATGATTATCAGCATGACGCGTCCGATTTACTGAAGTGCAAGCATCCGACACGCTCATCGACGCTCGGCAAGGGGTGGGGAGATCTTCGGGAGCTTTGGGAGTACTGACCGCGTAGACCGGGCTGTGGGAGAAAGTATTAGCACATGAATATATTATTGATGGGAGATGCACAATCATCTGTGGTAGCTTGGGATAGGAGTTGAGGCTGTCCCTTATCTCGAAGGGGCCGGGGGATGAAGCTGCTTACCACTTCACGAAGTTATCGACGATGTCAGCCATCTTGACAGTTGTGCGGGGTTATATTAAAGAGATATAAATGATGGTAAAGCTCGGGTAAGCTTGATGGGTGAGGATTGAGGGCGTTGGTGATGGCGTAGAGCTGGTGTAGAGTCGTTGTCCTCGATGGTAGCAGTCCGAGGAGGTTTGCGGTCTTGGCTGCACTGAGTAGCTCCTGGGAAGCGAGTCTCAATTCAGTTTAGCGTCTAGGGTCGCCCTAGCGCGGATTTTCTTTTCCGACCTTGACGAACTTTGATATCGAGATCCAAAAAAAGACAAAGTCACTTCACGCAAACCTCAAGTTTTTAAAAAGCAACAGGGCGAGCCAACGCAAGGAACCCTGCCAGCTACAGTCTGAATTTCTTCGACAAAGTTCTTCGATTACCGAACTATACTCCACCAACCTTCATTCAAAATGGCTGACGAACAGAACGGATCTGCTGGTACGCCATGATCTCTCTTATCTTAAATCAACGAATAACAAGTTCTTCGCTAACTGAAGACTAGCATGGCCTGTCGCGGACTCTGCCTTGAGTACAACACCCCGAACCTCCCGTTACACTTTCGAACTGAGTATTGACTTATCGTCTAGCCCAAGAGATCCTTGACATTATCCAACAAGCAAGTCATGCTCGCCAGTTGAAGAAGGGCGCAAACGAGGCAACGAAGACTTTGAACCGCGGTATCTCCGAAATCATTGTCCTTGCCGCTGACACTGCGCCTCTCGCCATTCTTCTCCACTTGCCACTGCTGTGTGAGGACAAGAAGTGAGTATTTTCGCCTCTGGGACGAACTACCACCTCTGCATATTTCCTAGAGGCGGACGAAGGAAATTCATTGAATTGCTACATCGCAAACCTTGTTAGGAAGAGAAGGCTAACTTTTGGATCTTTTTAGCGTCCCATACGTATATGTGCCATCAAAGACGTAAGTATACTATTTCCGTGCTCCGAAAAATCCAACATCATCTAAAGTAGCCGCTAACAATTATACAGTGCGCTTGGGAGAGCATGCGGCGTGTCGAGGGCCGTTATATCCGCCTCAATCACAACTAACGAGGCCAGTGACCTTATGGGTCAAATCAGAGCTCTCAAGGACAAGGTTGAGAGACTCATGATCTAGGGTATTACGAATGGAAAGGATACCCGAGTTGCAACATAGATGATTGGCGTTTGGCTATTGCCTCGGGGTTTCGGAATTCATAGGAAAGGAAAATTCAAGAAGTGAAACATAATTTTCCGTGATAGCGCTCATAAAAACATTTCACAATGTCAATATGCTTGGTGATATTTCCCGGTAGAGCAGTAACTTTGGACCCTACGATAAGAAACTAAATACAATATAACTAACCCATATCTAATGCTGGCGACATACCATGACCAAACATTGGTAGCCACTTAACCTTACCCTGGCCATGATTTGAAGACTCACAGGCTTTACACTCCCAAAACCCGGCCAGCCTAAATCGATATAAACCAAATGATAAATGCCCCAGATATTAGAAAGTCGACCGCCTGCATGCCTGCAATTTCTAGTCCTATCAGAATTTGCACCAGGCAGGGAGAGCAGAGTTTGTTGGCCTGAAAATGTGCGGCCTGACGATACCCTAGCGAGTTTTGAGATATTTTTCAAACCACAGCACTTGATCGCACACCTACCAGCACCACAACCGCAAGCCACAGAAACCCCTATTAACGATGGGGAAGAATGGTAGGTTTGGAAAAGATTATGGCAGGGTCGTCGGCAAAGACAACGACTCACGGCCAGGGTGGAAAGGCCCGGCATTCGTCAAGAAGGCAGAACCATCCAAGTCCAAGGCAAAATCTTCAAAGACGTCTGAAGGGAAAGATTCTTCAAAAGATCTTCCCTCAGAACCAGAGATCTTGATCCCTCTCGAGCTACAGCAGCTTCTTCTTAACATATTCCGAGATTCCTTTTCTACCGTCTTAACATCAGACACACTGCTGCCTCTGCTACAAGATGTCAAGGCTGCACTGTTTGATAGAGATTTCACCCGGGCTTTTGGGAACAGCGAATATCTAGAGGCTTATGCTGCTCGTTGGAGTCCAAGCAGAGCCCTCTGTTACCAGACCATTCTAGTCGATGTTCAAAAACACATTTCTGAGATCATCCGCGGCCGAAGCGATATCGAGCCAAGCGGAGACCACCAGCAAAGCGTTAATGGGGATGTTCCCAGATCCCAGCTAGATGCTGTCAGCTTTGGAGGTAGTGCGGCAGAAGTTATTGCATTTGGTGGTTTCCTCCGATACTTGCAGAACGGCTCGACCCCGCCAAAAGCTGATGGCATCACGAATGGAGATTTAAAAGATCAATCAAGTCCAGACAATTCACTCAACGTCAATTTACTGCTCCTCGACTGCGCTGGCTGGGAAGATGTAGTGAGAAAACTACACAACGGTCTCGTCACCCCTCCGCCATTATCAAAATATGCAAGCGCATCAGCAAAAGCCGCAAATTCATCACTCATTACTGATGAACATATCACCTCGAACTTCCGCTTAGACGACATGCTGAGCTTAACCCGAGATCAATTGGATGGTCTCGTTGGCGCCCGGCCGATGCTTCTTACCCTCCTTTTCACGTTGAATGAGCTGTACACGGCATCAATTAGCAAAACCACAGCGTTCCTCTTGAATCTAACCATGACTACGAAGCCAGGATCCTTGTTGCTGGTTGTCGATAGTCCGGGAAGCTACTCGGAGACTCGCATTGGGACGGAGGAAAAGAAATACCCTATGAAATGGCTGCTCGACCACGTTTTGCTTGAGAGTCAGAGGATCATGGAGCCACGGGATGGCAAGCGGCAAGAAGCTCCCCCTGACTGGGTGAAGGTGGTATCTGAGGATTCTAAGTGGTTTCGCATGCCTGAGGGATTCCGGTACCCAATACCACTGGAAAACATGCGTTATCAGATACATCTATATCGACGGGTTTGAATGGTCAAGAGCAGCGACCGCAGGGGTGTTGGGCACGCGTACGGTACTGGCGTCACTGTCTTGGATTATGGAGCGTGCTTTCGTTTTGGTCATCATCATTCATTACTCGTAACAAACATATCGCCGAGCTACATATATGTATGATACAATTAGCACCGGTTGAACATTAAAGGTACTAAAGCAGTCTGGCTCTCGTGTCCTAGCATTGCTTTGCTCTTCCAGGCCGGCGAGCAGGTATTCTTCCAGAAGCCTTTCATATGGTCCTTCCTGTCCTGACTCTTACAAAACTCCTTTCCGAGTTGCTTCAACACCGCCTCTCTCGCCTTCTTCAGCGTCGACACTCTCCTTTCAGGATCATCGGCAAGCTCTTGTTGCGCTGCTTCCAGCTCTATATTTCTTTGAACCCCTTGCACATTGGGATTAAACGTGGTAGGCTGCAAGACATCTGCCACTGGATCCGAAATACGTATCGGTCCAGATATTACTAGTTTTTCTGGCCCCTGGTCTTTGTGTTCCCTGTTCTTGCGTCTCCGCCTGCGCACTCGTTTCTTGAGCTTCTTTACATGCACTGAAGACGTCTCCGCCTCCACTGGCGGATCATAATGAGGAAGCATCCCAGGCATTGTATCAATGACTTCCTCTGGCTCCTCAAACAGATCTAAGTCATCCTGGCTTTGAGAGACATCTGAACCGCTTTGCTGCGATAGCCATTCATCGTGTCCACTGATCCTCGCCAACGGCGCAAGCGCATCTTCCCACGTCCCCCCATTAATCAAATACACGCTCTCAAAGTCAAATTCCTTGACTGTATGCCGATGTTTAAGCACGAACTCCGAAACTTGCTCCGCCGACATGGTCGCATTGCGAACTTGCATGTACCGGAGTTTTGGAAAGTTCATCGCTGGCCGTTGAGGCGCCGCGGGCAGCGGAGACATGGGCGATGTCACCTCCCCGAACAGCTTTGCTGTTTTCCTCGGAGGAGCAAACAGCGGATCAGTGAATAGCGTGAGAGGACAGGGTCCTTTCCTGCCGTTCCACCCGAAACTGATCTTCTCGAGGTTGGGCGAGAAATTCCGGATATAATCATCGAGGATCTTGAGATGATCGAGGCCAGGCCGGAGACCGAGGAAGTCCCATGAGTCCATGACGATGTTGAGCTTCCGAATCTGCTTCCACCGGCGACCAGCAGAGGGCGTGCACCCATAGCCTGGAGTATGTCGGAAATATTGGAGAGCTGATGGAGGGATATGACTTAGAGAGAGCTTCTCCAGGCGAATAAGTGGCGCTCGCTCAATTGCAATGCGTAGGCTTATAAGCGCATAGTCGACACAATCCCGTCGGTACCTCATGGCAGGGTCTTGGTCAGGACAGGAGATAGTGAGATGCCGAATATTAGGCATGTGCGTCAGAGCATTTATGAATGCTGGTACATTAGTCGCGGCGTGGAATATAGGGGGATATTGTTGCGTCAGCAGATCTCCCAGCTGTGGGCATCCATATTTAGGACGCTGGATGACGGACGCCACGGTCGTGTGAGGCGTATATAAAAAGTTGACCTCATGGCCATTAAGTGGGTTCAGAAGAGGCGGCAGAAAGGTCTCTAGGGTATGCGGCATAGAGAATGTGAGATGTTTGATATAAGGACCTACTCGAGACAATGCCTCGACGCGCGAGGGTCTCGTGAGAGCACTTGGTGTGAAGGTCAGGCGGGTTCGAGCGAATAAGTCCGCGGTCGTGAGATCACAGAATTCGGAGGATGTGAGACGCAGGGCACATATTGATGCTGTATCCAATTGAGCGAGAAGAGCCGAGCGCAGGCCGTCGTCCCGCCAAACGTGGAGGAATCTTGGGCTGGGAGTCGCCATGACTTGCGCATGTCGTCTTGGAGGTGGTTGAGGCTATAGCAAGGTTGTAATAATCCAAGGGCAAAAGCAGCACGAATTGGGTTGAATTGAATTGATTGATTGAATTGCGCAAGTGAAAAGTAATATGAGTTTTGTTCCGTTGATGATGTTGAGAGGTAGAGTATGAGTGACAGTGATATCTTTCTTTTCCTTGCTTGATCTTGTCGTCGCTCACCCAAATTCACTCACTCACTCAAGCAATATCAAACGGGAGGAGAATAAACCAAAAACATGATACAATAACCGTCAAACAAAACGATCAGAAAATGAAACAAAAGTCCCCGTCCGAGCCTTTTAAGATATTTACCCCATCCAGCCCCATCTCCTCTCTCATCCGTCAAAGGGAAAGCCGCGCATCTCGTTCGTGCTCCTCCCCACATGGAAAAATGGCATTATGACTCACTGACGGTGTCTCCAGACTTCTCGATGTGCATTGCATATATTCTGCATCCCAACGCGAAATCCCCACGATCGCGACCACCGCGCCGCCCGCGTCTACTGGACGCAGAGAGGCGACCGCCGCAGCTAAGCTGATGCACGCTGCAGAGCGAGTGGCGAGTGCACCGACGCTGGACTGCGCCGTCTGCATTTTGTTTCGAGCGGAGGCTGGCACGAGCCAATGGTCTCTGTTGAAACATCTGCAGAGCCATAATCGGGGAGGTTGGTTGGATGGGCGCGATGCTGTGGGAGTTTAGCGTAGGCCAATTGAGGGCGCTGTTCTGCAGTCTACCGAGTACTCTGGGCGGCGGTCGCGAAACTGACGCGAAAGACGCGCTGGTTGCTGGGTTAGGTGGTTACGAGGCGGTTTGAATGTTTATTTTGTGCTGCGTACCTGCTTGAGTACGACATACTGAGTGGATTCTTCACTGGAAGCGCGTCTGTTTCAGCATCTTGGGGGGAAATCCGATGTGATGGTTAGACAGAGAAGAGAAGACGGGATAAGTGTGGCTGTTGCGCAATGCAGAGTAGGTGCGTAGTAGTTTGTATTGACCAGCATCCGCTGTCGGGTTGCACCTTCGATCTCCTCCTTGAAAGGGCCCTTCTATCATACATGTCCCTCCCCCTTATTCCCACTCTCCTCTCCTCTCCCTCTCCCATGGATGGCCATGGGGCGAGCAGATCCCACTGCTTCGAACCCCTCAAACCAACCAGCCCATCCACCTTCATCCACCGATTTCCGCTTGCTATTAAAATGCATCGCTGAAACCGCTATTACTCAACGCTTCCCCCCCAATGCAAAAGAACTTCGAACTTTTGTGGTATCTTGCGTGTATGGCTGACCAACAACTCCACTATACGCCATTAAAACTATATTAACAAAAGAGAATCGTGTATGTCTTCTTCATTACAAATCTTGGTAAGGAGAACTGCTACCGGGTGCGGTAGACTTTGCTTATGTGTCGAAATTCAAAATAAGGATCATGACGGACTGGCTCCGTTCACCTGTGGTGTCTCGGGCTTGGTAGATGCCAGGGGCTCGCTGGGTTCAGGTGTGCGGTTGCCGGTTATCGATAGTGTCTCCGTCTCCTCCTCGGGTATAGTTGCGAATCTTTTCAAGACTTGCTTCAGGGCCGGGCGTCGGATTGGTTTACTTAGGAAATGATCCATGCCTAAGGTAGCCACACGTCAGTTCTGTCCGTGCCTGGCTGGGGAAGTAGGAAATCAAATCTCACCAGAATCATAACATTCCTTCACGTTGCTTTCTTCAGCGAATGCCGTAAGTGCGACGATGGGTGCAGAATATCCCATCTGGCGGATCAGACGCGTGCTTTGGAGCCCGTCTAGATTTGGCATCTACAGGCACGGGTCAGCAATATCAACTTTTGGCGGGTCTTGTGCTGCCTTACTTGGATGTCCATGAAGATTAGATCGAAGTATTCTCCCTTGTCCATGCTGTCCCTGACCATATCATAGGCCTCTTTGCCGTCCTTTGCAACAACCACCTCAACATCGTAGATATGCTCGAGCTTGAGCATACTTTAATCTGTTAGCGAATGAAAGTCCAACGATTAAAGCCTGACTTACCGAACAACGATCTCTTGGTTCACGGGGTTGTCCTCGGCCACTAAAATCCGTAGCTTTTGGGCAGCATCTTTGCCTGTAGCCACTTTGTTAAGGACAGCTAATTGCTCCGTCGCATCCTTAGCGTTCGGATTTGAGTTCGTGTTCGTGGCAAAAAACGGTTGGCTAAGGCCAACAAGTCGAGGTTGGGTATCCTTTTGGAAGTCGGTGGTAGGCTTTGAGTCGCCTGGTGCTGCACCTGCAGATGTAGGTGGGCCACCATCGGTTTGGGAGCCACTATACTCACTCGTAGGTCGCGAGCCATGTATATCTGAGCTCGAGGTTGAAGGCGCTCGGGATTTTGTATGTTTCAGAGGAATCTCCATCTTGAAGGTAGTACCAATTGGAGGATTCTGCGAGCTCGCTAAAGTGATTGTTCCACCCATTAATTGGGCAAGTTGGGAGCAAATGCTAAGCCCAAGGCCTGTACCTCCATACTTCCTGCTCAGACCAAGATCGCCTTGAACAAAAGGTTCAAAGACACGATCTTGAATGTGCTCAGGTATCCCAGGGCCCGTATCTTCAACCTCGAACAGGAACGTGAAGGTCCTTGCGCTTGCTGGCGGCGGAGTGGGAGATCGCTCTCGCACTTGCACTCTGGGTGTGGCCTTAGGATCTAATGGATTGATTTGCAAAGCGGTGCCTGAGGGTTTTGAAACTGAGCCAGATAACTTTCTCGAACTTTGCGAAGCGTTTGAGCCACCTGACCGAGAACCAGAGGCAGAGCCGTTGTGCCGTCTTGAGGTACGCTGCGAGCTCCGCTTCGATCCTAGCGAGTTTCGACACTCGACAGGAGCCTCGACTTCCCCCAAGCATTTGATTCGAACTTCGACCTTCCCTCCTTCGGGAGTGAACTTTAAACTATTGCTGACAAGGTTGATAATCACTTGAAGGATCCTGTGCTGGTCGCCCCAAAGACTATAGAAATAGTTAGCCTCGTTCAGGTATGGCTCGGAATAAGCAAGGACAGGATGCGAGTTGCGATCGCATCCGAAACAATTGCAGATAAATATTTGACAGGCATAACCATCAGCTCAAGGCTCTGGAGGCCATATAATAATTGTTTCAAGGATGCCCTCGTCCTTGTACAATTGAGCCGATCCCGACGCCTTGGTGGAAGATCCATCCCAACACCAGTACCAAAGAAAGGGGACAAGTCAAATTGGTATCACTTACCACATATCTTTTAATCGGCCCGTCCCCGATGGGCCGATAGCTGGAAGTGCCTTCTCCGGCACGCCATTGGAGTCTGGTTCTGTATCTGAGCTGATAAACTTCACACTGAAATCGATGTTTTTCTCTTCAACCTGCTTCATGAAGATTGTAAGGATTTGGACTTTGATGTCGGCCAATCCAAATTCTCTCTCCTCCAAGCTTAATTGTTGTCCAATTTGGTTCTTGCTAAAGGTCAAAAGATCGTTGAGAAGATGGAGTAGAAGATCGCCAGATTTGTAGACAACTTGCAGACTTCTTTTTATCCGCGGAAGGTCATCCTCGCCCATACATACCGCACACATGCCGAGGATTCCGTTCAAAGGAGTCTTCAATTCGTGGGAGATGTTCGCGATGAAGAGAGTTTTACTCTCGTTGGCAGCCTCCGCAGCTTTCTTGCTTATTTCGAGCTCCCGAGTTCGTTCGGCTACCTTGGCTTCTAGGCTTTCATATTGAAGCATGAGTTCATCGGTCATGCTATTAAATGTTGCTAGAAATGGTTAGTATTTCATACTAGCAAACGTACTTTTTAGAGATTACTAACTGGTTAATTCCGTGAGTTCATCGGTAATGAAATGCTTCCGATCCTGTACTTTTGCCGGGATTTTGAAGACCCTGCGCCTGTTTTCCTCACTCCGTTCCAGCTTCGATGGTTTTTTCCCACCGCGTGTCATATTCTTCAATCTTATGAAGAACCCCCTTCGCGAACGTTGAGATGGGCTTCTCCGACCTTCCAAATCCGGCTCTCTATCTGAGCCATCATCATCGGGTCTGGAGGAATTGATACTTCCACTTGATGAATACCCAGGCGGAGTAATAGAGTTCTTCGTGGCATCCCTCAATCTTCGCAGCGGCCTCGCGCTGTAGTGAGCCGTTGGTATGACCACAATAATGATTAAACCAACAGTCCCAAAAACACAAGCGAGAACAATCTTGCGGAGCTTTGATACCGGATCCCAGGCTTCATGATGGGCTTGCTCAACAATGAGGAGCCAATCAACAAGGGAGCTCTGCGGTCGTGCATAGCCTACACTGACTGAAACACCATCCTCATTTCTGGTGGATAACATACTACCGGCACTATTGACAAATGGGTGGTAGCGGCCGAATGCAGTGGCTGCGGCTGGATAAGCACCTAGGGTAAAATTTGAAGCACCATTGTTACGCAGGTTGGCATTGTAGGACCTGTGCCGATTAGTTCCATTGGCGTTGACCGGAGGAAATATATATTTGACCACCGCTGCATTTATGTCGCTCATATTAGCAGCGTCGTCTTTGGTTGCGGGTCTTTGGAGGTATTTGAACTGATTTTCACGTCTGCTCGGACCTATCAGTAGCGTCATACCAGTACTTGCTAATCCTTCATGAGAGTCGGTAACATTGACCAGCGTCGAGGCAGCCGCTACGACTGTCATGAAGCCGAGGACAATCGACCGGTTTGTATTATCGATGATGGGCAGAGTCATTGAAAGCAGTGCATATGAGTCGTTGATTTGCATTGGGCCAAGAACCAAAACAGCGGAATCGGACTGATTCAAGGGAAAATCGGGGAACGCGTTCACGATGGTGAAATTCTTCGAGGGATCCATTGGATCTGGATCCGAGGTTTCCTTATAGGTAATATTTGGATAGAGTCCACTGGGATAGCCAAAGTCTTTGTCTCCAATAGCAACTGCAGATCCATTATCCGCGGCATCGGGGATGTCAATTCCTGGTGTAGAAGCAGTAGCGTTTACTATGCCATAGGCATTGCCCGTGGCATTTCGAGAAAATATTTTTACTTGCAGCAGAGCGGAGAGGCCCCCGCCTGCTAATGCGCTTCCAATATCATCGGATACCCTACTACCAAGCCCAAGAGTTAGCATGTCAGCTCAAAATATATAGCAGATGCAAGTAGGATATCTCACGAATGAAAGGGAGTACAGGAAAATGAAATGTGTAGGGAGAGGGGGATATAACGACGGCCATCAAAAGAGAGGGGGGGTGATTGAAGGGGAAGCCCAGGGGCTGACCATACCTGGTATTCAAAGCCGAGATGTTTCCTTTGTAGAATTCCCTAAGTGCCGACTGCATGATGATTCTTGTCGTCATGGTGGTGCATGTTGACTGAATCAGGAGCAGATCCGAAGCAATTTGAGCGGCCTTCAGACTAGCCGTAAGGCTCAGCTGAGAGTTTGTGACGCCGATGATAAAGCTATAACTGTTGACCCACACGCTGATAGCAAGGACGGCTAGAGGCACCAGAGCAGTCAGTAGCACGATGGCTGCCAGCTGCTCTCGAATACCGATCCTCATCGTGGACCGCCCTTCTCAAGAGGAGTCGACTCCTGATCCGCCGCAATCTTCCCCTCTCCTTGTGCGCCTGTGCCGACCATCCAAAGCTCCCTCGTCGCCCTCCACTTCAGGACGTCCAGGACTCCAGGGACGGGGGCGCCGGGGGGCCTCGTGGCCTCGTGGGGGAGTGGAAGAATCACAGCTATCGTTTGGGCGATAGCCACATGTTTGGTAAGGCCGGGTGAGGGCCTCGCGGTCAGCTGGGGGCGAGCAATTGGTGATTGTCAGGAGGGTTCGCTCTGGTTTGGTCTGCTCGGCGGCGGCGGCGGCGGCGGCGATAAAGAGCCAGCTGGATTCAGTGGTGAGGCTTCGCGTGTTCAATCGGATTCGCACTCGAGCAGATGTTCGGGGACGACAAGATAGTGGTGGCGTTGGCGGATAAGTTAAAAGTTCGTGTCGGCAAATGTCCTCAAGGGCGCCCCAAAGGTTGCATGGGAGTGACTGCTCCGTACAACGTCGACAATAGGAAGTAGAGCAGATTCGGATGCGGATAATATGCACGGCAGAGCGACGAGAGGGAGAGAGACGCTCGTTGATGTGTAGGTACGAGGTACTTGGGACGAAGCACTCGTACGCGGTGGTGGGAAAATCACGAATATACAGCACGGATACTTCGTACTAGAGCGCGGAACGAAATACGCACATCCAGCAGAGCGCAGAGTACGGAGGGACGAAGCGCAAGGAAGAGTACGAAGTGCGAAGTACGAAGGTAACACGAAGGACATTAATTATTAGATAACGCCTGGACCGAAGCCGCTCCAGGGTCCAGAGTCTAGACTCTACTTCGTAGACTCTGGGCAGCGCACCCTGTCGAGCGTGTGTCGTATCATCCTATAGGTCTTGTCTTGTGTCTTGTGTCTTGTCTTACTTATTACCTGCAAGTTGGTGCAAGTTGGTGGCCACGACTCCAGGGCCGGTTCAGGGGGTTGGTCCCTTATCCTAGGGGAGGAGACAGTTATTAATTCAGCTCAGCATCTCCAGCCTTCAACAGAAGAAACAATTTAATTAAAACACATTTATCTGTAAGGAGCCGTACAGTATATAGCCTAGTCGCTATCGCCGGCACTGGCGCTGTTACTGCTACACAGCACTACGTACAGTACAGCTACTGTCACTAACTATCACTTCGTATGATTATCTCGTACTCCCACGACCCTGAATTGCTTGTATCACCCGCAGATCCTGTGGCTGTTTCCCCTGACCAGGACCAGCCAAGTGCGGGAACGAGTATCATACGGTTATTCTTAGCTCTCCTTATCTCTTAATACGAAGCAAATCTACCGTACCGTACTGTATGTACCACGAAGTACACGCGGAATTTAAGATACATGTAAGCTCCGCTGGCTCTGTTAGGTTTCTGGAGTGCGAAACGCTTTTTTCCCTTGACAGCACAACTTGCGCTATTCAGACTTTTACCTGTTGACAAGGAATATTTTCGCTTTGAGCCGTAGTTGATCCCCAAAACAAAACCTTAGAGACGCCAACCTTTCTACAGGAGAGTTACTGCGTATTACTCTCTAGGAATAATAAACCACCGAGTTACTCGCCCAGAAAGCCAAGAGCCTCTCTTTCGGAATAGTTGAAAAGGAATTCAAGAGATTATTAACATCAGTCTCTGAACAGTTTCTGCAAGCAAGAACAAAAATATAATTACCTAATAAAGATATACCTATACTCAGGCAAACTTGAATAGGGGGATAGGTTACTAGTAAGGCACCAAAGCGGAGTATTAACCTTTATAAAGTCGCGCTCCTGCTGTCCGATGTGCAACAAAGCCATGAGCTCAACACAACACGGGAACTTACAGCTCTCTTCAATCAAGACCCTTCTCACCTGTACTGTACATGCATACTGTAGGTACATACTTGATGGATAACGGCGCCTGCAAAACGATGTTGTGCATCTCCGCAGCACGTGTTGCATCGGCCATGAATCACGACAGGGCAGTTTGGCCCTGCGACAGGGCATCATCTGAGCTAACAACTAATCGGAAAAAAGTCCGGCGCCTGCGATACCGGCAACATAGTTGACGCTCGAGCTTCACGCCCCAACACTGACGTCAATTGTTCTGTTATAACCTCGATGGTCTTGCCATAAGGAGCGCCAGTATGCCTGGCATCGTACGCAAGCTTCTTGTCTTCGCAGCTGTCGATGGGCTGGTCCTACAGCCTCTGGCGCAGAAGGGCCAACGTGCCGCGCCCCCCGCCCAGATCACATATAGCGATAATCACATTGCGCCGGTCTTGAAGAATGGCGGCGACAGCGACGAAATTGGGAAGAGCTTCGAGGCTTTTGGGGTTGTAGGTAAGAGTTTTTATGGTCTAATAGGGGTCCTTTAATCCCTTTGCGGATCCTATCTGCTTATGAAACCAGCATTTATTCCCATGCGGTGTGTAGTTGTTTGCTAACTATTACGTTCTAGGATTGTTAACGGTGTCGAAATCATCCTTTCTAATATCGATCACCGGTCGCCAGCAGGTAGCTCAGATTCAAGGGAAGCCCATATATTGCGTCACGGAGGTCGCCCTCACACCTTTGGCGTCGAGATCAGAAGCCGAAGCGTCTGTTGTACATACACAGCGGGCACTCCGTAAAGAGGAGGCCGAGGGCGATGGGGTCTACGACAGCGATACCGCCGATGAAATAGAAGGGGCGTCTGGGGCCGCTAGCGACGATGTTGGCGATGATGAGTTAATGACAAACTCGGCTCCAGGCCAGCATAAGCGGACCAGCAGCGTTGCTCAGGATGTCATCTCGAAAAAGGGTGGTTATGGACGATTTGCAAAGAAATGGTTTTCAAAGAAGGGCTGGACTGCCGATCAGCGACGAAATCTTGGGATGACCTCCTCAGATACAGATATTGACCCACCTCTGACCACCGCGGTCGATCCGGTAGCACCCATCGACCCGGCGACAGAAAATGATGTTGTTAAGGATAGCTCCGCGGAGTCGAAGAGTAATAAGGCTAAAGATATTGCTGCCAGCCTGCTCCCGAAGTTGCTACGGACAACGCAGATGCTATTTGGCTCGTCTCGAAGTTTTTTTTACTCTTACGATCACGACATAACTAGGAGTTTTCTGAATCGTCAAACTGCAGTTTCCGAACTTCCGCTCCATACACAAGTGGATCCTTCATACTTCTGGAACCATAGCTTGATACAACCGTTCATTAACGTTGGGCAAGATTCATTTGTCTTGCCACTCATGCAAGGATTCGTTGGGCAAAAGACGTTTGAGATGGACATGGATCCCCCCAAGCCAGTACTTGAGATGGAGAAGTCGTCGATGGAGATGGTAGATTTATCGGGGGGGCGGAGAGGTCAGGAGGAAGCTGCCATACTAGCAGCCGCTAGGGATTCACAAGACACAGCCGATCATAATATCTCTAGTCGGCCTAGTACCATGCGGTCTTTTCTGCTGACGTTGATCTCGCGAAGATCTATCAAACGCGCTGGTCTGCGGTATCTACGTCGAGGTGTCGATGAAGAGGGATATACTGCGAATGGAGTAGAAACTGAACAGGTCCTCTCAGACCCGGAGTGGAATCCGTCGAGCCGGATATACTCCTTTGTCCAGATTCGAGGGAGTATCCCCGTTTTCTTTTCCCAGACGCCATATTCGTTTAAACCAGTTCCCCAAATACAGCGTTCGGATCAAACGAATTACCAGGCATTTGTCAAGCATTTCGATAACATCTCAGATCGCTACGGATCAGTGCAGGTGGCTTCCCTGGTCGAGAAGCATGGACCTGAAGCTATTGTGGGCGGGGAATATGAGAAATATCTTAACCGTCTAAACGATTCTGGTGGAATTAGAGGCGCCCAAATTGGGTTTGAGTGGTTCGACTTTCATGCAATGTGTCGAGGGATGAAATTCGAGAATGTGAGCCTACTTATTGAGATTTTGGGCAAGAAGCTTGATGTTTTTGGTTACACTGTTGAAAGCTATGGAGTTCAATCATCTAAACAGAGCGGGGTGTTGAGAACTAATTGTATGGACTGCCTAGATCGAACCAATGTAGTGCAAAACTCCTTTGGAAAACGAGCTTTAGAACAACAACTTAAAGCGGAGGGCGTAGATCTCAGTTTACAACAAGACCAGAATACTCTGTGGTTAAATATGTTATGGGCAGATAATGGGGATGCCATTTCCAAGCAGTATGCTTCTACTGCAGCGCTGAAAGGCGATTTCACTAGGACACGAAAACGAGATTACAAAGGAGCTTTGACCGATATGGGACTGTCAATCTCACGGTTTTATAGCGGGTCAGTTCCCAATCCGTGCCCTTCTAGAGAGTCGGTTACTAATCGGCTTTGAAGGATTGTCAATGACTACTTTAGTCAAGCAGCTATTGATTTCCTGCTAGGAAACGTCACCTCTGTCATTTTTGAAGACTTCGAGACATCGATGATGAGCCGAGACCCTGCGGTATCCATGCAGAAGTTGCGACAGCAAGCAATTGAGACATGCCAAAGACTCGCCATTGCAGACGAGCTTGAAGAACTAATTGGCGGATGGACATTATTGTCCCCGCAGGTCCCGAATACCATCAAGTCAACTCCATTCGAAGAATCCATCCTGCTCCTCACAGACTCAGGATTATATTCCTGTAGATTCGACTGGAATCTGGAGAAACTCTTATTCTTCGAGCGAGTCTCACTGGATCATATCATCAGCATCAAGTACGGAACTTATATCACATCCACCCTCTCCGCATCCCAAACCGACGAGGCGAGGAATGTTGGATTTGTCGTCACATACAAGGCAGGAGCAAATGATATTACACGAGTAAACACAAGATCCATGACGAACATATCACGCATGGATGCGGATTTGCTTAACGGAACATCCACAGCCCCACCACCATTCGGTCTCGCAGCGCTATTAGGGAGACCCGAGACACCAGCGAACAGGGTTCTGGCATTGAAAGCACTTCCATCCCGATCCGCGGTAGCAGAAGGGCACGAAGTCCAACCACCGAGCGAAATCGAGCAAGTGAAAGCCATCTGCTCCGAAATCGAACACATGGTCCTCCGTGGACAGATCCACGAAGCCGGAACCGAGACGAAGGCTATTGTAGAGAACGGGGATATAATAAGTCTGGCTGATGCCAGGAAGAGTACGGGGATTTTGGAACAGCTTGGACATGGATTTAAGAAATTAATATGGGCTTGATATTTTATGACATCGATAACGATGGGATGGATGGATGGATGGGCCTGGGGACGAAGAGGCTCCCTAATAGAAATACCCCTGGACTGACTACATTTAATTCTCAAATCATATTCCGCATATACCTTCCGAGGTAGCGCGTAGAGCCCATCTTCCTTGATAATGGCGCGATTATGAAGGCAGTGGCTGCCATCAGTACCGCTTGGTTTCTATGCCACCTGGGGCCCATGCATCTCAAAATACAACGTATAACAAGCAGGCGCAGAGCCCGAATGACTCCCAACCTTCTCACCACGTTCGGAACGTCGGGGTTTCGGGGAAGTAGTGAGCCACATAGTAGGTAGGTAGGTAACTTCTCGTACTTCGCTGCGGGTGCTGCCTGCATAGCACCCAATTAACAACAGGACACTACGTAAAGTCCTGTATGTACTATCTCGTGAGAATGAAGAATCACACTCGGGAGGGGCGTTTTCAATATAAAAGCAGCGGGGTTAGCATCTTCTTGCATTATCGAAAGGCGTGCGTGTGTACTCCTGGGGTCCTTACACAGGAATTAGCCCAACACTTCGCCACAACGGAGAAAATCTTCCGATTCCCCATTACTCCCAGATTTATACTTTCCCATTCCCCAACAGCAAAACCAAGGATCTACAATTTCTACATCTGGCAAAGCGGCAAAGCGGCATCGGCTAGTTAGTACCATATCATATAGTAAAAGCGGCGTTTAGGAGCCTTGAGGAAAGTTGTGATCTTACTTGCGTATGGCAAAATAACTTTGGCAGAGTTACCCCTCCCTGGCGTGCGCTCTCGATCGTTCCAGACTATCCATCAAGATTCACGGGTTCGTTACGCTGCCGTGTAAAGCACAACGCTAAAAGCGGGCTTACGTGGCTTAGAACACTGGGGCTGCAGTTTTGATATCCAATTGCGTGTGGGAGATAATCGTGGCACTCGGCTCCTCATTTCATCCGAGAGAGTGCCATACCGGCCGAGTATAATAGATGGAGGGGCGAGGAATTTCGGACACGGTAACTTATTGTTCCCGCTCCTCTTCGTGATATTATCACCTCGTCGTCTTTAAATGTCCCATGACCTCGGCAAAGTGAACTATTTTCGTATAGCTGAAAATGATATTACGCCGTTGACGAGTCTAACATTCCAGTTGTCGTCATTTACCCCCTTAGCTATTGTTAATAGGGGAAAGTAGAATATCTTGAAGGGAGGATGAGATGTAGTGAAGCACGAAAAATAATATTGCTATACCTTGTGCCTTCTGTACTAAGTAGAATCCTAGAAACATATCATCCTCAGATAAAGTCGCATGCCAAACCTATGTATATTGCATTCCTCCAAACAAAGTCCAGCAGCCACTGTGCATATACCACTGCACACAGTCCATATTGCATATAGGTTGCTCTACTCCGTAGACCTGAGATGCAGAATCTCAAAGCAGGCCCTAAGCTGGCCTCGCCAAGAGTTCAACGGCCTTCCGGAAAACGGGGGTTTGGGAATGGCCAGGATGATATGGGTATTCCGAGTCGGTAACACAAACCATCGGCAGCGGGGAGCAGATCCCATAATTAAAATATATATCCCTGTCGTTCTGCTAAGCAACGCCAATAGAAGGCGTTGGAGTGGCAAATGCACATGCTGAAGTTTGTTGAGCTATGTTATAGATGGGCGAGATGAGTCGATTTCTGTGCTATTTCGTTGATGGCATGTGATATGTGGAAAGATGGATAGCAAATCGAATTGTTGATTATGCTGCATTGCTGTTCGACTGGGAAACACTGCGGCCACTATAAACGACGACCTGAGTTATTATCCCCCCAGTGGAGCTTGCTAGGAAACAGAGCTAGCTGAGCTACCCTCACACGGAAAGCTTGTCCTTGGAGCGTGACACGTTCAAAATTAAAGCTTTTCTCTTGGAAAAATGCCTGGCATAAGGCGGGAATGCTGCGTTTTATAACGCCCGGTTGTAGCTGTAAACATCATATGATTTAATAAACCTTCAGCTCGAGGTTGGAGTAGTTGCGTAGCAGGATGAGAATAAGCCACTCGGAACATTCTACTCTGTTGCACTTGCACAATAACCTAATTTCTATCTAATTGCAATTGGCGGCTACATTGCTGCAGCCATTGGGCGTTGGGCTCCATTGGAGGGAGACAACTCCGCAGTCCTTGAGCTGTATCAACTAATTATATTGTCCTGAGAGGTTTGTCCTACATGAACTGTATGTGTAGCTTGAAACGAGAGTGGGGCCAAGCAAGCCTTTGAAGTGATACAGCATATTTGCGTGTGCACATTGTGCGACGTTGGCTGGTCTTTGCATGGCTGTAGAACTTCTGAGTGGCTGCAAGAATGAATATACATTGGCACTCGAACAAAAGCCAGACTTCATGAAAACTAGGTATATTTCGTATGGCCGACTTACCAGATAAGCACTTGCTGCCCACTGGGCCGTCGTCGCTCCGCTATACCACCTTGGGGTCTGAGAAGAACATGATAACGACCACGGAAGCGTGCTTCCTCATATCTCAGGGCCCTCACGAGCGATAGTAGAGTAGAGTAACAGTGGAGGTGCTTTTGGTTAGAACGAGGCTTGTCTGGAAGCGAGCTGCACGTGTGGCTTCATAGGGTGGCAAGTCATCAGCAAAGTTCTGGCAAAGCCATGTTAATATGTACAATTGACCTAAGTCCGAATGGGGTTTCTGTCAGCCTGCATGTGACCCCTGGTTGGTCGCTTTGCGTTGTTTGCGTTTGGCGAGGAAAGTCTAATAAAGAGATCCGATATCCAAAGTTACGGCCAATAAAGGTTTGGCACCAGGGCGACATAATCTTTGTAGTGTAGGCTTCTGAACTAGACCTTGAGTGAGATGACACGAGTTCCCGAAAAGCCCCACTAGTCAGTCGATGGCTTGCCATTGCCCAATAAAGTCCAGTGCCGCTATATAATAATGCCGGGAGAATTAAACTTTACAACGGCTGAGCAGAAGCGCACAACACGTTCAAATTGAGGCGCATCCAAGCACCAGGGAAGAGTGTACATGTACTTAACTCCGTCTTGCGTACCGCGTGGCGGGGTCAGCGATTGGGTTATAGATTACCCATGAACGGTATCTATTTATTCAACGAATCGATAGCGATGAATAGAGGCAGCATCTACCATCATGATCCTGGAGTCGTGGGGACCGAACGTAAGCGGAGGCCCTACTTCTTGCATCTCGGCCACTTCGTATGCTAGCTCATCCAGATCTGATCGATACCTACCTATGAGTCCTCGATCACTCGACGTCATCCTATTATAAACAATCACTGCCCCCCAGATATTTCGTTAGAAGGGAACGCATTTGGCAACCAAACTCGCCCCGAATACGCACGAGCCTTGCAGTGATACTCCACCAACGAACCCCAAACCATTTTCTTCCGCCAGTCTCACCTTGCGATTTTTCACCATAGCTAAATGGCCACTGAGCCTTCCCAAGAACAGGCGTGGGCATCGCTAGGAGATCTGGTTCCGACATTGTGTGATGGAAGCTCAAGCGAGTCTTCAGCTAGCTCGCCATTGAATTGCAATGTACCTTAGTACCCACCAAAACACTATATGCTGCTAGCAGAAGTAACCCACATTTGCTGACTTTTGGATGAAGGGTGCTGAGAATCTTTATGGCGGACCCGGCTACATGGCATATCCATTCCCAGTTCAATATGGAGAGAGCGTGGCGCCATTCGGGCTCATACCAGTAGAATTAAAAATCGAAAGTCTCTACGACGATTATGATCGGAGACGGAGAAAGAATGGAGGAGAGAAGACCGTCTCATCACATGTACATTCAGTAGGTGGTCCAACTGGTTCGCGTGGTAGTAGCATGCTGATGTTTTCCAGAGACGCCGAGCTCAGAATCGAGGTACGTACACTGGCGGACATGAATCTCTAGTGGCCTCATAAAAGGAGGAAGTCCAAACACTGACTTGGATCTGCAACAGCATCGCAGCGGGCATTCCGAGACAGAAAAGAAAAGCACACGAGAGACCTTGAGCAGCGAATTGTCGAACTCGAATGCCGGCACAAAGATCTTTCGCAATCATATGAGTTGCTCCACGCAGAATATAAAAAAGTCAAGGAAGAATTAGACAAGTCCAGCAACCCCAAACCGGAAGACCTGTCGAGAAACTTCGAAGACCAGAATTCCGGGGAGCTCCAAGGCGGGGTTTTAGATCCTCTCCTGTTCGATATGTCCGCATTTTACATCGCACCTGACGAGCGACAACATGTGGGAGCATGAAGGGATGGCAAGACAAACAAAACAAAACGGGATGATATAAATCGTTGGGTTGCTGGATTCCGGGCGATGTCAGGTGTATTTGGATTAAGATATGCATCGTACTTCGTTTGGGCACGGTTCTTCTGGCGCTGGTAGGGTTGCATTGTTTACGCCCCGGGCGTATGAGTTGTTCCTTGTTGTATGGGGCCTAGACTGGAAGGCAGACCTCACAGCAAAAGTTTATAGGCTTCTTGTCGATTTTGGCCTATGTAGCCATAATTCCCAGTACTTGGTCGCTTCTGCTGCCGAGTCAACGGCTAGTGTGAATGAAATGATAATATAATTTGGGGCATTTCGTATATCCGTAACGGTTTGAGACGGATCTGGCATTATAAATGTCCGCGGCATCGCTTCGTCGTGTTTGTATGCTGAGTTCTCTCCCGCAGGTGGCAGAGATAGCATATTTCCTTTCGTAACGGAAAGAATGGCCATTAAGTACCTAGGTATGCGATTCCGCGGAAATAGCACCCATTGGGCCATTGGTGGTCCTCCACTCCTCCCTGGCTGGGGAGTCCAACAGTGGCCGGCATGAACCTTAGGGCCAAACCCGTCCAGTACATGTAGCAACTCTTCTGAGGCGTTGGACGAAACCTCCTGGAGCGATCTGCGTTTGAATCGAGTACGGAGTTATCCCGGCCAAGGCTATGCGATATGGCTTGGGCTGTCATTTGCGATTCGGGTTTCCTGACCTGGGCAGCCCGGGATCCACTGGCTGTCTCCTCTGGCGGCTGGATGGCGGCTGGCAGTTGGCAGCTTACCAAATATTAGTACTATTCTAGTATTATTATTAGTACAAAACAGATAATCAAAGCGTGAATGGGGGCTCTAGGCTCTAGCCCACTGTTGACGACACAGCGGAAGGGAAAATTTGGCGTGGATGATTACGAAGGTGTTGGGCGTGGCTCTACTGTGCACTGTAATCTTCCGGCGACCCGTATTTACCCAGAACGAACGCCACCTCTGCCCCACCAATATCGCGCGAACAACACTGACGAGCCCAAGCGACGTCAACTCCCAAAATCTTCCTGTGAACCCCCCCATCCTCCATCATCGTCCAAAACCCTTCAAATTTCATCAAAATATTTGCAGCTCAGGCAGCACAATCGCAATCATGGGCTACACCGACCTCGATTGGCTTGCAATCAATGCCATCCGTCTTCTCGCCGTAAGTCCAGTCTTCTCAATTATGTTGAATTTACCCCTCCATTGCTGTGGCGGCAGGAAGCTCGCCAGTAACCCACTTTTGCATCAATATCTACATATCAGAGACTGATCGGTCCGCACAGGTCGATGCCACATTCGCGGCCAATTCGGGCCATCCTGGCGCCCCTATGTGAGTTCCATAGTCACCTTCCCGCCATTTGCCGTCGACTGACGGTTCTCTCTAGGGGAATGGCCCCAGTGGCCCACGTCCTATTCAACAGGATCCTGAAATACAACCCAAAGAACTCCAAATGGGTCAACAGAGATAGATTCGTCTTATCGTGAGTATTGTGACTCTCCCTTAGTTGATTCGCAATTGGGGGATTGAGTTTCATGCTCCACAACAGAAATCCCCCCTAGCATAATCCGGTGTCCCACCTCTCATCCGTTTTATAATTATAAGATATCTTTCTATAGAAAGACATCTTGAATTAATTAGTCAAGCTGCTATAAATTGGGATGCACTCAATTAGCAACTAGTGTTTCGCTTCATTGTAATATCGTACTAACTTAAAACTAGCAACGGCCATGCTTGCATGCTACAGTATGCTCTTCTCCACGTCGCCGGGTATAAGATCTCTATGGATGACATCAAGGCATTCCGTGTAAGCAAACTCCCATAACCGACCCGAAATTTCTCTCCTGACAACTATAATTCTCCAGACGGTAGATAGCATCACCCCCGGCCACCCCGAGGCTCATGACACCGATGGCATTGAAGTCACAACTGGTCCTCTTGGCCAAGGATTCGCCAATGCGGTTGGTCTTGCCATTGCTAACCACCATGCCGCTGGTGTATTCAACAAACCCGGGTTCGAGCTGTTCAACAACTATACATACTGCTTTTTGGGAGATGGCTGCATGATGGAGGGCGTGGCTAGTGAAGCCGCCTCTCTTGCAGGTCACTTGCAACTTGGAAGCTTGATTGCTATTTGGGATGACAACCACATTTCTATTGATGGTGACACCAACTGTGCTTTCACCGAGGATGTAGCCTTGAGATTTAAGGCTTATGGCTGGCATATTGAGGTCGTCGCCGACGGCGATAACGACCTCGACGGAATTGAGGCAGCTATCAAGAAGTGCCAGGCTGTCCACGATAAGCCGTCATTGATCAAACTCCGGACAACGATCGGCTTCGGTTCGAAACTGCAGGGCACTGGTGGTGTCCACGGCGCACCCCTCAAGGCCGATGACATCAAGCAAGTTAAGGAGAAGTTTGGGTTTGACTCTGCGAAAACATTTGTCGTCCCGCAAGAGGTTTATGACATGTATAACAAGCACGGCGCTGAAGGTGCTGCCCAAGAACAGGAATGGAACCAGCTTCTCTCCAAGTACTCCGGGTCTCACAAAGCTGAAGCTGAAGATCTGAAGGTTCGCTTATCTGGAGACCTCCCAGAGGGCTGGGAGAAGAACTTGCCAACATACTCCCCATCGGATCCTGCTGTGGCATCCAGGAAGCTTTCTGAGATCGTTCTCCAAAAGATTCATCAGGCAATTCCATCCTTGGTTGGTGGCTCTGCGGATTTGACTGGCTCGAACTTGACCAGATGGAAGGATGCCGTTGATTTCCAGCCCCCATCGCTTGGGCTTGGTGACTGGACTGGCCGTTACATCCGGTATGGTGTGCGTGAGCATGCTATGGGTGCTATCATGAATGGCCTCGCAGCATATGGCACTGTCATCCCATACGCCGGTACATTCTTGAATTTCGTCTCATATGCTGCCGGAGCTGTTCGTTTATCCGCCCTTTCCCAGGTCCGTGTCATTTGGGTGGCTACTCACGACTCCATTGGTCTCGGCGAGGATGGACCGACCCATCAACCTATTGAGACTCTTGCACACTTCCGCGCGCTCCCTAACTGTATGGTTTGGCGCCCTGCTGATGGAAACGAGACCAGCGCAGCATACTATGTTGCTCTTACCTCTAAGCACACCCCCAGCATCATTGCCCTGTCGCGACAAAACCTTCCACATCTCGAGACCTCCACGATCGAACGCGCAAGCAAGGGTGCGTACGTTGTGCATGAGGCTGAGAAGGCAGATATCACACTCGTCTCTACTGGTTCTGAGGTCGGCATCTGCATTGATGCAGTTAAGTACTTGAAGGAGAAGCACAACTTGGCCGCCCGTGTCGTGTCAGTCCCCTGTTTCGAGGTCTTCGATGCTCAGCCAAAGGAGTACAGACTCAGTGTTCTGCCAGATGGCATCCCATCGCTCTCAGTTGAGGTCATGTCTACTATGGGCTGGGAACGATATACCCACGAGCAGTTTGGTCTCAACAGATTCGGTGCTAGCGGTGCTTACAAGGATGTTTACAAGGTACGTGGTACACTTCCTTTTGTTTTGAAACGAATGCTAATCGTTAATAGAAATTCGAATTCACACCCGAGGGTATCAGCAAGCGTGCTGTTGCCACTGTTGAATTCTACAAGGATGTTCCTAACATCCGCTCTCCTATCAACCGTGCTTTCCAGCAGCTTATTTAAGCAACATCTCGAATTAAGGCGGTATGGGATTAGGGGATATGGCTATTTTTGTACTGCCTTTATGATATAGATGAAAAGAAATTGATCAACTTGAGAACATGGTTCACGACTCACTAGCAGCTCCTTGCAAACTTGGTATATACCAACCACCGCTTAGCTGTACGCGGTAGCTTGGATATTCTATAGACCAGCGCCTCTCAAAGTGAAATATGTGTTATTGTGTTATTGAAATCTCTCAAGGTCCTCCTACAACCTCTATCACATTCTACTTCCCTTTCTATTCACCCATGTCTATGTAGAGCCTAGTGCACAAGAGGGATGAATCTTGCCTTTGCCGTAATAATCATCCATATGTCCGATTAGAAAACAAATTGGGTTAATATCTTGTTTAAGTGGAATCATTAATGCTGATGACGTTGTGTTTACGTTTACTCTATGGCAAGGTCTAACAACAACAATTCGAGCTATGACCCCAACGACGCGCAGCTGTGGCCCGCTTAGCGTCAACCGATGGTTGCAGGGATCTAGGAGTGATGACCGGACCTTACGTTCTGCCATAGCTGTCAATAACGTCTCTGTCGATTTGACACATTAAACCGAATTAGCAATTGAAATTATTACACAGGCTCTTTATCTCACAGCACAACATGGCGGACGCAGAAGAGAAAGCAAAGGCGGAGAAAATAGCTGCTGCGAAGAAACGTGTATGTTGCTCCCTTCGTTGAATTCAGGGAGTTTAATCGCGGTTGGAAAGTATGCTGATATTTGGGATTGTAGGTCGAGCAGATGAAAAAGAAGCAGAAAAAAGCAGGGGCAAAGAAGGAGGATAAAGATAAACCCGCGTCTCCTGCTGCGGAAAGCTCCAAAGCCGAAGATACAGCGACCAGCCCGTCAGCAGAGGCAGCCGCCCTGGATGCGACAGAATCAACAGGAGATGAATCCAAGGCGGCAACTACAGAGGGGGACAAGGCAAAGGATAAAGGTGCCGAGGAAACAATTTCAGAGCTTAATCCAGCCAAGTCGCATCAGCGGCAGCCTTCCCTATCCCTCCAGTCGAAGATGCGGTCCTCGTCCTTTAGACAGGGCTCAGTATCAGGAGCGCCCCTCTCTCCGAACTTTGGGTTCTCCCCCGATGGAGACACGGCACCTGATATTTACCGTAAACAAGCGATAAGGATTGAGGAGTTGGAGAAGGAGAATAAGCGGTTAGCGAAGGACGCTGTTGATGGAGAGAAGAGATGGAAAAAAGCTGAGGAAGAGCTCGATGAGCTGCGGGAGGCGGAGGATGACTCCAAGTCAAAAGAGAAGGGAGCATCTCCTGCCGAAGGATCATCAAAAGAATTGGAAAAGCTGGTATGCATTGTTATGGTCCGATTCTATCTAGGTGATGCTTGCTAACTTGAACAGAGGACGGAAAACACGGCTCTTCAACGCCAGAATACACAACTACAAGCGCAATCCTCCAGGGCTACACGGCATGGCTCTTCTCCTTCGGTATCCGTAAATGCGCCAGCAGACTACGAAGCTGCCCTAGCATCTAAATCCTCGACGATTGAATCTATGGAGATAGAGATATCTAACCTCCGAGCTCGCCTCGACAAAGTCAACTCCGGTGCATCTGTTAAGGAACAAATTGCTGCCTTGGAGGAGAAGCTATTGAGGAGTGAACGAGCAGCAGTTGTTGCACAGCGGGAACTAGGCGACCTCAAGAAAAACTTAGATCGGACGACTGAGAAAGCAGTTAAGGAGGGTAGCGAACGTATCTCAGCGGAAACAAAGCTGCGGACATTGGAGCGCGAAGGAGTGGAAACCAAGTCACATAGCGACGAACTTCAGAAGAAGGTGGAGGCATTAGAGAAGAAGGTGGCCACTCTTGCGACTTTGCACAAAGAACACGACGCCCGGTTCCAAGCTCAAAAGAAAGAGCGCGAGAAGGCGGAGAAGGATGCATCAGATCTCAGAACTCGACTTGGCGGTCTCGAGAATGAGAACCTTCGATTACGGGATGAGAGAGAACGCGCACGGAAACGTGATGCTGAAGGCATTGACGATGATGGCGTTGATGAACTTGAGAACGAAGAACGCCAGCGGCTGGAGAAGAAGGTCCGCGAGCTAGAGGCAGAAGTACATGAGCTTCGTCGAGGCGTTTGGCGGGAGCGCAGAAAAGAACTCGAAGGGGAGAGTCCCGGGACCAAGTTTACGGATGTCGATCTCGGAGGCAGCATCCCTCCTGGCAGAAGGAGCGTTGCGCATGGTGGGAAGGGGCTTGGAGATCTCATTACCAGCGGTATAAATGTCATCACAGGAGCCACGGCTGCAGGTGATGAGGGGTTGTTGGAGGATGACGAGGACATGGACTTTGATGAGGATGCCTTCAAACAGGCCCACGAAGAGGAAGCTAAGAAGCAGCTCGAGAGAGTCAAGGAAATCAAGAGGGGTCTGAAAAACTGGGAGGGATGGCGATTGGATCTTGTGGAGAATAGACGGGGTGGTGGTGAAGGAATAGGCGAGATCTTTGAAATCTGATAGAGAGCGAGGCACTGCAGTGTAGGAATAGAGTTCTGGTCAGAATACGAACAGACGGCTCGGTCCGTTCTTTTTTAATCCCCGCGGAGGGATCAACTTTTGGAATACATCTTGTGCTCTGAGCCTCCACCATTTCCTATACGTCGGCGGGTGCGCTTAAGGAAGGTCACGTGCGTGTTGATGGTAAACGTCAATTGAGCGAACGGCCTCAGGTTTATCAATGAGTGCCTGGGTTGGGGATGTCGGGGAGAGAGAACAGCAGGAAAAATGCCAAAAGCTGCCATCCTCCCTCAACCTCATCATCCATCAACGGGGACGTCGAACCTCGGTGCCCGCGACCAAGTTTCCCCCCTTTGGTGTTCCTGGAGGCGACCCACAAGGCTGGCCATACTGACCCATTGCCGGGACCGACTTCCATAGGACTTCTACTTTTTGGACTCCAATACTGCCGCACGCCAACCCTGCCCGTGCAGCGGATGCAGCGGGAGTGCACAGCAGGATCTCACACCGACCCCATTGCTGGCATGACGGGCCTGGAGAGTTCAGATCGCGCAGAATGGCGTACAGCCCGGGCCTGTCGCTCCCCTTCATATCCCTTGGGGCGGGATCCTGGCGCTTGTTCTTGACCCCGATGGCCCCCAACTGCCCCCAGGGGGTGTAACCAGATGTCGGTGAGATGGACATCAGGTGGAGGCCGGAGTTAGATCTGACCCATCGACCTCATTGTGGCGGTGACAGTGACACTGATGGTGACGGTGCCGGTGATGGGTTGAGAGTGCCATTGCAGGACAGGGCGGATGCACCCAGGGAAAAGGATTTGGTATTATTAATATGGGGATGGACGGCGCCGTCGTTCGTTTCATAACTTTTCTTATATCATTTCCCCGGACTATGTTAATGGGCGTGCTCTCTCCTCGGTGTCAGAACTTCTTTGGATTGTGGCGTTTGTTATTGATACCGAGATGCTTTAGGATTAAGCAACTCCTTCGGCTTTCATATCTGATTCTCAGTCGATCCTCCCGAGTTCTGCTTCGTCTGCCTAGAGCTCGTCAGTTGCGGCTTGAGAGCTTTCCGCTCTGATTGTCTTGGTATTAAGTGAGTAGCACGCTTACCCTCGTCTTTGCGATTTCCTATATACCTTTATACAAGTTGTTGGACCGTTCCTGTCTATCTCCCCATGACAGCCTAAGTTGGGCTTCACTTTTGTCTTTTATTGGGTCCCGAGCTAATCCAATATCAAGATAGAAGACTCAGTGTAAGTCAACTGCGTAACCTTGGCGATACAGCATTCCCCGGACAAACCCCCCTACTTTACCAGCCATGCATCAAGACTGTTGCTTCCAATCCTCTACCCGTGCCCTCCATGCAGATGTTATTCCAATAGCTTGTCTTCGCCTCTTGTCGATCCGCTATCTGAAAGTGTCCTGGGAAGACTCTCGTATAGACTACTGCAACTTACTCCTGCTTTACGAGTATTTACTACTCTTCAACTGTCATGGCCACCAAAAGGTTATCAAAGGGATGTCCGAAACGATTTGCCGACTCCGTTCACTATTCGGATCGGGCTGGTTCTTTGAGTGGCCTCGAGGGAAACGTCCGCTCAACTCTACCTGGCCTTGGGCTGACGTCAAGCCGTCTCTCTTAGTCTTATGGGGCGTCTGTTGGATGTTCGTTGTTGCTCCCACCCTTGAGGTTCCTCGTGGCTCGCGCCAGAGCCACCCAGGCGGCAATCGTGGTCAACTTTCGGTCCAGCAAAGCAATTCAGACCACTACTACTTTACACCCTCAGGTGAGTGAATATTTTCTCAAGCTCACTTTATATGGCCGAGGAGTTGAGACCGATCCGCGAGTTCTCCACTCCACTCAGCGAGAAGACGCCGCGGATAATAAACCAGCACACCACACCAAGGTCCTACCTAGGATGACGAGAATCGCATCAAGTCCGGACTGTATGACGCACCGGACTGGCCCGGGCTGGTCGGCGAGACGATCAGGGAATATCTGTGAAAGGGTTCACGGCGGCGTGCTTGCAACTCGTACCAAGATCGATACAGAACTAACGATTCCAGCAGCAACACAATCGCCAGTCGTGAAGAGCGAACCCGTCACCGTCCCCCGTGCCCACCCGTCGTCCATCGCCGGTGACTGGCCGCTGTTCCAGCCGGGAGTTGACGAGGCCTTCAACTTCTACACGTCGCCCGCACCCACGCCGCTGCAGCCCATCCCCGTGGTGGTGCAGCCTCCGGAGCCTCGAGAGCTTCGACGCTTCCATCAGGCAGAGACTCCTGCGCCTCCGTCAGGACTGGGAGCGATGCGTAACACAGGCGCGCGTAGTGAGTCATCCCCTCCTATTTTTGGGCTCTGCCTTCTTCCTTTGCCCTTTACCCGTGCAACCAGCCTTGGGGAGCGAGGGGGACATGTGACTTGTGTGACTGATCCTGACCTGTGTGTAGTCACTGCAACCATGTCGCCGGCGCATGCTCAAGGCTCCCTCCACCGCGGCCGCCATACAAATGCAAATGCAAGGGCAAATGCAGATACAAATACAAATACAAATACAACTACAAGTACGAAGATAAATACAAATCCCCATCCGCACCCAATTGCGCGCCGCGCTGCAGCTGGAAACTTCGAAAGGACTGCCGCGAGACGCTACCCCAATGTGGCTAAGCGTTCGGACACGGAGACGCCGGAATTCTCAGGCGAGATTTTAGGCCACCAGGGATTTCACAACCAACAACAACAACACGACCAGACACGATATTACGAATCACTTCGCCACAGTAATCCATCATATTATACCCGGCCGCGTGCTGCCTTGCCCCCGATATCGCGCTCTCCCTCAACTTATTTCAACTACGCGCCCGCCGACATCGACGCCATGTCGCTTTCCTACGAGACTCGGACGTTCCCGACCTACCCTCAGTCATTGCACGAGGATCCCCAAGAACAAGACGACAATAACATGCAACATGCGCGATATCCGTCTCCGCCGCCGCCGCTATCCGAGAACCCCTATAATGCCCAAGGCATCGATGCGAGTCCAGGAATCATCATGGAGATGCCAGAGCTGCCGGCAAAGGAGGAATCAGATGCACCTAGTCCTGGACGATCAAGACCCATACCGAAACCCGACCGCGAAGTAACAAAGGGAGAGGATGGGAGATTTGTTTGCACCTGGGTGGGATGCGTGGAGGAGGTGACATCATTTAATCGGAAATGCGAATGGTCCAAGGTAAGCATCTCTATTCCGCTCAGATGCATGTTGCGACCAAAAGCTAACTTATACGCGTATAGCATATGGACAAGCATGACAGACCTTACAAGTGCCCAGCAGAGGGCTGCGAAAAGCTTCCAGGATTTACGTACTCGGGAGGACTTTTGAGGCATCAACGCGAGGTCCATAACCTTCACGGAGGCCCAAGAAAACAACTCAACTGTCCCCATCCAAACTGCAAGCGACACAGTGGCAAGGGCTTCTCGCGCCAGGAAAATCTGAATGAGCATTTGCGCCGTGTGCATACTGATGCAGAGCAGGTGGAGAATGGAGGTGGCGGCGGCGGCGGCGGCGGCGACGAGACCGAGGACGACGCAAGTGAACGGGCGGGCATGAAGCGGAAGAGAGGCCCAGGGAGAGGAGACGATGCGGATCTTCGGACGGAGATGGCGCGGTTAAGGACTGAGAATGAAGAGCTCCGAAGGCAATCAGAACTCCAGAATCAGCAAACACAGGAACGTGAGTACAGGCCTCTTTCATGTCGTTTACCCCCACTCTGCACTCCAGGTGATGCGGGCGGCAGCGAGCCATTTAATTTCAAGTGCAACCAAGAGCTAACTTTTTGGCACCTAGTGATGCGCCAACTCCAAAATCTCCAAGCGCTCGTCGGTTCCCGCATCGGTCAAGGTCAAGCGCCTCAAGCCATGATGTGATGTTCACTTTTCCACTTATTATATTATCGATCATATTTGTTTGTTTTTTTGCTTTCTACTCATCGGTGGTCGTTACGGAGTTGTGGCTGGTCAGGGAAACTTGCATACGGATGGCATTCAGGGTGGCATTCGGGAGTCAATGGGGTTAAATATTCGGCGGCGGATTGGTAAGATACGATAGGGTCTCTTCTCTGCGAGAACGAATTCATTCATCGCTTCTTTTTGTGAACATAGCTTACCACTAATAGACCATGCTTTCACTTAGTGACCGTAAACTGCCCCTGTCGTTACTGTTGAGCCTGAGGCAAGTCTCTAGTGGATGCGCATTCCGCGAGGCAAGGGAAATATTATATTCCCTGCCTAGGAAGACAAATACAGTGGAGTAACAGCTCCCTAAATCTTAGGGAGTTCATACGCTGTATATCCGGATTCTTACCAAGTCTCCAAGTAAAGGAGGAAGTCTCTTCATCGGCTGGAAGGGAAGCTACTCAACTCTACAGCTAGTCCCTACGGTCTTCCCATGCGTCCTAAGTCTGGGCGTTCCACGCCATAATACACCGTACATAGAATCCCTTATTACGCAGTACACAGAAGCCTTCCCGGAACCCTGCAAATCCTAATCTGCTTCTTGATATCAAATTACATCCAACAATAAATATCCAGCTTGCCACGCATATCAAGCGACGCAGAGGGCAGGAAAAAATCGAGAGCATTACATGCGAACACTCCTTTGCTTCCACCTAGCCCGCCTAGCCAAACCAAAAAAGCAAAAGCTCAAGATCCAGATCCGGTCAAGAGCGCTTTCAACATGCCCTCAAGGTGGCTTTTGGATTGCACTACGGAGTGTAAATAGTTTCAAATAATAGGGTAATTTGCACACCCTAGAAGGTGGGGTGGAGCCCGTCCGGCTTTTGCCCCACGCTCCAGCCACAAGGTCACAGCGGGCCACAAGACCAATGTTGAGGAAAACTTTTCAAGTTCAACCCTTCTTCCTTTCCTTTCCTTATCATTAGATAATTATTTTATCTCCCGAATAGCATCAAGACTGTCTGTCAGAAGCCGAAACCCAAATTTGACTGAGCAGAGTTGAACGTTCCGTATTGGCTAGTAGCAAGCACTTCCATTGCTTCTTAGCAGTATGGCAGACGTGGGGGTTGACAAGATTATTGAGTCTCCTGAGGTTTTGCAGGCCCAAGGAAATGCCCTTGATGGTTCCCTCGAAGCTGGGCGTGAAGAGGAGGAGGAGGAGGCCGAGATTGCTAGAGTTGAGCGCGTGTATAGGTAATTATAGGGTGGCGCTGCTGTTATCCAGAATAGGTTTTCTAACAGACTTTTTAGGAAGATTGATCGTCGCATTATCCCAGGTATGACCTAATGCTAAACTGTTCCCTTTAAAAAAGTTGAGGAGTATTAAATTAATACATCTATTTACAGCTTTTTGGATACTTTATTTCCTATGCTCTGCAATCCGTTCCAATGTCGGCCTGGCGCAGACTATGAATAAAGAGGCCGGGCATTCCCTCCAGCAAGTATTGAACCTGACTGCAAAGCAAACATCCACTGCTCTGGCCCTCTTTTACGTATCTTACGTCCTCTTCGATTTCCCCTCCAATCTGGTTATGACGAGGCTCAGCCCCAGAGTATGGATGTCAAGAATTGTTATCGCCGTGGGAATCATCGGGTGCTGTTTTGCTGCAGTTAAGGCTGCTTGGAGCCTGCTGTGAGTAATTTTCCGTAGCCCCCCTAATCAAGCTTGCATACTAACTCATCAATAGCCTTCTCCGCTTCCTCCTGGGAGTAGTAATTGCTGGCATGTGGCCGGGCATGGCTTATTATCTGACTCTTTTCTATCCGCCTTCCCGAACGGGAAAGCGGATTGGTCAGTATTTCACTGCAGCGCAGGTATCCGCTGCAGTTGTAGGCCTCGTCTCTGCCGGGTTTCAAAAGATGGATGGTCTAGGCGGTTTGGTCGGATTTCAGTGGATGTTTCTCCTCTATGGCTTGTGTGCCGTTGTCCTGGGATTCGGGCTGCTGTGGTGGTTGCCAGACCGCCCTCTGCCGCCTGGAGAGGAGCGAGTTCCATCTGGTATCATGAAATGGCTGCCTGCAACCCCTCCAGTCCTCAAGGGTGAGGATGCTGAAATCCACTATCGGGACTTGACCCGGGTGTATCACGCGCGCCCCTGGAATTTGAAGGACCTGGCCATGGTCTTGATAGACTGGCGCCTTTGGCCCTTGACACTGATGTACTTTGGGGTCGTTGGTGTCGGCATTGGCACCCAACTTTATGGAACAGTCATCATATCCGGGATCGATGCAAGCTTTTCTGGAGTTACTCTCAGCTTGCTGTTCGCTCCCATCTGGGTGGTAAGCTCCAAATTTTCAAGAAAGCAAATAACGTGTGCTAACAGTTATAGATGGACTTAATCGCAATCCTCCTCGTGACCCCCATCTCCGACCGCTTCCACCATTACCGGGCCTTCTTCTTCTCCGCTGCTGTCTGTATCCAAATCGCTGGCCTCCTTACAACCACGTTCGCCCCAGTTTCTCGGCCCTGGGCTCGTTATGGTGGCCTGCTCATGGTAGGCTTCGGACTCGGCCCAACCGTCCCAATCTGTATGACCTGGACCAACGAGATATTCCAGCGACGGCACGGAGAAGTAGGCGTCGCAACTGCCTCCGCACTTGTCTCTGGGCTTGGCAACCTAGGTAGCATCATGACTACGTATGCATTGTATACTGGCTGGCCTGAGGACGCCAAGACCGGTCCGCACCAATACCGGAAGAGCAACCTGACCATGATCGGAATTCTTTGCCTCAGTATCCTGAGCAGCTTCGTTATGACTCTGCTTCTTAAATTTGTTGGCAATAAACCTAGCGGCAAGGTCATCAGCAGTGGAAACTCTGCTACAGAGGAGTTCCAAGATGGCGCCGCTAGACGCGAGCAGAAGCAGAGAGGCTTTAAGAAGATGTGGTGGAGCAAGTAAGCTCTCTACAGCTTTCTGACGAACGAGAGGGCGGTAATCTTCAACAGATGGGTGGACGATAAGAGTGATGTTTCAGCTGGTGGAAGGTGATCCCCTTGTTATCAGCGCGGGAAGCTCAACCTTCTGGAGGAATTTTGCTTTTTGGTTATTTGTGACTTTTTGATTTGATTTGAACTTTTTAGCGATGATACCCATACAGCGTTTGAATATGCTATCATTCGAGATTAGCTACGGCTCTCGACGGCGAAAATGCTTTGCGCTATCGCTGGGACGGCGTATAAGGACCGAGGCGGCACCGGCGACAATTCTTCTACGATATCGTTTTGGTCCGCCTCGTGGGATATTTGGATTTTCAATACATAAATCCGTTTTGATTTAGTAATTTAGTACCTAGGTGCTTAGCGGTTCGAAATGCAAATTTGTATTCGGAAATATTTATGGCTTGATTTCCCAGCGTGATATACTGCTAGATCTGTACTGACCACCAAGATGTGTGGAATGAAATTTGCCCGTACCCCTAAGCAAGCCCCTTTCTTATCAAACCATGGACAGCTTGTTCGATGCCGGAATCCCGACATGAGCATTTTCCATTTCCGTCTTTGGTCCTCAGCCATTGCTGCTTTAGCCTAGGCCGAGGGTACGCAAATCTGAGCGAGCGAGTCCAACGAGACGACATATTTCGACTCCGTGGTTAAATCTGCCGTGGCCAGCTAAAATTAAAAACGGTGCCCTTGATATATTCCTATAATTAGACATCTTCTCGCCTATACTCTCAAATCAACCGTCTACTCTTTCTATCGTATTAATGAAGGTTGGTGGTTGTTCGTGTTAGACTGGTCTTACTATAAAGAAACGTCAACTCTTTCTCGGTAATTGAATGTGACTAGTCTCTATGTTCCTACAGTAACTGAGAATAATTATTTCGTGAATGATCCTGTCAAGGTTATAGGACTTGAAATAGAGAGATTGAACTGATTGATTTGTAGCTAACCTAACGAGTAGAAACCTATATATATAGGCAGCTTTAGAAATAAATCACAAAAGTAAAATAAATAAGATAAGCCGGTATCTGTGTCTTTGACCGAGTGCATTGACTAAACTAAATATCTAATACCACAGTAGTACTAAATAATAACAAAACCAGTGTTACCGTTAGCCAAACGCTTAAGGACGCGCATTTCAGTGATTTGTGTCCGATCGCCATTCTTCGGTCGCTTTGGCAGGAGGCCTGGGCCTCATAACGGGTCCTGGATGATGATATAGCCGAAGGAAGGTCCCACTACACATCATTCTAGGGTACATGGGAACTTCTAAGGAACTCATAGTCTGGCCCGGTTTCTGGAATTAAGCCAATGCTGGAGACTAGTTTCCATTGTCAGGATATAGGTGACCGATATCAACTAACAGACTTACTAGGGATCCCATAGTGTGGACGGCAGTCTGGAATTAACTTAATCCCGGAAACTAGTTTCTATTAGCAGGTTGTAGGTAACTAATATTAATTAACAGACTTACTAGAGTTCCAGTAGTACAGACGGGAGTCTGGAATTAAACCCATCCTAGAGACTAGTTTCGATTGTTAGGTTGTGGGTGACTGATATCAACTGATAGACTTACACGAGTAACATCTGGATACATGTAAGCCTCTTAAATGCTGAAGTATTATTATTTAAAATATGTGATAGGTCTAAATGGTGAATGTCCGCATAATGCATATTTAAATTGGAAAGGCAGGCCTGACGTATAGGGGTTGAGACGTGCAATTCTTCGACGATGGAAAAATGTGTTTTACAAGAAGGGCTACGTGTCCGGTAGTAATGAATAAGCAGGGTAATAAAAGGTGATTTTCTGACCAAATGCGAGTAACGCACGCTTTCGACTTGTACTTTCTGTTAGAACAAAATGGAGCTGGACATCGGCCAACATACAGATCAAGGAACAACATAGCCATTGTAACTTTCGACTTAGGTTGAATCACAGCACGCCAGGATTTCTGACTTATCGATTGATTGTTATAATGGGTTCATCACTAGAAAACCGCCCTCGAGGACATAGTCGTATCCAGGGCTGTCTTTGAAGCTGTTTGTGAGGAACCTGAAGAATATCTGGGATCATCTTAGCAATTAAATTAATAACCTAGGGGCACTTACATCCCAGTGTTGGAACTGAGCATAAGGAAGTTGTTTTATTCGTATTAAGGCGTCTTCAAACATAAAATGGTTTGCATATAATAGGAGACCCTGAATAGTATTCCGATAGAAGGTAGCGATATATGGAGCGAGTAGTATCCTGCAAAATATTAGTTTAGATCAAATCTAACTACTCGAAATGGTGAGCCCTACACAAGATCGCGTATGAGAAGCTGTATACCTGATAGCAGTGACCAAATGCTCTCCATTATATTTCGCATAGCATGCACTAGATCAGAATTGGACTTGGAAACGCCATCATCTGCTTGAACACCGGTAAGGTCTTGCCAGGAGTCTCTAAGCGCTCCCATCGATGTATTTAATTGATCAACCTTTCTGTGAAGACTTGAAGTCTGCATGCGGCCTTCTAAAGTCTGTAGTCGTATGGCATCTGCAGTGTTCTGGCCTGTTTGCTGAATATTTTTAACCACAAAGTCGGTTGACGAGGACTGGACAATTGAAACCTCGTCAAGTTTGGCATAAAGGTCTTTTGTGTACGCGTTTTGGCTTCTTTGAATGATGTTCATACCATCTTCAAGCCTTAAGACAGCCTCGCGCTCTTCTGTTGCGATATAATCCATATGCGCTATTGTGTCTCTTCGGAAGTCCTGAACCTTTTGAAGAGTGAGGTCTGTAGAAACTGACTGCACATCTGAGATGGCCTTGAACCCAGTCTCAATTTGTGTTGTGACGGGTTTTATACTCGCATCAATCGATTGTGCCATACGATTATGGATATCTTCAAGCATTCTTACGGTTGCTTGCCTGCAAAACAATCACTAACAGGAACTGAAGCCGGGTGGTATTATATATCTAACAATTTGTTGGCCAAGCATGAGACCAACCGCCGTCATCGGCAGTGCTATTCTGTCCTGCAGCCGTTTGACCTTCTTTGCCGTAGAAAATGCCCATTGTAGCTTTCTTAGAGCTGCAAATATATGTTTTCTGTTGATATTTGCACCTAAGGTTGGCTCGAAGCTTGTCTCAATATCGGAGCAGAAAGTCTGTAGCAGCATTCGGATGTGCTCGCATTGTTCGCGCAAGTTCTCGGCGAGATCTGCACTTATTGGAGTAGACTGTAGCGCATTTAGATGCTGAAGGGTTTGCGATATAGTTCGGAGGAAAGAGATGGTATCTTGGTATTCAGACGAGGCTCCGCCTGAGTCTTTCAGTGCGACACCAACCCGATACAGCAACTTCACAGCAGCAACGATATCGCCGGCGGACCAGCCGAAAGACATCACTATCCGGGTTTGAAAACGAAATATGCCTTAGGGAGCGATCTGGAATGATTAGAAGCTAAGAAGGCGAGAGAAATAAACGGTGATGAGGCGGCTGAGCCTATAGGATGGTGGAGGCTTAGGACCCAATAAGGCCCGCATCTTCGAGGCTGGCTTGGTCGCACGAGAAGACGACAAGGCTACCACTAAAATTAAATACAAGAATACGGACTGGCACTGTATCATTGGATTATTCTCTTGGTAGCCATTAGCGCTGGCGAGGACGTAGATACACAATTTTATACTTGTCGGTAGTGGAAACGTTTCTGAATGTTGAAAGTTATGAGCCGTGGGAAATCTTGAGCAGCGACTGATGCTCGTTAATAAAGTAGGCAATATCTGGTGAGACGGTCTAAGCAAACACGGCGAGTTGGGACGTGTCGAAATCCCGATGCTATAACTCAAGGTGCAAATGTCTTGCATTGCCGGACCTTGAGATGCATACTGAGCGATCTATTGGCGGGCGACTGGTGCGAAAGTAAATATATACAGGTACTTGCGGAAGGCACTGTATCTAGACTCTTGTCTTAATACGTCCTTGGATCTCGATATTTCCACCTCCGGAGCCGGGATAATAATCAGAAACTTAACATGGCTCGTTCTGTTCTTATGATTGCACGAAAAGGATATTGATATCATCAAGCCGGGAGCGAGTCACAACTTGTGAGAAAGCAGAGAGCGGCGTGACTAATCAGTGCATGGCAGCGCAAGAGTATAAGAATATATTGTGGTGCCTGGCTTGACTCATAATACATGTAAAGATGTAGTGCCACTTCGGAAATTGTGCCCTCCTGAGCCAGTGACGTGCATTGTGTCTTGTAAGGCAATTGAAGGCACTGGGCAGTACGTATGTACTCCGTGGAGGAGTCTAGAATCAAGATGTCGATTATTGTGGTCCAGTCTGGAAACTAGGCCCGTCTAAGTCATGTGCACCGAATGGAGTTTGCACCATTTGCCCAACCTGCAAACCCCAAGAAAAGTTTGACCTCGCTTGCCCCTCGCTTGCCACCATTAGCGCACCCACTAGCGTTTCCCAAATCCTATATAAGACGGCGCTCCCTCCGTCCTTTCGATTTCCTTTCTTCTTTTCTCTTTAGCTCTCTTTGCCTATTGGCTTAGATCAAGTGTAGTATCTGTTCTTTTCAGTTTAATCTCTGAAAGTCGAGTACGTCTCGACACAAAGATTATACTTATTTTTGTCCCTCAGGAAAAGACCGCCAGGCTTGCCTGTGTCTTATCCTACTGTGTCCTCGGTATTACACTGTCTCCGAGCGACGCGACAACCATCTTTTCATTGCAGATTCTGGCTTGCCTAGAATCGTGAAGAAGAGCTACGAATTCACTTCAATGGTGAGTGGTGGGGTTCCGTTCGGACTAGAATTTGTTGCTCCAAAGGATTTGGAAGCAGAATGGACGAGTATCTGAGAATAATGACATTATGGTTTAAGTTGGGTCCTTGGGCAAATTGAACGCTTGCCATGTAGAGATAGGTAAACATAATATATACCTTGGAATGATCCAGCTGGAAGCAGCCCGCAATACTCAAATAGCTTACGATTATGTACGTTCCAATATATAGAACTCGTTTGATCAATGCTGAGAACCTGGAGAAAACAAAGATGCATTAATAGATCATTCCTACGTAGTCGTTGGTGGCGTGCAACGTGAGATTTTCAATCCCATTCGTTTCCCAAATTCAAATCAAAGTGTGGGAACCAGCAAGCGGCGCGTTGCTAAATTCAAAACACACCCGCCACCTCAAAACCGTGACTCTTTCACCGTGGTGACTCTCCCCGATCGCAACATCACTCCAATATCAATATGGCAAGCTCCAGCGAGTCCGGAATGGTAAACGCACGAATTTTCGAAGATCTCCAGACCAAAATTGACGAGGATGCCGAAGTTCGAGAACAGATCCGAGCCATCCTGCAAACGCTAGAGAGGCAAGGACGACATGCGCAGTCGGCCTTGTCAAGAGCCCATTCAACCCCAGCAGCAAATCGTGAGCATCATTTAACAGAGCCCATAAACAAGAGCAGGGCTAACATGCCCAAGTGCAACCCGTGATTGCGGCTGCTGAGAGTAGCATCAAGGAGCAGATCGAAAGCATCCGTACGCTTTCCTCTGTTGCCTCTAACTTCCCATACTACAAGTACATCTCGACCGCCACCGTTATAGTTTACGTGAAGTTTAGCTCACCAATCTACAGGTACAATGGTCTTTGGACACGAGAAGTTCAGAATGTCATTTTTGCAGTCCTCCTCTGTGGATGGCTCGGCGGATTGCCGATGAAAGACAAAGCCGCTGAACCCGGCAGACTCCTCACAATTGAAGAGGTGGGAGAGATCCTCAACGGTAGACCAGTCTCCCAAGTTACATTCGTTTGATAAATAATTGCGGTGCTGATGAACAATAACAGTTCCCGTAAATCTCAAGGACCGAGACGCGTTCCATATAAGCATCGAGGAATACCTCCAGTCGCTCATCTCACTGATTGACGAACTTGCTAGATTGGCCGTCAACTCTGTGACTCTTGGTGATTATCAGCGGCCATTACAGATCAGTCAATTCGTCAAGGATCTCCATGCCGGTTTTCAGATATTGAATCTGAAGAACGATTCTTTGAGGAGGAGGAGTGATAGTATCAAGTATAGCGTTAAGAAGATCGAGGACATTGTCTATGATCTTTCGCTGAGGAATCTTGTTCCGAAGTAATGATCGGAATTTATGACACCGGCCGGGAAATGCTATCCCAAGTTGGCTTTGTGTGTGTACTTGGGGATTCGTTCTGTATCGTTAAGACTAGGAAGGTATTGTGTTCAAGGATAGCCACCGTCGTCGGAAGTTGCTAGTTTTGACCTCTGAGTACCGCTACTGGTATCATATATCTAGTAATACATTCTGCTAGGCTAATACTTGATTTAATAAAAAGCTACGTCTTTCCTGGCAACTGGCAATAAAAGCCAAATAAAGTTGGTGATATCTGGGGCATAACGTTCCACGTGCGCTCCACCCCAGCATCCCAGTCGCGTCACCTCGCCCAAGTTCCACGTACGAGTAACTTCACAATCGCATTAGCACCAAATCCGAACGTACTTTACAGCCCACGAGATGCCCCTCGTCGACCCTATAACGATGTCCATCGTGGCCCCCGCCTCCTCCCCAAGCACACCAGCAAAACCCTCACAGCCAATTGAGCTCCTCCCAACCCCAATTGCACGGCTCGTCTCCCAAGCTCATCCGGCGCTCCTCCTCTCAGCATACTATTTCCGATTCCCAGCCTTCGTCGCAGACCCAGTCCCAACACTTCTAAGCTCACTGCTACCACTAGCAGTCGTGCAAACAGCATATGCAATCACTTGCCTACCAGCAACAGGCTCCAACACCAAGCCGGCGAAGAAAGTAAAGCTCAATGCGACCCGAAAGCCTGCCGCGGACCCTGGAACGGCAAAGGCCTTTGTAACTTCCCCCCTCTCCGCATAGAAATAGTGAATAAAACCGGTTCTAACAATTTCCCTGCAAATAGACAGTATTCTTCGCGCTTCTTCTCTCCTCCCTCTCGGTCCCCGTTCTCGCAACGTTCCAAGTCCTATTTGGCGCTCCAGTTACAACACATATCCCGCACACGCTCTTAAGCTCCGCCCATCTAGGGCTCCTCGCTATTTTCCCATTGATATACGTGCATGGCGCAGACACCAGGCGGTGGAGGGAGGTAGCGTCGTTTTATAGCCCGATTGACGAGGTGTTCGGCGGGACTGTCGGATGCTTTTTAGGGGCATGGTTGGGCGCCGTGCCTATACCGCTGGATTGGGATAGGGAGTGGCAGAAGTGGCCTGTTACGATTGTTACGGGTGCTTATCTTGGGTATATGGTTGGGAAGCTGGTTGGGTCGTGGGCGTTGCGGGGGAAAAGGATTGAGTTGGATTGAGGTTTTGGGCTTATATACCTCTGGTAGGTAGATTTAATGGTAAATATCCATTTTGAAAAAGAGGTTCTCCAGTACTAAGTGTCTATTTAGGAACACTTTTACATAAATCGTGGCACGTTGCAAAGGTTTCGTCAACGCATGGATGAAAGCTCCGAAAATACGCTAGAAACCTAGCTGCGTTTGGGAACAGTGCTGAATGAGCTTATACAGAAGAGTAATAAGGGCATGAGAGTAGTGTTAGGGCTGCGAAGCAATGAATGGGCCAGTATAATTGCGAAATACCTTAGTGGAGGCAATACATACGGGCCCGTTTGGGTCCATCTTGGGACACTTAATGTTTTGGTATCGTGGGTGGAGTATTGCTTCCATATATTCGAGCGTCTCAGAATTAAACTCTACCTCCTTACAAGCACCCTGACGAAAACTGTTGAAGAGCTTTCCTTGGGTCTGAGATGGTAGTTTGGGTCTGGAGTTTATTTTTACATAGATATATGCCTTCAGTTATGTAGTTTGACATCTATAATTGGTTCAGGGAGATATGGAATGTCTAATCTGTATCATCTATTTCTCAAATCACATTATAAACCACTAATGCTTCACAATCTCATTGGTACCCTACCGCATCCCTGGCTGTTAATTAGCCCATCCTCATTATTCAGTCTTTGCCCGACCTCTGTACCGTATACTTGCCTCTACTTTAGGTCCCCTCACGAACTGGGGAAATACAAGTATCATTGGCCCGGTGCGTGATATCTTCCCAAACAGACAAGACCGGGTTAGTATTGATTTCCAGATTATTTAGATTGGCTACTAACGTCCCGTAAAGAGAGGGGCAGTTCGATTCCTACGTTGCGTACCTTACCACGGTTTTGGTAGATATCGTAAGCACCATCCCCATTTAATAAGATATTTCTTCATGGTCCACATATCACAGTACATTCGGGAGCAATAAACTTTGTGGAAGCACAAGCGATCATGCATTGAATGGGTCTATATGCAATATATAACTCTGCCTCTCATCCACCACACCATGCCGCTCCCGGGTCGCTTGGGATGCTTACTCCTCATCCTCCTCAGCCTCATCGTTGACAACGTTGAAGAATCTCAACTCGTAGACACCCTTGGAGGTAGAAACAACACGGAGCCAATCTCTTAGCTGTTGCTTCTTGAGGAACTTCTTTGTCCTACACCACGCCGACAACATTAGAACACGTTCTTTCTCTCCAGTATAAACCAATACTACAAACGTAGCTTTGAGGGAGAACGTACAGGTACTTAAGATATCTGCCGGAGAAGTTGATGTGGGCAATGACCTCGATCTTGCCATCGCCGATCTGGGAGATCTGCACCACATCGCCGAGGTTGCCAACACGGCCGTCAACCTTGATCTTGTCCTGGAGGAACTTCTCGAAGGCGGAGACGTCGAAGATCTTATCGCTAGCGGGTTGCGAAGCGTTGATGATGAACTATGGTTACCTCGTCAGCCTCGCGCTCACAACTCCCAAAACATATATTCTTCCTCAATTCGCCGGTTTTCTAGCGGTCGAGACCGAAGGCGGGGTAATTTAAGATAATAGGGAAGCGTACCTTCTGCGTAACCTTTCCTTGCTTGCCCTTGGGCCCTGACTTCTGCAAATTCCGATGATATCTTAGCCTACTGCATCACGCCGCAACCTCGCAAACACGAGGCGGGCCAACAGCAAAGCGGATTTCATGTACATACTGTTGATGGTGCCATTGTAATGGAGGTGTATAGGTCGCAAAGAAGTTTGATCCTGCGCCGTCTGAGTTGGGATTTGGAGTTGAGTTGGAGTTGGGGGTTGCTTCACGAAGTCGAGGAAAGATCGCTACCTCTCTCGAAATAATTTTTGGTTGTGGGTGCCAAGACTTTGCGATCGCTTAATTGCGAGCGGAGCAGGGGCAATGGGGCGGAGTCATGTGATCATGGGATGGTATGATATTTCGGAGCTTACGACTACGAGTACGAACCAAGGTGGATAACTTCCAAGCTGTCAACGATGAGCGGGTCTTCGGGGTCCTCGGAGTCAATTTATTATAATGGAAAATATTGCACGTGATCTTCTAGAATGGGTTTGATCATTAATTCATATGGTTAAGGTCGTGTGGGAAAGGATAATGTGTTTTCCAGGGTATCAAGAGTCTTTGGATTTAATTATTAATTGTCTGTATACTCCGTAATGCTGCCCCGAAACCATAAGCCGACAGTCCGTAGACATGCGAGCAGGAAAAGTACGAAAAAAGGCATTACATCGCGCCGCAAAAGTCAAGTACCATATGCTACAGTATTCAAAGAAATCCCCAAACGCCTCATTCTTCGTGATTGTCTTCAACTTCAAAGAACGTGTGTTTTGGGAAACGCGGCCAATCAGCACCGAGCGTTAGGAGCCGTTCTCAAAAGGGTCCGAACATGCCGCGCCAAGTTCGTTTTGCGTCTCGTGCTCGCAACAAGTGCCGGCAATGCATAGCGCGCCGGAAGATGACAAAGGATGTTATGCGGGTCGGGATTATCGTGGTTACGTGGTACGCGCATTTGATTTCGGGTCCAGATGAGAAGGATTGTGGAAGCTGTCAAGGCGTAACACGTCGCAGTGAAGTTCCTGGAGGAAGCGGTCAGTTATGTCTCAAGCCATGTCTCTTAAGCAATTGCCGAAGTCTTTTGGGATTTGTGGGGTGACCGATGTTTAAATCGGATGAGAACGATGTTGTTAGAGTAGGGCAGAAAGGGATTGCGCTTACAATTGTCAGCTTAGTACTTCAGAATGATATACAAAGCGTGGATGATTCCAGGAATGTCTGTTAGAGATGGGATTAGCAGTGGCCTTCAAAGATGCAGGAGGATATGCATGGGATGCGCCGGAAATGAAGTCCCCGGCGTCGCTCATCTTGGGGGAGTGAAGGGAGGGCAACATACAGCCAAGGATGGTCAACAGGATGTTGATGAGGAGATCAGCTCCGCAGCCTCTCTCTAGGAATACTCCCAGCGGTGGGAGGAAGATGGCAAGAATGATCTTGCAGATATCAGAGGTGGTGAAAGGCATCTTGGTGATTGATTTGTGTTGTGGTGTTTGTTGAGTTTCGGAGATCGAGGTTGATTGTTGAAAGGATGATGGAGATCTTTGTTTGTATGTGGCAAGATTTGAAGTGAAGAAAGATCCGGAACTGATGGGCCAGCGCTTGAGAACTTATACGAAAACAGAAATAGCTGGTCACCGACTTACCATCCAGGCCCTTACTGCTATCCCGGCCCGGCGCGTATGTGTGCTACGTCATCGTCACCCACGCCAGTAATGCGTAGAGACAGTGAGTTGTCACAATGCCGGCCAAGCCACAAGGGTAAATACTTGTTGGTTGTTGCTTCGGAGTGCTTGGAAGGCCCGTATAGGTCAATTGCCAACAGGTATGTCCCTACGGAGGAGCCGATGCCAAGGTGATGTTCTTGCTATGACATGACCTTATCTGGAGATTTTTGTTGGAGCTCAGTACTATCTGTGGCGCATGATGTGGCGCAGGAAAGATAGATGTGGCTCACCGTGTACCTCCCAGACCCGAATCACTGGGCATTACGTATCCCGTCAGTTTATGAAGACATTGGCAATGCGTGAGTGCCGTCTTTCCGAACCCTCGACAAAATACTAGTGCTGTGGCTCACGCTTCGATGTCGACATGTGCTCAGCTAGATCATGGTACAGTACCTAGGTACCTAGGTACCAACTTCCGAGAAAACCGGGTGAGACCATCGCCATGGCTAACCGCGGAGTGGATTAAGGTATACCCGTACCTTTAGTACAAAGTTAGATCTTGTTTAGTCGGCGCAAGTGAGGGCATAGTCTCTAACAACTAAGGCGTGGGAGGTAAAGGATAGCTAAAGTTACTACCATACTACGTTAGAGTAATAGCAATATAACTAAGTTAGACATCATTCCAAAAGTCACGATTATTACGAAATGCCACCCTCAGTTCTAGTACAAAGGCAATGGGGAAATTTAGGCTGGCACAAGCAGAAGTCCGTATTTTATTACCAATCTTCCATAAGATCATGTGGAAGTGCTCTCCTCCCTCCCTCGATTTGCTTTGTGATACGCAGGGGCCCTTTCCCATCCCAACTGACTTCGCACTGTTGATGATTAGAATCACGGACTGCATCAATGATGCGCAAGATAAGGGTATGAAAACGTGCCAACAGGGCCGAGTTGTCTTTTTCCCATTGGTCGATTTCATCCTTCACGTCCTTGACCTCGGGGTTATCGAAATGGCCGTATTTGTGATACGCAAGAAGGAGTTTGGGTGTTTGATTCAGCCAAAGCCGTGAATGATTTCCTTCATGTCGAAAGGCTTGTAACTGCCACGGGTTTTTATATCAAAGATCTGGTCCTGACGCACTCCTATGCCTTGCTGCTTTAGCTGAAGTTCTTGATCCTGGGCGACTTCAGTGCTGCTCATGGCCATGGCTCCAAGCGCGTCTTCGAGACTTAATTCGCTTGTAGAGTTCGTGACACTTAATGGTGCCTTCGCATCATCTTTGACGTAGCCATCGGTTTCCGTTCGAACCACGACCTTCAGCCCACCAAATTCATACCGGATGATGCGTTGATGAGAGCACGAACCCCGAGACTCGGAATCCCACGTTGTATAGACATCCGGGAACGTGTGGCCATAACCTCGTAGATTCGTGATGAGTTCTCTGGGAGAGCCTTCCTTGCGGACGAAGAGCACTGTCTCTCCTATGACATCGACGTCAAACCGGAATGTCCTGGATTCAGATCTAGCAAATCTCAGAAGATTCCCAATGGTGCTGCCACATCCTACAATATCTGCCGCCTGCAGGTCGAAGTCTGGTCGCATAACCTTCAACGAGCGGAACATAGGCTCCAAGGGATACGACTGGTGTCGGGCCGCGTTGATATCTCGGAAAATATCTTCACTGTCGGGTTTCAACCGTGGATCTGTTGCTGGTGGAGTCCACACTGGCGGGGAACCTGTGCCATTTGAGGTGTCATTAAATAACATCTATTGAAGGTGATGATTAGCTATTGGGAGTTTATGGACTGACCTGGCACGAGGATGACTGGAGATTTCCCATTAACCCAGTTGTAGGACGCGACATATTCGACATTATGGATCATGGGCGCATCCTCCTCTATCAATAATGTCTCGACGTCGATATTGCCGATGGCATCACCAAAGGGTTTTGGCGGGGTTTGAATCTGGGTTGTTCCACTCAAGTGAGCACCGCCACGGCTGACCCATCTTCCTCTACCACTATTAAATCCTCGATAGAACTACAATAAGAAGACATCTTGATGTTGAACTTTCAAAGCTGATTTCGTAGATGAGAGAGAAGAAGGGAGAAAAGTTTGGGATATTACTCTTTATATTCAAGAGCAAAGGAAATGAATTACTTCAAAATGACTGAGGTGATGGGAGGCCATTGTCTTTGCTAATGCAAGCTTCCGTGATGAGGCATCATGCCGTAGTTTCATAGGTCCTAAGCTGTAGCCAGCTAGCGCTGAGAAGGGGAAACACATTTCACATGCTGCCAGCTAACACTTGCCAACTATCAAGATATGGGTAGCTACTTCGGGAGCACTATTCTAGTGGTCTATACTTGCCGTTTGCCCATAATGTACGAGAAGCCACAAATGATATTATGTGCGGTTTGACGATCCAGTATGACTGGACGGCACATAATTCCCTGTTGTCGAGCATCAAACGAAGAACAGAACGTTCCCAGGTAAAATTACCATCACATGATATCACTCACGTGACCATCATAGTACACCACAATTGTAAAATCATGTAGGCGTAACTAAATTCTTTAATATGCTATAAAGTTATGATAGAATAAGTAGAGTAGAACAGTTATTGGTGTGCTTGTACAAATTATCCAGAATTGAGTTGCTCTAATTGGATTGTGCTCAGGCGCAATCCCTTCCTTTCCCCTCCACTATCTTATCGATAAAATTTCCAAGCCGACAACACACGAATGAAGCAACATCAACATCAACCTCTGTTCTCCTACAAAAATCATGCCACGAGAGCCTCTAATAGGTCTAGTTGGCAAGCCCTCATCGGGAAAGAGCACCACATTAAATAGTTTGACTGATGCGACTTCCAAAGTCGGTGGGTAAAACCTCCAACCACCAACCCTTCCCCCTCATCTAAGGACCCAAACTCACTATATTTACTCAGGCAACTTTCCGTAAGATATCCGTCTAAACCAATACCTGCGGAACTACACCCAGCTGAATTACTGCTAGGTTTACGACAATAGACCCCCAGCGTGCCATTGGATACCTGCAAATCGACTGCGCCTGCAAACGGTACGATCTCACCGAACGATGCAAACCAAACTACGGGTCCTGTATTGATGGACGGCGATCCGTGCCCATCGAGCTCCTAGACGTCGCCGGACTCGTCCCAGGAGCACACGAAGGAAAGGGACTTGGGAACAAATTCCTGGACGATCTGCGACATGCAGATGCGCTTGTACATGTTGTCGATGTAAGCGGGACGACGGACGCCGAAGGCAAAGCAACCCGAGGATACGATCCTTCACAAGACATAGTATGGCTACGTTCCGAAATCGTGCAATGGATTCTCGGGAATCTGATGCAGAAATGGGGGTCGGTAAAGAGGAGACATATAGCAGTCAAAGCTACGGCCGTTGAGACGTTACAGGGCCAGTTTTCTGGATACGGATCCACGGCTTCCGTGATCGCCAGGACGTTAGACAAAATGGGCCTGAAGGAACCGTTGGAGCATTGGTCTAATGAGACGGTTGATAAAGTGGTCAACGCGTTTACGGACGAGAAATTCCCTACAGTCATTGCGCTAAATAAAATCGACCATGCGGACGCAGATAAGAACATCAGCAAAATCGCAAAGATGTACGATTCCCAACAAATCGTGCTTTGCTCTGCGATATCGGAAGTCTTCCTACGAAAGCTGGCAAAACAAGGCTTTGTACGCTACACCGAAGGTAGCGAGTTTGTCGACACACGGGAGGATCTTATCGCAGATGGAGATCCCGATGGTGGCGGGCTAAAGGAGATGGACGAGAAGCTGAAAACGCGGATTGAGAATCTTAAGGATATGGTGCTGTATCGTTTCGGGTCTACGGGGGTTGTTCAGGTTCTCACTAGAGCCGCAGAATTACTTGGCCTCGTCCCGGTTTTCCCCGTTAGGAATGTATCGACTTTCTCCTCGGGGGCTTCTGGGTCTAATGCAGTGTTTCGAGACTGCGTGTTGGTCAAAAAGGGGACTACTGTTGTGGAGGCCGCGAGGAAGGTCATGGGAGATGCGCCTTTGGCTTATGTGGAGGGTGCGGGGGGTGTTAGAGTTGCAGAGGATGATCTCGTCGGGGTTGGGAAGAACGATGTAAGCCACCACTTTACTATTACCTATCGACACATAACTAACTATTATTTTTAGATTCTCTCATTTAAGGTTGGTCGAGCATGAGCTGCTCAAGTTAGGCATTGGCGTTCAATTAGGGAAAGGGAATGCAGCATAGCAAACGGCGTTTCTCGACTGGGTGGTTGGTCAAGCCTGGGTTGAGATAGATATATTGCCATACTTCTATGTAATGCGATTTATGCATTCAATTCAAGTTTCTCTCCGTTCCCCTTTCGCTCGTCTCTATTCGGACCTCCATCTCAATATTTTCTTCACGCATCTCCTTTCTTCTATGAACTAGTTAGCAAACCCAGTCTCTCTATCCTCCGCTTCATTCCAAGCTCCCTATTTCCTTTCCACTCAACGCTTCAAATCCAAACACAAAAGAAAACACCCTCAAACTCACCTGCCCCCTCTCATCCTGCATTCCAACTGTATCTGGCGCCTCAGGAAACTCCTGCCTCGCTTTCTGATTCGAGCCTCCACTCTGCTCACTTATTCCCCTCGACCTATCTACCTCCCCACGTTCCTTCTTCCCCGCCATTACCGCGTCTTGCTGTACATTGTGGCTATCAGCCCCGTTGGTGATATGGTCTTTTCCAGTGCTGCCCTTCCATTTCTGGACCGAGGTAGTGGTGGTTAAGAGGCGTGTTGTTGGTGATCTGGCGATGCATGGTTTGCGGAGGGAGGAGAGGGAGTTCGGGAGGATTCGGCGGGTGAGGTGGGACATTGTTTATAATTGCCGTAGCTGCTCTTGTGAGAGTGTAAGAGGAGTAGCTAATATTAATTATCAGGCTGTATTGAGAGATTCGTCTTTATTTCGTAAATAATTACGCACATATGTAATTGGCCGAAGCTTCCCGGTCATGTTTTGGTGCATGTCGTCACTCCCTGGAGCTACCCATTGACCCAAATCCCGGTGTGGCGAGATCCTTAGACTTGGCTGTGTTACAATGGACTATGATCAATATTATGTAACCTTAATGTTCTCCTTTGTTAGTAAGTAACCTTAATGCTCTCCTTGTTAGTAACCGTGCCTAACCTTGCCTGGACAAATGGGGTTGGGCTGCCTTGACTGTATCTCGAGTCGAGGTCAGACATGAGAATCAGGCAAGCAAGCCAAACAAATAAAAACCTCTTTTAGATTCGGCTATGAAATGATAGCTGAGGCACATATCGATTTACAAAAGCGAAATTTTCGTAGACATAAAACATCAAAGTCCAGAAAGGAAATATAGTCGTAAAGTTAATCCAGTTTCCATGGATAATCCCCCAAGAACGAAGACAACCCCGTCATTCAGTCCCGCTACCAGCGCCAGTGACACCTACAGCATCAAGCATGGCGGCGACACCTTGCACGCATCCGAATTTAAGACGATAGCCGCCGCCCGTTATGACGCCAAAATTTGAGATTCGACCGCCCAAACATTGAACTATAACCCGAAAGTTCCATCCAAACCATCAAGTAGATACCCATCCCTTGAGGACACTGAGCCAGCCATTAAGCCATGCCTATAGTCCGGCTGCCTCCCACCTAAACCCAAATCACTCCCAGACAATTCGTCGACCGAACTTAAGCTCTCTTCGCTAAAACTCAAGACGCTCCGTGCTGCTCCAGGCGTACCAGTATTAACGTCGGCCATACTTAGCGAAGTCATATCCCAAGCAGAATCAGGGGACCAGTCTGAATAATTAGACTGTGCGTAATTCGATTGTGCCGTTTCTGGGAGTGAGAGTGCTGGACCTCCATAGATTGCATCGTATAGGTTCGTTTGGCCGCCGTCAAGCGATCCAAGGAGAGCTTCCCATTCTGTCAGGTTCGTGGTTGCTGGTTTCGGATTCGAGTACGCTGGTGTTGATGCTGATGCTGATGTTGAATACGTTGGAGTTCGCGAAGAATGAGATGAGACCTGTGTTCGAGATACAATAGGTGATTGAGGTTGCGAGGCGGGGGTATTGCTCAGGGAAAGATAATCCAAATTTGGTGGTCTCTCGCTCTTTATGCGGGGTTTCAGCATCGTTTGCGGGTGTGAAATAGAAGCCCGGTTATCCCGTTGCGGAAGCAGAGATTCGGAATGTGTCGAATCAATTGACGCCCGCGAATGAGCGTAAGTGTCTGGACGTTGCATCGAAAGGTTTGGTAAGGTAGCTCGCCTGAGCTTTTCCTGCTGTGATAGGAGGTCGCTTTCGCTCATGCTGGCACTTGGATTTCGGAAAACCTGTGGACGAATTTGTTGCTTAGAAACTGACGGTGATGGTGTAGATTTTGTGCTCGGGGGAGCTGCCATGGAGTTCGGGCTTCGGGCTGGTGGTTGTTTAGAGTGAGAGTGCATGTTGATCATCGATATGGCAAGTCTCTTGAAATCCGCGCCCCCAGGAGCGCTGGCTTTCTCGAGATATTTGATGACAACGCCCACCAACCGGTGGCCATCTTGCATAAGCTTGCCTTCTTGCTTAAGATCAAGTCCTTGGTACAGGAGACTCAAGCCACAGAGGGTAAGCATCTCATTTTTATTCAAACAGAATGAGAACGACATGCTTCTCTCTTCCAGGAGCTGAATTATCTGAATGACGTGTTTACTAGAATCAGCAATTGAGATAACAGATGGCGATGTTTTGTGCCCCAAGGTAGAACCAACGGCAGGGCGATGAATCAAAGTTCGGATATAGTAATAAGACAGTGACTATTATATCATTAGAATCATGTTTAGTTACGGGCAGGCGTGTGCATTACATACCAACAAAGCCGAGCGACTTCCAGTAATATCAGTCGACGGTTTGTCTTGAACAAACGTGAGCTTGAGGTGAGCAGGGAGCTTTTCGGACCAGTCGTTCAATTCATTTTCTAGGGCATTCAGGGATTGGAGAGAAAGCTCGTGAGCTGCAGCTGCCGGATAATTCTGATCCAAAACCTTCGACAAGATTCGTGATACACGGAACAATGCCAAAGCACTTGATATCTTGGTGTACTCTCCAGGTAGGGTTGGTTGGAAGCCCTTCTCGGTTACGTATTCATCATCCGTGTCGGAGGGATACTCCGCATGAATATCCTCTTCCTTGAGCAGCTTTGGAAGCCCAAGAGAAGCGGCAGAGAAGCTAAAATGTTAGCTTAAATCGAGACGGAATGATGATATGGAACCTACCAATCAAGGGTATATAGAGTCCAGAATACTTTCTTCCGTGTTTCAATTGTAAGCGCGCCAAACGAGAAACGCTTTTGGCTTTGGTGCAGGCCAAGACGGTGCGAGAGCCCAACAGCGATACCCTTGTAGTGCTGAAGGCGATTATAATCAGCCTTGGTGACACAGTATATCAATGCCAAGATCAGACACTGAAGAGTCGCCAGCGAGTTATCCATGAGTACCGCCTCTAAAGATGAACGCCATTGATACTCGCAGAGCGCAATTTGTTCACGATCAGGGACTTCACTAGACATTCCAGCAATTCCGAATACCAGATGCAATTGAGCCAACTTGTGATCATCCAAGCCTTGGGCTGGGTTTGACATATAATCCTCGTATAAGCGGAGAAAGGTAGGTTTATGCAGAACTGGGAAAAGGGGTGCCCATTCCTGGAAGAAGACATTCACACATCTGTCCGAGAACATACGAGGAGGCGTGGTAGGCATGTCAGGAGCTGGAACCTGTGAAAGTGATGTAGTGTCGCCTTGAATATTGAGGAAAGCGTCTGTATTGAATCCGGCAAGTGACTTCCCACTTTCTTGAACCCTACGTTTGAAGGCATCTGTATCAATTAGCTATGAAGTAATATAGTATGTTCTGGGCACATACCGACAAAAGCTCTCCCACTTGATGCTCCCATGAAGTACGAATCTGAATTCTCGGCTCCTAGTAACAACGGGGATGCCTGTACCCGAAAGACATCATCCTTCGGAGGAGTAGTTGATGTTTCCGTTCGTACTTCCGCGGGCGGGTTCGGGCTGATTGATGATGCGGACGGCCGCCGGTTTGAATGCATCCTGGACAGCATGTCTATCTTCTCGTCCTTCTCATCCAACAAATCCTTCAGCTCCCGAACCTCGCATTCCAAGCTGCGTACCCTCTCCTCCAGAGATTCCGTATATCCTCGGGGGAAGGCGCGTCGACTGAGTTTATCGCTCGTCTTGCACTCAAACCCCACGTTCGAGCACTGCGAACAGCAGGGACGGATACCGTCACATCGTATCTTCTTGCTGCGACAGCGATCGCAGGCCTGGGCAATGCGGCTTTGCGAGCTGGACCCGACCTTAATCACCTTCATAGGTAGTATTCCAGGCATTTTGGCGTTGTGGCAGACCGACGCAGATACTATTGTTGTATCACTGCTCTCGCCGCCCACGCAATCAATCACCCAATCGATCCCCAATCAAACGCGGATATTTCGGACTATAAGAGCCTTGGCCATAGACTGCGCACAATAGACAGGTTCTTTCAGCGTTGCGGGGCGTAGGGACGGAGGCTGGCAAGCGGTGGAACTGGTTTTATTTGTTCGAGCAAAAAGGTATGAAGACGAGGCCAGGATAAAGAGAAGGGAAGGTTGAGGCGGAGGCAGAGGCAGAGGTTGGAGGGAAGAGAGTGGTGATATTGTGGGGGATGAATGGGGGCCTGCAGTAGCACTGGAGAACATCTGGGGAAGAAGGCTGTAGCGTGCGCGGTGCAGGCTATGTGCACACTGTGGGACTCCCTAAATGCCCCCCCCCCTCCAGGGCCTTGCTCCAGGGTACACCCGGCGCCGGTGGACGTGACCACTCCTATCGCCGTTAGACGACGCCAACAAACCAGATTCAATTTCCAATTCCATTCCCACTGCAAATCGTAGTCATCATCGCGGATGAGTGGGCGTCGCTGCCACTGGCCGCCCCAGAGTGTCGATGTGACCTTCTGTCGCCAGTAATGACTCGCCATCCGCCATCCTGATCAGCGCGCGCTCTCTGGCGATCGATTTCAATACCGCCCGGCCTTGATTAACTCGCTGATCGGCCATCCGTCGTTTTGAATTTCAATATTCCGCCCATCTCGCTTTTGCCACCGCTTTGAGATGGATGCCCCGACGGCTGCGATGATGCCGCGTTTCAACTCATTGTCTTATTATCGCTCCTAAAAAGGCTTGAATCCAGTTGGGCCGGACTATTGTTCTATCTTCCCGAATCCCCAGGTTTGGCCCGTCTTCTCCCGACTCCACATTAGTGGGACGCGCAGGGCGAAAACTAATAAGAATAATGAAGGACCAAAATAGTGCTTTGTCGTGGCTTCGGGACTCGTGGTTTCGTCGGACTTCAATAAACATCACCCTCGTCTGGCCTGATGCAGAAACGGCTTATACCGACACTAACAGGGCACCGTGCCATCTCCCTCCTAAGGTCGGAGTCGTAATACTTCAACTCAGACGAAGTACCTACGAGGACGTACATCCTGATGTACCCGCGGCGGCATTTTGATCCAGATTGCTCTCAGCAAGTCCGAAGATTCATTTGGGCGTGTCGAATAGATAGCGATACCTCGATTGCTCTGCGTTTAGGCTCAATAACGTTTGTCCCGATTCCGCCGACCTCATATGAATACCTCGACGTCCCAACAAACCCCCCCAGGAACCAACCGGCCGACATGGAGTTGGGCTTACTGACTGACGCATTGCTGTATTTCGTAATACTGATATTGATGTTTTGCTCTTGCGCGGAGATTTTGTCCTATCATCCTGTACATTCCGGCCCCTTAGTCTGTATGTGGCGTAGGACCTGCGCCCTACGAGGGTTGCAGTGGTCACTATCACAAAATACAGCCTCATAGGCCGAGTGGCGATGCCGCTAATTCGAAGTGGGCGACTTCCGTTCCCCCGAGAACGATCTCATCATAGAAAACAAGCCAAGTCATATCGGGCCAGTCTGTGTCACGTACGTAAAGAAGGCGCTGCATGGCTGCGGGGAAAAGGCCTAAAGCATTGCGTAGAAAACGGGAACTAGCTTGAAAGCTCTGGCCTTTGGTTGTCTGCCTACGAAATCCAATCTCACAAGCGCAACCAGAGCGGCGGTACGTTCAGCGTGGCATCTGTGGAGATGTGAAATCGTATCATTTTCAAACTCCGAGTTTGACTTCTTAGCGCTAACTGCGCCCCATCCTCTTGACAAAAGCAATCCATTATTTCAGGTGTTGAGCCAATGATTTATTCGAAATAGCTTCATGGCTTTACGGATACCTCGCGGGAAGACTTACCCCACGATATATTAACCTTAAATCGTACTAAACGGAGAGGGTTATCTAACCCAAAAGTAGGCCATATCACCGCCGTTCGAAGGTATATTGAGCCCTATCTTCGACATCCTTTCGAAAACCATGGCTCAAGGGACTTGTAAGGGTGAAACATGGGCTTTCCCAAGTGCGGCGTACATTTTCGCCGCTGGGCCAGGTGGCCAAGCATGGGAAGACTGTTTTGCAGACACGCTACTCGGTAACCAGCATGCTCTTGCCTTCTCAAGGCTTAGCTGAAATCTTCTTCCTCGTTATTGGTTTCTGCTTGCTCCGGTTTGTCCTCGTCGCTTGCAACCCCGAGATATCGAAGCACAACTTTACTCTCTAAAAGGCTAGTTTTCTACCACAGGGTTAGCTATGCTGTACGAAACAGCCCCTATCACAATGGGCTCTCCGGGGACAAGGCTCACCTGCATATCGACGGTAGCGTAAGCTTTTTGTAAGATAGACTTCTCGCTTGCTCGCAACTGCAGAGCATGTCTTTGAACATCTGGGGTGATCTGCACCATACTAAGGAGGGACATGGTCAGTAATAGGAGTTTAGGGGACGGATGACTCTAAAATTCACCTGGCCAACGATTGTACCATTTCATCGCCTTCAGCCAGGCGCTCAAGCTGTTGGCCAATCCGACTCTGTAGGGAACTAACGACTCGTAGCTTAAACACATCTTGGAATTCATGGATGTTGATGAGAGTTTCGAAGGTATCCGTAACGTCTGTTACATCGGATCCTTGCCAGAAAACTCTTAACGAGCTGCGTGAGCCATCCGTTTGTTGTAGAACTTTGAACTGTAGACCGTCCTCCTCGTTGAGGCACATCAGGTATAAAAATGGACTATCCCACTGAATATTGTCCTGATCGGCCGATATGTGGATCTTTGGTTGTCCAATAAAAGCCGAAACTTTCGCTTTGCCCAAAGGATCCTCAGGGAAGGTGTCTAAGGGTAAAACTAAACCTCGAGCCTTCACACTGCTCTCGTCGATGAAGCCGTAGCTGAACAGCATCTCGGCCTCGCTTTTAGCATCGCCATAGCTTATGGTAATCTCAGAAGAGTCATCTAGTGTGACATCTGGCCTCAACAACAAGAGCACATTGTTGGACGATCCTTGCTCATAATAGGAATTAGGTTCCGAGGAGTGATTCGCCATGTCTAGGCATGGAACCATGGATTCCCCAGCATTTGGAAGTTCAAGGGACCGTGACCTGTACCACGCATCTAGGAGAGCCCACTCGGTAATACTCAATGCATCATGCTCCCACCAATACTTTTGGCACCATGCTATATTCGTCGTTCTCTCACGCAACTCGTCCAATTCTCGAGCTAGCGCGCTCATTTTAGCACTCAGGGCTGGCTAAAATATGTGTTAGTAATGGGCACATGTACTCGCAATTGAACATATAAAACCCAAAATGGGCATGCAATTCTCGCTAAAACGGGGCCCTGGGACTCTGCGGGATTCCTGTGCGTCTTGCAGGAGCCCCAGATCGATGAAAGATGCATCATACCTCCAGAGAAGTGCCCACAAGCAAAATTCGTTCCTCGTCACTCCACAGTGTGGGAACAGGTACATAGCCAGGTAAAATCCTACAATACTCTGTCCAAGGATTTTGTACCCCCACATTGACGCCTTGATTTGATGCAATCGTAATTTGCATTAAAAGAAATAGGAGGATATCACTCCTTAGAGACTATTTGAATAATTAACGCTGTTCATCTCCCCGCCTAAATCCCAGCACCAAGGGAAGAAAAGGATACTTACTTTCCCACCAGCAACCTCCATCAATTCTCGGAAATGCTGGTCGACCTTGACATGCTCCTCGATAGCCTCTGCAGAGAGAATAAGATCATGCGAAACATCGAGCAATGTTGGGATGTCATAGGAATTTTTTGAGCTGAGTGCTCGATTCGTGAGAAGTCCGAAACCTCTTGACTCTCCAAGCTCTTGTACGCTGCTGTCGATGAAAGCTACATCGTTGAGCTTGGACCAGGGTGTCAATGCAGCGATGGGGAGTTGGTCTCGGTGCATGGTCTGTGGATATGAATTCGGAGGTGCGCTTAGGATTTATGAGGTATTTTATGGAGGGGCACTTAGAGATATGCCGATGGAAAAAGGTTGTAGAATTGATGGTGTCGGAGTGCGAGCTCTTTGACATCCAATGGTTTTGCGATTTCGGTGCAGTCACTGCCCGCACGTGATTCGTAACCTCTCAACTAAAAGTTCCAGAAAGACAGTCCTTCAATTATTAAGCTACTATGGCAGTTCAAGATCCTGATGGAATAAGAGACTTTCTTTAATACAGTCAAGTTACATCAGGGCTTCAAAGCATTATCGGTATCTATCTACGGATCCCATATGTCAAGTCAACCCCACGACCGTCCCTTGTCCTAGCCAACCTAGCATCAGCAATTCTTAAAGAATCAGTGTCCGGCAATCTAGGAAAAGTATCGGCCCTGGCCCGCTGCTGACCAACATATTCAACATTCCGAGGTCTATCAGTGCTAGAACGACCCAGTGAGCGAGGAGCCCGTATTCGTGCCAAAGCCGCTTCTTTAGAAAGTCTAGCCTTCTCCGTTAGACCCTCGTTATGTATCTCCGTTAGCCTTTTCTGTGCAATCCTAAATGCTTCAGACTCGATGTGAGAGTGAGGCAATGCTACTTCACCATGTTGTACCCGGTTCCGTTTTTTGGTCAACGTGTGATGGTGAATCTCTCTGAATGGAATCGTTTCTTTGACAGTCTCGTGATTCTCAGATATAGGTGCCAAAGCTTCGGCCATTACACCTGACCACGTCGTCATCTGGGACAGAGAAGCATCCCTCGGTTTGGAGAACTAGGGAATAGGTTTTGTCACGACCTCATCGTCGAACTCGAGTGGGTGAGGCCCAATAAGTGTTTTGTACCCTCTGGCCCATTGTTCTGCTGAATTGATATCGCCACTTTGACTACTCTTATGGAACAAGGCACAATGAGGTTGCCCGTATGCGGTTTTGGCGCCCTTCGATAGCCCCCGGGTGTCTTCGCTTTCCAACTTGCCCGAACTACGTCCCTTGAGACTCCTTGCAGCAGTCTTTAACCCACCAGCCGCCTTTTCTCCCTTAGTCCACAGCCTATCTAATACGTTCCCTGGCAGGCCCTCCTTGGGACTCAAAGCTGTAGTAGAGTCATTATGAGTATCCTTATCTCTGTTTACCGGCTTCTCAGTGTTCGCATCTTGAGCGGCAACGAGGCGATTAGTAGGCGTGGCCCTGCTGCATCTAAGACACAGGGAGTACTCGTAGATGTTGAAAGTCTTCTTTTCGCACTTCTGTCTCGGCATTGAAAGATAGGACTTGCAGCGGTCCTTCCCGTGGGTTTTGTGGTTGCAGCGCGTGTGTGTTTTGCGGATTTGGCTACACATTTCTTGAATGCAGAAATAGGATTGGTTGTTGATCCATTCTTTTGAAGTGTACGAATTGCTTTGCGGGAGTTGAAGATAAGAGGTGGTGGATAGATCGGTGGATCTTGATTTTATGCTCTTCGCAGCAATCTGCCATTCACCCTTAGGCAGTAAGTAGTTCACCACTACATAGTCACTTGACTCATTCAGCGATAGAGACGAACCACATATTTCGATCGGCGTATTACTATGTAAATCTATAGCGAAGCACTCGCCCTCTAACGCCCCAAGATAGTCTTTGCAGGAGGCACGGCAGGAATCTTAAATCCATATCTGTATCTGAAAAGAACAGAGAAGAGCACAGCCAACGCATTCATCCAAACCAACGCAGGCCACGCAGCAAAGGAGAGGTGTATCTCCTCTCCTTGATAGGTGTCGCAGACCTCCAAGAACTTCTTCGGGTCGTCCGTGATGACTCCATCGACTTCCTTGCGGATACTCCACTTCATCCAGTCCTCCTCATTTACAGTCCATACAAATATTGACCGCTTGGCCGTCTTCACGTCTCGCAGAAAGGCATTCCCAAATGGGCCGACCATTATTTTCTGTAGCATATTAAAACCAGCGCCCGGGACCTTCAAAAATTGACGTGCGTAAGTTATGCTGAAGCCGATGTGCGTAATCGAATATCCAGGGAGATATTTGGTACATAAAGGGAGATGTTTAGCCTAAGACAATATTAGCCACAAGCTCTCTGGGGATGTTCAAGCTGCAGGAACTTACAGCCCAGCAACCAAGGAGTATACGTTGTTTCCAAGGCCGAGATGGTTTGGTATCCGCTAAAGTAGCCGCCATTAACCTGAACACGTCCTCGGCATGATTATCAAGCTTCGCCCAACGGTTAATCCTATCGTTCTTCAAGGGCTCCGCAAGGCTTGGCCAAGGTACCTTGATATCTAGAAGTACCCATACGTCTTCTAGACCCGGTTCTGCCAAGTACTCCAGGAGATCCTTGAGTCTCGGCATTGGTTCGTGCGGCTTTTGCAGAGTCCGAAGCGTCTTTAAGTAGCTCCAGTCGCAGTCAACAATCTTCTTGTCCTCACCGAAGCAGCGTTTGAGCGTAGCGTCCTAAAAGTGGTGGTGAGCCATAATCCACACCCGTATCGCGACTGCGAAACCAGCGCTTACATGGGAAAGAACGACTACACCATCCTTCGACAGATGTATGTCGGTCTCAATGGCATGGGCCCCAACATCTACAGCCCCTTTGAAGGCGCCCATTGTGTTTTCTGGATACGCTGCCTTATAACCTCGATGGGCGATGGCTTGCGGATTTCTACCCCGCGCCGATGGTATCGCCGCAGTGAACATAGCTTAAGGGTCTATCAGTAGGCCATAAATGAGCAGTGGACCTCATTAAAAACCCACGTAAAGGTATTTCCATCTTGCCGTCCAGTAAAGGATCGGATTCTGCCATATTTAATGGAAGGGCTTGGCCGAAAAATGGGGGATTCAGCACATCGGATTCAAGAAATGTAAAAGCCGAGATCTCGGGGACGAGAGGCTTTGATATGTTGGCCTGTCGGCCAATATGGTTATGGCCGGGCAGGGTAAGCAGAAACGGGTGCAATGATGTGCAGGCTGTGAATTACATACAACACAAGTTACACAACTCCGGAGGGTTGGTATTGTTGGTATTTGGATTGTATTGGACAGTATTGGACAGTATTAGACAGTATTGGAGATGGGCGAGACGACGAAGGCCGAGCAGAGGTCCCTGCCGACAATGCGATGTTCGCGGTTGACCGATTGTCCCGCCACTCCCATACGCCACTGCTGCTGCCAGGATCGCTTCTCGGCACGAATAGTTTATGCATTGCCCAGCAGTCGAGCGCCGGATGATATCAAAAGAGAGGCGCAAGTGATGGAGTAAACGAGATGGGTTTGAGGAAAAGAAGGAGAAGTGACGGGATGGTGACGCATGTTGCTCAAGTGGAAGCCGTGGCATGGTGCTCATACTCGTAATCCTCAATGGTTCAGTTCAGTATGTCAAACCCCGTCCATATCTCCGCTCAGCGTCCAGGTAATTTTTGAACTTCACGCCGTCTGAGATGGCGGGATGTGACAAGATGGAATCAGATAAGACAGCCCTTGGAGTCCCTATCCAGGCCGACTCTAACTTTCTGTTGCAGAGAGCCGCCTTCGACCAATTCCCATCCCGCCAGCGTCCTAAGTTCAGAGAGTCGCAGACTCCCGCACAAAATGAGATGACCATCTTGCGAGGAATTTCCGCTCATGTTGCACATTCTCGTACTCAAAGTTATGGAATATCTCGAGTCCAGGTGTGATCTCTTGCCACTGGCACTGTGTGCTGTATGTTGTGCGACACGAATACCCCGTACTGGTATGGAGTTCGTGTTTCAACGACGATCAGACGTGTGGAATATCGGAGTGATGTTGAGAACAGGCCTGATCGCCAGGGCGCGCATCAAACAACCCAGAACACGGCTCAGTTCACTTAATAAAAGCCTAAATGATCGGCGGCTACGAGAGATAGAGACTGTACCGGTAATAGTGTTAACAGCCGGTACGCACGTCCAAGACGGTCTCATCTGAGGAGTTCCTGCGGAGGGCCCTCAATTTAAAAATGGAAAACGAAAAGCTTCATATTCCCGCGCTAAAGTTTCATAACAGCCCTCAGTATTGAAACTTTGTATTTCTGTCGGCTGTCCAATAATTCATGTCTTATTGATATTTATATTGCCCTGATCGATGAAACAACGTAAAGCTTTAGTGATTCAACAGGGATTTCAGCAACGGGTAAATGTCGAGTATTGATATTGGTCCAGACTCGCAGGTCTAAGACGATATATCTCGGAGTCTTGGAAGTCTTTCCTGAGAAACAGGGAAGATCAGTACACTGCTCCTTCTATCTTGGTTTATGAGGACTGATTTCGATTACCCACAATTTGCCATTTTCAAACAGTTTATTGAATTAATAATAAGTTAGAGCCCCCCGAAGTCTACTCGAGAGCCTGCTCATCAGCGCTTAGGGATATTCCATCCTGCCTTTCCGGCCAGCTGTGAAGTCCAGGGATGGCACCAAAATTGCCCACATCACTCTCGTCCTTATCCCAAGCATTGCTGGGCAAACCAGATGACATCCAGAGTGTCCAGATCCTCCTTACCAGTGGCGACAATAGAGGTGGTCACACCAGTCCTGATACCAGCTGCATCATTTCCCACGAGACTCCGCACCATCATATCTCTTGTCATGTCCTCCTCTGTATCGCGTCCCTTCGACTTGCAATTATTGCAGATATATCTCCTAGGCTTGCTGCTTCCCTCTCCCAAACCATAAGTCTTCTTGACGTGCACCTGGGCGGTAGTTGGGGAGCAAGCAAGGCAATGGCAGATGAAGCCCAACGAACGCCACTTATTCCCTGCCAGACGGCAAACATAGGTAAGAATAAGCTCCTCTCCTTGCTCAATATCTCTCAGGGCTTCAAAGGCCAACTGTCCCCGTTCTTCACTCCAGCTCAACCGTGCGTCTGGAGTACCACTGCAATACGCCCGACCGGCGCGGGAAAAGATTTCTTCGTAGCAAACAGATGTGTTTTGGAAAGGGAGAGCGTTTCGGTAATTGGCCTCGTCATCAAAGCACAAGTCACAGGACTTTTCCGCTTCGCATATCTGGAGACTGTGCGTGGTATTTATAAGAATCTCGCTCGGATTAGTGTTGGCTAGGCCAGACCTGAGTGAGGGAGAGTTGACTAGAATAACTTCATTCTTCCGGATATTTGCGGTGCTAAAGATTCCGACTGCCTCCTCCATAGCAGATTTTCTGAACATGGCGCGGGCGGATTGTTGGATGTTGTTTGATTGTACGACCGATCTCATCTTTATCTCGGACTGATTACCCTTCCGGACGTCTTCGTCGCTGAATCTGCTAGCTCTAGGTATAGGAGATTTCTTGACGCCGACGCGGCGAGATTGTTGGCTGTTCGACTGTGACTTTCGCATGGGCTTTAGCTCTATCTGAGATCGGTCACGACTATCAGCATAGGAGCATGTAACTAAAGCTGAGGTTAAAGGCAGTGTACTTAGACTCACATCTTCCATATTGCCGCGAGGATACTATTCTTTGTCTGTTGCTCAATATCTGCTATGATTGACAGTCTGAGCGTGTTTTGATGTGGAAATTTGAAGATTGGTGTGGTGGTTGAGACCAAGTAGTTGAGATCAAGCAGTTGAGATCGAAGTTGAAATCACAGTGCAGTGACACTCTCCGGGCTGTTAACGGGGAGAAGAAAGCGTGATTATACTCAAGTCATTTGTCTGTTGCTCAATATATGCCCTGATTGATAGTCTGAGTGTGTTATGGTTTGGAAGTTTGTAGATTGGTGTGGTGGATGTGATCGAGTAGCTGAGAGCTGAGAGCGAAGTTGAGAGCAAATTGTGGTGACACTTCCAGGCTGATAGCGAGGAGAAGAAAGAGTGAATATGCTCAAGCAGCTCAGTACGAAGCTGAGAGTAAAGTATGGTGACACTTCTCGGACTGTTAGCGAGGAGAAGGAAGAGTGAATATGCTCTAGTCGTTGCAGACCGTGACGCGTCGCAATAGCAAACCTTGGTCTTTCAGTGTTCGCTGTGAAGGAGACAGCTAGATAAGAACTGTTCTGTTGTGTTCATGACAAGGCTAAAACTGAGAGAAGGTAACCCTATAAATTGCTGCTGTTGTAATAAAAGCAACGTTATCAAATTCAACCTTTACTCTGTGTTCACCAATTGTTCATCATTAGCATGAGTTATCCTAAGTGACCTGATGAAGCCATTGAAACCTGAAATCTGCTTCACCTAGCTAGCCTGCATAGAACTCTCTAATAATATAATGTTACCGGTAAACCGTGCCACTGAAGTGATCTAGACTATGTCTCTGAGCCCTAGGTACACAAACTGTAGAAACCCAATTCGCCCACTTGACTAGCTAGAAATATGTTGATGAATTGATACGAAAATGCATTGCCACTAAGCGGGTGCATGTATTACAGCATCCCAAGCTCGCCTTCATCTATCCAAACCCATGTTTAATGATCAAATGTTTTATCTGCAAAGCCCCGAGCATTGAACTCCTTCGGTCCCTCTGGGCCCCCAATATCACGGGCCTCGACCGGACTGCCAATATTCTCCACAACCACCCCATAGGCTTCAGTAATTCGTTTGCCAACAGCCTCACCGCTCCAGTACGCACCAGTTGCCGTGCCAAGAGCGACGAACGGTGCAGTATGCTCCCCTGCAAACCACAAACTCCTACCCGTTAGACCTTCCCTCATGATCTCGATGTCCTTATCGCCTTCCTTGAGCCCAGTTTGAAAATTACTATAGCTCCCATTGCCAGCTAACTCATCTGTTGCCCAGCTTGTGGCGAGGCAATATACCGGGATGCAGTCCTTCGATTTCTCGTAGTAGTGAGGCAATAGTGAGAAATATGGTTCGAAGAACTCGATTAAATACTCCTGCCTTGCCTTTTCTGTCCGCAAGGCAGCAAGTTCGTTAGTGAGGGAGATAGAGTGGTCACCGTATAAGTAGAATAGCATCGTGGGATGTGAGCATGATCCTGGAAGACTCGCCATATCAACTGCCTCTTGGTTCCAGCGTTGAGGGTTTGTGTCTAGTGCATATGAAGGTGATAGCCACTGTGCGAAACCAGACGAATAATCATGCGAGCCCACGTCGCCATTCAACCAGAAGGCAGTGGGGAATGTAATGTACACCTAACCAAATGTCAGTATATACAGCTATGACTTGTAAGTCGGCGTGAGACCTTTTCTAAAGTGCCATAGCCAATTGAATCGATAGCCTGAGAAAACCTTGCAGGGAGGGGCGGTTCGAAAGTATGTTTATTGTTTTTTAGCCACCCTAGAGGACTTGTAACAACGACTTCATCAAACTCTAGTTGTACTCCATTCTCGGTGACGAGGGTAACCTTTTGGTTGGTGGTGTTGATGTGATTAATTTTCGTGGAGAGCTTAATATCAGCTTTGCCTTTGGCCGGTTTCGCAATAAGCGCCACAATATCCTTATAAGTTCCTGCACAAAACAGGTTTTCTAGTTCGCTTCACCATTATTGTATGCCCAATTGTTTTAGGGTTAAAATTCAGAAACAAATTGCATCAGTTAAAGAGGAGTCCTTTAACACCTAGGCCTAGCAATTTATAAGAGGAATTCAACCACTGGGGACCTCCCTAAAGCATATTCAAGATTTGATAGACAAAGCCTTGGTAATATTTTCATAGGATGTGAAAATAGAAATGAGCAGTTACATACCACCATCAATGCACTCTTCAAGCCAGAAGAACTTCAGACTTTGCTTCCTGACATCGCTGCCAACGAATGCACCCCAAAGCTCCGACATCTGCATCACAATTTTTCGCTTGTGCTCAGATTCACCTCCCCCCGGATACATCTCTTGTGTCTTCTCAACAAAGAAATCATGGAGGCTTTGCTCAGGATCGATCGTGGACGTGTTCTGTGCAGAATGCTTAAACGCCTGGAGGATAATACCCCACATGTCGTCGCTCAATAACCTCGCTTGTTCCAACTTTTTGCCATCTTTGTCGAAAGCTTGTAGAGCCTCCCCCCATAAGTGTGTGGTAGTCTTGGTTTCTTTTGCTAAATCATGTATGGGATTTTGATCGGTTCCATGGATCCAGTTGGGGCCGAGATCAACAAGCTGACCAGATGGCAAAGGAGCTTGGTGTGCCCTTCCTCCAATCCTGTCTCTCCCTTCAAGAATTGTGACATTGAAGCCGTGCTGCAGCAAGATGTCTGCACATCGAAGGCCAGCTATGCCAGCTCCTATAATACCAATTTTCGGTTTCGTAACAGACCCTCTGGTACGAAACTAGTAGAGTATGTAAGTAAGAGGTTGCCATAATATATTGCTGCTAAACTCAGCCCTTACACCTATTCACCTGGCCGTCAAGTAACATCCGAGACCTCTTTCAGATCAATACAGAGTGCACAGAACTTGGATTGAATAAATGGGGGTTTAGTATGAAGCACAAACTGACCTTCTTTAATGAATCCATGATAAGGACCTGTATGCTTGCATTGGAATAGCTACGATTGGGTAATCGGCAAATAGCAAGATCCTGATAGATCCGCGATGCGGTGTTAGATACGTTACATGTGTATGCTTCCATTTTGCCAAACACCAAGGAAAGGGGCGCTTGCAGTGCAACAAAATTGATCCTATGACAGGTGGCTATAAGGTCCAAGGCTTAAGTGTCACAGCTTCTCAACTTTGACGAAGAAAGTAAAGGTCTGAAAGCTCAAAGGGTTGTATCCAATCCACCAGTTACGGACACCACGTGCACTTGCCCGCAACCGAACAGGGGCACACTATATGTATTGAGACAGGGCAGGCACGATCCACTTCTGCCGGACAAAAACTCCAATAAAATAGTGCTTTTTGCTTCGAGCTCTAGAGACGGGAGATACCGATAGACACATCCACGTTAAGGATTGGGAGATGGGGGGTCACAGGCACGTGTTATGTTAAAACCTTAAACAGGACTAGCCTTTAGCGAGCTATAGCCTCGTGGCAATGTGCGACCAAACCCCGCCGAGGATAAACAATATGAGATACCACGTACAATCTGAGGGATGGACGATAAGGATGTACAGCATTGTCTCCCCATCTGATGACCTTTCGCCAAGCAGCGTGTTGACGTCCCCTACTTGGTGTCTCCAGAAGGTTACCTGGGTTACCTAAGCGAACCTAACCGACTTTTGGACTTAGTCTACGGGCCGATCCGACGATGTTTCAGGGGCGAAGGGTCATCTTATCTCGACGAGAATGGAAGTTCAATCGAGACTTACCTATCTCCAGCAGGCGAATTCACGGCCTAGCACTCAAGATGCGGACCTCTAGGATCTCCCAAGAGACCTCGAGGATAATCAACGCAACATCTGCCTCGCCCCAAACCCGACGAAGCACTCGATCCTCTGTAGCAAAGTACTCTCACAGTCCAGCTACCAGGAATGACCCTCCGTCGGCAGGTGCCCAAGATGTCAGTGATATCGAAGATGCAATCCCTTCTCGAAAGCGGAAGCGCGAGACACCTAGAACGCCCTTAAAGCAATTCCCGTGCAACACCACCACCGCCGTCAAGACCGAAACCGAACAGAGCTCTCTCGCACCATCCAAAGACCGCAAGATCCGAAAGCCAGCGCGACATGTAAAGAATGAAGAAACAGGAGAAGTGGAAATACATCCACCCAATGACTGGGCTGAGGTCTATGCCGTGGTGAAGGAGATGAGATTGACGGGGGTCGCGCGAAATGCTGCCGTGGATACCATGGGATGTGAGAGGTTGGCAGAGAAAGGCATCGATCCGAAGATAAAGAGATACCAGACCTTGACGGCACTGATGTTATCATCGCAAACGAAAGATACTACAAATGCCCTCGCCATGGCTCGATTGCAGAAGGAGCTACCAGCACACAAAGAGGGTGCACCAGTTGGGTTGAATCTCGAGAATATTCTGTCGGTCGACCCAAAGCTCTTAAATGAGTTGATATGGGCAGTTGGGTTTCATAACAATAAGACGAAGTATATCAAGGCTGCCGCAGAGATTCTGAGAGACCACTGGAATGGCGATATTCCGGACACAATTGAGGGCTTGATGTCGCTGCCAGGCGTCGGTCCAAAGATGGCTTATCTGTGCATGAGCGGTGCTTGGGGCAGGACTGAGGGCATCGGGGTCGATGTGCATGTTCACCGTATTACGAATCTTTGGGGTTGGAATAAGACTAAGGGGCCTGAGGACACACGGTTGGCCTTGCAGGAGTGGCTCCCCAAGGAGCTGTGGCATGAAATCAACTGGCTGCTTGTTGGGTTTGGACAGGCTGTTTGTCTTGCTGTTGGACGCAAATGCGGTGATTGCGAGCTCGGATTGAAGGGGCTATGTAAGTCGGCAGATCGGAGTAAAGTTGCTGTTGGAAGGAAGATGAGAGAGGAGAAGATAAAGAAGGATGAGGAAGGTAATGTAATAGAGAAGAAGGAAACTGTCAAGGTCGAAGAAGTTACCATCGATTTTCCAATTAACGCAGCACCTGATTTTGAAGTTCCGGTAGAAGGCACTTCGGAACCCCCAGTTTGCAAGGAGTTGGTGAAGGAGGAGGAGACGGCGGATATGGAGGACATACCCAATATACCTGACCACCAGGTAAAGAAACCCACAAGAAGAAGTAGGACATAATGCACAAGCACGTGTTATAGAGTACATATACATTACATTACTACCTACCTAGTCAACTATTTCTGTATATATACGGAGTACCGTACACCTATGTTTTTCTTAATACAGCCGCATTAAATCATTATAAACTGTTTAATGCAAGCTAAGACACATTTCCCATTTCATTTGCAACTCACCCGTGATAATATGAATTGCTCCTTCCACATCCACTTCCTTGAGGTTCAAGCCTAGCGCCAATGTCTTAGCTTAGTTAGTCATTGTTTGGATGTCATTCCCAGGGCGTCCTTTGCCGAAGTAGACTAGTCTCATAGCTCCCTACGAGGATGTAATCATTATTGTGGGTACCTGTACGTCTCTACAATAGTTGTTTTCTTTCCTGAATTAATAAAGCGGTGATGCCACCCATTTCCATCCTCTCTTTTAAGTTCCGTTACGCTGGCAAGGGAAAGCATGCAGCAGATACCACCCATTCCTCGGCCATCACAGATTTGCCAGCTTACTTTCCGCCAGTCACCCAACCTAAACCTTACAATAATCACAACCAAATATTGAAACTGCGAATTTATGAGACGTAAAAGTCTATTTTAAACCTTAAAAGCTTAGAAACCTTGCAAGCTTTCCAGTCCACATAGGACATCCCGAGCTAAAGCACGAAAAAGGCGATTGGTTTGCGGAATCACGCTGCCAGTGGCCCTACGAACGAATGCACCTACATACAATGCACCGGAAATGCATGGCAAAATGCAAACAATCCCTTCTACGCAATGAAGAACCAGATCTTCTCCCAGACGTTCCGTGGAACCTGGGATGGCCAAACCTCCGCATCCAGCGCCGCCTTACCGGTGGTAATGTCTGCATCTGCTGGGTGGATCCACTTAGTTTTCTTGAAGATCTTCCAGAAGAAATACAGCGCGAAATAAATCGGGATGCCGATGTAAGATGCAATGAAGCCTGCATGATGTCAGCATTAATTCCTGGCATTGTGCCCAATAGACCTAGGAAGAACCTACTGTCAACCTTCCAGTGACCATGGACAAAGACATCAAAGCCGTTGAAGATGATGATCATGGCAAAGTATCCGAATGAGAACCAAGCTGTGTATGGCTGAAAGCGGCTCCTAAACACGAGAGTGTTGCGGTCAATTCCCTGGGCCTTGAGGGCCTTGTGGAATTGGATGTAGGCAAGACAAATTGAGCACCAGGTGAACAGGGAGGCGATGGTCGTCAAGTTCTGGAACCACAGGAATGCGTCCTGAGCACCGCCCTTCCCAACGGAAAGATAGGTCAGGCATGCAATGGAGGCCGTGATCAAAACACACCAGTATGGGACACCTGCCTTGCTGCAGCGAAGGAGGAAACGTGGAGCTTGTCTGTTTTGGGCAAGAGCAAACAGATATCGGGATCCGGTGTACAAGAATGCGTTAGCCGACGAGGAGGCGGAAGTCAAAATGACGGCGTTGATGATTGAAGGGAGAACAGGAATGCCAGCATTTTGGATGCCAATGACCCATGGGGATTGAGCAGCGCCTGCAGCGTCGTCTTTCTGTGCTTTCAACAGATGTTCATCTTTTGACGAAACGAGAACACCGATTGCCAGCGACCCTAGGATGTAGAAGAACAGGATACGCCAGAAGACTCTGCGAACAGCCTTGGGGATGTTCTTGCGAGGGTTCTCAGCCTCACCAGCAGCAACAGCCACGAGCTCAACCCCACCATACGAGAAAGCAGCATTCACCAACACGCTGAAGAGACCCAAGAACCGGCCGGCGTCGCCTGTTCCATCGTACTCAAGCATTGCACCAGGATCCTTCCAGAAGCGGAATCCAAGGCGATCGCGCTTTGGTCCACCACCAACGTCAATAATGAAGGCCATAATCAAGAGCCCAACAATTGTGATGATCTTGACACTGGCAAAAACAAATTCGGCCTCGCCATAGATGGCCACGGCAAAGATGTTGAGGCCGATGACAAGAACGATGAGGATGGAGATCCATACAGCGACGTTGACACCGGGGTGCCAGTAATCGATGACGATGGATGCGGCTGAGATTTCGGCACAGAGAGTGATGGCGTTCGAGTACCAATTCTATCAGATGATTGAAGTCAGCCTTTATCACTGAACCATTTTATACACTCTCGCACCACAGCTTAGTCTACGAAGCAGGCCGAAAGCAAAGCAACCTGATTGAAGATTCCCCGGTGGTTAAAACAAATGGCAAAGTACTTACGTTCCAACCGACAGCAAATCCCAAGGCGTCATCAGCATAACGAGCGCAGAACTGAGGAATGGCGCCAGGGAGTGGGAGCCATGTGGCCATTTCACCAAGGCATTGCATCATGGCGAAAATGGCGATACCAGTGAACGTGTATCCTAACAACACCGACAAAGGGCCAGCTTGGGTGAAGGCACCTCCGATACCTAGGAATAGACCGGTACCAATAGTACCACCCAGGGCGATGAATTGGATGTGTCTCGACTTGAGCCTAGAAGGAGATTGACATGAGCGATTGTGGCCGACTACGTCGTCAGTTTGCTTTCAACATACCCTCGAGTCACGTATCCATATTCCTCAGCATCGGCCAAGTTTCCATATATCTCGCCAGCTTCCAGAATGCGGCCCTCCTTGGTCTCGATTCCCGTGACGGGATCAACATACTGGGTATGTCCATTGGCATTATATTCCGGCCCATCAATGATGGCGGCCTCCTTCTCGTTGGTTGCCATTGCGTCGATGGTACGAGGGCGACGGCGATGGGAGGTTGAAGGTGAAGGTGAATTTGAAAGAGGAGAGAGGGAGGGAGGGGACGCGGGTGCCGGGCATTATTGATATATACGCGTACAGGGCGGTGGTCACAGCGGGACAGAGGACGACGGAGTATCACTGGCAGTTTACTGCTGCTTGCTGCACCAGAGTAGGCAGGCAGAGGGTTAATTGGAGTAATTGGAATATATGATTAGGGTGCCACAAGCCCGCTGGGATGGGGGAGGAGGAAAGATTGATAGATCCAAGGGCGGCCATGCTTGTCGCCCATCGCCCACCCATGCTCTGCCCTCGTTCTGGCAGGCCTCCCTGAGTCCCTGCTGCTCTCGTTGGTGCAGAACCTCGACAACCACGATACGAAGTACTGATGCTGATGTTACTATTGCTACTTCGGAGAGACAGATCAACAAGGATATGCTCCGAGGCCAGCCAACCCCGGACACCTCGACCACACTTGCCATAGCATTTATTAGCACTTCCGCAACCACAGCCAGACGAACCAGAGGCTGAGATGAGATTTCTCGGGGCACAGCACCATTCCGCCCCTGCTGTCGACTATTTGGGGGCTCTCACAAAGGCTCTTCCATGGGTGGTCCGGTGCATGTTCCTCGATAGCAGTGATTGGACGTTTCCCAGGGCTGCATTCAATCTCGTTCAATCTCCTTGCAATAATAATGCGAATCTGCAATGTTGTCGTCAGGTCGTGGCCAGGCGGGTGAGGTGGACCCCTGTTCTCGCAGCACCGGGAACCCCAAGCACTCTCCGGAGTAACGCCAAAAACCAACACTATCAATATGGAGCCCTTCGCAACTCCAACGCCAATTACACGCCCCCGGCGAGAGCCGTGGCAGTCCACAGCAGTAAGTAAACACCCACCGGCATAGCCAACATAGGCACTGAAGAATACTAACGGGATCCAAGCAGTTGGGATTCTTCGAGGGCGACGCGACCTATCATCAGGCTCTTGTGTACTCGGTATGGAATCGAAAGCACGACATGTTTCCTGGCAGGGACCCCTGCGGCGAAGGCAATTTTACTTGCCGTACGAAAGTACGAAAGTACGTACTGTCCTTCGTACTTTCGTAGATACGGTATCGAGGGTATCAAAACTCACCGTCTCTGGTGCCCTTCAGATCTGGCATCGCACCCTCGTGGGAGCCAGCCTGGGATCTTGCTTCGCCTGCGACTCTTCAGGAGTAGTACGGGGCAGGAAGTGGAAACAGCTGCGGTGGCTCGCCGCCCAAAACGCCAAATTTAGGCACGTATTGTGGCCGTTCCGTTTGTCAAACCCGAACCAAACTTTAAAGCCACTGTGGTGGGACGATAGCGCAGTGCTTCTCTTCGTATACTATCGATGAGAGCCCTCAAGACCCGCCCTTGGGTTAGAGGAAGACGCAGCCGATATGATTCGCACCCCCATCTGACCCATGATCAAGATTCCAATATGGTTATCATGTTTATCATGTTTATCGTTCTATTGAAATCGCTAGCATATGGTAGGTTGCGCGCAGCTCTCTCGGCGATCCCGCCGAGACGCTGAGCCCGAGCTAGTTTGGCCACCGAAAGCTTAGACTAAAGAGCATCCCGCCTCACATATCGCCATTCGTCGCTTCGCCCAAAGCATCGCGATTAGCCAATGATTAATGTCGTTTCAGGCGCCCAAAGGCTTGAGCTATGAAAGGCTGCTCGAAATATCCCAGGCGGGAACGCCCTAGGCTCTAGCGCCGGCCTAGGTGGTCTCCGTTGCTAGCGTTTGCTTGTAGATAAACCCCTAGACTTGGCTTTCAGGACCATCCCCTCCTTTGGAGACTACTGACTGAGGACTCTCCGCAGTACTTCGTAGCGTAAAGGGAGATAAGGAGATACTGGCGTGGCAATTGATTCATTCTGGATCTTAGGCGTCACTTGCACAAACCGTTCCGCACTATACGGAGACAGGACTCAGCAAAGATTCACGCCTTACTTTTGCAATTTAACGCACCCAAGATCTATCCGCAAAGCACATGTGAGATATTCCCAAGCCTAGAACGGGAAGGATCCATATGGCTGCGACACCCTGCCCTCTCGCTCTTATTCAGGAAATATTCTCGAAGACATGTCGAATTATAGATTCTACGAAGTGCCTGTGCTCCGTACGGCCACAACCAACCAACATTCTCGCTACCCAGTAGTGCTCTGCCGGCTCTCATTTCCACTCCCCGCAACACGAAAATCATACGGAGTACCTCCGTACGATAGAAAAGAGACCACCCATGATCCATCTGCCTATCTGTCTATCTTAGGCGCTGAAACATCGAGAGACAATCTGGAAAAACGCGCAAGCAATATGTGGGAAGTTCAGTGCAATTCCAACGCCCAAATTGTCGATCCCGCAGCCTGCAGGGAACTTCTGCGCGCTTTCAACCGGCTCTGGGCAGTTCCCGGTTTCTACAGTCCTTCTAGAAGAACGCGGGCGATTCCCATGGCCAATCCTGCTTATCTGGGCGACTTCGAGACCGACGAGGGGCGGCAGCCACAGTCTGGATATGGGGTAGCATGGCGGCGCCTGATTAGGAAGGTCGATGGCTGCATCCTGGACCTCTACGAGTCTGCGCAGGTTCCCCGCGCGCGACGAGACATGGATGATAACGGACAGACGGGGAGTGCGAAACGAGAGAAATAGGGCCGAGGCAGCGTTTGGTTGCCTATCAGTTGTGATTGGGGGAGGTATGTACTGTACTGTATGGTGTGTGGTGTACAAATGAGGTGATATAATTCAACGATTCTATCGCCAAGTGGTGCCAGAATGGTAATTATGTACTCTGTACGTAGCACAAGCATGGTCGTGTACCGAATGCAACTGCGTCCCTTTTCCTAGGGGTATAAACTGCTAGAGCTACACACCTCTCGCAATCCCATCGAGCTGCCTAATATATCTGCCTACATCAGTAAGTCAAAGAGCCTCACTATGTCTTGGTTCCTGCGTAGTAGTGCAGCCTCACGGTGTCTCGATGTTTGAGTATCCTGTGTCTTTGTCCCTTGAAGTTGGAAAGTTGGAGTCTCAAATAAAGCCGAGCTGATAAGCTGGCTTTGAGCAGGCTTGAAGCCACAAATCAGAGCAGTACTTTGTCTCCACGCGGTCGTCTGATGCGACGCCTTAGCTCGCCCCAAGTAGGGAGAACGCCGGCTGGTGGCGCTGCGACCTGCCTCCTGAGTCCTGCCTCGGTCTGCCCGACGTTTGTGGCGCGTGTCCTTGTTCGCTAGTGAGCGTTATGGCAAGTTATGGTCGAAATAAATAATAGTCTTTGAGGATAACAAGGCTTTTCTGAGAGGTACAAACCTTGGCCGGCCGGCTTGTTAAAGCTTGAGCCCTCGATGATGTCCCTTCAAGCCTTATTCAAGACAAACTAAGACAGACATCCACACCCTTGCTAGTTAGGCCTTAGGCGTGAATAATCATACCCCAGGTTTTACCTCTTATTGCTCGATTGAGCGTGTGAAGGTTTGTTTGCTTGATCAGAGCCATTTGGATAATTGAGCAAGCTCAAAATTTTATGTTGCTGGTGTGTTTAGTGTAAGAGATCATACCTACATTTATCAAGTTTACTAACAAAATGCGCCAAGGTTTTGGACACCCTCTGCCATCGAGACCTCATATGCTCATAATTTCTTGGTCTACGAAGTACCTACGTATAAGAACTATCTTTTACACTTCTTACGTTAAACATTAATCGAGCTTCTATAGTCCATCCTTTACCTATTATTAGTTTCTACCCCCACTACTATCGTTCCTACAACTTCAACTCCTGCAGAGTACTAGTATTCTCGCTGCGGCCGTGATGTGATTGCGGCGTAGTTACCCGCAGGGTTACTTTAAAGAAAGTAAAGGATTTTGCACGAGATCCTAATTTATCTGAAACTTTTGTGCCTCACTTGTGGCTTGTTCCTGCCGCTTCCTCTAGCTGTTACCAGAGTTGGACGAAGGAACGACTGCATTTGGTGTTTAATTTTATTTTTAAGAATGAGCCGCGTGATTGCACTGCACGTCCCCTGATGGTACCCAACCTGATAATGATATGCTCTCGAGATCGATTTCCTTTTTCGCGCAACAAGGATTGTGTGGCCTAGACTTCATCCCATGCCTGTGTGGGGGGAAGCGGGCGTAGTCTCTGACTATGTTACCTTCAAAGCTCTCCGATAATTTTGGAATTAGATTTTACAGAGATCTAATTTCTCTAGTCAAGTAACATTCTTGTTTTGGTTGTATGGGCCGCCAATTGTCTACCTCGATTGATAACGATACACTTTGATCCTTACGAGCGAACTAAAGTATATTTAGATACGGCCCTTGCAAAGTTGTGGGAATGCTGCTTTGGGCACTTGCAATCGCACATATTATAACACACAACCCACCCTGAACTGTTGTTTTCCTTGGCCGTAACCTTATCCACAATGTCGGTCAGCCTGTTGACCAGAAGAAGAAGGATATCAGGCACTCAAAGGATAATCCTGAAGCTATTTGCATCAGTGGGAATGAGTGATGTATTTGCTGGTATATCATCAGCCACTGCTTATTGGTTTTGTAGGGGCGGTGTTCCACGCAGATATTATAAGAATTTCCTTTTCAACGGAGTTTCGGCCACCATATATTCCTGTATTTATACTGAATCACATTATTAAGTTGGCCCTGAGGGAACCAACTACCCTCAGCCGTGAGCTCTTATGCCCAAAATGCACACAGAAGGAACGCCATGTCATTCTGATTGGGTATGTAGCTAGGGGATGTGTCTCATTTCTCCTTGGATATACGCCATAGGGTTTTGGATCACATATATTTGTAGATTTATACTGCTATAAACGTAACACCTGCTGTCAATATAATACCTGCTGTTAAAATAACACACTCTGTCAATCGCAAAATAATATGTTATTAATACTTATGCACCTCTGCCCTGAATGTGGCAAGGTTGTGTAGGGTAGGTAGGCTAAGCTTAATGCTGCAGTGTTGAGTAGAGCAGGCTGACTTTGACAGACCAGCGGCGACAGTGACAGCGGCAGCGACGGCGACGGTAGTGCTAGTAGGTTAGGTAGGACATGATAGGACGACTTCAAACCCTGGCAAGCTGATCTTACTACTACAGAGGTGAGGACGGTATAACATCCCGTTTGTAAAATGACGCCTCATAGCGCTCTCGGGGATAAATCATAAGGCAGTAACGCCGCTGCGAAAACAAGAAGGATCTGGTGAAATTGTCGTATTAGAGAGTTTAAATGGGGCAGAGGGGCACAGGGGGGGACAACAGAAGATGGAGACTTAGACCTGCTGAAGGAGGAACTCGTATAAACCCCCATGCTCCATTCTAGTGACCACTGGCAAACGTTTATCAATTCTGGACCACCGTTTTCCATATTTGAAACTCAAAAAACCCCATTTGCTCCGAATCGAAAGCCCAGAATGTGTGCTTTAATACATGTAACTAGTAGTTCCTTGCCTGGTTTCACGAGTTTCGACACCCACAAGGATGCTTATGCGGAAATAGCCTACATACCTCAACCAAAATGTGTTTAAACATGAAGAGACACCTAATCTTCGATCTCGATGGGGACCTTGGCAGGGTTTTGAATATTGCCAATGAGTCCTGTATTCATATAGGTAGGACTCTTCATGGCCAAGCTAACCATATCTGGAAGTCAATGTGCGAATCGCAGTATACAATGGCGTTGCAATTGAGGATATATGACTTAAGGTGTGAGGTTGAGTGGCCCTTGTTACAGGAGTATAGGCAATTGATAGGTAGATTCTGTGATGTACGATGAACTATGGCCTGCAACAGTGGGTGCCGATACCCTGGAGACTTGGAATGTGGTCACAACACCTGTCTGATTTAGTCGAAATGTAAATAATCTCCGAGGGGTTAACTTATAGTTTCTTACAGTAATTATGATAAGACGTCCATACGCCGCGAGGACTTAGGATGCGCCGTCTGTATAAGTCTACGACAGGAATATTTCACAAAAAACTCCATCAACACCACCGCAATGCCGCTACTATAAGACAAGTCCAAGCTGACTAATTTTCAAAAAGCAATGATCAAGGCCAAGCCCCAGGATCAATCTCGGTTCCCAAATCTCTCTCTTCCAAAAATGTCCGCCCTTGCAACTGCTCAGGCAAATATTCCTGCACAACCCTCCCTTCCTTGTAATTAGGATTATACTTATACTGGTCACCATACCCCAACTCCTTCATCAGCTTCGTAGGTGCATTCCTCAGATGGATTGGGATGGAAAGGCTGGCTACACCTGGCTCTCGCAATGCGGTATACGCGTTGTTCAATCCCCTGTATGCGCGTGTACTCTTTGGAGCTAGACACAACGCAACTGCTGCATGTGCTAAAGCGATACGGCATTCGGGCATGCCTATCTTTTCCGCAGCGGTGTAGGCGCTGGTTGCTAAGGAGAGCATGCTGTTGTCTGCTAATCCCACATCTTCGGAGGCAATGACCACCATTCTGCGTGCGATATATAATGGGTCTTCCCCTGATTGCAGCATCCGAGCTAGGTAGTAGAGTGCTGCATCTGGATCGCTGCCACGGACGGATTTGTGAAACGCGGATATGGTATCATAGTGCTGATCACCGGCTCTATCATATACGAGGGTCTTCGTTAATGAGGCTTTTATCTCATCCTTGGTAATGGATGGACGAGTTGATAGCGACATTGCTAACTCGAGGAGATTGAGGGCCGTGCGAGCATCTCCGTCTGAGAAGGCTGCTAGATATTTCAAGAACTCCACATCTATCAGATCAGAGGGTATATCTTGGCCTTCGGAGGCAAGAGCTCGCTCTAGTATTTGAAGGATATCGTCGTCCGTGAGTTTCTGAAGTGTGAAAGTCCGGCATCGTGAAAGCAAGGCATTCTGGACTTTGAAAGATGGATTCTCCGTGGTAGCTCCAATCAAGGTAACCTGTCCATTCTCCACGGGGCCGAGAAAGCAATCCTGCTGCGCCTTCGTGAACCTATGTATCTCATCACAGAATAATATCGTCTTGCGGCCTGTTAACCCCAATTCCCCTCTTGCCTCTGCGAATATCTTCTTGCACTCCCCAACACCTGAACTCGTGCTATTGATCTCCACGAACCGGCTTCCCACCATCGATGCAATACATCTGGCAATTGTAGTTTTTCCCGTCCCCGCGCCGCCCCATAAAATTATAGACGGCACTCGATCTTGCTCAATTAAACCCCGCAGAACGCCTTGCGGGCCGACTAGTTCTTGACCGATACATTCATCCAAAGTCCGTGGGCGCATACGTTCCGCTAACGGCGCAGCTTTCTGGAAAGCATTTATTTTTGGTTTCTTCTTCGGTGGGTCTTCTGTTATATCGGCAAAAGCTTCCGGCTCTTGTATTGTCGTAGGAACAACTTCGTCAAATGACCGTTTTCGTTGTGCCTGGGTTGAAGGCGCAGACGCGTCATTGCTTTCGGTTTTCAGCTGCAGACGTAAACTTGGACTAGCTTCTATCTTCAGCGTAGGATATACAGTTGCACGCTTCGCTGCCGGTGTCTGAAAGAACTTCGATAGGGAGGGCTTTTGTGATGTGGGAGGCTTTTGGGAAGAGGTCCCATTTTGCTGCGCGGGTGGCGGGGATCCTGTGTCGAGATGTGATGTGCAGCCCGAATCAATGTGGTTATTTATATCTCTGGGTTTAACTGCTTTGCCACAGATTGGGCAGTGAACCATAGTGGAAAGTGGAAAGGGATTCGAGGGGTGATACGTGTTGGTGCTGAGATATCCAACATTATTTGGACTTGAAGACGCGAAGTTCAGCTGGGAGACGCGTTCTCGTGTTGTATGCACGCCCCGCTTCAGGGGCTGCAGACAGTTAAACTTGGCGCTCCAGCTTCTTTAAAATCAACGCCATCTCATAAATTCCATTCTAGTATGGGCATAGAAATCTAGTCTTCTAAGACATACTCGCCAACCAGGAAGTATACAGAATCATTCAGTGATGAAAATGGGGGTTTTAAGCTACCGTTCTTTGGCTACTACCAGCCCGTCCTTACGCTTGAATATCACTTCCTAGAACACCATAATTACCATCATCCGGCACACCCTTCTTGCCAGGCACTGATCGTTGACCGGCCGTCTCCATAGCCTCCTTTTGCATTTTCAGTTCTGCAAGCCTTCCCGGATCATCCTTCGATCCAATTTCAGAATTAAAACTTGCGTGGTTCTTGGGGTTGCTGTCAAACCCCCCCTCCTTCAAGTTCTTTCCCTTTGGATTTGCTGAATTATTGGCCCACTGGCTGTTCACATACGAGGGTGCAGTATTGCTGGCCGCAGTAGACCCCCCCCCCCCGGCAGAACCAGTTTTGTACGAGCCGTCGTCAAGTTGAAAGTTAATATTTTCAACTGCAACATCTTGGTCCTGTCCACCCATGGATGTTGGGTAGGAGACACCAGGAGGTCCAGATCTGCTATCCTTGGCCCTGTCCTCTTGTTGTATACGCTGGTTGGCATCAGATGCAGGGTTGAGCTTTTGGGCCCCGGAAGTATTGGTGTTGGCAAACGTCGAGTTAGAACCTGATACCCCGAGTGGTTCACTGTTGATATTGGAAGAAAAAGCAGCTCCTTCTCTCTTGGATTCTGCTGCCAGGCTATCAGATGCTATAGGCCCTGGCTTTTCGCCAGTTTCCGGCGCATTTCGGCCATATGTGACCTGCACTTTGATTAGACTGGGTCTGCTCAGATTGACATATTGAGCTGATCAGGGTCGACTATGTCTGCTTAGACAATGTCTGGTGTCAACGGCATATGAAGTGTAGGGTCTCGAAACAGGACGCTATCACAGCATATCAAAAGTAAAGCTCCTGGAAAGGAGAGTGGCTAAGGGGTCCTTACCTTTTGACCTTGTGAAGACATGATGAAAAATTTCCAAGGTGGATGAAATAATTGATCTTCAATTCAACAAAGCTCAAATGAATATGTCTTTTGAATTGAATAAAGCTACTTCTGGCATGTCACATATTTTGTTTAGGGGGCTTTATTATAACACCATAGCTGCTGCAAATATGACATAACACTATTCAACCAATTCCAGGGCCTTCCACAACGGACAAAGATCACATATTGATGTGGAGGATGTGATAGAGCTGCTGTGGGAATTCTAGATAATTGGTGGTAAAACTGTCATAGATTGGAATCTGGGTCTGAGGCGACATCAATGACGAGTGGAAAGGAGGGAGGCAACAAATTTTCGATGAGGCGAACCCAATCACGTGTCCGACGATTCGAAGTGAGGGGAAACACATGGTTAGTGGTTGTAAGTAATATCATGGTTGGCCTTCTTCCTTGGATCCGTGTCGACTTCTTCTGGTACCTGGACATGTATGACGTTGATCCAAAAATTAATTCCGCAGTCTGCGCGATACGTGCCTTGTCTTGTACTTTCCTCCGCAAAAAGCATGGAAAACCAAGATGAGGCGTATAGTACTACTATCTACGCAGAGGCCATTGCAGAAAGCTATTAGTCAAACTTACAGCTCGAAAGTAGCATCAAACAACCCAGCACAGGTACTAAATGCACTTCTAAAAGAACCCACAACTTGTCATAAATTAACAGCTATTATCTAGAATCCACAAGCGGAACAAAAAGACCCGTCCCCAATTAAACAACAAGCGCAGAGCTCCAGTGCCGGGGAGTCCAAACCCATAAAGAAGACTGTTGCTGAACTTGACGAGGAACTCAAGTTAAAGTTGGAAAGCATCTCAGGCGATGGAGGAGTTTCCGGCCTCGAGTACGAGAACGGAAAACCAGTGGCTATGAAAAGGGGAGTGAGGGATAATATGTTTCGTTTGATATGAAGTGTAGTTGCAGGAAGTGTATTGTGTGACGAATTTCACAACAGACAATTATCGTATTATGGTACTTTTAAACCTTTCAAGGGAGTTATCTTGAAGTGCCCCATTTCTAATGCGGCTCTTGAACGATACGATGAGGTATTTATCATTGCAGCCAAGGGGAGCAGTTCAGTTCAGTGTTGAAGTGCAACTCTTTGCGGACATCAAACTATTGGTTTAAGTGCAGTTCCTAGCCCTTTATATAATACACACAACTCACCAAAGGAGCTACTTCTTAGTCCTGGCATCTTTTGGCAACCCCTATAAATGCTCCTCTCCTTGCCGTCCAAGGCCACTCATGTTGATACCAGCGGCATCTCTTACACCACTACCCTCGGAAGCCGGTTCCCGCAAGCCCGCTGTAGAATGGGGATCGTTGCCTGACATGGCCTCTTTTGGCATCTCCGCTCGCCGTTGACGACCAGCACCGACATTGACGTTGCGAGCATCTAGAGAGTTCCAGTCGGATGCTACTGGAGGGGTATCGGGGAGATCGAGGCCGGCTTTGCGCTCGTTAATGAGATCAGGTTTAGATTGTTCTGGCATTTCGCTTGCTGGGATTAGTAGTTGGTATCATATAGTATATAGGGGGAGGGCGGATGCTTACATGGTTCGGGAATATGATGTCTTTTTTGGTTTTAGTTGGCTCCTGCGGTGTTTACATCGATTGAATGAGACGGGGGAGAAACTTAGTCTTCATTATATATATAGGGTGTTAGTTCCGCGATGTAATGGCCATGACGTAAAACGTAGAGCCGTGGAAAGCACTAAACTTCATAATAGTGGACATGGTTAATGACTTAGTCGAAACCCACAACTAAAAACGCAGATGACATCAGAGACCTCTTCAAATTGGTATCATTATTCCATCCATGTACACAGACGCCTATGCCGTATATACCAATAACCGCGACTCCAAACCCGACCTAGTCCTATTCATAGCAAGCAGATCATGGCGCCCTTTTGTCTCCTGTCTCTCCGGCCGGTGCTGATGCAGCGGCATCAGGATTCATATAATCAGCTTCCTCCGCAGCCTCGTATTCTGCAATCAGATCCGTCACAACTTCTTTCGCCTCATCGAATTCATTGAGGTTATCGGAAAATGGGGCAGTTTTCTTGTAGCCTTCTATAAATGCATTGTGTTTTCGCATAGTATTATATTTTCCAACAATCCGCTTGAAAAGCTGGAGGAACCACTAGTTAGCTCCGTAACATCAACCGCAAAGGATAGGGCTTACCGTAGCTATGCTGGTATGATTTGCCAACATAAGACCACTAACTCTATGGTTCATTGGGATATAAGGACTCTTTTTGGTTAATGCCACCTGGATACTTGCTGGACCCCAAGGAATGAACGTTGCAAGTTTCCGCTCTCTAATTCGGAGCAGGCTCTTATGAACATCTGTATGGTCTACATCTCCTTGAATCACATTTAAAATTGAGATGTAGCAGCTTTTCTTTCCAGGAATGGTGGATACCATCCGATTTTTCGGTTGAAGAAGGCGACGCATCACATCTAGGACAGTCGTCTTACGAACAGTCTTCGCTTGCTCAACACTGTCCCCTGTAAACGGTGTGTAGGATGTCATGAGGAAGTGGCATCGAGGAGTTGGAATGAGCGAAGCAAGAATGCTAACCAGGTCGTTGTTCATGTAGCCGGGATATCGAAGAGTAGTTGTACTAGCTGACATTACTGTAGATACCTATTTGTAGAGCGTTAGCGGCTAAATATTCTATCGAAAATATGTACTTACTAGTTGGTTGGTTTGTTGGAATGATGGTGCCTGGACATGTAACCGGTCGGCCGCGATTCGAGACAAAGCTCCATTATCCAGCACTACCACAGAGTCCGCGTTTTGTGTCAACCTTCGCATGGATAGCAAGCTGTTATAAGGATGAACGACGACATCCCCTGAGTTCGTTGTGTCTGGGAAAACCGAGTATGTTTGGATAATTTTCTTCGGAAATCGGTCATTAAGTCTTTCGAGGAGGAAGGAGCCCAGACCAGATCCGGTCCCTCCGGCTATAGAGTGGAGCATCATAAAGCCCTGCGGAGGTTAGCTACTTTTAGTTGTTGATGTTCGAGACAACTAGCTACCTCTAGAGAATCACTGCCATCTGCTTCTCGATCGATCATTTCCATAATTTCCTCATGGACCACCTCTCCAGTCTGATAGCCATCCCCCCAGTTGTTTGCAGCCCCTGCTCCGTTATTTCCCACAAAGAAATTTTCCGGGTTGTATATGTTCTTGTACGGTCCGGTTTGAATGCCATTAAGGACCTTGAGAATGATCAGCCATAGTTCAATACCAACAGAATTTAAGGATGGCGTATTTCAGCTGGAATACATACACGGGGCTCCAAATCTATTAATATCGCCCGGGGAATATATCGCGTGTCATCAGACTGGTAGAAGAATACATCCTTTCGATCCCCGCCCTCGGTCGCGAACTCCTCCAAATTTCCATCTTGGCTTATGCCATGTTCCTGGCAGAGCTGTTGCCAAAATTGGCTACCGACTTGACAACCAGATAGTCAGCATCTGATATTTTGTCTAGGATACTGTAGGGAAGTTGGTGCTCACTGCTATTACCGCACTGCCCAGCTTGCACGGTGATGATTTCTCTAGAAGCCGAATTAGTTTGGAATTGAACATCCGCCGCGAAAGCAGATCCTTCACCCACCTAGGCATTATTGTGGCACCGGCAGTAGATCAGGAAGGTGGCTTATAGAAGAAGAAAACCAGATATCAAGATCTTGAAAATGTTGGACTTGGGCGTACCTGTAGAAGTCGCGTTGTGGGTGGGGTCGGCGCACGCGTTTAAGGTTTCCCGCTAGTCTATGTGGAGAGCTTTGTAAATATATCCTCGAGTAGTTCGTTCGTACTAGAATATCTACTACGTGCGTCTCCGACTGTGACTTCACATCGCATCTGCAACACATTAACGAATTTTCCGACCACGACAAGCGCATTGCCTATCCCGGCTGGCTATTGAAAGGGGACCTGAAGCTTGGAAGCTTGCACACGACTTCTTTCACGATCGCATCTCCCTAGCCTAAGGTCGGCCAACATGAGTTACCAAGTCCCTTTCTCTTCAAGTCCGCCAGCCACACCAGACCGAAGATCAGGCAATGGGAAGAAGAGTTTATTCGCCGTATCGAATCCTTCAACTACTCCAGCTGGGCCACCACCTTCATCTGCTGGGTCTTTTACCCCAGCTGGGCCTCCGCCATCGTCCTTCTTCGGCAGCTCTGCGATTGGTACTACCGGCGCGATAAAGCCCCTCTCCTTCTCCCAGCAAAACATTTTCAATCCTTCGCAGAGCGCATTCAACGAGTCCAATTCTTTGCCATATCCCGACTCCTTGCGCTCCTCTATAGAAACCCAGCGCTTCCCTTCCGGCAAGGAATATCAAGCTTCGGCCCATGGTGGGTTCCAAGTTCCCAGCGAAGGCAGCGAAGACGAGGATGATGATAGCGAGGTGGAATATCCGGAAGACGACTATTATCAGTCTCGGGCCCTTAACAAAGCTTATGGCGACTTAGATGCGGATGCGGAGCCTGATGAAGAATATGAAGACGATGCAGATATGGACGACTACCGGTCTGATCTGCCCGGGTCAAAATCGAACGGACAGCACACCATTTCAGATCTGCAGCTTTACGCTCCTGGGGCATTAAAGAGAAGCAGGGTTGGGGGCACGTTGAGCTTGAGGGATTCCTCAATTGATGAAGCCTCGATGTTTGGAAATATTGCCAAGGATCTATATTGCCAGATGGGATTACCGGAAATAGATGAGAGCGATGACCTGATATTGGGTACCGAAGCTATAATTACAAGGCTTTACGAGGAAGGAATCGAGTACCCACGCGATGTTCAGCAGACTTTGAGCGACGTTTCCGAGGAGCTTACAATACTTTGGGCCGAGTACCATGACAGGACCAAAGTTTATAATTCTGAGGAATATACGACTTCTATTGGGCCTGGGCCTAATGAGTTAAACTTTGCGAAAGCCAACTTTCTAGGATGCCTTGCGTTGCAGATCCACCACCCGTCTTCTGAACCCAAACCCAGGCCACTCACACAGACGATGTTAGAATGGATGTACAAGTATCACGATCCTTACCCGTCACAATTTGAGGAGGTTCAAGCGCACAGGCCCAGTCCTGCCAATCACCGGCTCTTCTGGGATACCGTCTTTAACGGGCTTCTTCGTGGGAAGGTGGTAGCAGTTGTAAACATCCTAAAAACCGCCGGGTGGAGACACGCTCGAGCTGGGCTAGACGATATTCGAGATACATCTGGATTTGCTGGTCAAGCGTTAGCCAACGTTGAAATGGTTGTTAATGCCGCGACTCAGGTCCTTGCCCAGTGTCCGGCTGTTAATGGCGACTGGAATATACGTGGTAGTGATTGGACACTCTTCCGCCTTAGAGTTTCTCAGGCCTTGGAAGAGCTGAAAAGCTTTGCTGAAGGCCGGAACAGAGACCGTGAGGACTCGGCAACTTTTGAACGAAGCAGATTCGGCATGCCTAACGCCAGCACAACGGCTGCCTATAGCAGGATTGCGAGAAAGGCTGAAAGTAAGGTTCCATGGCATATCTATCAGAATCTTGTGACGCTCTACAACCTTGCAATGGGCGATACCAATGCCATCGCTGAGAATGCCCAAGACTGGTGTGAAGCTACTATTGGCTTGCTGGTCTGGTGGGATGAGGCTAAGGATGATCGGCGAGTAGCCTTGGGCCGATCTCATGCTCATCACGCATCTAGGGAGTCTGATGGAGAGAGCTATCTGCGCAAGCTTCGAAGAGCATTCGAGTCTGCAACTGCCGAGACAACGGATTTTGAAGTCAACACACTGAATCCGGTCGAGGTTGGACTCGCTTCACTCTTTGAAGGGGATTTTGAAGCAGTTATAGGATTCATACGAGCGTGGTCAGGCCCCCTTTCTTCTGCTGTTGCAGAAGTGGCTACCATCGGTGGTTGGTTACCGCCATCTGAGCCTCAAAATCTTATCGCCATGGGCAGTTTGGACGAGGATGATATGGATGTCCTCGGAATCAATCCTTCTCTTACCAAATCGGATGGAGTCAAGGACCAGACCCTTATTGCTTACGCTAGGTCTCTATCACGCCGGGGAACGCTTAAGCGTTTGCCCAATTTCGGCCAGCCAAAGACTACCAGGGAAGGTTGGGAATTAGCCGTTGCCATTCTAGGACGACTCGACTCTGCTGCTCGCTCAGAAGAGATGGTTTCAGATTTCTTGAAAAACTTCCATCTAGATTCTTCCCATACGGTTGACAGACTTTGGGTTTTACTCCAGGATATTGGGATGGGTCGTCACGCTGAGAGTACGGCAGAGGTAAGACTTATATGCTCGAATATGGAAGCCCTTGCTAATTGTTTTAGTCATATGCCGATCAGCTTGCGGAAGGTACTCATAATTACGGCGAGGCAATGTGGTATTATGCCCTTTCCCACAAGCCGGAGAAGGTCAAAGACGTGTTGGACCTCCTTATCTCGTTTTCCCTGGTGCAATCAATGGCATTTCCGCCAACTGCTGAACTCGATGATCATTTAAGGAGGGTTATAGAATCCCCCAAAACGGCCCTAGTGGAATTATCTCAGATGGATATGGAAGCTGCTGAGCTTCTCCACAAAATGTTAAGCGGCTATGCCACTCTCAGGAAGTTCTATGATCTTCGAGATGAAGAACTCGTGCCGGCTACAGGAAGCAAATCTCGGAAGGGAACTGCGTCGAAGAAAGCAGAAGCGGCCGCCGCATTGTTGGCGGTCATAACAAGCTCGGATGATAACATTCGCGGCGGTTTATACGACGAGGATCGAGGTGCAGTTGTGAGCGTCGACTTCCTTTTGGCCTTGTTAGGAGAGGCGATGGTGTTTGTCAACCAGCCGGATAGTGTTATCACCGTTTCTCAAATTGATATCCTACTCAAGGCCATTGAGGACCTTCAAGTAGCTGGACCTCGAGTATATTCGGCCTGCACAGAATTCCTGGGGACCGTAATCGCATCAGCTACAGGCCTCAAAGGCTCATCTCCAGCTGATATGCTCCGGAAATCAACCTCAAATGCGAGCGGAACAAGCAGCTTCTCGATGGTTGGCAGCTCAATGCTTGCTTCTCAACTTAAGCAGTCAATGGGAAGCAGTGGAGTCTTAGTGAAGGGTAATGTAAAGCGGGGGTGGGATTGGCGACGGGGGATCTCGGCCACCACGACTGGAGATGATGTACTGCGAATCTTGAGACTTGGATTGGCACAGTCCCTTGCGAAGGCATGGCTTCGAGAGGCTGATGGTGTATTGTAGGATTTAAAATTATGTGTTTGGCTGTGGCGTGGTGCATTGCGTGGCGTTACCAAAATGGAATAGATCTATGCTTAAGGAAAGCTCTATTATAGCGTGTATAGTACGCTTTCTTGTATAAATATATACCACGATACCCAGGTACTTCTTCTATTCTCCTTTTCAAATCAAGTGCATTTCTCGTTAAATCGAGATGGCCATCTGATAAGTTCTATTTCAAAAGCTGCAACTACTCCTTTGGAAACGGGCTACTCGTCCTCCAAGTCTATTCAAGCAAGCTATCAAACGCTCTTCCACGGTCTCAAAACTCATCAATCAGAATACCCTTCTCCTTCTCTAGCGCCAACCTCTCCTGATTCGCCTTGACCCACCACGCACGCGTGGGATCACTCGGTATATTCTTCCCTTCGCCATCCACATCATCCCACGGCTTCGGCGCCAAAATATAATGCACATTCTTCACGCTCTCATCGTCCCAAATATCGGCATGCACACTCTCCCACCTCAACGTCTTCAACGCATTATATATGTATGGGAGCGGCACCCACCGGTCCTTGAACAGGTCCGAGAGCAAAGATTGGTCGGCGAAATCCATGTTAATGACTGCGTCAGATTCCATGTGTGCGAGGATTAGGTTGTATATTTCCTTGGATGGGTTCACTACTTGGAGACCGCCGTTCATGAAGCCTAGGGGGCTGGCGGTGGTGGCGGGAGCGGTATATTGCGCGAGTTCTCGCATTGAGTGTTGGGTGGTGAATGCGCAGTTTTCCGGGATCCTATGCCCTCCCTCTTACTCAGTTCCCCGTCCATATCTATTCACCCCCTCATCGTGTACGTATAGAAACGGGGAATCATATCTTACCAATTCTTGGGGTAATGCGGCTTCTTCAAGGGGTTACAGACACACGCGTGGCCCGCCGCAAACACCTTCTTCCCCCTCCCTCCCAAACTCGGTGGATCAAGGTCTAACTCCATCAGCTCGTCCATGTTCTTCATCACCAACATGTCGCTATCCAGCTGCACCACGCGATCGTACTCCTCGAGGCTGAAGGGCGTAAGTTTCGACCAGCAGTCGTAGAAGCGTGGGTCCTCGGAGTAATCTTTCCCTGCGCTGGGGAGGAGATATTCTACCCGCTGTTTCGGGATGCCGCGGGCTTCGAGGGCCACGTGGCCTTCAGGGGGGAAGGCATCGGTGTAGAGGGCCACGAGCGGGTACGAAGATTTGTGCTTTTTTAGGGAGTAGTCGAGGGTTAGGAGGCCGGGAAGGTAATCGGTGTTGGTTATTAATGTCGTCCAGACTGTATTGGAAAGATAATTAGTTCATGATGCGGTGTATGGATTTGGGAATAGAGAATGAGTGCTTGCCTTTCCGAGACTCCGTTACTCGTTTATTCTCTGCCATCCTGGATATAGCCAATAAAGATAATGAGGTTTAGAATAACGGGGAGGTATAGAAATGAGGGTAAATGTAGGTCTGTATACACCCGGAACGCACGGAGAAACACAAACAAACTCTGCGCTCAGCACAACATCTTTGCAGGATTCAAAATGAAGATCGAGAAGTCCTTATCGACTGACTAGTTTAGTCCTCCAAACGGTATATGAACCACCAGCTTTGGCAGATTATAAGAGCACAACTTGAAGCCCGGTTGCTTGCGCCTTATGTTAATATGATGATATTCCGGAGGAACTAACCCCCACCATATATGGGGTTTGGAGGGGCAGATATTGACCCCTGCTGATCTTTGCTAGTATGGCGTGCTTACCTGATGTGCAGGGGTGTGCGGGTGGATAAGGCACCTATGTAGGTACCTACGTACTTTGACTACAAGTGCAAGTACCGGTGTATTTTAGCTCCTTGATTATATATTCCCGTACAAAATATTGTGCCCAGCCATTGGAGTTGAGAATCCTTTCCATCTTGTATAAAATATACTATTATTTTATTTCCTAGAACGCTTAATTCTCTTGTTCGAAACCTTGATACAGCCCATAATCGATTCGAGTTCGACCGATTCACGGAGTACAGCTTTGATGCAAGCCTCGGTACCAAACCCGTTTGCACTGGAGCTAACTTGCCTATGTCGACAAGCACAACCACAACAAGCCATGCGGGTTCCACGTCCAAGGCTACCGGCGGCCCCAAAAATTCAGCGGTGATGGAGAAGAAGGGGAACGGTAAGAATTACAAGGGGTTTGTGGCGGGTGTGTTTTCGGGCATTACGAAGTTGAGCGGTAAGTATATCTAGAGCAGAGCTCTAAATATTATTCTATACAGCAATATCTTTGTCATCCTTGAGTCCCCCTTGGCCTTAATTACACTGCTGTCAGTGTAATTTCTAGTCAATTGGTCGACTATATACCTTGGGAGAAAATAAATACTAACCGCTACCCTCGCAGTCGGCCACCCCTTCGATACCATCAAAGTCCGTCTCCAAACCTCCGACGCGACACGCTTCTCTGGCCCGCTCCAATGCCTCCTCCTCACCATCCGGCACGAAGGCGTCCGGGGGCTCTACAAAGGCGCCACACCTCCCTTAGTAGGATGGATGTTCATGGACTCCATAATGCTTGGCTCCCTCACATTCTACCGCAAATTCCTCCACCGAACCCTCTTCAACCCACACCACACGTTCGCCTCCCCCATAAGCTTTGCGCAGAGCGACATCCCTCTCCAGAATGGAAAGCTGCATAAGCTGCCTACACTTGGACATGCGATGGCGGGCGTGATGGCGGGTGCGACGGTAAGCTTTGTCGCTGCGCCAGTAGAACACATCAAAGCGCGTTTGCAGATCCAATACTCGAATAAGAAGTCTGAGAGGCTATACAAGGGGCCAGTTGATTGCGCGCGGAAAATCTACAAGCACCACGGGATACGGGGTATATACCATGGCCTCTCTGCCACCCTCTTGTTTCGCAGCTTTTTCTTCTGCTGGTGGGGTTCCTACGACTTGTTCACCAAATTATTAAGTGAGAAGTCGAACTTGAGTGTCCCGGCCATTAATTTCTGGGCCGGCGGGCTGAGCGCCCAGGTTTTCTGGTGCTGCAGTTATCCGAGTGATGTGGTCAAGCAGAGGATTATGACGGATCCTTTAGCTGGCGGGCTTAATGATGGGACGAGGATGTTTAAGGGGTGGAAAGATGCGGCGACCGCAGTTTATAGGGAGAGTGGATGGAGGGGTTATTGGAGGGGATTTTTACCTTGCTTTTTGAGGGCTTTCCCCGCGAATGCTATGGCCCTGGTTGCATTTGAAGGGGTGATGAGGACGCTACCTTGATATTTTGTGGGGTTGGATCTTGCATAGCATATATGGGATTTGGGATATTCTTGCATAGAATGGAGATATCAAACTCCACGGATGTATTGGTAAAACATGGGGAATTGCATATACCACGAACATGGACGGTGGTGGGGGAGCGATTAAAAGTTATATCTCACAGCTCAAATGGAAAATTTAATACGAATAAGACAGGCAATTCGAACATCTCGAGTGACCAAACTTAGAAAGTTTATTTAAATTATGCAGGGTATCAAATGACTATTTCCAGCCCTAAACTCCCTAACCCAACTGTCCTCTATCCCAGGAGGAAGAGGACTAACATGTTGAAACTTCCCCAAAATAGTCATCATGCGCCGGAATTCCCGCGATAATATCCGCAATGATACCTCTCCCCGTAGTCGCGCCTTCATTACCAGCCGTCGAGTAGAGACTGCCCTGAACAACCTTGACATTGGTCGCACCAACGTTGCCAGATTTTAGGTTGATCCAGAACTCTGGGTAGAAGTGGTCCCAGTCACCTAGGAAGTGAGGTGGTAGTTGTGGGACAATATCGTTGAAGTGGGTTACACGGTAGTTGTTGCCCTTAGCGGGGGCTTGGCTTTGGATATAGTTGTTGATGTCAACCGTGCCGATATGGGGTTGGCCGAATGTGTACTTTGGAGTGTTAGTGCTGAGCTGAATATTTTCGAGTTCATGGAAGGGGGTTCTTACAATATCAACATTGTTCCCACTGTTCCTAAGTAAGGCTCCCAAAATCGCGGCCACAGCGCCTCCAAGAGAATGGCCTGTCGTTGCAATTTTATAATCAGGGTGTGCAGCCTTAGCAGTCGCAACAGCTGCCTTGACAGGACCCAAAGCGTCATTAGCGGCGTTATTAAAACCCCCGTGAATCGAACATCCATCATTCTTGTTGGCCGTCCCGCAGATAGAGGTCTTGTCCCGCTCAACATCGAGATTGGTCAGAACATCAATGGGGTTGGTTGAGATGGATGTTCCTTGGATGGACACAACGATGAGCTTATGCGTATCATCCACCGTGACATAGCCTGTTGTCCTAGTACCACCACTGCAAAACGTTAGCACCGTGACTGCACTCATGAGGAGTAAAACCTACGCTATGAAAGATGCGGTGATGGATGTCTGGGACGACTCGACTGCTGGGCAGGAACCGCCATCTACAGAGCAGGAAACCTTCTTTCCAGTGCTATGCACATTGGTGTAACAATAGGCTGCTCCGGCGTATTGAGCTAACAGCTTGAATTGTGTGAGCTGGTCCGCGGGGATATCCCGCTCCGCAATATGAGGCAAAGCATTTGCACCTGCTAAGCAGAGGAGCAGGGCATACTGCAAAGACGACCACATCTTGTCAGGTGGGGGAGGGTGGGCGAATGAAAGCCTGGAATGAGATCAAAAGCAAAAGAGGTAGCTTTGATCCGGTTGTAAAAAAGCCAGCTAACCTGGAAAGAGTGAATGGAGAGGGCTGGGTGCTGAAAAGAACATTGAGGGGTGGGGTTCGTGAGTACTTATAGCTATTGACTTCAAAGACGGGTTACTCCTCCATGGTACTTGGAGGGCTGTCAATCCGAACTCTCGTCGTGTAAGCACACCCCCCAAGTAGGAAAGCGAATGACCACAAGAAATACTACAACTAGACTTAAAGTAGGATTCTCCCCGTGTGCAGGATGCATGCGGCTTGGTTCTTACTACTGAAGAGAAAAAGGGTCCGATACAACGACCGACGGCGGACTAACCCATGGTACCTGCACGTCCATGCTTGGATCTTTTGCATTTCCACCCCAGCCAGGGCAAGGCGGGCACACCTGGCTTGGGCTGCCCATGTGGAGGGGAAGTCGTCTCGAAGCGCTTGTTAAGAGTGGTTGAGGCTTGAAACAACACCTCGACGTGTAAGCAGCCGCCTTCAAGGTGACCACTCGGCAACGGCTGGCGAATCCTATTCCTTCAAACATGGGACCTTCTAAACGTTACCCTTCAGCGGCTCTATCCTCGTTCCCTGGGCCTTCCTTCAACCATGTGGAGCGCCATTGTGATTCTTGAAGCGGGTAGTGTGGCATGCGGAGAAGTATCCTGAGCCGGAGCGAATAGGTAAGATCTGAGGGCTCACGTGGAGCGGTGGCCGTGCCGGATGCAGAATAGGATATGTAGGTAGCACATCTGATCAGCGGAGCATAGCACGCATAAGGCAAGTGTACCAAGTCGGCCAAAAGGTTAAATTCACCCCTCTTGCGAGTAAACGTTAGAGTATCGAAGTTGTCGAAGTTGCCGATGTTGTGGTTGTTTGGCAAGGAGATTTTGTGTGCTGCTTGCACGGCCACAGGGGTTCGGGCGGGGTGGTAGATCGGCCTTCATCGAGTGGCTGAGGATCACTCCGCCCCCCTAATTCAGTTCCGCCTTCACACCATCTCTTTCTTGAGGCTTCAATATACGAGTACCCCCGACTCGCCCTCCGCATCGAAAGTCCAGACAACGGCTCACCAAAAGGTCCAAGTCAGGAAATCCGGGGAAACCATAAACCTAGCTACAACGGCATCCCCGATAATAGGTACAGTAAGAGGCAACCGACGTAAGGTAAGCAAAATAGCTAAATCCTTGCAAGGTAAGCACTCCTCCTGAAATCCCACGTCAAAACTCACCGGAAGCTTCAGCTCTACGGAGGAGGATGCACATTGCACATTGGTTCCCCCTCATGGATATATTAATTACCGGTGCGGCTGACGGCAGGGTCACCACTTCTCATCACTTGGGATGAAATTCATTTGAATCATTTTATGCCGAGTCTCATACTCCGTATGCCTGCCCTGGGGACACGCAGATATAGGAAGTGTGTAATTGAGTAACCTACCCAGGTAAGCTTACATAGGCCTTACGAAGTATCTCCTTTCTTAAACCGTACCCTACATAATCAGATTCATGACTCCAAAACCAAAGCTGCAGCCCATTGTATCTCCCAGGTCGATCTCACCCGTACATCGTATAACCATGAACACTTTTGAGACAAATAAGGCTGCTATTTATTTAACGTTTATTGGGGGTATCAACTGCCAGATCTATCTATCTTCCACTAACTCCGACCGCCTTAAAACGCCCGCTCTAAATATGAAATGATTAATTATAATTCTAAAGTCCCTCTGTCCTCATTCCGTCGGAATCGTATTAGCATTCCTGACGTTTCTCATCTAGATACCCGTGGCTGCTCTTCCTCTCATGCCCGGGCTTGATATGAGCCTCGACGCTCCTAAGTCCCACATCTCCAAATCGCTCATTAGGAACTGCCCCGCCAGCACCGCCAGCACCCCAAGCCATGTTCGCATTTGGGCTCTTTTCCGGCTGTACCGCGCTCACGGGGCCTCCGAACTGGGGGAATCTGGCGGTCTCGTAGTTTTGAGGAGGGCTTCGTGGAGATACGGTACCTCGATTGTTTCCTGTGTAGTCGGTAGGACCACCTTCGGCACGGGTTTTGTCACGGCTCCACATGGCAATCAAGACTCTTACGACGCCGATGAGGACAATGAAGAAGTAGACGCTGACTAGACATGCGGCTATGATAGCCTCTGTTCTAATTCCTTCTTGAAGTTTGTTAACAACTTTGACGACAGCGTTTGTAACATCGTCGGCAGCGGCGCTACCTGGGCTGCTGAGGAATGAGTCGGTTGAATCGGCGCCGGGAGCGACGCTGGCGGCTGAACCAAGAGAGAATACATCTGGACGGAATCCAGGGAAATCAACGTGGGCATGGTCATGGACCCAAGTAAGGCCCTTCTCGATACCGGCGATCTTGAGTCCAATGAGACATTCCATCAATCCTTGAACGGGTTTGTAGAGGATTGTGCCACCGAATGTCACATTCAACGCCTTGTTCATTTCGTCGGTGAAGGTATTGAGTGTATTGTTCACGGCGGTTGTTGATGTATTGACCCAGCCGAAGACGTCGTTGTTGATCTTGGCGTTGGTGGTGTTGATGACAGTGTTGGCACCGTGAGCCCAGGCAGCAGAAGAGTTGTTAATTGCGCCAACAATCTCATCGGCAAAACCCCCAACTTCATTTGCAATCTTAGGCACTTCTTTTTCAATCGTCTTCAAGATTATGGTTTGGCAGAGAGCACTGAACAAGCCAGCCAAGCCTAGACCCAGGACAAATAAGACAGGAAGCGTAGTAGCGTACGCGAAACACCAGCGGGTAAGGATTTGGCGTTTCGTGCTCTTGAATTTCGAAGCTGCTTTGATGCCAGCAGTACTAGTGAATGGTCGAGATGCAATGTAGATGACGTCCATCGGGTCGAAAGCTTGCTTCTGAGCCAGTTCAGCTCTCTGCTGCATAGTGCGCCAGCGCCAGATCTCTCGATAGGCCATGGGAACGCAGACGAGGACGGCCGCCAGTGTCAGTACGACAAGGAATATTGTGCGAGCTTTGGAGATGACCTTGGTTAGACCTGAGAAGAAGTCGTTGATCTTGGAGTTATCCGAACAGAATGTCAATGCTTTTTTCTCAGGAGTCGGGAACACGGATTTGTCAAAGGTGTATGCGGCCAGTGATTCGTTGATGAGCTTCTTGACCTCCTCGAATGGGAATCGGATAACGCTGTTGGTGAAATTTTGTACATCGGCAAAGGTTGGGATAGAGGCGTTAAGTTTGGTAAGATCGGCATCCATTTTGGTAGGGTCGATCTGAATGCTATTTAATTTGTCGATCTGGGAGCTGAGATCAATCTTTGGTGGGGTTTTCGAGCTTCCCAACAAACCAGTTGGGATACTGAGAGCGCCAAGGAAGGTATTGAGGGTGTCTTGGAAACCCTTAACGTCGCTGGCCATATCGCCGGTAATGCCGCTGATGCTCTTGTTCATGAAATCGCCGACTTGCTCGATCATATCGATGGCTGCATGCAAACTTCCAGAGATGACGAGGGTAATCAAACAGACGTAGGTCGAAGTCATCATGTTGATGTAGAATAGTATTATCTCCTCCAGTCCGGTGACAGTGAGCATTAACATCCCCATCATTCCATTAACAGCTTTGGTGATGCCATCAGCCGCCATCGAATTAACACCACCTGCGAGATAATGTGGCATGGATGCCATGGCGCTACCAACATGCTCGACACTCGTACATGCTGATAGTGCTTCGCCTTTGGCGGATGTGACACCGCTATCGATCTCTTTAGTTGCGAGGATGAGGCGAACAATGATGAGAATTAGTAAGATAGTCCATCTGTTGATCCATACTTGCGATAGACGTGCTCGAAGACCAAGGTAGGGGGTGTAGTTGGGGATCGTATTTGGAGGAGCGCCTTGATGCGAGTTGTAATCGTGCATCTCTAAGTTGTTGTTGGCGTTCAGGGTAGGTGGTACGGCCGGGTAGCCTTGGTTTTGTTGATTCCATGCGGACGACATCTTTGTATGAGAAATGAGGGAATGTCTAAATCCGACCAGCGGAGACTTCTCAGTATCGGTAACTTCTAGGAGTGGTGTTGTTTAAAAGTGGTGTTGATCTTGTTACAAAAAGTGAAAGGTAAATTATTTTTCGTGTTGTCAAAAAGTGCGGCGGTGGTGAACGAGTAAAAATTAACCACAATAATAAGTGTAGAGGGAGAAGAAAGGAAAATGTTATTGTTCAGGCCAGCTGTTATTCACAATGGCTTCCAAGGTATTATGGAGGGGACAATAGGAAAAGAGATGAGCGAGAACAAAGTGAATGGCAGAAGCGAGCAGGCGGGTACCACATACACTTATAAAGAACCCGACAAGTTACAAAGATGCGAAACTGAAATAATGGTTTTGTTTCCAATCCCTCAACCCCAGTCACGCGCCTATAGCTATACTCAGTCGTTTGGTATTGTCGACTTGGCATCGAGCTGCTTTGTCGCTGGCGGCGCAATCCCAAAATAGCCGTTTTCTCGGAGAGACTCTCGCAGCCAATGGATTCGTGTCGCGACAACGAAACCGCGACTGGAAGCCGCTCGTCTCACTATCGTGGTAACAGGTAATGGTACTGAGTAAGAATCGTGAGTTTGGTACATTTTCAAAATTATGAATGTGGATGGGGTTTAATATCAAACAGCTGGTAAGCAAACCAGCCCTGCACAGCAGCACCAGCGCAGCCATGGCAGGCGAAGTCGCATAGAGCAATATACTTTTTGATAGCAATTCTTCCAAGGAAGTCGAAGTCGCATCTAGGCATTGGATGCGACTTCCCGTTGATCGGCCGAAAGATTACCGTAGGCCATTGTTTGCTACTCCACTCTCACAATGCCAGTCGCGCAGTTTGATTCAATACCAGCCAATTCATCCAGAGCCACGATCAACGTTAAAGCCACAGAGCACCTCGTGGCTCATAGTGGGCGGTGCTGCGACAAAAGCCCTATCATGGCAAGCCTCCATCTGTCGGCGGCCAGAGGTGCAACACGAAACCTGTCTTGAAGCTTTAGTGGAGAGATGGAGACGGAGAAGAAGATAGTCATTTATCGCGGGTCGTGAGTATGTTTCGTTTCAGACGTTTTCTCAGCCGCCTTGCGATTCGCTGTCGCTGAACCCTCGAGGCACAAGGCCCCGATCTTTAAGCGCCATGCCCCGCGGCCAGTTAACGCCAACCTCACCCAATTACGACCACAACTTGAAGTATCATATGATTTAGTTTGTAGTATGAGCCGCCGAGTCTAGGCAGAAAGTTTGAAGTTCATATCCTTAAGCGCCCTCACGCATTCAGCCTCTATCGCAAGGCAGTGAGATATAAGCCTCACCCGTCTCGTTTTTAGATCATCCGATTCTTCAAGGTGACTCGTCTGGGCCTTCTTTGTGAACTTATTCTAGTTGGGCATTTTACTAGACACTCATCCTACAAATCTCCCAATACTCCGTAATACACCAACCATGGGAAGTGGCTTAATTTATTCCCGTCATCATATCATATCCAGGAGACCCCCTAGCAAGCAAGATGTGTCAAAGCACCTTACCTTTCTTTTACTAGTGACTTAACATCCTCGACGGCTGCCCTGGCTATCTTTTTCAAGAAAGTTCTCTCATCCGCTTCTCGATACTTGGTCCAGCCGTCCAAGCCTTCTTTGGCTTGGATACTCAAAGTCTCATAGCCCTGCTTGATGACCCCCGCAACCTGTGCGCTTGTTAGGTGCTTTCCTCTCCGTCCTTGAGCTCCATCTGCTAGGAGTTGCTTATAATGTGTCGTGACGCTGATCAGAGTGTCTATGGAACTGGTGGGCCGCTTCCCAAGGTCATAATTATCGCGGAATTTGACCAGAATCTCACCGGTTTCAACAAGCTTGTAAAAGAGGTCATCGTAGGCAGCGGGATTTGGAAGGAACGCTTCACCAGCAGACAGAGATAACGCGATGAGGTTGACTAGATCATCTAAAAGGGAGTCGATGTTGTTCAGATTCTTCAGGTCCTCAGTGTAGGTAGTAAGGAAACGGACGAGGGATAAAAGTGACCTGAATAATTCCGACCAGTGATAATTGAGCCTCGTCCGAGATCGAGAGAGATGGGAAATGAGTCGTAGAATGATACCTACGCAACGGCGATAGAGATCTACATCTAGACGTCGCCTTAAATTATGATTGATGCCATCGATCATGGTATCCAGGATACTAGCCGCAAGCATTCTATCACCTCGAACAAAAGGCAGATAAGGAGACCTCTGCCGGCAAAGTCTAACCGACATTTTGCTTTCGTCGCTGCATATCCTCTTGCACAACACTTGGTCTTCTATTAAAAGTCGCAGAATGATGAGGTTGAGATGGGAGTATAAGGCTGTCCATAGCGAAGCGTGGGCGTGTTGTAAGAAGTAAGAGGTGACGGAGACGAAGCTTCCAATGGGAGCCTCCAGACCTTTCTCTGCGGGTAGAGTCACAAAATTGAAACAGAATAGCTTGTTCGCATGTGCGAAATCGTACGTAGCCAGAAGGACGGCAGCTTCGTTCCCGGGTCTGGATACTTGTTAGTGGATTGATACTAGGAGGGCGATTCACATACAGCTGCGCAAGCATCTCCTTCGCCAACTCTGGATCGATTACTGGAGTAGCTGTTTTCGCACCAGGGGCGATCGCTCCCAATCCAATCATATTCAATGTCGTGCTAATAGACCACCCTTCAGGGAGATCCTCTTGCAATGCCACATATTTCCCTCTGGTAGCTGTGCATGTATATCCAACCGATCTTATTATCTTTTGGATGGTTCCCTCATTGACGAAATCGTCCAGTCGTAACCGATAGGGATTCTGGAATTCGAATTTGTTGTAATTTGCCAATAAGCCAAGTAGAATAAAGGGCTTCAAAGCGTGCGAAGTGGTATCAGAGTCTTGAATAAACTGTCTACTGTCAATGGTGGCACACATGAGCGACAGGTAGAAAACCCACTTTCATAAGAGAAGGAAAAAGATCGCGGTGTGTAAAATATGAAAGAAGGCTCGTCGAGTGTGCGCCAGAGACAAGCGCGAGTGCCACATCAATGGCTTTTTGACGGGTGCCCACTGCGATTGTATTAGTCTGACTCTTCCAGGGTGTGGAGGTTGCGACTGCCGTCTTACATGCTGCTCCAGTTCTTATTGTGACGTCCAGCGCTGCGACAAAATCCGTGAAGACGGCATCCACCTGGTCTAACCCCGCCAATACATTTATTATGTCGGAGCTCTGATTCGTGTATTTCTTTGAAAGTACTGAAGAAAGGAAAGCCGCGAGGGTCTTCGCAGTCAGCCTCGCCGCATAAACCGGGGCCACAGAAACTTACATCAAGAGCATGAACATCAGCTGGAGCGCTTCCTGCTTTGATACATGCCACCGCGCGCAAAAAGAATTGCCGTGTCTGTGACTACACCGGAATTAGGTCTATCTCTGCAGGATCATTTGAACATGGCAATAACTGTGTACCTGAATCTGTAATAGATCGCCCGGACTCAAAGTATCTAGGATTTTGCGCAATGTGGCCTTGTCGGGTCGCAAGAGAAAAAACTCCCGCCAGAAACCCTCTGACTTCTCATGGCTGGATTCGTCGTCGTCCTACTACAGGATTAGCAATTGAAACGTATACTCAATTCCATTATGGATATAGTTCAGCTCCCACCTTGAACAAAGCCTCGTATAGCTCCACAATCTTCTGCTGGAACACCTCAGGCCGAGATTGCTGCGTGAGAGGAGAAGGCTCCATAATTCATGGCAGCAAACGATAGTATTGTCGGAAGTAGAGGATAGAACGGTTTGCTGTCGCAGCTGGTGTTATTTTGCTTTGTCGAACTTCTTAGGATGTTTCAAGCACATGCGTAGACTTTCCGCAGTAGTGAACAAGGTTGGCGCCGGGATCTTCTACTAGCGGCCGCTACGGGTTCTTTGTTCTAAAGTTATTGTTGCCTTTTCGCCTGAGGCGCCAAATGGGGCTGGCTGATTCATTCCCACACGTGATGATAGTGTGGCGGTCGGTTAGACTTCGGTACATTGTAAATTCGATCTTGCTGATTGGAACAGGTCGGAACTGCTCATAACATCACCTCATTTTCCGAACCATCCCGAACTTCAATGTCCAACTGAGCACCGTCACTACCTTTCTTATATCCCAACAATCACTGTTGCGGATAATCAACTGCCTCATTCAAATCTTTTTCAGCGGTCATCAACATGTCTGTACAACGGGTCTTTGCGCCATTAGCGTCATCGTCGCCATCGAGCTTGGTCTTCAGATTCGCCTCCCCAACATCGTCCTCGCTGCGGCCATGCCAACATGTCCTGCGATTGTTCTCTTCAGCACACTCTGCGCAAACGTCGTCCAAACGGAAAATGCAAACTAGCACTGCGTACCAACCATATTCCCTAGACAGTCAACCTCCGCCGCCACTGCAACCTCGAAACACGGGCATTCCTGACACCTCGATTTCCGGCGGCACGCCAGAGGTTAATAACACCCGACCACCGAAGCAGACTGGGCAGTATGAGATGCCAGTTGGGGAGCCAGCAAAAGAGACTACCAGCATCAGTTTGACGGAGCAAGAAGCACAAAAGTCGAAGCCTACCACCGCGCCGAGATCGAAACCGAGACCAAAGCTACGAGCACGCAAAGCTCCTATAAAACTCACGTCCGGTGCAGTAAAGCAACTGCAGGATTTGCTCAACCAGCCCAATCCAAAGCTTATTAAAGTGGGAGTCCGGAATCGCGGGTGTAGTGGTTTGTCATACCACCTAGAATATGTTGACAAGCCGGGAATGTTCGATGAACAAGTTGAACAAGACGGTGTAAAGGTGCTTGTTGATAGCAAAGCACTGTTTAGTATTATTGGTAGTGAGATGGATTGGGTGGAGGACAAGCTCAGCCAGAGATTTGTGTTTTCAAATCCCAACACAAGTATGTATTATCTCTTTGGAATTACGATCACCACCCACTAACGGATAGCAGAGGAACAATGCGGTTGCGGCGAATCATTCATGGTCTAAAGAGGAAATTCTTTTCAAACGGAGTTTGCGAGCATAGCACACAGGCATTGGCTGGCGTTTTGGTCGGGATATCAGCATCGGCATTGGGGGAAACTAGTCAGCCTCCGTACATAGTAATGTATCACAATGGATCATAATGGAAATCTCCACATCGCGTATTCCTATATTATATGGACTTCTAGGCATTATCGATTCCCTCGGTATCCTCACGTCTCTAGAACTCTCCGGATTTATAATCCAGGGCTCTCACGATCTCAATCACGGCTTCCTCTGGGTAATACTATCTATCATCTTCATTTGCAAAATCAACAAAAAACCATGTCTTAGCAAGCTCTACAAAACAAACGGTATCTATCGATAGTACATTAATGTACACTAAATCTCAAATTTCCTACTTGCTAACCTACAAGAGAAGTGTTATTCCAGGCAGAGACTCGAGGCATGTAGGGCACGTTTGTTGTGGGGTGATGCAGGTTCCTTTTACAGCAAGCATGCAGCTGCAGACCAAGTGACATCACACATCACGAGTCCCTTGCAGGTACGAAGTAGCCACTTTTTTAACCGGATGCCATCTACGGAGGGGCTTGGATCCCAGGAAAACTATGTGGACTGTAACCATATCTAGGGGTCTGATAAGGCTCTAAGCTAGGAAAGAAAACGTGGTAAGCTTCTAGGCTTGGTCTTGTCTTCGTTTTGTTTACCTAGTCCAAACTATAAAAGTATATGACAACCTCGGTACAGTAGACCGACGAAGGTTCCACCCGATGCAGCCACCAGCGGGCCAGTCCCATACTGTTATTCTGGCGCAACACTCTCAATTTTAACTGGTATCGATCTCCATATTCAGAAGTTTCCCATCGTATTGAGATGGTTTTATACTGCAATACAACTATACAGGTATGGGGAAGCGCGGGGTTTAGATATGGTGCAGTCTCGGGCGAATTTGGTGCAAAACTCTTTTCACTAGTATTCAAGGCCTAACGGCCATTACTCAGATAAATCCTGTATCGCGAAATATCTGACCGAAATTGTGATATTCAAGTCGCGCGGATATCTCACCAAAATTGAAGTATTCAAGTCGTGTAAATATCTAACAGTAATTGAGATATTCAAGTCATGCGAATGTCTGACCGAAATTGAGATATTTGGACCCCCACCTTTGCGAAGGACAACTCTTCTGTACTTCACTCACATCCAGATCCTACAAATATATATTGCGTACAGAAATCTCTTTAGTGACAGAAAATAGTTGTCCCAATTTTACGAATCACTGGTCACTTCATGCGAAAAAGTATTAAATTTCTCTCATCGCAACATTGTTGAGTCATTCGCCGACTGCTTTGCTTATTAACCGTCTCAACACTCAAATCATATCGATATTAAATACCAGGAGTTGCAACTTTTTACAGAAAAACCAATACTTTCAAGACTATAGATTACCGGCCATCAACAGTCCACCTCACCTCTTCTAGAAAAATAGAATCTTGAATAGCCATCCAGCATGGACGCAACACCTAGAACAGAGTGCGACTGACTCCCCTCCTGCTCAGTATCAATTCTAACATAGCCCCAGCTTCCTACCCATCAGGGCCTGCCTATTCGATATGGATGGGCTTCTAATCAATACGGAGGACTTGTATTCGCTATGCCACAACATTATGCTCAAAAACTACTCCGCGGGGCCCATAACCTGGGACATAAAATCGCAACTCCAAGGCCGTCCCGCGCATGAGGCAATCGCTCTCCTGCTTGCCTGGGCAAACATCACCTCCGTTGTCTCGGCGGCAGATTACACTACCAAACTCCACGTCATACAAGAGCGGGAATTCCAAAAGGCTCAGCCTCTACCAGGAGTGGAAAAACTCCTCCTGGATTTGAAATCTGCGAAAACCGGAAGAACAGGAGAGAAAATCCACATAGCGCTCGCAACGTCGAGTCATAAACACCATTTCGATATCAAAACCGCCCATCTAGATGATTTGTTCAGTGTGTTTGAACCACATCTAAGGGTTTTAGGTGATGATCCTAGGATTCCCAAGGGGCGGGGGAAACCGAATCCGGATATTTACCTGGTGGCGTTGAATGCGATCAATGAGAGTCTTGGAGAGGGCGAGAAAGAGATTAAACCTGAGGAATGTTTAGTCTTTGAGGATGGAATTCCGGGGGTGGTAGCGGGAAGGAGGGCAGGTATGAGGGTTGTATGGGTGCCACATGCTGGGTTGGCAGCTCAGTATAAGGGGAGGGAAGAGGAGGTTCTGGCTGGGAGAGGGGAGGAAGCACATACTGATGTTGAGCAGCTCGGAGTGGTAGGTGATGGACGAGGCGAGCAGCTTGTAACTTTGGAAAGGTTCCCTTATGGGAAGTATGGGATTGTGGTGAAGGATTAGGTGATTTAGAGGTAAGTGGCTTGGGAATGGTTACGGAAACAATGGATTGACGATTCACGCTTGGCCTGGATTCAACGCTGATGATGAAGCTGGAGGGAAATGGAGTGGAAAGAACCACTTATATGAGATATGGGAATGGTCAGATTAGAACATCCTTACGCCTTTGCTAAAGTATCTTCCAGATTCGCAATTCATAAGAATCCTGACAATCTTAGGTATGGATTAATATACCTGGCGTTTCGGTGCGTAAGCGGAGGTATCATGTGGAATTGAGCTTGTTCTATACTTTACTAAATGTGCATCGTTTGAATAGGATTTAGTCATTAACTTTCGTACTATGGGCAACCGTACTCGTATTACGCCTTCCAAGTTCTAGACCTCCTTTTCTATAGGATACACAAGGGTTCGCACTGGCTATGTATGCCACAACTCCCCATTCTGCTGTTGTGTCATCAGCAGACGCCAACTCTCAGCCCTCGTCGACTTCCGATTCCCCGACTGTCACTGACACCCGGAGACGACGCCTAGGTACGTAGGTACAATGCATCTATCTCAACGTCCAGCAACACCTCTACCCAATAACACTACATGTGCTTCATGCAACCAGCCAAGAGCGTATTCTTTCGACAACCCAACCTTCCATATTTCTGAACCCCTGACTAACTCCCATGCTCCGTCCCATCTGCAAAGGAGATCAAAGCAGGAAGCACTATCCGGGCAAACCGCGAACTTATCTCTGTCATCATGGACAAGTCGTTATCGGCGGGAATTGATTCGTGGTACATTCGGAAAAATGACGGCCAGCGCTTTTATTTGTTAGAGGAATGCCCATCTATTCCAACACCACAGCTGTACGGTATCTACCGCGAAGATAAGATAAGGTGCTCTACCTGGGTTATGCAATTGATTTCTGGGCGAATCTCCGCGACGCGCCGGATAAGCTCTCGGAAAACGAGAAGGTATCTGTGTGCGGTCAAATCAGCGAGGCCTTTACCCATATACGCTCTATTCCCTCGCTAGGCATCCTCGGAGACGCTACTGCCTGTCCACTTCCACGTGGACTCTTTGGTTGGAGAGGATGTAGTGATCCACGCATCTCTAGCCGTTTTACAATGTTGGAGAACTTTCACCAAGGTCTCGCTCTTCATTCGCAAAACCCGTAGGACTTGAATGATCGACGCCCATGGAGCTCAGAATGGTTTGCTTGATGTCTCCCACGAGTTATCAAAGACCACCCAAGCACTTTCACATAGAGTCGCCTAGTCAGGTAGAATATCACGGCCCGGGAGAAGCGGGGAGCTGACGACAAGGCCGATAGGTATTGTGGACTGGGAGATGACTGGATGGCATTCCCGATACTGGGAGTGCGCTGTGTTCTTTGCAGACACCTTATGGGACGCCGATTAGGAAGCTAAGTTTGAAACATTCATTGATCCGTAGCCTCTCGAAGCCGCTATGTTGAGACTCAAAAGATCGACATAAGAGGGCTTTTAATATGGCATCAACGACGAATCTCAAGTGACGTTGTTCCTTGATGATAGCTGATGTATCACGCATCCTAAGTTACACAATTAGTGTTTTGTGTTTTCACGAAGAATATGGTTCCATTTCAATAGTGAAAATTATTACTACACGTACCGGTCGAACAGCATCGTCGGTTGGAGCAGTCTCTATCGGGGCCTCCTGCTAAGCAGCATGAAGCTAGTCTTCTTCGACCTTGAGTGCGAGCATAAGCCTGGACATGTAATAGCTTCCGTCTATTGCCATTATCATGGTGGGGACCTTGAGGCCGCGCCACTCCCTAGTCTATCAAACGTTTGAACTAGCAACTTTATTGGTTATGCGGCGCCTGACTGCCTTGACGTATTATGCGCCTGAGATTGAGAGGCGGCTTTGCTTTCCGAATGTCATCTAGCTATGGAGCTTTAAAACTATAATGAAAAGTGCGTTATATTGCGTTAAAGTTTTAAGCGCCTTTAGTTGCTATCGGTGTTTTAGCAGTGCAGATAACCAACTTGTTGGTGCTCGCCGTGATGTTGGTGACGATGTTGGTGGCTAACAGCCACGCAGCGGCGACTTGTCGGGAGGGCGAATGGGGAACGAGCCACGAGAGAAATATACACTGTATGAATGAGCTCTCCATAATATTCCATCTTCAGTTCTTAGCCGCATTGATCTGCTCAGGCCATCATATCAGTGCTTTACTCTTCAACACCTTGCCCATATTCTTCTTCCCCTCCTAGTTTTATATCTCCACCCATAAGACATCGCCTATTAATTGACACTGGCCTTTCTATCCAATTGATAATGCCTCAGCAACTATAATACTACAAGGTATCCTGAGTTTATTTAGTATTGGTAGAAGTATACGAGATCCGCCTATTCCAGACGACCCTGAATTCCACCACGCAACCTTTGTTGAAACGAATACGTCTAACTTTAGAACGATCTATAATGTCGTAGAAGGTGTCACGAGCCACGAAGGAATGCACTACGAAGAAAAGGAATAAGACGCCGCTGCCAAGTCTGTTCCCCTTTTTTGCAATAGCGAGCAAATGCCGGGCTATGTTGCAGCATCCTCGCACCCCGAGCTCGAAGTTTTGTTGCAGTCAATGCCAAACGCCGCCTCAGCAAATAGGCCTACAATACCGAGAGAAATGTGACCGAGCCGTTCAGGACAGCGCATCCCCTGGTGTTCCATATTACCGACGTAGGAATTTCTACCTTCCTCAGCTTAGGAAAATGCAAGTGGTGGGTTGAGGATCAGGCAATTCGAGCTTACAGCTTATCAAAGGATTAATCAGCTTCTCAAATACCTTACAGAAGTTAATTGGTTACTTCAGGCGCACACCAACCAGCGGATTATGGCCACGGTACTAGCGGCAGATGGGTTGGGTTGTTTGGCCTCCTGTGTTTTCACAGCCTTGTTGACAGAAATGCTACGGCTGACAACAAGAAAGTGTTTTGACAGTGGATCTTCTGTTTGATGATATACTAGGAACAGGCTTGACGATACGTAGAATGGGCTGAGGAATGTCGGGTTATTGATAGTGACGAAGTTTATAGAGTAGACCTGGTTACCTGGAGTCGCACAATGACTGCATAGCCAATATTATGTCTACTTTTGCCTCGTCTTGGAAGACCGCTGTGTAGGATGTGTGATATTGTTTGGCATTGCCTGCCGAAGAGCAATGCTGCCTTGTAGTACTCTAGACGGACGACGACATATGCGCTCCGTAGAGTATCATCACTCGTACCGAGTCTCTTAAGAAGGCAAGTCATTTCATGGCTAGAGAAAGTCGGATCATCCGGGAATTCTCCCTTTAGATATCTAGGTACTTTTCTCTATATAGTACTTCGGTCGCAAGTCAAGGTCTTATAGTGCTGTTATGCTCAAGACATGACTAGAAAGATCGAGCTATTACTCCGTACGCGTCAGGTACCATTGTTACCTACCTAGGTACCTTATTCCCTTCTCCTGTTCCAGTGTTCCACCTTCTCTCGTTTCACTTCTCACCCGGGGCTGGTACGAGGATTAATAAATCGAACTGTTTCCCCCCTATTAGTAATTCATTCATCATGACACGTGGTTTTGTGCCACCTGGCCACCCGGCCACCTTGATATCGATCTACCGACTGCGCGTCCCCATTTCCCAGATTCCTCGATTCATCCCCGATGATCCCAGCTGGAGCCCGGAATCTGGATGCGGTGAAGCTGCGAGCCAGTTTATGCAGCAAGGAAGAGGGGAACCTTGTACCCTGTACCCGGTGCCCAGTATTCCTCAGGGGGCATTCCTAGTGGGTTCTCCGGATGGGACACTAAGTGGGGGAGTGCATCCTTAAACCAACTCTGCTCCTGGAGGTTCGTGATGAAGATATCTCCGTTGTTAAGAAGCTATCCATGGATGTTAGATCGGGTCCTAGGAGATCTTCAAAGTTCAAATATGCCATTAGGGGGAAACTAAATAATAATAAATAATACTAGGTAATGTACGCATTGAATTCGGGGTTGCTCGAGAGGGATAGGGCATAGATCGACAAATAGGGAGGCTGGCACGAAGTAGAGGGGTGCCGAGCGCAATATCGAGTGCAAATGGCCTTAATTACCAGATGGCAATCCAGCTGGTTTAGGATATTACAGCAGGAAGTACCGAGTACTATGGAATCCTCCGTATGCATGCAAGAAAATAGCACTATAATAGTGATCCAGAGGCACAGATAACTTGGCTGATACAGGATAATAATGCGACTGTAAGGTTGTCATGGTGTGATGGTGACACCGGTGCGAATAGCTTCAATTCCTAGCGATAACCAGGGCAGCCTGCGATGCGGGGGAGGGGAGCTCCCTTCACCCACAACAGACAAGATGGGCGCTGAAGTTGCATCGGCTAGCGCCCCCCCCCAGGCAAGAGACAGTTTCAAACAAACCAGCAGGCCCGTTTAACAAGGTTAAACACGCATGTAGTCGCCACTCATGCGTGGCCACTGGGCTCCCTGGTGCAGGACAGCCAACAATGGCGACTGCAGCTTCTCATCGCGTGGTTGCCATGAACGCTGCCCCGCTGTGGCATAACTTGCTTTTTTTATACAGCAATTCTCAATCTAGTGAGCTGGGAATCGACAGCTAAACCTCTCATGGATGGAGGGTGCTGTGGAGAAAGGAAAAAGGAAATACGGCTCTCGTTTCTAAAAGCCTCCCCAGACCCCTCCAGCTATTTCCCCAAGCCTCTTTGCTTCTTAGACATTCAAACTGCTGTTGGTGTATAGAAGTAATGATGTTTTTAGCCAGCGTTTTCCTTCAGGTCTTCGGATCAATCGTCATTCTCATCGCCTCGAATCTGATCTGGGGATATATCAGGTCACCAATCAAGAACATCCCGGGGCCCTTTTTCGCCAAGTTCACAAACCTATGGCGGTTCTTCGACACCTGGGGCGGACGGCCAGATCTTACGCAGCGTATACTTCATGAGAGGTATGGAGCTGCGGTCCAAATTGGGCCTAATATGGTCAGCTTGAGTGACCCAAAGCTCCTGCGCACCATATACAACACGAAAGGAGACTTCTTGAAGGTATTTCTTTTGCCTTTGGTTAAGCCATGAAAATGCCACCGCTGACCGTAGAACAGAGTAATTTCTATAGAGTCAACGACACCAAAGTTGGCAGCACCATATTCCAGACCGTTTTCGGCACCCAGAGCAATGAATCCCATTCGGCACACCTGCGTCCTATCTCTAAATTCTATAAAATGCACAACCTGCTCCAATACGAACCTCAAGTAAGCCGAACAATTGACCAGTTCTGCGAACACCTAGACGAACAGTTCATCGACGGCTCCAACGCAGGGAAGACTTGCAACATGGATGACTGGCTCCTATACTTTGCCTGGGATGTCATCGGCGAACTCACATTCAGTAAACCAATGGGCTTCATGGAGAAAGGGTGTGACTTTAATGGACTTCTAGCAGACGCCGACAAAGCCCAGGATTACTTTGCTGTTGTTGGGCAAATCCCATCCCTCGACCACTGGCTGGCAAAGAACCCCGTCAGACCTATTGGCCCTCCTAGTTTTGACCACGCCGCGGCATTCTGTGCGCAAAAGTCTATTGATCGTCAGAAAGGCACTGATGGCAAGGCTTCTGATCAGAGAGACATGCTTGATGATTTTATCGGGGCTATGAAGTTGAGTCCAGAGCAGATTAATGACAATGGTGTTGTTAGTGCGCTGTTGGTTAATATTATGGCTGGTGCCGATACCACCGCTAGTCTGCTGCGAGCCGTCATTTACTTTGCTCTCAAGAACCCCAGCGTGGTGAAGAAATTGCAGCGAGAACTTGATGCCGCGCAACTGTCTCGACCAGTCACCTATGCCGCTGCTAAAGACCTTCCATATCTCGATGCGGTGATCAAGGAGGCCGGTCGCATGCATCCAGGCGTTGGGCTTGTACTCGAACGTATCGTGCCAAGCGCCGGTCTCACGCTCACAGATGGCACTGTTATTCCTCCCGGTACGATCGTGGGTATGAATTCCTGGGTTGTCCACCAGAACAAGCGTGTCTATGGCGAGGATGCGGCGTCATTCAGACCTGAGCGCTGGTTGAGGGATGAAGCCAAGGGAGAGACTGAAGAGGAATTTCTGCCGAGGCTCTTGATGATGAAGCAAACGGATCTTTCGTTCGGTGCTGGTAACCGCGTCTGTCTGGGGAAGAATGTTAGTATTATGGAATCGTACAAGGTTATTGCGACTTTATTCATGACTTACGATGTGAGTACCCTCCTCCTCCCACCTTTTTATGCTTGGTTATATCTTTCAGATACCAAGTACATTATACTAACCTTCTCTAGATGAGCTTTGTGGATCCAGAGAAGGAGTGGCATGTTCAGAACTCGTGGTTTGTGAGACAGACAGGCATCGATATTACTCTCCGTCGGAGGACAGCAAATGCTTAGATTAGCAGGATGCGGTTTCAAATTTGTAAAGAGCGTATATACCAAACACCTGCTACTATTTTACAAAATAATTCCCAATGAAGAAACATGTGACCTGACTGTATAAATTGTGTTGCCCCGTGTAGAAGCCAAAAACAGGTAATTAGACTCCAGATATTGAGTTCACACAAGACAAGAAGTGAGAAAGCACGGAATTTGACACTTGACTGAACACTTGTTTATGAATGATGGCAAATTTAAATTGACCGGAAATGCATAGAACAATGATAATAACGAGTTTATATCAAGTAACCCTTCTTACTCGCTGACGACTTCGTCTTGCTGGCTTAAAAAAAAATACGCAGACAATTATCTTACTTCCCTTAGTTGTTTCATCTAATCCGCTTCTCATAGGGGTGTACTATGTATGTACCAGCGTGTATGTGTATCATAAACAGGGAAATTATACACATTAAACTCAGCGGAAGCCCAGCCCTTTACCAGAAATCCCCTATCCGTAATGCTACATCGCCTAAAGCCCGATCCCCGATCCATGAGTCCAATCTATACTACTGAGCCAATCCATATCGTCTATGTTATCTAGGGGATCTAGTAATGTAGGATCAAATGGAGCGTCCATCGGCATTGGCGCGTCCGACTGTGTGTTGGGTGGCTCCAATACGTGGTCTAATACCCTGCGTATGACTTTCCGAAGTCGTCCTGCTAATTTGTAATTCCCATCTGTCGGCCGAATCCATTCTAGGAAGCCGATGAACAATGTTAACTTTTGGATAGCATCTGACCGGGAGAAGCTGGGATGGTGGTGGGCCGCCGATTGCTTATTGAGCAGCTCGACGCATATAACTCCAGCGCTGGGTATCCCATAAAATGTGATCTGTATCAGGTTAGCTCGTACTCCCGTATAGAGGCTCGGGGGAATATGTGGCTTACAATCCAGTCAAAATAGGAAGTGAAAGGGATGAGCTGATCCCTCATTATCCAGAACATCAAGGACAGGTCGAGCATATCCATCGCTGTGCTCAGAAGATTCTCAACCGTTGAGAAGCCACGAGCCATGGCAACCCGTTCGATGAGAAACATGTTCTGCAGAAAGTCAAGCATGAGACATGCTTGAGCGAATAGAGTTTTCCCCGTACCATCTTTTGGTATCTTCCCGTTAGCATAATATAGAAGTTGATTGGGAAAGCTATTGAGAACGTGCTGGGAGCGTTGACGTAGATCTCTATAGCTAGTTAGTAAAGGTTTTGGTTTTGCAAGAGAGAAGATCCACTTACACGATGCGTTCGTCGGAGATCATAACGTTGACCCCTAATGCTAGCTCTAGAATCTCCTCCCGAACGGCGGATAGTTGCCAGATTGCTCGTGATATGCTAATATTATACATGTTTCCTTCAGTATTCCAGCCATTAAAGTCCAATCTACTAATTGCAACTGCTAATGCATGTGGTGGCAGGAACAATTCGTCGTCGGACAAGTCGAGGGGAGGCCTAACGTCGCAATAGAGACGGCCTAACATTGGCGGAAGTCCGTTCAAAGCCGAGTGCGTTTTATCTAAGTAATAGACAGCAGAGAAGAGCCTCCTTTTGTACTCTGACGCTGTTGTAACTCTGGTATTGGTGTAGTCTGGAAGCCTGTGAAGTCCAGCATTTGTAGCTGACGTGACCATATGCCCGTGGCGATGACGCAGTAGGTAGCCTGGGTGTAAGGTCAGTGGAACTCCTAGAACACTTGAAATGAATAGTCTAGATAAACCTACTTTCATCCCCTGTACAACTACTCTCTAAGATATGAACATTATAGGTCAGGGCGACCACAATCTCATTTACCGTTTCAGAGAGGTGACAAGTCTTGCGACAAGCATCTGCGCACTCTTTCATCCTCCACGCAGTTTCTTTCCTACTCCGACCGTTGTTTTCGGGTACCTTGAATAGTGGGTCCCAATCTTGCAATGTTAAGAAAGCCTTTCCAAAAAAGCAAAATAATACACCAAGCATTTCGAATCGAAGGTTCGGTCCCATGAATGTGTTTAGCCACTCCAGCCCGTCCTCGGGAGCAGGTGGCAGAGGATTCTCCTCATTTTTGAAGAGAACTTCTGAAATGATATTCAGGTTCTCAGCAGTAAGTGGTGCAGCAAGCTGGGACCCGAATGTGCTCCATAAAGTTGTTATGCAATGTCTGATCATAATTGGATTCAATGTTGCGTCATGAATAGAGAGAGACATGCTAAGCAGATTCTCACAAATCTCTTTCGAGGGAATGTTCCAAAGTGCTTTGACAATTTCTTTTGTACGCTGATAAGGAACAGATGGTCTCTCTCTGCCGACTAGATAGCCACGGAGTTAGCCCAATAATACTTTGGGGGTAGAATGTCCTTTGGGCAGATACTATCCCATAGTGAGACAGAACGGAGCATTACTAGAAAGCAAGGGGGGGATATGGAATCAGTTCATACGTAAGGGTTGGCCAAAAACCCAAGACCCAGGGTGCTTTCTGTATAAGATAGAATAGTCAGCATTGACACTTCTGGGGAATCAGAGGGATGCGTCCTTGGACCTCTAGGGCAGAATTCAAGGGCAGAATCCAGGAGCAAAACTGATCAACAGATGGCGGAACTCATATGTCACGGACAATGGAAATAGGTATTCTTGGACAAACTTACCTAGGATCCTCGCCAATATCTAATAGATCTTCGTTTTCCGTAGTTTTATTCTCTAAATACACCGCAGAGAAACTCGTTGGGCCATAATACTTCGCCGATTTTGGATAAACAGCGGTTTTCCAGCTGGCAAGTCTCTTCCGAGTAGGTTCGCCGGATTGGCCAATGTTAGGACTATGGCATCTGCCACGGGATTCCTCCACCGCACTTGAAGGGGCTTGGAAGCCTTGCATCCCAGAGCCATTGATACTGGGGGAAGCATACGGACTAGGTTCCGAGGCCGAGGGCAGAGGTGGGCAGGATACATTGTAAGTTTGCGGGGTGGTATTGGCCACAGGTGTGTGAACAGAGGCAGCCCGAGAAGCTTTTTGTAGATTTGGCGAGTTTGTTGAAGTCCGTACTTTGGTCATTGGCGCGGGATGATAGATGCACTTTTCAGTTGTCTTCCGCCTGACACATCTCCCACAGTGTGGTGCGCCATGGTCACAGGCTAACTTGCCCTTTCGGCACGGCTCACATGCTTGCCTCTTCCCATTGCGGCGATAACCAACTTCAGGTTCTCCAGGCGACATGTCGAGGGCGGCTATAGATCCATCAATGCAAGGAAAGATGTGTAAGGAAGTTGGGGTAACCGGTCCCGGGTGGCTTCGTGCAGTGCGTAAGGCCGAAGGCACCAGGAAATATGCTGTAACTCCGAAAGCAACGCTTCTTGCTGCCCAGGGAAGGCTAACTATGGTAGCAGAGCCTAGTGAATCTTGAAGGCCGAGAAGGCTAAAATTTGGATGCTTCGAAGTTCATGATGCTGACAAGCACACGCCTTGCTCATCCAAGACGAAGTGCGAATAAGCACGTGCTGCTGACTAACAATGGGCAGACGCCGCAGTGGCGCACCAGGCGAGTTCTGGGCTTTAGTCCCCTGAAATATCTGAAACATATACGAAGGACCATCTTTGAGTTCCTGACCGTACTTGTGCGAAGCATGGAAAAGAGCGCAGCCATGAAATCTCGCCGGCTTCCAAGTGGCTATTCAGACCCAGTCTCATTCAGCTGTACCTGCCCGGCTTCCTCCAATCCTAGTAGGGGTTTGGTTCTTCTCTTCTACCGATATTTTACCGCACTGCCACCATTACCTGGCTATGAAGCTGGAGGTGACTCCATTTCACTTGCTGCCTTTCACACCCGTCTCACGCAAAAGTATTCTCTTGGGGGGAAAATCCGTATCGCCACAGAGGGCTTCAACGTCACCGTTGGCGGCACCAAAGAAGATATCGAAGCATACATGAAGGAATGCATCACCCACTGGTCATTTCAAGGCCTGGATTTAGACACCGAGCAAAAACAACGGAACTTCTTCAAGCCCACTCCGGGAGGATGCGCATGTGCCTTTGGCGGCCTTCCAGCAAGCGTACGTATATCGTCAGAGATAACACCCATGGGCGTCACCAATTATGTGCCTAAGGAATGGGGAAACATTGAGACTTTATCCCCAGAAGAGTTCCATGAGAGATGTCACACGGAAGCCAACACTGTGCTCCTGGATGTGAGGAATCATTATGAGTCCCGGATTGGATATTTTGTCGATCCTAGAACTGGCCAGCCTGCATTGAGGCCGCTAATCAGGAGATTCTCACAGTGGCCACAGTACGTGCGGAAATATATGACGGGTGATGCCAGCGAGGATGTTATAGGGAAGGAGAAAGACATTGAACAAGGGAGACAAATCCTCACGTTCTGCACTGGCGGCATCAGATGCGAGAAGGCTGCCCGATACATGCAAGAGAATATGAGCAAGCTCCCAGGGGATAAAGTGTGTAACCTAAAAGGCGGCATTGCATCTTATATCATGTGGATGGATGAGGAGATCAGGCAAGGGAGAAAACGGGCAGATGAGTCTTTGTTCAAAGGGAGAAATTTTGTGTTTGATGCCCGCGGCTCCACTGCATTGGAGGAGGGTTCGGAACCAGTATCTACGTGCCATGATTGTGGTATCTCTTCAGACAGACTGAGCAAATGCCGTTCGAAGGGCTGCCACCTCGTTCTTGTCGTCTGTTCGGATTGTGAAGATTCAAAGGACCCAAGATGTTGCCAGAGCTGCCTCGACATGGATATTTCCCAGGGGTTGGATTTGCGTACCACACCAAGGCCAGTTTGTACGTGTGAAAAGGAGAGGGAAGCAGAGCTGTGGGACGGGGCACCCCCGGCCAAACTTCCAAAGTCGAAATCTACAAGTGGAAATAAAGCTCGATCTCGGGGTCTGGACGACATCGATACCAAGGTCAACATTAATATCAAAGTCAACACTATCGATTGAGAGATCGAATGTCTAAGCTGTATGATTTAAGTTGTGCTGCGGTATTGTTACCCCCGTATATAAACGGGACTGTTCCATCACACCCGAAGCCAAGACTATGTTCGGTCTCGTACCTTTGGTCAGATGTTATTGTCTATCACGAGGCATTAAGAAGACCATAATTCCAGTCGGTGCCAAAAAGCTTCAGGGCCTGTTAGATTGGAGTCTGCGGGCAAGGAGAACGTTTGAGTTTGGCGTGGTCTAAAATTCACCTTACCAAGGACTCGCCACGCCGTCGCTTATTAGAGTATAAAAAAAGCGGCTCGCCTAAGAAAAAGATATAAAAAAAAGATATCAGTGAGAGAAATAGCAAAAGAAATATCCAATTCAAGATTGGATACCGAGAAACTCCAGTTTTTAGCCTTTGGTTATCTCTGGCAGGTCATCCAGATCATCCTAGGACTTTTGTGTTGTAATAGCGTGGGAAATAAATTTCCCCGCAGCGCCAACACACCTAGGTCGCCTGTCACTTATGGGGGTTTTGCTTATTTTGTTATATATTGATACCTACCTACCTTAGGGCAGCATAAAAGGATTAGAGGAAGGCGATGCGGTGAACAAGAGTGGACGATCAGCAAATTGAACTCTCAATTATCTAGGGCAGTTCTACTCGTAATAATATGCATATGCATCTAGCTCCAACCAAACGCCATAAAACAAGATACATCCTCCCAACTCCTGCAAATGCTCCTACTGTATAGGAAATGCTCAAAACACCGCATTATATACACCAGCTCTACATATTGTCAAAAGTCTACGCCCATCCCGCTAGCGACCTCCCATGTTTTACCATGTCGGCGACATGTTTTCCAATTCCAGCGTTAGCAACAGAACCAATATTAAAAGCATCCCAAAATAAATACTCTTTCGGGTATTTGCACATCCAGTGTCCATTTACTTGGACCAGATCTTCTGCATCGTCGTCTTCGTCTTCGGTTTCACGTAGGCAGGGTCGATCAATGTCCTCGAATATGGTGTAAGAAGCGCCTAACCCAGCGGCGTCGGTCGTACCCTCGTCTTGGAGCTGGTGTTCGATTACTATATCGATGAGGTATTGGGCGAGGTCGTAGTAGAACACGGCCTTTCCCACTGTCATGTGCTCCTTGCTGGGTGGATCGTTGTTATTTGATATGGGCGTTTCTGGTGTTCCCTTGAGTTCGGCTGGTGGTTTATTGGGAAAAGTGACGTTGGTTTGTCCCCAACCCTTCAATTTGACTTCCACCTGGTAGTTCCAGCGCAGGGTAAGGGGAATGGCATTCCTCTGATGTTCCGCGATGTTGCTGGGTTCCGGCGGGGTTGGACGGTGAGAGAGCCATCCGGGAACGAGAGAAGGATCCATGATTTTTGGAACGACAATGTTGAACGGTGGAGAGTGCGTCGTAGTGTTATCACTTGAAACAGTGCGGGAATAGTAGGAGTAGAGAGTGTCCAGTTGGTCGAATAGTTCGTTGACTGCAGCATCCGTCGCTTTCTGAGCTGACTCGAGATCGAGACCGGCGTAGTTATAGATGTCCCAGAAACCTACGGAGATTATGAATATCGTCTTGGCGGGCGTCGGGGATGGAGTTGCTTCATTGATAAAGGATTGAATTTGCGATTTGAGATCGGGAAGCAGGTTGGTTTCTGAAATGTGGTTGGTGGAGGAGCTCGAGTTCGAGCCCGCAACTGCAGATTTTAGGATCTCATTCGAAACAATAACCCCAGCAGGCGGGAAGGCACTCGACGGTTGGGATGCGGCGAAGTTAAGGTAGGATGTGCATTTCAACTAGTATTGTCAGTTTCTTTTCTTTGCTTTCTGCATTCTAAAGTCCAGCCATCCATTTCAATGGATGATGCAAACTTACCTTATCATAAACCACATCAGGCCAGCTCTTCCCCTTCCCCTTCCCCTCCAAGCCTTCCTCAATCCCATCACCAACCCACGAATCTCCAAAGACAACCACCCTAGTTCCTCCCTCCCCATCACCCTGCCGCTGCCCTCCAGATCCCCAACCCCATAACCCATGATTGCTAACGCCCAAGCCGATACTCTCCAACTGCGTACTGACAGGCGATCGATTTATAAAAACCATAGTTACTGTAAGTGAAAACACAACCAAAAGGATAGCGGCGCCGAAGCGCCGTTTGAATGTTGCCATAGCTGCGAATATGCCCTCCACTCCACCTCCGTCCTGCGAATATAACCCTCGAAATGGGAATTGGATGTGAACTTTCTGAAAGTTAAGTTGCGATTGCGAGTGGCGAGGCTACTGCAATTCTTCTAGCCTCGTCGGCGCCGCCAGCCAAGCAAAAGGCACGCGAGCAGCGCTGCTCGTCCTGGGCCAACCAGTTCAGGGTCGAGAATCGCGTGGCGCCAAGTTCCCGCTCAGGAATAACGTAACCCCCAATTGTTCGTCCTCGTCGGCTTGCGTTTGGTCAAACTGTCAGCCTTGCATGTCCTTTGAAGACGTTTGTCTGTCTGCCCAGGCTTCGAAGGAAAGATGATTGAATGAAAAGACCGAGAGGAAGAGAGTTCAGAGAGCGACTCGTATGTATGTATGTATGGGGTACGTATTGGAACAGGGAGAGAGTGGACTAGATCTTGGCTGATGCGGATGCCGCCAACCGCCACTCCCCAGCCAGAGGTCGAGAGAAGGAATCTGCACCAGAGAGGGAGACTCGCCCCGATGTGGGCGTCGTCATCCAAGCATTGAAAAGCAAGCTACAGTCTGCAAGGCGCCCCTAAGTTTGGAAAATATTGGGTCTGTTTGCAACAAGGGCCTCTAGGAGGCGCGGTTTCGAAAATTAGGGCCGGCGATTATTTTCCGAGTTCCGGAAGAGGGACATTTGGACACGTTTGTTTATTGGATATTGCGTGTCGGATACCATTGAGGATTTGTATAGATATTATGTTTGTAGGGAGTTGATACCGTGGATTGGAGCCGTCTGCAGCCTGGTTGATCCGCACAGAGAGACTCCGGGGGAGATGAAGCTGACTATGCTGATGCAAGGTACGGGATGGATATCCGGATTGGCCATGACTCGGGCCCGGGATTGTCTGGGTCCTTTGTAGTTCCTTGGTGGGAGGAGGGATTAATCACTCGGATAGCGGTACAGTTATAACTTCGAGGTTCGTGAATAGGAGAAGCCAAAAGGAGGGTATTTCACTGCATCGGTTATTTAAATGATTCGTATGGCACCCCGGAATTAACTTTGTACGCTTGCATATTGGTTTTGGAGGCTTCACTTAATTCTACTACTCTAGGTAGTAAAAAAAAAAGAACTTCAGGAAGAAACGTGATGCTCAAGGCACTGAGGTGCCCCTATACGTAGGTAGGTATATTCAATGTTTACTTTACTTGCTGTACACATAGATATCTATCTACGTCGCAACAGCAACATCAACAGGATGCTCTACACACAAACGCCTAACCATGCAACGCCAAACTCAACCTCAGCAATCACCACCAGCCCAGATTTATCTTTTCTTCGACACCGCGCCGCTCAATCGCTGCAGCTTCGTGGGGGGAGGCGCATCGCCGTCCTCGCTCTCGTCCTCTAAATCGTCATCGTCGTGGTCGACTTCATCCTCATCGCCAGTGTCATCGTCCGTCTCCTCGGCTTCGTCGTCTATCATATCGTCCTGAGAGCTTTCCTCTTCCTCATCCTCGGAGTCTGCAATCACCCCGTTGGTCATCGGCATATCATCTGACACCTCGCTGTCATCCTCGAGATCTTCGAGATTCCCATTCCGAGTAGCCTTGGCGTTCAGCGCCTCGTCGTCGCTCTCCTGTCCCTCGACATAGATAATGCCCGTATCCTCCTCATCCTCATCCATCCGTAGGCGTTGATTCTGCATGTTCTTGCGCAGCTCTATCTGCGCCTCCAGCATATCCAGCTTGCCCTTAAGTGACAGTAGATTTTGCAGACCCTTCGCTCGCTCGTCGATAACCCTATTCAGCTCGGATAGCTTCTTGATTAAGTCTGGCTGCGTCGCCAGATACCCGCCGTGCGTCACCAGCGTCCATTGCACCCACACCATCAAAGTCCCCGCTCTCCCAGGCCTTCTATGCAAGCGCTCGGCAAGTTTTTGAAGTAATGTGCCGGCGAGGGGGGAGTCGAGACGTTGGATTGTCGCTCGGATGCTGCTGACATCGGCGGTATGAAGGCAGGATTCCAGCCACGCGACATCGTTCGTCCGGAGGGCCTGCGTGAGCACTGTACCAAGCGACGCGCCAGACGGCGGCTGTATTTGCTTGCTCTGGGGGTAGAGGCTGCGAGATGAAGGTTCTTCAAATGCGCCCACGACGTCGATCGGCTCCTCCGCGTTTGCTCGGACAAGATCACCTAGACTTGGTTCGCCGCTGTCTCCGGTTTCCTGGGGTATTGAAGCATCCGCATCTGCATCTTCCATGGCGACATCATCCCCCTCGGCCTCCGAATCCTCCCCTTCCCCCTCCTCCTCATTATTCGAATCGCTGGAGATTTCGACTACATCCTTTGCACCATTCACGCGTGCCTTGAGACCATTCGCATTCCCGCCACCAGAAACCACGGTCTTTGACTCGTCCAAGGTACCATTGCCTGCGACCTTTGCGCTCTGGTTGAGCTTTGGCTGGGCGATCTTCTGGGGGAGTTTCCGTTTGGTCGACATGGCTAGAATGAATGGGTGGGTGCTGGACGTAAAGATCGTAGATGGAGAGGACCTGGCGGTAACGGTGCGTGCAATTGGGTGCTCTGTCTGGTCTGGTCTGGTCTGCTCTTCTCCCCTCCCCTTCTCCAGGTATCCGCACAGGCCGAGTGTTTGCGTAGAGGAGCGGTGGTGGTGGTGGTGACACTGGGGGCTTCTCAGCGCTCAGTAGGTATCGGATCGTATCGAACTTTATCGTGCACAGAAACTTTTTCTTTTGAGCTTTTTTGGCTATCGTGTGCATGGCCCATGTTCACGCTGCCCCTATGCGGCCTAGTGGCCTATTAAAGCGGGTCCCTTCTCGCGCTTTTTCGCTTTCATCATTTCGTTCGGTTGTGCAGCGCGGATGGAGTGAGGATGGGGGTGGTGCTATCAACGGTATCAACATTGCCAGCCTTTTGTCTGCAGCCGCCACACCACCCAAAACCATTACCGATCTCCCCGCCACCTGCAAACAACAACTGGAAAACAAAACCAGCAGCCACCGTAACCCTATCAACACTCCCCGGTGTCCCCCTATCCACCCACTGCGCCACGCCCTGTCCTGCATCGCTCGCAACTCATTGGCCCGCGGCAGGGTTAAAGGCTGCTAGTCCGGCGACAGGCTCCCAGTGCCTCCCACGGGCGCAATAAATACTAAAAGGTTCCGCGTCGCTCAGAGTATTGATCTGAAATTTCCTTGAATTTGCGATCGCCTCTCATTCGCCCATAACCCTCATCCTTCCACCTTCCCACCGGCCACGTCACATGATCACCCGGTCTGCGATAGCTCCAGCTCCAGCTCCAGCTCCAGCCCCAGCTTCAACTCCTCGACCTCGATAATCCATCTATCTACACTTTGCCGCGCAAAGCAGCTGTCGCGCATAACCTCTAATCCCGCAGTCGCAGTCGCAGTCACAAGCACAGCTTTGCATCCATCGCTGCTCCAGTGTGTATTTGGCAGTGTCTCCTTGGCTGGCTGTACCTGCTCCCCTGCTTGCACCCAGCTCTCGCGACGCGATTATTGCTTCAACCATCACCACCGCCCTCCCCCCAACGCGTCCCTACAACAACACAACCACAACCACAACACACGACAACAACACTGCCTCATCGTCGCTTGAACTACTCCCAAACCCCCGATCCTCTCTGCGCATTCCCACAGAACCAGCCGTGAGTCAGTAACCGGATTTTGCCACTGCGCGCGAGGCTATAAATTCGTCGCCCCGCGAGGCTCCCGTCTTTTGCGACAACGAGGATTATTGGCAGTGACTTTGCGCCGCAGCCTCCCCTCACCTTTCGCCGTGGTCTCCCACGCCTGCTTCACCTTGCTATCGCTGTTGCTTGATTGAAACTTGCCTGTGGTCGTCATTGCGATTTAGTCCGACGCGTCGCAGCCAGGCTGTGACTGTCGATGGCCGTAATGCCAACCCACCAGTCTGAAGGAGTGGCTTTCGAAGAGAAGACACAACCCGTACCATCAGATTCGATGGCTTTGGATTTAGATATCAACGGGTGAGTCTACCTCGCGCTCTATTTGCTCTTTCTCTCTCTTTCTTTCCTTTCTCCATCTTCCTGTACACTTAACTTATCCATGAATGAAATCTTTGCAGAGAAACAAACGCAAATCAACATGAGACCACCTTTGATTCCACGTCGCCCGAAGTCGCCCTGAACAAGCATGTCGAGATCTCCTCTTCAGCCGATGTAGAGGTGGATTCGCGTGCCTTGGAGGTGAACGGTACTGCCAACAGACTTGCCTTTTCTGAAAACCAAGATATAAGCGTCTCGCCAGTTGATATACCGCTTGAGTCGCAACTGACCGCTGATACCTCGCCTTCCGCGCCCAACTCCTCCCACTTCCCAGACACAAACACCACAACAACTGAGGTGGGAAAACTATCAATCTCGCCCGAAACACCACTCGCCTCTGCAGATTCCATCCTCGAATCGGCCATGGACGACGTCGCAGCAGCTGTCTCCTCCATACCACCTGTGGTCGAGGCGCAGAACTCCGATCTTCGAGATAGCTCGATTCCTCCCCCACCAGCCGATTCTCACTTGTCAGAGCAACAACCACAGACCGATCTCAGTTCTCAAGACGCGCAAGTCCTCCCTGAAAGCACTGGCAACACTGAGCAACCAGCCATGAGCGAGGACATCCCCAAGCTCCCAGTTGAGCAAAAGCTTCCCGATCTACCAAAAACTGCGGCTCATGACCAGTCTGTTCAACAATCTTCGACTGACGTTGACATGATCTCCCCAGAACGAACTGAACGCGATCAAAGCATGACCTCCCCCGCCCCACCTGAGCGCGACCAAAACATGGCATCCCCACAGCTGGTTGAGCGCGATCAAAACAAAACCTCCCCGCCGCTGGCTGAGCGCGATCAAAGCGCGACATCAGCACCGGCAGCCGAGCGTGATCAAAACATGGCATCCCCACCGCTCGTTGAACGCGATCAAAATACAACTGGCGACGCGACAAAGGCGGCCAGTGACATAGAGATGAACGATAGTTCACAGCAGTCTGCCAAGGTCGCACGTGAACGTGAGGACGATGACGAGGCTGGACCATCTGCTAAACGGCCCAAGACAGAAGAAGCAGCCGATACTGATGCTGGAATGTCGATGATAGCTCAGCCACAAAATGGTCCAGCAGCACCTGTTAAGACCGAGGGAACTCCGATTACACCTTATCAGACCAAGGAAATGATCAAGATCTTAAAGAACGTGGCCAAAACCGCAGCCGGGAAGAACTTCAGACTATCCGTGAATGTGCTCTGGCCAGGTTTTGCTGAACCATATTACGCGAAGATTTCTGATCCAATCGATCTGAACGAGATGGAAGTCAAGCTTAAGAACAAAGCCTACCCCGATATCGATGCTTTCAAGGCTGATTGCGAACTTGTTGCCGAGAATGCTCTCAAGTTCAACGGAGCTGACCACCTAGTTACAATTGCAGGCCAAGAGGTTCGAGATTCCCTATTGGAACGAATCGCAAACATCCCTCCTGAACCCGCTCCAGCTCCAAAGAAAGAGAAGAAGCCAAAGAGATCGACGCCAGTGGCCGAGGCTCCTCGCCCAACTGCCCGAAGAACATCCAGACCTGCAGCTCCAAACGCAAGTGTCAGTGTCCCTCCTGCTCCTACCTTTGCACTGGACCCTTCCACCAGCACCCCCTTAATCCGACGTGACTCTACCAAGGGCGATGGTGGGCGGCCAAAGCGCGAGATCCACCCACCCAAGAATAAGGATCTTCCTTACTCTATCAAACCCAAGAGCAAGAAATTCGCAACTGAGCTGAAATTCTGCGAAGAGGTCTTGACCGAGTTGAAGAAGCCCAAGTACGCTGCCATTAGTCATCCCTTCATTGAGCCGGTGGATCCAGTAGCTCTAAACATCCCGAATTATTTCACAATCATCAAATCCCCCATGGACTTGTCCACTGTCTCTAAAAAGCTTAGCCAAGGTGCATATGGTACTGCCAAAGACTTCGAAAAGGACGTCAAACTCATCTTCGCCAACTGCTACAAGTACAATCCTGGCTCTAATCCTATTCACCAATTGGGCAAGCAGTTCGAGGAATTATTCCAATCTGAATGGGAGAAGAAGCAGCAATGGATCGCTGAGCATTCGCCATCGGCTGCCCCTTCCAGCCCAGCTGAATCGGAGGATGAAGAGAGTGACGACGAGGAGCACGAAGAGTCCACTGCTATTGTTGGTGGTATGAGTTCGACTGCATTGCGGCTGATCGAAGAACAAAAGAAATTGATTGATCTGATGACAGCCAAGAAGAAGGATCCCGGCCTCATCCAAATGCAACAAGCCTTGATCGAGGTGGTCCAGAACCAAGTACAAAAAGAGTCTCAAGCAGTCGTAAAGAAGCCGAAGAAACCCAAGGCGTCGAAGCCGAAGAAGCCTGCTCCTGCCAAGAAGGGTGGCAATTCTGGGAAGAAGTCTGGAAATCGCCAGAAGTATCTAGGCACCGTCGAGAAAGAAGTCATCTCTGCTGGTCTTACCTCATTGCCCGATGATGTCGCATCCACTGTGTTGGACATGATCAAGGCAGACCAACCAGGAGTTGATGTGAGTATTCGCGAGGATAATATTGTGAACCTAGCTAATGATTACCAGATCGCCGAGGATGGAACACTGGAACTGGACATCGATATTGTCAGCACCCCTACTCTGTGGAAGATCCATGGTCTCATCATGGAGTATGCTCCGGAAGTTGATCAGCAAGTTCGACGACAATTTGAGGAGCGGGAGGCGCCCCGTGCTCTAGCTAAGCCCGCAGCAAAGAAGAAGAACAAGCCTATGAGCAAGACCGAGCAGGAGCGGAACATTGAGACGCTAAGAAGCCGTGTGCAAGAGTTCGAGAGACAGGGTTCTGGCTCACAAGAACCTGTCATTCCAAGTTAGTTGACCTACCCGACACAATGATTCTTCAATCTAATAGTATATAGCTGTCGAACGCCACGAACAGGATTCTAGCGGCGATGAAGATTCCGACTCTGAAGAAGAATAAGCAAAATCCACCATTCACCCATGCGCCGTTATGGACCTGGTCACCCATCTCGCCACTCCCAAAACTGCGACCTGTTATGACTGTATCACCATTCACCTTATGTCGAGTAAAGTACCAAAATCCTGTATATTACGCATTCAAAAGTCGTCACGTTTGCATCGATGCCCCGCCCCAGCGAAATCGAGGCTATCCCACTTCGTATGATACGTTTGCCGCTTTGCGCATCGACGAAAACTGCCTGTCTCGTCCCCAGGCAGGTTTCTTTTCCAGTTTCACAAAGACGAATGCCTTTGCTCATGCATCTTGCCTCATCCGCTGCCTCGCTGCACGACATCTGTGAGGCGAGAAATATGGAATGTGAGAGGCAATCACATTCTATCAAATAGATCACTGTTGAGGGGGTGGCATTTGCGAAGATGCAGGAGCGTGGAGGTGCGGAAATGAAGATAATGCCCTGCTGTTGCTACTTTTACGATGCCCTTCGTGCGCGCATGGTTTGCCGAGGGTATGCCCTTGAAGTAGCGGCTCGTATGAACAAGTAGAACCAAAAACAATAGTAATCTTGAAATGATAAACATACGTGCCTTGTCTTGCGTGTGATTTGTGATGCTCTGGTTTCCAGTTGCGCCGACTTGGCCTAGTAGTAGGATAGGCTGGGGATGTTGCACAATCATGCAAGTGTTCTGTGGTTCGTTTCTAAGCTACCTAGCTACGATATGTTCTGCTCTATTGCTCTACAAACCCTAGTAAATGTGCCTATTGTTCAGAACTCTAGTATGATGTCGTATGCCACGGATTGACTAATGTGGAGTAAGTAGGCAGCGTGTTGGACGACACATCAAACTCGAGATATCCAGCTCAAATACGTCACGAAACGGCGTTATTATCCAGGAACGCGAAAAGGCTTTGAGTTTATCGTCTACTCTAGCCAACCTCATGAATCTAATACTTTTGTTCCGCACGCGTCCAACCAGACTCAATGCTCAATATATTTCTTCAAATCCCTCAACCTCTCCTTCGCCCTAACCAAGACATCATCTTCCTTACAAACCGCAAACCTCAACCAATCCTCCCCAATATGCGCATTAGCATCTGTATAAAATTCCGTCGGCGGGATAGCAGCCACGCCCACCTCCTGGATTAGGAACCAACTAAGCTTGAAATCCCTCGGGCGGTCCTTGACATGGTCGGGGAAGGGGTAGTCCGCGGGGACTTTGACTTTCTTCATGTTGACCAGCACGAAATATCCGCCTTCTGGGTCTGAGAATGGGAGGTCCAGCTCCGCCCAGATCTCGTTGAACATGTCCACCTTGCCTTTCATTTCCTGGATGGCGGTTTCCCAGAAGTTGTTGGCGTCTGCTTGCTCGAAGCCTACTGCGGCGGCTTCTTGGAGCGGCGAGACCGAGGAGTAGCAAATGCGTGTGTGTGCCGCGGCTACGTATTGGATTAGATTGGGTGGCCCGATGAGCCAGCCTACTCGCCAACCCGTGGCGTAGAAGTTCTTTCCCGCAGATCCGACTGTTAGAGTTAATCTTTCGACCTCCGGTGATAGAGTGGCGATCCGAGTGAAGGGCACGTAGTATAGCCGGTCGTAGACCTCGTCGGAGAGGATGATGATGTTATTCTTAACGCAGAGCTCGCCTATCTTGAGTAATTCCTCCTTGGAGAATACTTTACCGACGGGGTTGTGCGGGGTGTTGAGGACGATCATCTTGGTTTTGGGACTGATAGCTGCTTCTAGCTCGGCGAAGTCGATCGTCCATTCGCCTGCGGAGGTGTTTTGCGTGGCCCCGTTTGGAGGTGGGTGTAGAGGCACATAGACAACCTTCCCGCCTGGCATTTCGATGTTGGAGATGTACCTTTTCGTTACGTTAGAGGGATCTAGTACATGGATCTTGTTTGGGCCTCACTGGTCGAAGAATGGCTCAAAGATAATAACCTCGTCGTCCTTCTCAATAAAAGCCATGAAGGCGCTCAACATCCCTGGGGTAATTGATTTAGTATCTCTTGGATTTCAATTCACGTGGTTTACCACCAACCTTCATTTGCCCCAGTGGTAACCGTGATCTCGGTGTCTGGGTTTAGCTGCCTCCCCCATAATGGTGTATAGGCATCTGCAATCGCCTTCTTTAGACGTGGCCGTCCGCGCGTGGGAGAGTACTGATTGCATTCAACTTTGTCCAGCGCTTCCTTGGCAGCGTTTATAATGAACTGCGGTGGGTTGTACCCAAAGAAGCCTTGTCCCATGTTAACAATGGGCTGTTTGGGAGAGGCTGCCGCAGCTTCATTGACAATAGTCCTGTGCGGTAATGTTAGAGATCAAAGGTCGATGGATAATTGGGATATCAACACGGGCCAGAACGTAAGGATTCATTGTCCAGGAAAAGAGCGAAATGCTCCTAGCTTTTGAATAGCATCCTAATCGACAAGCTGAGACGATGTACATGCACCAGGCCGTACGTACCACACATCCTGCCTCCTGTGAGCCACTCTAGCAGCGGGTTGGAGCTTCGCCCTCGGATCCATGGTGGGGGTTGAATAATGCCGGCCAGCAAAGACTGATCTAACCCGGAAATGGGAAATATTTTGTCGAGCAAAACGAGAGAGACAAGATCGAGGAATCATGAAGTACTCGTAAGACGAGTCCAATCATATACTATATATACGATGCGGAATCTCCCCGTACCAATAGTCAAAAGTGGATTCGGCGCACGCAATTGAGTCCAAAGTTAAGTTATCCCCCCGCCTCCCGGTCTCGGCGTCGTCGGGCAGCAGCATGTAAGGTTGCGAGCCGAGCTCCGGCTGCAAATAGAAAATCGGGTGTGGCCGCATCAGTTGTCAAGCGGAGGGAATTAACGTTGCGCCGGGTTTGGCGTCCTCGGCCCAGCTCTGTCAACATGAGCTACTCTGTATCTTATGAATGGACTAATCGCAGCTCAATCACGCTGCTATAATGGCTTTTGGAGCTGTAAATATTCTATCAGAGAGCTATCGGCCGCTCTGAAGTCTGCATGACCACATGTCACCAAGCTGAGCCTTGAACTCCTATCCTCCTCCTGCTCCTGAACCGTCCTCCAATGGAGTCCTCGTCCCCCAAGGCACCTGCGAATGCAAACCCTCTTCGCATCACGGTCCGATTTACGACCTCTATTCCCGATCTGTTGCTGGACATTTCTGACCCAGATGCGACGTCCGTCGATGCGTTGAAACACCTGGTTCGGTCAAGGCTTGAAGCGCCTTCGTCCCTACGTCGATTACGATTTATATATAGCGGGAGGCTGCTGAAGGGTGATGATATCCTTTCGGCAGTCTTGAAGATCCCGCCTCCTCCGCCGCGCGCTCCCGATCCAAATGGCAAGGGCAAGGCTGTTGATCTCCCGCCTATTCGCGTCTATATCAACTGCTCTATCGGTGATGAGCTGAGCACAGCTGAACTTGCTGCAGAATCCCTCGCCGCAACTACACCATCAGAGAAGTCTAGGAAAGGAGCGAGTGGCTCGAACGATGGGAGCTCTTCTCGAGCGACGGCGACGACAACGCCTGCTCCCAGAGGGTTTGATCGGCTTCTTTCAGGCGGCTTCACCCCAGCAGAAGTAAACCAACTCCGACTACAGTTCCTCTCTATACAAGCGAATATACATACACCAGACTCGATGCCCTCACCGAATACGTTACGACGCATGGAAGATGCTTGGATAGATGATAATGCTGGAAATGCTGGTCCGGGAATGGGAAATGGAGGGTTTGATTTTGGAGATGATGGGCTTGGCGGTGGAGCGTTGGATGACCTCCTCTGGGGAAACGTAATGGGCTTTCTCTGGCCATTAGGGTGCGTGGGATGGCTGATGAGGGAAGGTGGGATCTGGTCGGGAAGAAGGAAAATTGCCGTCTTTACGGGCTTCGTGCTCAGCCTCACATTTGGCATGTTGAGAACGGTCTCGTGAAGCCGATGGTCGGGATGTTATCGAACCATTCGCCCAGACAGAACCAAGGTTGGTATAAGTGCAGTTGAGAATCTACCCGACCCGTTTATCAAGCCTCATTTTCGGAAGTGGTGGCATGCATCGAGGCGCCGGCCACCGAAGTATGACAGCGACGGCTGAATGGGTTTACCAAAGCCTCGAACAGGCCTCGATAATTCGGCGTTGTTACTTCATACCCGAGGCTTTCTTTATTGACTCGGGCTCTATCCAGTCTATCGGGTTTTCATCATCCAAAATAAGACAAAGTATATGGTGCGGACTCCCGACGACTTCTCGTACCCTATATCGTTGTCTACATATAAGTCACACAAGCGGGTAGCAAAGTGGACTGGCCGGAAGGTTGCGGTGGCACTGCATACGCCACAGCCGTGTGTATGATCTGTCAACTGGCTGTCGTGCATGCGGTGTTGATTTCCTTCTCGCAAAACATGTTTGCTGCAAGTGCCCATCCTGCATATTGCCCGCTGAGAGTATGATGCTCAAGCAGGGATTGGAGTCCAACATATCTGGCTGGTTCGTGAACCGACGTAGCTCCGCCGGCCTCGTCGAGCGTTATAAGTCATGGAAGGCGTCTATGTGATCCGCTCGATGCTTCTGGGCCCTAATGTATGTGACCCCGGTATGCAGTGGCCCCAACAATTCAAACAGGTTCACATATAACTACTCAGAAAACCCCTAAATTTCAATATTGAGGGTTTCCCTATACAGTAAGCGTAATTTGAATATAAGTTTCTACATCTCAATTTTTCTATTCGAGTTGCTTGCTCCATTCCGTTTTCAGTCATGGCAGAAGTGGATAAAGATCAAGCTGCCGCTGCTCTTCGATTGGCTGTAGCCAAAGAGGACAATAACCAACCAACAATTGGCTCTCTTTCAGCTGTATTACAAAGTGACGGAGCCGGGTCTTCAAGTACCTCTTTTTCGGTGATATCAGATGCGGACAAAGAACAATTTACAGTTGTTTCTATTTCGGACAATGCAGGGCATAGCATGGACCGACCCAAATCCTCTATTCTAACCTCTACGCCAGGAGCAAGCGGCCAGGCCGGTACTCCTCGTACCCCATCTCCATCTAGCGACCAGCAACCTAGTTTAATAGAATCCGATGTAAGTTAAGTCTTCTCAACAACGTAACTTGATTCTCGACTCCAAGCCCGTACTTACCCCATGGGAAGGCAGACGAAGAGCTAGAGAGAGATTCGGCTTTCGGAGATGATGCGTCGTAAGTCCAGCAAGTAGCCTTCACTATCAACGACTGTTTTAATAAGTCAAAGATACGCAAGTTCAAGAACATCATTATCATCACGTATTACAAAATACCGGTATAATCCTCCATCGTCAATAAAGATAGAGTCTAACATTCAAACAGAGAGGAAGTAGGAAATATTATTCCTAGTAATGATTGCGACGGCCCTAATGCGCCTTTAGAATGGCAGACGATACCACGGTTATAGAGATGGAAAATATTTACTCGTAAGTTCCGATGCCAAGTATACAAGAATGTTACTTACTTCTCTCTAGCCAAATGACCTGGCCGAACAAGAGCGGCTTGATCTGGTGCGTGGGACCTAGGCTCAGTGAAATTGTCCCGGTTGAACTAATTGGGCTAGCATCATCACATCTTTAATCTTGCCATAGATGACAAGCTATTTATGGCTCCGGTAGAGAACCCACAACGTGTATATGACGGGGGAACAGGAACGGGGATCTGGGCTGTCGATTTCGCAGAGCAGGTGTCCCAAAGCATCCCCGCACTTCGCTGGCTGACCGCTTCCAAAGCCAGTATCCCAGTGCCCATGTGATAGGTTCAGATTTGTCACCAATCCAACCCGGCTGGTATATCTCCTTACCCCTTACCCCTTGCATATTTTACATGTCATTTACATCAATCAGGGTCCCACCAAACCTCGAATTCGAAGTATACGCTTTGCTCACCCCTTAACATTCCTACCCCACCTTACTAACCACGGTACCCAGGTCGACGATATTGAAGACACTTGGCGCCACGAGCCCTTCAGCTTCATCCACCTGCGATCCCTAAGCGGCGCCATCAAAGATTGGCCAGCACTTCTCGCGCAAGCGTACGACCACATCGATCCCGGCGGCTGGATTGAAGTCACTGAGTTTGAAGTCTGGATTGAGTGTCAGAATGAAAGTGTCGTGGGGCCACCGCCGATGATTCAGAGGTGGCAGGAAGGTCTTACTGACGCGGGTGAACGAATCGGGAGGAGTTTTAAGGTGGCGAAGAATTTGAAGCGTTGGCTTGAGATGGTCGGGTTCGTGGGCGTTGTGGAGAGTGTTGTTAGGGTATGTTTTCCATTTCCTTTTCCATATTTCCGTACTATATCCAATGGGACGGAAGTGATGCTCATTATACACAATGCGTAGGTTCCGAATGCTCCTTGGCCGAAAGACCCCACACAGAAAGAAATCGGCGTGTATCAGCAACAGAATATGATCGACGCGTCGTCATCATACGGCCAGGCGCATTTCACCCGTGTTCTAGGCTGGACCAAGGAAGAATACGATGTACTGAGTGCGCGTGTGAGGAATGAGCTGAAAAGTTCAAAGTACCATCTCTACTCGAATCTTTATGTAGTTTATGGGCAGAGACCTAGCTTGCATGGCTCGGAGGCTGGCGCATAGAAAGGCTGATATTATCATGGCACTGGGATCTTATTTCTTCATTTTCTCTTTTCTGGCGATTCGTGTGGTTTAGGATCGGCAAATTCTGCTCCGTTTGGTACTGGTTATGGTTTTTGCGTGGTACATCTCATTCTAGCACCCCATAGATTTTATAGAGACATGAGCTTGTTCATCTTTCATTCCTCATGCGTCTCGGAGCCTTCAGCTTCACCTCTACAAGAACGTCCTCCTCGGACAGAAACGGCCTCTGAACCATAAAGATAAACCGCTATACAACCAAAATACAAAGCCGTAATATGAAAATATATCACCACAAGGGTGGTCCCTTTCCTCTACTAAACGTGCTATCCTTGAAGTTAACGGGTAATTTCATGTCAAAGTGATCCTACGCTACTTGGAGTCCGCTCGAGAGCCCTTTCTCTCTTGAAATACTCCGATACTCTCTTGCTCCAGATAAGACATGGCTGCTATTGACATTCACGGGCTTATAAATTTTAGAGATCAGTCTTATGTAGATCCAACGCGAGTTGAAGTGTACAATCTGGAATATCATTCTCCAACTCGGCCTTTCCCGTCGGCTATAGCTATTTCTGTCGTTAAATTGCCTTTTTATTATTTGGATATATGTATAGGTACCTATCTAGGTATCTTACCAAGAGCTGGGGTTGAGGTTATGCCAGAGCGGTAGAGTTGCCTTTACTGCCGCTTAACAAGTGCGAAGCGAGGAGGATCTATGTTATTTGAAAAGAACGGCCAAAAGAATTAAAACGGTAAGCAAGGCAAAATGCTAGGAAGAGAAAAGGAAAAGGATAAAAATGGCAAAAGAGTTCATTGCCCACAGCCAATTAATCTCTGCCGGTTTGTAGTTGTCGCTAGACCTAGTTATATTTCTCTCCGCTATGAGTGTCGTGTGACACTTGTGGGGAGTGTCTTAAAGAGCTAGGTTGTCGTTAAATGCACTTTTCTTATTTAAATATACATATGCCAACTGGCGCTGGTGGAGAGGTTCTACCGGCTGACCGACTGCGTGGTAATTTATTAGTACTCGCGATATAAATGAGCCTGTGATAATTGTTTGACGACTAAAGAACAAAACATAAAAGTCTATAACTTATAGTATATTATACGGTGGGCCTTCTTGGACGGTATTTTAATAAGGGCCACCCCTTAAAAGTCGACAATTACCTAGATGTAAACAAACCCATCAACACTACTACTACATCCCTATACAGCCACAGATACTCGTTATTATGTTGAGGGAAACGCGTTATTGAAAAAAGCAACACCTTCAAAGATTGGTCTTATAATTAAGATATTAAATTAATTACTTCTCCCTATAAAAAGGAAATAGTACTAGGCTTAAGTAAAACCAACCCTTAAGTTAACTCCACCTACACAAAAGTGAAGATGGCTCATTTCAAGAATAGTTTCATGTTTGAATACCAAGGACAAACTGTGCGGGCTCAAAACACGATTCAAAGTCCTCTCGCAAGTAATAGCTCAAACTAAATCTCCAATGTTATCAATATATAGCACACTACTTTTCTACATGACTTCCAAGTTTCCTAGTTCCTCTATCACTCTGTGAGACGACTCTATGAGTATTGTTTAGCCCCTTCCCTCCCTTTATTTAGCTTGAATTACTCATGTCTGAAGCTGCTTGAGCTGCTTGTTGGCTCTTCTCAAACGTAGCCTGGGTCAATTTTCTACTCAAGCCTGTGAAAACCGCCCCAAGATCTTCGTCTGTTCTCTCCGATTTAAGTAATAAAATCACTGAGTATTCAGTGACATTAATAGACATGATTTTATATTCGCCATTCTTCGCATGTTCCCCAATCTCAGCAACCACCTCACTTAGCGTCGATATAAGAGAGGTTCGCAATGAGGTTCGGTATAAGTAGGATATGTGAAGGGTTAATAATAGGGCTTGGATCCTGACTTCACTAGAAATAGAAATTATCAAGGTCTTTTCTCGATTCTTATTTACCATATTAACTGAACATGTATGTAATTACACAGTGAAATCTATATGTTGGAAATCGAAGCCCCACCAAGTGTTGTAGGAGTGGCGTCGCGACGGACGCCGCGATTAGATAAAGCAGCAATTGATGTTGTCAAGGATTACGATTGGGTGCGTGGCTCTGGTGGCTGGGGACTTGGCTGAGCCGACCAGTTCCCCGACCCCTTGGAACATCATCATCGTTGACCTCAGGACTCGATACTGGGAATCCACAAGTGCATCAGTGAAGAACAGCGACCGCCCATCTACGATACATACAGCAACACGATTTTGTGATCCATCTTTATCGCAGCTAGACCCTACAGCGCCTCATAACCGAACATCAACATCGAAGAAGGCGGAGCTACGGACGACTACGTAAGCATTGCGACGCTCTCAAAGGCAACAACCGACTGTCAAACACAACTTAACAGCATCAATCTGATCCACTGTTAAACCATCGCTCGATAAATATGGCGAACCCTCTCGATACCGATGCAGGCTCTGAGCTCTTCAGCAGCTACGAAGCCGAGCTTAAACTCGTGCAGGCCGATTTAGATCAAAAGCTCGACCAGCTCCCGGATCTAGGTGGAGAGCCCCGAAAGGCTGCCATCAGTCAGGCAGAGCGAGCATTAGAGGAGGCCAGCGAGCTTGTGAGTTATAGTTATACATAATACCGGGTACTGTTGGCCGCATGTACTGACTGCTATGCCAGCTCGATCAGATGCGCCTGGAGAAGCAGAACATTCCCTCGGCGACCCGTACAAAAGTCAACCAGCGCTTCCGGAACCACGAAACCGATGTTGATGTTGCGAAACGAAAATTGCGGACGCTGTCCGACGATCGATCCGCGTTATTTGGATCCCGCTACTCGGATAATCCGAATGACGTTCAGCTAGAACAGCGGCAGCAACTCCTGTCAGGGACGGATAGACTTGATCGTAGCTCGCAGCGATTGAAATCTAGTCAGGCCCTAGCAAATGATACCGAGGCTATTGGAGCGAGCACCCTTGCCGATTTGCATAGGCAGAGGGAAACTATTCAGCATACTGGTGATGTGCTGATGGAGAGTGAGGGATATGTGGATAGGAGTGTGAAGACGTTAAGGGGGATGGCGCGTAGGTAAATTGTCCCCTAATCCCCATCATAGGCCGGGTGTGGCGTGAGTCTTGCTAATGCCGTTGATTCAGGATGGCTACAAATCGGATTATAACGGTCTGTATTATCACAGTTTTGGTACTTCTTATTCTTGCTGTTATTGTTAGCAAGTTCAGATAGGTTTGGGTAATGGCATGGCGTTATGGCGGTTTCCGGATATTTTTGTTTGTTGAGCACAGCAGCAGCTTAAATTCAAAGCATTGTACAACAGCGTATTTGACATCGGAGCCTCGACATTAGCATTTTCCATTTCCGTCCATTGCTCCTGAGCTATTACTGCTTTAACCTGAGCTGTGAGCGACGAAAGCTGAGTCAGTCTAAGCCAGCGAGTCTAAAGGAGGTGAGCAATGATAGACATTGGCCCAAACTAGTGCGGAAGGCGACCGGTTTTAGCTCCTCAGCTACAACTACTGCCAGCTAAAATTAGAAAAGCAAGTTAAGGGTCAGCTGAGGGCCCATTTTGGATTTCCATTAACAAGAGCTATACTACGTACCAAACGACTAACTAGTCCTACCACTTTACCATACGTTACAACCTACCCTGCAAATCCCCAACCTGTCCGTTGAGTGGACCCCTCACGGCAGCAGCAAAATGCGCTGCACAACACTAAAACCCCGCCATTTCACCGCTTATTCCCTGATTCTTTTGAAAGGGAGTGCATTTACATAATAATCCAATTAATTATATTAATTACTACCACCATAAGTGTTAGCATCAAAAAGTACCTACTATGTACCTATAAATCGGCCGTCGCAGTAGGTATATGCTTGATGATGTGAGGTAACAAGAATTTTTGTAGCGAGTTGAGTATGCTCGGTTAACTTTTCAATTCACACCTCCGGACTTCGCCGAGTATTAATAAACGACTGTTCCAAGAGCGCTGAATAAATAAAGGAAATAGGATAAATGAACTAAAAGAATCAAAAGATAAAGAACAATACAAAAAACCAAGAAAAAAATATTCAATTGAGCTCGACGAGGGGCTCGAACCCTCAACCTTGGGCTTAAAAGGCCCACGCGCTAACCCTGATACTTTGTTAAAAATAAACTAATGAACTGATATGATTAAGCCCTTACAATTGTGCCAGCCGAGCATAAAATCTTGCCGAAACTTTAGCTTATTTAATATTAAGAGCAAAACTCATAGAATTGTAAGCAGTACGGGGCGGTCGAGGTGGGGAACTTTGTCGTTTGGACCTACTAAGCGGTTTGTGCAGCTGTGCTCTCCTAAAACAACCCTCGGTCTTTACTATATTTCGTAAAACGACTAACAATACTTCGTACGCGACGATGAAACCGTGAAACCTATTATTCCCATGCGAATCAATATTTGCACAAGTCTACTAATCATTCCCTGCCATTTACTTGCCCAGCGGGAGCAAAATGCAAATCAAAGTATAACTGAAGCTAGACGAAGCCATAAGAGAGATAACCAAAAGAGGGCATTCTTGGAGAAATTATAAATGGAGAGCTGATTGGTGCTTGATATATTCCATTGTAGATATGTTGCGCCGCAATAAGTGTTTCAATCCTCGAGAAGAACGCTACATTTTCCTCGATCATTTTATTACACCCTCCCTTCGGTCAAAAGATTTGCCACTGGCTGATTATAAATAGTATAATGTCTAAAGAAAGTGATGTTACCGCGAGAGTAGGATACCTAGGTATGTTAGAGTTTTCACAGGTTCCCTCTTGGCTGAACGCTTCGTGGATATCTCTCCGTAGGTACCTAGGTACCTACCATGGGTATATTAAGCCGCCATCTGCGCGCTATAATTCATCCATTGCTTTAGACATTAAACAGCTGGCTCTTATCCCCATGACCTGAGCCATATATTACCACATTACCACGAAGCATGAGGTGACAAGTAGCTTGTCAGGCGCTCAGGAATGGCAAAAGACCATCCGCAACACTCAACACCCGTCGCCCGACAATAAAATTCCACACGCTCTTATGTATCCTTGCTTAGCCAATATCAACTCCCAAGAGGAAGCCCAACAAAAAAAGTAAACATGGAATAAAACTGCAAAAACTCTAAGCGGAAGACCCCTCGAGGGTCCTCGCTTTAGAGGAAAAACCAGACTGAACTGGTTTTTTGCGGAAGGGAGCCATGATCCAACGTCATGGCCTTTATTACCCTTACCCTAGTCGGCTAGGGATTTTTGTCGCTTTTTGGGCCCTTTTTCAGGGCCCTTGATTGGTTTTGTTTTTGGTTCCCCCTCCCCCCTTTCTTTTTAGGGGGGTTCCTCTTTTCATTTTTTTTTGGTGGCTATTATTTATTAGTAAACTTTTGAGGTGGTGGAGGGAGTGGATACTTACATGTTTTGGTAGGGGGAGAAAGTTAACGGGCGCTTGACTATTTGGGCTATGCGCTTGTTAGAAATTAATTTGGTTATTTCGTATTAGATATCGACGGGATGTTTGGAGTGAATTGCGCGGGCGGTGGCTGGTTGTAGGTGGGCGAAACGGCGCCCTTTTTACTGGGCGGTAATGAGAAGAGGGGAGCTTCATATTCAATTTTCAAGCTAGAGTACCGCTATAATCTGCTACGAATTTTGATTTCACCAAATAGCTATTTCCGTCTTTGGACTCGAGCAGTCGCTGCTCTAACCTGAGCTGAGCCCTGAGTCCTAAGTCCTAAGTCCTAAGTACGCCGAATTGGCAGCTAGATCATATTTCAGGGGATCCTCTTCTAGCCCCTCGCAGATCCGTTATAGTTTTTATATTATTTAAATATAAGTCGTATTAAAAGAACTTGACGAGGGGGAAGAGGAGAGGTTTGATGGCGACGAAGATGCGATGAATATGAAATGATTCAAATGAACAGTAGCGAAGACGAGTTAGATGATAGCGAAAACAACGGCTAGTCACCAGCAAACAGGCTCGGCGATAGCAAGGTCAATGCAAGAGACAAAATATCACTAATGATCACTGAATCTGAACAAAAGGTCGTCCTATGTAAGTTGCACTTCCAACTTGTGTGGAATTATTTTCGCTGTGCTAATAGGCCGGCCTTCCTTGAGTTAGCTAGGATACACTTTTGGAGTCGGACCAGGTAAACAACATCATTTATTGCAGCAGTGATATATGCAGCCCATGCTTTTTGTTACAATCTTCCCCATAGTGATATCTCAAATAGGAGGCCGGTTTCTTCGGAACGAGTAGCTTCATGGGTTCCATGTTACTGATTGATTTCCTGATGAATGGAGAGCCCTGATCCCATGGTTCTTACGATGTGCGATAATCGCTAGGTGATCTGAAGTCGCTCGTTGATCTAGTGGATGTGTAGGGACTGACAAGGAACATGGGATGGGAAGTTGGATGGCTGGTTTGAAGCGTGGGCCGGCGTCGCGTGATCACGTGCAAGGGCGCGTATCTCCGTACCTTGTAGTTCTTTTGTCACCTCGATCAGCATCAATGGCTCCCAAAAACAAGTATCCCGTCATCTTGCCGACCTATAATGAGCGCAAGAATTTGCCCATTATTGTGTCTCTCCTGAACGACAGCTTCACAAAGAAGTAAGACATAAACAGCATACAGCGGGTTCGAATATGAAATCGTCATTGTCGACGATTCAAGCCCGGATAATACCGCCGAGGTAGCGAAACAACTCCAGAAGGCGTTCCCTGGTCGCATTATCCTCAAGCAGCGTACTGGAAAGTTGGGCTTAGGGACAGGCCGCTCACGCCGGGACGGAGCATAGTATCCGCGAAGAGATTTGCGCCTCTAGACACGACCTTCCTCTTTAAATCCCAGCGTAAACACCTCCGTTTCCAGAATATCTTGTACCGGTCACAATGTCGTGGTTTTTGGTCGCTTGAACGCGAATCATTTCGGGGATGAACTTGGGGTGATGGCTGAAATCGGCGTCCATGATAATCACGAAATTACCCGTAGCGAATTGGACTGCGGACGAGAAGCTGCGTCAGTATCTTTATAGAATGGCTTTGATCTAGGAGTCACCTACGTCCGTGAACATAGGCTGACCGGGAGTTTCAGATTGTACAAAAAAGAGATATTGGATAAGGTTATTGTGAAGGTGCAGAGTAAGGGATATGTCTTCCAGATGGAGCTCATGGTGCTGGCCAAGCTGATGGGATGCACTGTTGCTGAGGTGCCCATCAGCTTCGTAAATCGCGTTTATGGCGACTCGAAATTAGAAGCTAGTGAAATAACTGGGTATGCGACGGGGGTTCTGAGCTTATGGATGAGAGTCTAGGACTTGGGTGAGGGATTGGATTCAGGAGTATGTTAGTTTCATTGTAATGCTATGTGGAGCTACCTGTGCTTTTTCATCGCGTCTTAATGTCGCTAATATCTAAGAATTGACAGTGTCGATTGCTACATTGCTCAAAGCAATGCTCGCAATATTAAGGATAGATTTGAAGATAAAGCAAACTTCACCCTACCGTCCTCACAACGTAGTCGCTCCAAGAATCCTACTCAGCGAACAAAAACACATAGCTTACAGCTTCTTCAAACCATATCCATTATTACCACGCTGTTGTCCGCTAGCCTTCGGAGTCTGGTTGGCATCTTTATCTTCTAGTGCAGACCCCTTCTGCTGTTTATTGACTCGTTAATCGGTGCTGTCGTTCGCCTTGACAAACTTGTTGGCATCGATCAACAAGCCATGAGCATCGACTAGGTGTTTTGCTAAGCATTCCTTATCGAGGGCCTCGATGTCAGCACATTGGGCAGGAATACCGTTCGCAGTTGCAGATGCGGCGGGGCAGACCATATGTTCCCCCGCGCCCACAGCCTGGAGATGTCCTTCAACATGTTGGAAGAAGGATCTCTGATGAGGAAATCTGCGAAATTGAGACGAGAGCCCAGTCTGTTCGTCAAACAAACAGAATATGCAGAATGCCGAATGTTGGCACCCATACACATGGTAAACGGCAGTACCTCGCGATGGCAGAATCGACGTTCCCGATATGGCTCGGAAAGTGCTCGTCCTCGGAAGACTCTTTTCGAGGAATCCACACTTCACAAAACTTACACCAGAAGACCAATGTCTCTGGGGCTATCTCGCCCAAAGATGATTCGAGAGCGATGATACTCGAAGGTGCAGAGTGGAGCATTATAAGATGGACGCGGAAGTCATGGATATTCCGAAAGATAGTCGAATGATCATAGCATACCAACCCTTTCGATTGCCCATCTCGGTGAGCATGGCAGGCGTGGGATCTGTGGGAACGCGGCGACTTGGTTGATCTGTACTTGTATTTGCATCTTTTTCCTGTCGAGCCTGACTGGGCCATGGAGCAAGTTGTGGAGGGAGGACTTTCAGTCTCCTTGTTTTCAAATTCATCCATGATTGCCCACGCCAATGACCTTCCCTCGCATAATAGGATATGTTCGTTCTCATGTATGATCTCAAGGAGGTAATTGCCACAGAAACGGCAATCCATCGTCCTAGGGAGGGGTTCCTGGTTTGGGTAGTCTCTGTCAGCGGGGTGCAGGTGGTTGAACTTTATGACACAGTCTATCAGTTCATTGAGGGGGTCTGCTTCAGGAACCGGCACCGTCGGTTCTTGGATCTCCTAGGAAGTAGTACCTCCATGCTCGAAGAACTCCTTCCACTCGACCTTGAATCGTTTGGCCAGCAGATGTCCTTCTCCCCTGACGTACGGCTCCTTTGTTCTGCGATACTCTCCGAGTAGGGTAGATCAGACATCTGCTTCCAAGATGATAAGTTATTATGTGGTATTAGTGTTTATGGAGGGAAACCTGCAGTCAAAAACAGCGTTGAAAACCGCCAAATCCGGCTGCAGGTTTCTCTGAATATTCTAATACTTCCTATCTCAGAGCTCCACATAGTTGCTTGATTCTCGTTGCTCTGTGAAACTTTCTTCCTAACGTGACTTGAAATTAAGCCCAGCGATCCATACAGTAAAGCTCCGCCCAGTGGCTGTCGGAAGGCTGCTAGAGTGCCTGCGGAGTATAAATAGAAATTGGTTCAGGTGCATAACTCCCAGCTTTCTGGCCTACGGTAGCCTTGTTTTCAGAGGAGGGTTATCTTATTTTGTAGGTAAAAGGAATAATATTTTAAGCGGGGTTGGGATTTGTTCCGGGATTTTGATTATAATTTAACTTTTAAGTAAGGATATGAACTTTCAAAAGGACAACAAAGCAGGCATGGTCTAGGACAAGGTGGACAGTAGTTGTAATGACTAGAGAGTTAAATGGAAAGGGGTCTTATGCCTTCTTATATGTGATCTCACTTACGTAGGTAGTTATAGACTGGCACAGCACCACATCACTGGACCTCGTCAAGCCCCTGAACCATTATATACAACAATAAGACTATTATAATATGTACGGCTTGTTTACAAATCATGGGTCATGTCATGTTGTCAGAGGAGTGCGAATTGAGCAATCGAAGGATTTTATTTTTGGGGGGATCCTGTTGAGACTCGCTGGGAGCCGACTTGATCCCCCTGAATATACTCGCGTACTATGTAGAGTTGATAACTTTTCCCAGAAGGTAGACCAGAAACGCGACTGAGTGGTGAGGCTAGGGAAGGAGAGCCGCGACGCTTACCAAACGCATTAGAAGCAATGTCGAGAAGGTTTCGCCGCAGATTACCTAGGTAATTATAGAGGATAGAACACCGATTGGAGGACAATTAGAAGACAACTGGTAGCTCGGAGATTCCAACATCCTTTTTCGGTGGCGAATATTGGACTTGGTCGAAGGGGATAGCCAGTTTGAGAGTGGGGAGTTTCTTGAATAGCGTAGCTGTGGGAGCATATAAATTAGCGGGTGATCGTGCCAGGGATGAGGATGGGACTCTTACCAAAAACGATTTCAAGTTCTGTTCTTGCCTATATGATTGGGTAGGTTAGCATTCGTTCTTCTCTAGTTCCTCGGGAGGGAAGTAAAATAAGAACATAGGATAGACGGTAACATATGTTTCGAAAACAAAGTGAATAGGATGCAAGGGAGATCGGCATGCTTACAAGCCATTCAGCAACACATCGATGTCCACCCCAACCATAACCCAGAGCCTCCTCCCTCCCCCTCTTCCTCTTCATATCAAAAACATCCGGGTTAGGAAACACATCTTCATCACGATTTCCGCTCTGCGTCGCAGCAATAATACCCTCACCTTGCTTAATTGTCTTCCCACCAATAACCACATCTTCTTTGGCAACTCTCTTTGTTGCCAGAGCCGAAGCAGTATGATACCTACAAAGCTCCTCCACGAATGGTGCTGTCCATCTCTCAGGAAATCGTTTCAGGTCTTCCAATTGGTCTGGGTGTTGTAGGAGCGTAACGATGCCGAGCGCTATCATGCTGACCATGGTTGCGTTTCCTGCGACCAGGAGAAGGAAGGCCATCTGGGTAACATCGTGTTTTCTCAGGTGCCCTTGACTGAGTTGCTGCGTCACCAGGAGACTGATGAGATCATCTTTAGGGGCTGCCATGCGTTGGTCCACGAGGCCGCCAATATACTGGAGCAAAGAATCATTCGCCTTTGACGCTTCTGTTGCAGTTGCCGAACCGTTGCTGCGGATTGCTGCTTGCTGTGTGAGATATGGGAGGTCTGAGAACGGAACTCCCAAGATGCCATAGATGATCTTTAATAATTAGTAGGAGCGGAAAAGGAGGCGGGGCTATATACGTATGATGGGACTGGGAGGGCAAATTTGTCGACTATGTCGAAGGGCTTTGCACCTCCCTGTTTGATAATGATATCAAGTAGAGAGTCGACTGTCTTTTGGATGTGAGGGCGTGTGCTGTCAATATGCGCTTTTGTGAAAATGGGCTCAACCATGCTCCTTGAAAGGGATATATCAGTCTTGATCTAGGATGTTTTCAAGGTTTTAAATACCTCTGTTGCATATGATGCGGTGGATCCTAGACACCAGCTAGTCAGATACATCTAGACAAAGTTGGATTTCACCACTTACCATGTCAACAAATGTTGGCTTATTCTTTGCCGCTGCCTTGCCACCGGCACTCAGCTCTGGGAAACCTGGACGGTTTCTCTCCTGAGAGAATATTAGTTATTTAGTAATCATATATGAAGAACAAAATCACACCTTTGAGAGCCGCTGGTCTGTCAAGACGCTGCAGATATCTTTGTGCTTCACGACAAGCCAGGCAAGACTGCCATCGAAGAGTCTAACTTGAGACACAGGTTCATTGGCCCGCAGCTGGGCATATTCAAGAGGAGGCTCGTAGCCTGAAGGGCGAGCAAAGGGGAATTTTGGAGGAGACATATTTCGTGGGATTTGAAATTCAAGACGAAAGAGTTACTGAAAGATGGAGATTGTAGATCTGGATGTTCTGGATATGATCTCTACATTCCAGGCCATGCACCTTCATTTATATATTTGTCTAGCACAGCCTGTTGCATCCCCACTTTAAAGTTTGGACACAAACTTTGCATCACACGAACCATGTGTTCTAATGGCAAAGCCCGAGATATTTCCTATGATACAGAAGTACAATATCCTCGGAAATGCTCAGGAATGCACGAAGTGGCCGTGAACTCGCCTAACAACCGGATATCTTCGATAATACCATCCATACGAGTAATAGCCAACAACTGCTATGTCAAGTGTGCTGCTGGGTGCCAGGCTTGTGCATCTGGAACGAACTTTGGATTCACGGTGAGGAATAAGGCGAGGTGGACAGGCTTGGAAGAAGATCTAATGTCCACGGAGAAGAGGAGATGCTCGAACTTACCGGCCTGCCTGGGGGGCGTATATTGAGTAATCGTAACACTTCCACGGGTGATTGCGTTTCGTACAGCTCTCGGGAATCGAGGCAGGGAGTGAAACCAGGAGTACAGGATTGATAATTGGATGTACCCATTGCGTCAGCAGACGCCCCTTCCGGTATCACGAATAATCCGAGAGCGATTTGAAATGAAGAACATCAATAAAAGCAAACCAAGTGAGCCAATTGGAATGGTGGCGCTTTCTAGAGGAAGAAATATAATTTAGTGGCACGGCATATTGATTACAGCACTAAGCTGGGTATCAACTACCGGGTGCCTGGCCCCTTCCCTCCAAAACTTGTACTTCCCCCTTCCAGGAGAGGGCTCAGCCTTTGGACTTTCTTGGGGCGGAGATAGGGCAAAGGCTTCCAGTGATGGTACGCGTACCGGGTAGAGTGCCGACTTAGTGGACTGATCAGTCAAAAATTTTCAACTGACTCATCGGACGAGGTTGATACCCGTCCTACATTGCTTGCGCGGTATATTTGGTAGCGAACGAGTAAAAGCCGCTCCGGGGGTTGCACAGACAGTGCAAAAGTTAAAAAAAAAAGAGCCTGCAAGCATCTTTGCTCCGTACTCGCACAAGCCCATCAACACCAATAGCACTTAAAGACGCTCCTTTTCGCTTTGACGATGCCTGCCGACTACGACGTTTGTACGTACCTAGGTAGTATGCCGGTTTATATTGAAAAGTATATGTACTTCGTAGCGGCAAGGAGAATATAATTGGGAAGCACCGCGTGGGTTGTCCGGTTGGGGCCTCAGTCGAATTAAAGTTGATGCGGGTTTCAGGGGATGGCGGCCCGGCCCAACGTGGCGTCCAGAGGTTGAGATTGATCCCACGGCGCCTTCAATAATGTCACCATATCCGACCATATCCTTCCTCTATGCGCCAGATTAGCCGGCCATGTGACTGCCAAAGCCCAAGAGCCCAAGAAACTCGAGATTGTGCGCCACTTGGCGTGTACTAAAGCCACACACACGATCGCGTACCTACCGCCGACTTGTTCGCAGATGCTTCTTACGTCGGTACTTGGCTTACATATCTGGTTGTTTGTCCAGGTTAGATGGAGATGTTGACACCGGCTACCAACTCGCACCAGGTAAGGATAAAGTCTGATATGATCATATGCGAGCCCTTCGCCTGCATGCTAGCATGCCAGGTGAGGGCCGTGAGGCAGTTTTTTCGAGTTTATGCAATAGCTGGACAGCCGGTAGTTGTGCTTTGCAGCGTGGGGTGCTGCGCGTTGCCTATACTACCTACCTAGGTACCGTAGGACCAAGTATGTGATGATGGTATTAATAAGTCTGAACAGGAGAAGCTATTTTACGTCAGCCTTTCCTCCGAAGACGCACGGAAAAACCTACCCGGAAGAGATGTCAATATCTTGAATATGTGTTTGTATGATCTTTGACATCTTGTAGAACCTATTCTCCGCACGAGGAACTCGCAGTAGAAGTTTAGAACTGTCTACATCCAAAGGTACTTAACAGCACCTTCTCAAAAGCAGGCATGAAAAAAGAACAACTCGAAGGGCCCAATCTTGAAGTAAAGAATTTCAATGTCTTTCACGCGCAGTTCGGATCCCTCAAAAGCACAAGGTTCTTACCATACGCTTTATTGCTGAAGCCTCGATGGAGGATTGGGCTCTCGAGAAGCAGTTGCTTAAGATCCAAAAGACGAATAGCCTCCTAAATCGTAACATTGAAGATCCCTGTTATTCTCTCTTCTTCGTAACTCATTAATCCTGTGTAGATGGAGGACTCTTCCGAAATTCAAAGTACGACGCGCAGGTAGCGAGTATGTATGAAAGACTAGACCATCTAGCCACGGCTATTGCCGATTTTTCAGGTTCAGAATCGGATCCGCAATCACATAACTTCCCTAGTTACTAAACAGTACAACTACATAAATTCTCGCAAGCTAATTTGCAACACGAGAGAAGGAATTCAATGTTTATGGTGTCTGTGAAACAACGAATGCCTTTTCCTTCTTAATTCCCTTCCCCGCTGCCGATCAGAAACCACCGGAAAAGGTTCATTTGGCGAGCTTCCCCCTTCATCTTGACCGGTTCCTTGCTGGTCGTCCATCGATTCGCCTGGGCCACTAACGCGAATCCACTGCTCAGGGGCCGCAGGATCAAGTTCAACAGCTAGATGAGAATTAGAATGAGGAGTCGCCACAACATGAACGAGACGGATGCAATAGACTCACAGGTGATCTTGACCATATCATCAGTACTGGGCTGGATTCCACGCTTTAATTTGGTGGAAGCGGCCTGAGTATCGAACTTTACTTTACAACTGATTTGAAGTATTAGCATCATAAATTCATAACTTTGAGGAGCACGGGAAGGAAAATTACCCTTTCGCGCTGACATAATTTCCCCAACTCGCCGAGTTTAATGCGAATCCCGAGTCGCAATAAGCATTGTTGCCATTGTTCCTCGTGATTCTGTATGTTGGATTACCCCCAAGGTTCACTGCTGCAATGACGAGAGAGATGTCAGTTTCGAGACCTGGAATCTGCGGATCCGCAACGAGAACGTGGTCGAAGATTTGGTAAGCAGAGTTTCTCCCTGGGATTGTTGTGCCATCGGAAGAAAAGAGGTGAAAGGTGAAGTCTTTGGTTTTCGGATTTGCGTTGTTCCAGCCGCCTGGTCGGGCTGCTCCTTTCCAGTTTGCATCCCATCGCTATATTTCCCCTGTTAGAAGATTCCTAGGTGCCACAAGGGGAATACTCACTCTCCAGTTTGGAATGCTGGGGACTAGAGGAATGTTCTGATCGATGAATTTGAACAAGCCGTTACAGGTTCCTTGGATTTGTTGCTGATATCCTGGTACGCAAGCCCTAACCCCGACACCTCCCTGATCAACGCTGAGAACACCATGTTAGTTTAATCACTTTGAAGAGTAGAGGCAATGAGATTACCTATTGAACGGAAACTCGTCACAAGACGACCAATTCTCATTTCCGTGTTTAATTCGTGGCCCTCCTTGCGCGTCAGAAAATTCATCAGAGTCTTTCTGACAGAATGCTCGCCAAGATTGCATTTTCTGGATGGGGTTGCCGTTACCGTCGTTTTCCGTATAGGGTAAGACGTTTGAACCACACATAGCGTCTCGATTAGCATCATTACCGCTACTTCCATCATAAGAGAGCATCATTGGCCCTGATCCGAGCCCAGCGTTGGCGAAGTGGTCGAGGATATTACGACAGATCCCAGGGAAGACTTTATCAGGTCCACCAGCTGTGCGGCGCAATGACCGGTCAGGGAAATATTTGCAGTTATACATGATGGCGGGCATGGCGGTGATGCAGTGATCGATATCGATATCCATAGGGTCGTCAGGGTCGTCTGCTCGCTTTTTGGTACCCTCCGGTTGAGTACTTATCTCACAGGCGTCGCCATTGCATTTACCTGCTGAACAGGCACCGCCGTCGTTACATTGCAGTAATCCCTTTCCGAAAGCCGAGATATCCGATAATGAAAGTCTCTTGGAAAGTAGTCCTGAGGATTCGAAATTTGCTTCCTCATCTCGGAACCAATTGTCATTTAAGCCTATGGGTTCACCCAATGTGTCATTCCAGTATGTGGACCCTGTGAGCGATCGAGGCGGCGTGCCGGTACTCACCGACTATGGGTGTTTTAGTTCATACTTTGGCAACGGGCATGCATAACTTACACCTTCATGCTCCCATAGGCGGATTGATTGGCCTTTGCCATCCCATAGTGTTCGTGCTGGAGACGGTTAATGTTATACTAAGCCATGTCATAAATAGGCTTACGTTTGAGAGCTGTCTTGAAAAAGCTCACAAATCTGCCTCGAATTAGCATCTCACACCTCAGGGGCGTCCTATTTCACTTACGTTGCGTGGCCGCCGATGCCTAAACGTGTCAGTAACTTTGTTGTTGGACACAGAAGAGAGTACTCACCAAAATTATAGAAATAATCAATCCAAATCTATCAAACATCAGTACAGGTCATGGCCAGCGGGTATTGAGAATATGATGTTTGAAGAGTAGTGAGTAAGGACACTCGGATATATCAGCCTCCGAAGGGCCACAAAATATATCGCCCAAATATGCAACGCGCGAGAGACCACTGTGAAGGATATCTGAACTCACCTTGTAGCTTGCACTCGCGTGTCCGCCATTATCAATCCCTCCCTGTGCTTGAGCCTCAACATTAAAACTAAGCCTGCAAATTGTTAATTCCCATCACCATACTCGAAAAGATTGTTCATACGTGTTATTTACAAAGGCCACAATCTAGTGATGATCAGAATTGCGACTCATTTACTAGACCTCGCATGCAGAATACTTACCTGGGCATCAACAACTTTGGTTCCAGATTTCAATCCCACGGAGATTCCCAAGTTTACCTCTGGAGTAATAGTCACTTTTGTCATTAGTCAAGTTAAGCTGCAGCAGCTTGGATGTAATTATACTCACAATCGAGACCCACGTGGGCGGTAACCGAAGCATCAAGGATTGGTGTTAGGACTGTGAATTATTAGCTTCGTATGAAAGGAAGTTAAGTAATGACGGAAATACCTGATTGTTGTTCTTGTTGCTTGTTTGGCTCCAGCCACTAAATATGTATGTTAGATTGCCACAATGCTGAGGATAAGTTGGAGATTTCTTGACCTTCTGGAACTCTTCGGATTCGTCATTCTGGGGGAAGAAAAGTTCGTATTGAGGAAAGTCGACCTTGGCTGCTCCAGCATTAGAGTAATTCTTAGGAAGAAGGGTACTTAAAGAACGAGGGGGGGTTACCTCCAGCCCTCATTTCACTGCCGTTACATTAGCAGTTATTGCTACAGAATATTACTGGCACACTTACCCTGAAACTGTAATGGTGGAATTCATCTGTCCCCAAAGATCGACTGTTGGACCAATGGCCGCGATTCTACAATTTGTATGCTTAGTAGAAATCTAATCTTAAAAGAGAAACCCGACGTACCCTTTGATGGCTAGACCCGGCCAGGCCAAGGTGTCAATCAACTTGATAGGCTTACTGTGATACGTCATTTCAGCACTTCCCTTCAGCTCTATCGTCAGCTGTGCTGTAGGTTGAACGCCTAGTATAATCCCGTTAGCAAAGATATAAACTTCCTATAAAAGGGCATTTACCGAAATAAGCGTATGTTCTATGAATGTCAAGCGGGACAATAGTTCCCGAGACATAGTAGGCCCAACGAGCATTCATATTCATGTCAGTATTAGCTGTGATATCGAGCCCAGCCTTTAGAACACTTGTTCCACGCGGACAGCCTACCCTATATCCTGTTACCGGTCAGCTTGTTTAGGGATACGTGAGTGTTACAACCTACGGTAGAGAAGGATTGATTTCTTTATTTTCATTGGAAGGTTGCCCATGTCTGAGAGTTTAACCTCTGGATCCTTGTTAGTATTTCGCTGTGTGGGTGGGAATGTCAAACCTCACCATTAAACCTTTTGATCCAGGCTACGAATTCTCCCCAGTACCGCTTCTCACTCCTCCTAGACACACCAGAGCCCCTGCCGGACTCCAACCCAGTCATTTTGTCCCAGTAGTCGACCATGTTTGTGTAATCAACCCGAATATTGACTGATGTCGATCTCTTAATGCGGTCAAATGCGTAGTCAAACACCAACTTATATACTTGGGAATGGTCTTTCTCCAGCGCTCTCTTCCCCAAATGGTAATCGGGAAGAACATTATGATCCACCAATTCCATGCTTACAATTCTAGCGTAAGGTCCAGATCCGATATGCCGAGGGAGAGTGATGATCGTATCCTGAGCGCCATCGATGAACACTTTGCTACACTCCGAATCCCTTCCTGGGTGGCAATAGACATAATGCCAAGACTCTTCATGTTCGAAGGTAGAACTCATCAAGTGTGGATCATTGGACATGAAGGTGTCCCTCGTTTTGAGGGGCAACCCAGATCCGTCTTCATCGTGCACAAAGATGTAGTTGCGAGGAAAACTTCCTTGTAATGCATCTTCAGCGCCGTCTAAGAGGATAAACCCATAGGGGTCATCCCCATAATCTTGCTCGTCAGGTCCATGTGGATCCCTATCATTATTGCCGTAGTTGTCCTTGTATCTGTATATAACTGTTAACAACTCTGGCATACATTTAAATCAAAGATTCGAGTGCTCACATGTACAGGTCATCCCCACCATGAGAATCTGCAAAAATATCAGCTGGGCGAAAGGGAAGCTGCACGTTTCTTGGTGGGTCACAACACAGTCTATGTTCAAGACCAGGAGCAACCCATTGGCAGTATCCCGGTTGGGGCGGATAACGGTCTGGCATCCTAGCCTTGGTCATGGTAATTTGTGTTTTAGGGCAAGAGGTTCCCATGTTACAGTCAGGTAAATATGCCCACGGGAGGTCGGTCTGGGTTTGAGCAACAGTTGGTACTTTAGGACTCCAAACGCAGTTCTTGTAACGATCTATAAAAGGCATCAGTTGTAATGACGGCGAAGAATCTCATCGGAACATACTAGCTCTAGGACCACCAGCTGCCAGGGTGTTAGCTAAGCTTATAGAATAATGATCATGGCAGAAACACTTACCACTCAAGGATGGTTTTGGACAGCAGTAAGTCCTGTAATTACCATTGGCGCAAGGACGACCGCCATCTAAATCTCCACGAGTCGCAACTATTTCTTCAGTCTCGAAATCACAGTCTAGTGTTGTAGAACAACCAGTCCATCGACATTTATCGGTTTCTGGAATCCCATCACAGCAGAGAGACCTGAGACCGCTCGCACATATCGCTCCACCTTCCGCACTTGTGAATTTATCTGTAACCAGCTCGAACTGATCTGGCCCGCAAGTCGTGTCCCCTAGTCCACCATCGCAATACATCGAGCTTCTTTCAGGCCCACCTCTCCATTTGCAGTTTTGTGCCGGGCTGGTAGCTAAGCAGCACACAGTCTTCCACTGACCCACTTCGCAATATCGGGTTTCGTGATTCAGTGGCCCATAGTTGTTAATATCAGAACCGCCTGGACTATGAACTCTTTCGGTGGGAACATAGCCCTTGTTGCATGAAGAATATACGGTGTCGGTCACACCTTCACCACTGCACCCGAGACTGACGTAGCATCCATCGCCAGATAGACCGCTCAATTCACGAGCCAGGGATTCTTTCTCTTCATCGCTCATTGTGCCGCCTTCAATAAGAGCATCAGTTACAAATCCATCACCTAAGAGACCGCTGAGAGCTTGGAAGTCCTCGGTATCTTGGTCTATCGCCCATATCATTACTCCACCAAGACATCGAGTGTCCATAAAAGTGCGTTTCTCAGAAAAGCTTTGAGCATCATCATATGATATCCATTGGTTGGCATCGTAGACCATCCACTTACTGCTGGTTGCTTTATCGTAATAGAATTCATGCTGGTTGAGCCTGTGGATTCGCCTGTCAATTTCTAAGTACTCTGGTTAGCAGTGATTACTCGACGGACACTAGAGTCAAACCTCGAAAAGTAAGAATTCCTGCTTCGCCAGAGCAGTCACCAGCCAAACCAGGATTATTAAATTCACATCCGGGATCCGTGCAGTGGGAGTCAACTAGGGTGTATGTTCGGCCATAGAACCCTATCCCTAGGTTGACATTTTTGAGGTCGATGTCATTACGCCGGAGCAGGTCTAGCGCACTTTCTATTTCTGTTAAGTTCGTATGGCCAAAGACCCATCTGAAATATCAATGAGTGATAAGCAGTTATAAATGTGGATATGCACTTACGGCCCGGTGTATTCGTTGAATTGATCCCTAAAGAACTTCAGCTGGCTGTCAAAACATCAAGAAAATGCGGCGACAAACCATTTACCGTGCATGTCATAAGACATCAGATTGAACCAGCTAAGGCTTCGTTGGAGAGCCTTGACGTCGAAATGCTGAAGGTACCAATACGATGCTGGAATTGCCATAGAAATACCTATCTCGTATTAGACTAGATTTCCAATGGTTGAGAATCGAAAATGAAGTACCCCATGAAGGATCACGCTTGTCGAACGAGGATCTCATATTGCTGATGAGGAGGGGATAGTTATCATAGTCTGCCTTAATACCGCCACGATCGTCTGCCTCAGGATACTCCCAATCTGTTCGCCTTGGTTAGTCTCACGTACTTTTCCACAGCCAGTATGGAGGAATACCCACCGATATCAATACCATCAAGTCCGTACTTTTCTAAAAAGTCCATGACACTATCGATGAACGTTGTTCGACTTGAAGGTGATGCCGCCATGTCAGAAAATCGGGTCCTAGTCGGTCCAGGGTCATTGAAAACCCAGCCTCCAAGGGATATAAAGATTGTCAGTGCTCGGTTCTGCATTTTCAACTTTGTAATTCGGCGGATCATAGATTCATCTTCCGCCCCAATCTTGAAGTCTGCTCCAAGTGTCCCAAATGCGACATTGAGATGAGTAATGGCATGTATTGGAATATCTTCGGGCTTGAATTTATCACAACTTCGAGTATCTGCCCATGTTTCGTAGTATGCGACTCTTCTTTGCATCCATTGAGACGGGCATATTGGCCGCCTGGACAAGTTTCAAATATCAGTATAGATGTCAAGGTGAGGAAATAGAGTTTGGGGAGCAAGCTTATGTACTTCACGGGTTCACAACCACTCTGACACCCCGTACCGCAAAATTCAGAAGTTGTTCCTATGGCATGTCTATTAACAAATGTCCCCTATAAGTCGATAGATACTTACCACAAAATCCAAATTTTGAGCAGCAAACGCTCAATGGACACAGACTTCCCTTCTCGCTGGCATCTTTTCCGCACTCAGATGTAGCATTACAAGTACCTATGCAGTTTTTTGCGTCACACCATCCTTCTCCAAAGCCACAGCTTCCAAATCTGGAGCAACAACCACTTTTACACGGATGCTCAGTATCACAGGTGCCACCCTGTTGACCTAAGACATAACCAGAAAAATACAGCAACCATACAAATGAGAGTATGAATGAGCGTGATAATATCATGTTAACCATGATTTGAGATGATCAGCCAAAATATCATGTCTCAAATTTCCAAAGCAGAAAGATAGAATTTGAAAGAACTTTAAGAGAGAAGAAGAAGTAAAGAGAGTGCCGTTCAAGCTAAGGTAGGTTGCTAGACGACTTAGAGGCCGGCAGCCCTGAAGACCCCCTTTGCCAGCGAGAGTGCCCGCAATCGCAGTCGGGCTATCATGAATTACAAAATTGAGGTGCAACCATCCGCATGAGCGAGATGGAACCGTGAGAACTATTGTTAAAACCCTTGTATAATTTCTCTATGCATTGCAGCATGCGCCGTTGGGCGATTTAGAGCATGGTAATCTTATGTCGATATCGTTCTCTTGTGACAAAACCCAAGCCCACAGGTGCCGCTTGGCAAGATGACCGGTTGTCGTTGCTGAATATGGATTTTAAGGCACTCTTATGCAGGTGCCAATGGGATCGCAAGGAGGGAATCACATTCTCCATTTTACAAGTCTCTAGAGTAGTCCTGTAGGACGTAAGCGCCAAATAGATGGCAAGGTGGTTTAAAACCAACAACTGTGTCGGAGATGAGGTGGACTGGGCGGTGAGATATTCTGCCCAACACTACGAGTATAGTCGATAGTCTTTTTAGATACCAACTTCAATAATGTCCCTCTTGTCTTGTACTCTCTTATTTCGGATAAAGCGAAGCACAGCGAGCGCGTTACCTGCAGTGTGCGTACTCGGGTTGGCACCTGTATCGATCCGATTCGACCATAATCACGATGCACAACATTCAGCTTAAGGCTCTTACCAACTACCTAGGTAAGGTCAAGGCTCCACCCTGAGCCCATTCCGGAGCTGGGTTTCCATCCTGCAAAGTACTCGAATAGTGCGTACTATATCTTGGCATTCAACTGCCTAGTATGTGGTATAGCGATACTCCTTCGAGATTACACGGTTACTAGGAAATCATGCAGTTGGTCACAAATTGATCAACTCATCTGCCCTACCAATTGTTTCAGCATAGCGGAGCCTGAAATAAACGCCGGCCGAGGGAAGCAATCAGTGTCACAACGAGGCTTCCTCCAAATTTCTTCTGAAGAAATGAGAAAGACAAGCACACACAACAATGAAAATGAAAATGAAAATTCTCAATGCCAGACTACCATTGCTACTGCTCCTAGTCAGCATTCAAACTCTTACGAATGCTCAAGTCTTCGTAATTCCGGGACCGGGTTACCTACCGTCATCTGTTCGAGCAGCATGCCGAGCCACGCTTTCCACCCTCATAACTCAATGTTCTAACAAACTTTTTCTTCCGGTTGAGGATATCATTGTGGAGGATCTGAACGAAGTTTGCACCTCTGGCTGCTCCACGGCCCTTTATAGCATGTATATTTTAGCTGTTTCTAGGTGCGGGACCGATGATGTTGAAGTGCCAGTAGTTGGTTCGGAGCAAGCGGCGAGCATTGTTGTCAATCCGTTGAATATGGCCGGTGAACTTGTGTATCGATTTAATATGACATGTCTTCAAGATAAGTGTATTGTTTTGATTTCGGGATTCTGCGCTAATTACCATTTTACGAGCCCCGGACGATAAATTTTGCAAAGAGCAACTCTCAAATATGACCACCGATATGCAATGTCTTGACTGTAATTTGAAGAAAATCCAATTGCAATTGAATCACCCTTTCGAGCCAGGAGTGCAAGACCCAGTATCCTTTCAGTCACTGGTAACTTCATGCGGGAAGAGTTCATATCCAATTACCTATACCCCGACGGCCACCACAACAGCACCTATAACCACCACAGCATCGTGAGCATTCACTACTCCAATTTCCTACCGCGGAACATAACTGATCGGTTTCATAGGCCAGCTTGCACGAGTACCTACGCTGCAAAGGGGCCAGACACGCCAAATTCGGTCGCCTTAGCTCTCAAAGTTTCCACAGATCGGCTTTTAACGAATAACAATATCCCGTTGACTTGGAACACAACTTTTTCAACGGGCACGGTTTTATGTCTTGATAACGTCCCGGTATGTTTGACTCGAGCTGTTCAGCCATCGGACACTTGTTCTTCGCTTTTCGAAATGATAGGTTTCAGTTTGAATGAGATTATGCTCAGAAGCTGGAATCCAACTTTGGGACACGATTGTGGGAATCTTAAGAACATGGTTGGGAAGATGATATGTATATCTCCTCCAGGAACTACCACATCCTATACAGAAAAACAGCCTCCACCGACTTCAACAAGCAGTACTTCGAGCGATACCGCAATTTGGTCCTGGAGCACCGTTTCAGCCACTGCGTCCCCGACTCTCACAGCCAACCGGTCACTTCAATGGACATGGCCGCCGGACTTCCCTACCATCACAACAATCAATGGGACAATGCCAGCATCATCTAGCATATCGTTAGCCCTAGCGCGCATAACGTATTGCCCATTTCTAGCAGAAGGGAGCGAAGATTGGAGGGCTGGGCTTGCCGCCGATGAATACCGCCCAAGCCGACACGAACTGGACGAGTCATGCCAAACCCTTTGGGGTCCGTACTGCAATGCTAACTTATCAACTGCTGTTCTCCCGAGCCCTACCACCATACCGTCAAGTTGTTATCCATTAATCTCCACAGTCACAAGGGAATATGTTGAACCCCCAGCAGCAACCGCAAGCGGGACTCCAGACAACTGCAACCAATGGCATATTGCGGCCTCGGGCGATACTTGCGACGCAATTGACTCCAAATATTCAATCACTCTCGCGCAACTGAAGGCGTGGAATCCATCGATCAATAGCATATGCTCAAACATTATGGTGTCTTTCGCATATTGCGTGCGAGTATGGATTGAGCCGAGCTCGAGTTCTACCTCTGCGACAGCCAGCCCCACTCTCGCACCGCCAGCTCCAACCTCATCCGGCACATCAGCAGCTTGCTATAAGTGGCATGTTGACAAAACTAGTAGGTCATGTCCGTGATCCTCAATTTCTATCAAAACTCTAACCCTATGCGTAGGTGACACTTGTACATCCATTGCAGAGCTTTACGGGATCATTGTCAGTCGGTTCCGTCAATTAAATCGGTCTTTGAGCACCTTATGCGACAACCTAATAGTTGGAAATGCGTATTGTGTTAGATGAAGAATTGGTCATTAGAACATGTATTTACGGAGTATGTGTATAAATAACAGGAGGTATCTAGACATCAGTTTTCTGGTCTGATTCTGAAGCTTGGAGAGGTCCATGCATCATCTCCTAAAAAGTAATCCTGCTCACCTTCTTCCCCCTCGAGAAAGTTCTCGTTGAGGCCTTGTCCATCCATCCAATTATTGTTGGAAATATGAACCGCGCCAGCCTTGACTCGAAGTCTTTGAGGCATCATTTTGCCAAAGTCATCAATCGCAAGAAGCAGAACAGCGCCCGTCTCACAGGCTCGTTTGTCGGCGATGATCATCATGAAATGCTGCTTCCCCGCCATACGGCCGCTTTCAATATACTCCACAACATTCCCCCTCAACCCCCCACCACCCTCAAGCACATCTGGATAGCGGTTAAAAAGCTCCTGGACATACGACGGTGTGACACCGGTCGCAGTAGGCGCCACAATATTATCAGCGAGCCTCTCGTCGTTTTCGAAAGCCCAATTTCCCTTGATAAACTGCTCGTCGTCTTCACCAACATGTTGGCAGAGCTTTGCATATGCCGCATCGGCCTGACCCCTCTCTATATCCTTGTCTCCATACCAGGTGCGCACCCACATGACGGATGTGCTTTCGTTGCCGGTTTCTGCACGCTGTTGGGGAGTTTGCAGATTTTTAGGCACCCCTGTCGGAACCTCGGGAAGTTTAACCTCCCCCGAGGACCATACTGCCTCTTGCATGCGGTGGTATCTCTGATAGATGTTAGTTGAAATGTAACGGGGAAAAAGGGGGCCGCACTGTGAATGAGGACACACCAGTCTGCCTTGGCTGCCTAATTCTAACCAAGCCTTCACCAAGTCGGCCTTCTGCTCGGATTCACTTTTCGGGCTCGCAATATCCCAATTTTCCTAAAGATGCATCTCTATGAGTCCCGTCGCATTTCGATCCGGGCCACTTACCAAAACATAGTGATCAAAAGGCAATTCACCGAACTTCGGCACGTCTTCTTCACCATAAACAATCTTATCTTCCACAAATCGGAAGGACATAGTGCCACGTAAACTTACACCGGGTGGTGCTGCGTTGAAGGATAGATTATTGAAAGATGTTATTGACGAAAGTAATATGTTAGGAAGGTAGAATATGTACGACAGGCTAGCGAATCAGCGTTGATGCTCTATAACGTATCATGCGAGCTCTTGGCTATCCGGCGAGGAGGGGATGTAAGATTACAGATATGCAGTCATCAAATGTATGACAGTTGGGTAGTAAGGGGCGAAGAAATAAGATGCAGAATATTGATGTCGAAGACCCGCGGCTAAGATGAAGGTTAGATTGGTTTAGCTGCAAGAGAGAAGGTACCTACCTAGGTTCTTGGAAACGGTAAACCCATGCAATGGCAGACAGAATGATGCCCACTTCAACAACAACATATATATTAAAAGCTGGTTCTTCGATAAAAATAATGTTTGTGAGAACTACATCTCTAATCTTCTTAGTTTACCCCCAAAATAATGTATCAATCTATAATTATCCCTGGGTTGCTCCTTCTGGGCTCTCTGCTTCCCACGAGCTCGGCCATCTCTGTGGGAAGGCTACGTCGTGATGAGAGCCCTGCTCTGCCTCATGATCCGGACACCACCAAATATTGTACTTGGTGGTTTGACAATGATGGATCAATTGAGTGCTCTGCCATGCCAGCAAGTTGGGCCATTTCACTACCGGATTTTCTAAGATGGGTAAGTTGATTCTTTAACGGCCTTCAAAGTGTGTTACTAAAACTCGTTCCCAGAATCCTTCAATCACTCCTGAATGTTCAAACTTCAACACGGGCTCGTCGTACTGTGTAGAGGCATACGGCGAGCCCCCGCCAACGACAACCACTACCACCTCAGCTGCCACCACTACCACTCCAACTGGGAATGGCATCGTTACACCTACCCCAATTCAAGCTGGGATGGCATCCAATTGTGATGCTTTCCATTTTGTAGCGGCCGGCGAAGGATGCGCGGGTATAGCTTCCGCTGCAGGAATTTCATTATCCCAATTCTACAACTGGAACCCAGCTGCTGGAACGAGCTGCGCCGGATTGTGGTCTGAAACGTATTGCTGCATTTCAATCACCGGCATTGAACCTTCAACAACCACCACTACATCCACTACCACAGCGCCTGGAAACGGGATCGCCACTCCAACCCCTATTCAGAGTGGCATGGTCACCAACTGCAACAAATTTTATCTAGTACCGGCAGGTGAAGGATGCGCGACAATCGTATCAAAAAACGGCATCTCCCTCTCTCAGTTCACCACCTGGAATCCGGCAGCCGGGTCAACTTGCGCGGGGTTGTGGGCAGACACGTACTGCTGCGTGGGCATCATCGGCTTCACTCCTCCAACTACAACTTCAGCACCACCGACTACAACGGCTCCTGGAAACGGGATTGCAACACCAACACCCTACCAGACTGGAATGACGACTAGTTGCAAGACCTTCCACTTGGTGGTGAACGGGGATAACTGTGATAGCATTAGTAGGACGGCTGGAATTAGTCTAGCCCAATTCTATGCTTGGAATCCGGCGGCAGGGAAGGATACCTGTGCCGGATTGTGGTTGGACACTTATTGCTGTATTTCTGTTCTCTAAAGGTGGGCAAAGTATATTAAATCGAAGGAGGATCTATTAAACAAAAACCACATCCTATAAAAGTATAAAATCTATATATGCTTAAGAGTAACACTGCCTATATTAAATGATTACTCGGAGAGTGCGGCCCGTAGAAATCTCGTGTGTCTGTTCAGAACCTTCTCGACGTTATCCAGCACTGCCAGTTCGTATTTCAGAGCTTCGATGGTGGTGGCAGCTAATTGGTATAAGTCATCCCCACTCATATTGGCCATCCAGATATTACGTTGACTTGAAGTAGCGGTCCTTGAATGTCGCGCGACAATGAAGATTTTGGTAGTTGCAATTGCCTGTAACGTGTGAGCAAAGTACCTTCTAAGGTAGGAATATACTAACGAGCTATATTTGTTGTATTACGACCACCCTAGCGAAGTGGAAGTAAAGTTGGTGCTGAGGCGGAGATGGAGGTCACTCCGAGGATAAATGTAGGAGAAAAGCAAGGAAGTATTGCATCAGCTATTCACTGTTGTAGGTGTCGCTTAGCGAATAGGAGGGGGAATATCTCAAAAATATATTACTAGTACTAAGTATTAATTCTTGCTAAGCGAAATATCAGTCCTCTTTTTTTTTTAAGAGCAACAGAGAGAGTATAAGGCAGAGTAAAGAGAATAAAAGAAAGAAATCCTAAAGTAGTATAAAATAAGACTAAGATTAAGATTAAAGAAGGATAATAATGTAAAGAATAAAGAGAAGAGAAGAGGGGGTAAGAATATATTGACAAGCTACTAGTAACTATATTAATAAATAGCTTACAAGTAGCTCTCCTTTACTATCTCATTTCTTACCCCTCTCTTCTTTTGCTAATCTTGGCTTCCGCTCTTAGACAACCAAGCCGATCTAAATCTCGGTAGTAAGGGAGAGTGGGGGGCCGTTAGCAGAAGAGAAAAGGCGGGTTTCCTTTAAGCGAGATGACACAGGGAAGAGCGGGAGCCAGGCTTGAAGCAAACGACGAAAAAGGGGGGTTCGTAAACGAACTAACGCTTAGAGACCTTCAGTTGAAATCCTGACATGATAAGGGAACTCCTCGTTATGCTCATCCATCATTCTGCGGCACTGACCACAACGACCGCCTCGTCCTCTCACTACCCCCCCTCCACCTCTCGCGCTGCCTCTGCCCCTATTTCCCGCCGCCATTCGTTTGGTAACTTCCTGTCCCAACATCCATCCCTCTTCCTCTTCATTGCCCTCAATTCTCGTTCATTCTCGTTCCTCCATTTCTGCACTTCGTCTTCGGCCTCGTCTCCATCGAATAAATCCTTAGCACTAACCCCCACGGATTTCTGATATTGCCCCAACCCTCTTCCCCACCTTCCACAGCGCGTAAGAGGGAAATCGAATTCTTGTTTGGGACGACGTGTGAGGCGAGGTAATGTAGAGATGTGTTTCCGAAAACATCTTGCTTGCGGACATCTTGAGTTAGTTTCAAGACAACATAGTCTATAAGAGCGGTCTGTGAAGTGTGGTAATTCTCCTCTGCTTTTGTTGCTGGAGGGTGGAAGGGGCTTGAGATGTTCCTAGTCCAGGAGGGGTGATAGAACAAGACCGAGGATAAGCTAGTGACCGCGTGTCGTGCATAGACTTTGAGACCGCAAGTGAATGGACTCTGATATGGGCAGCAGAAAGGGGTAATCATGCTATTTGTAGCAAGGTATAGCCTAGTGCGGTTAGTGCTATGTAGGCTAGTGATATTAGAAGGTGCACATAATGTGTTGGAGGAGGGGGAGAGAGCCATGTGCAACAGCTAAGTGGAAAGTATGGATAGCGAGGATGGGCGTGGTAAGAGTTAGGCTCGGTGAAGCGTGGGAAAGGAAGGATGTGTAGGCGCGGAGGTTGAATGCTGGAGGCAAACCAGGAGCTGAAAGTCTTGAAGGTGGTTCCACGGGTTTAGGGGAGACTGGTGGAGTGTCGATGGTGAGGAAAGTACTCATAACAGGAGTCAAGCATGTGAGTGATGTGCTCAGTGGAGCTAAATTTAGATCAAAGCCGAGAGAAAGGAGGTGAGGTATCATGGGAACATTTGCTTCAACCGTAGTGTGTTGGGGGCTCGAGATTGCGAGACTGGAAATCGTCGGACTGTATGAATCAAGGACTCTTTTTGAAGTCCAGCTTGAAGCATCAGCCCCGGCTTTAAGCACTCTATCGAATATTTGGGTAGAGGGTTGCCTTGCCGCTGCGATTAGAGAGTGCATCTCCGCTCCTCCGGGGAAAGTGTCCAGCGCCGAAACCTCAGAAGACATCCAGAATGGTGTAGTGGCATGAGCTCTTTCTTCTATCTCTTCCGTGGTAATTGCTGCTGTTTACGATAATTTCATGCATCTCAAAAGCGGTTTCCTGTCCGCGACGTCGCCATCAATATCGACATAGTCTGGGATGCTGGGTCGAAAGCGGAGGAAAAAAGATTGATATGTTTCAAGAGACTTTATATCAATTCCGTTTGGATCTGCTCCAGACTCGAGTAATATGTCAACATTCCGAACCAACTGAGACCGAATCGCCTGCAGGAGAGGCGTGTTGATTGGCTGTTGGCCTAGTGTTTGAACTGCGCTATTGGGTCCGAAAGTATTTGATGTATTGTTACCACCGTCTTCTGAAGGATCGGTTGGTTCTTGGCGCGCGAGAACAGCTCGAAGGACGCGCGGGTCGGGATTTGCAGCAGCTCTCATAGAGGCAGAAACCCCGTTTGGTCCTCTAGAGTATGGATCCGGAAATGCCTCAAGGTTTCATCGGGAAGTTGGAATAAGTGGCTCATACTGTGGACAGGGAAAATGAAGAGTACAAATACATGTGTTATCTTCCTCGTAGTCATCAGATGTTTGGGTGAAGTTGAGATGAGGTCGCGAAACTCAGAGATGAGATGCCTTTGTCAAACGAGCCAACATCTTCCTCATCGATGCCATCTCCGTCTCTCTCCGCAAATTCTTGCCTTAGGAAAGTCTCAGCCGCGAGTATGCTTGCCTCGCTAGGCTCGTTGGTTGGCCTCTTGGGGGATGGAATCATGGCTGCAGAAGAGGCGCGGTTCGTCACAATGATGGAACGAGTGTAGGCGGGAGCAATGGGTAGGTACCTAGGTAGGTATTAAGTACGCGATGCTTTTGGTGCCCGAGCCAAGAATATTCGTGGCGACTGTTCTGGGAACCCAAGACACCGAAGCCTCTGGGACGGAAGGCTTTGGAACGGGTGAGGCTGGGATTTTCTGCGTGTTTGTTAGCCTTGCATGTCTCGAGGCAGTGATAGGTATTTGTATTTCTTGAACTATTGGGACTGGTATGAGAGCTGGCAGTACCTTGAAGGCAGGTACATAGAGTAAGGGCGGGTACTAGGTATGGACGACGGAAATCCGGTAAACCAACACCAATATAATAAACAGCATGCAAATTGACCGCGTGATGACTCGGATGATGATTGTGACCCGAGTGTTGGTCGCAAGCCCTTGAGGTTATTTTCATTATATGCCCTGCAGTTGTTGTAATACCACAAGGTACATGTAGCTTACTCTGCCTACTCCGTATGGTATGCCATAATCACAAACAAACAGTAAACCCACCATACAGTAGGCCCTTATTAGGTACCCAAGTACCCAAGTACATGCTCGACTTGCTGAGTCAGCCACCGCGTCGGAATCGGCCGTCTTCCTAGCGCGCATTTCTCCCCGCGCCGAGCTCCTTTTCACATATCACAAGATTATTCTGTGCTGCTTCGGCCATTCACAAGCTCCCTCTTATCAAGCTGTTATGTGATTGGGTTAAACTGTCAAATTCCCGTTTACCGCCCTTGCTTTTGGCAGGTCGTGATCTTCCCCCCGCCACAAGCGCCGCACTTGTCGACAAGGGCCGACTTAAGACGCCGCTGGCCGCGATATCGTTCATGTCTTCAGGAAAGAGACATTATCTCGTTATCTCTTGAATTCTATTTTCGTTTTTCTTTTAGTCCCTTCTTCTCAAGTCCTCTCTTCCCAAGTCCCCATCTCCATGACATCCGAACAGGTACCTAGATAGAGTCACTCTTGTTTGACGGTGAACAACAAATCGAGCATTTGCCTCCCTTCAACAGCTGACTGTTAGCTGTTGATGTGGGCAATCCATTGTTACGGAATTCTATAATTCCAGTCAATTTTTATCATGGCGCCCATCGCAGTCTCTCCTGAACCAGCAGTTTCGATTTCCGCCACCCAGTCCCTCGCTTCCGTTACTACCGCATACGACGATACCCTCCGTTTCTACCTCAATGGCACACGAGTCGTCCTCGACGACATCGATCCCGAAGTTACCCTTCTCGAATACCTTCGTGGAATAGGGCTGACGGGCACAAAGCTGGGCTGTGCTGAGGGCGGTTGTGGAGCATGCACGGTCGTTGTATCCCAATACAACCCTACCACAAAGAAGATATATCATGCTAGCGTCAATGCTTGCCTAGCACCGCTGGTCAGTGTAGATGGGAAACATGTCATCACAATTGAGGGCATTGGCAATGTTAAGAGGCCTCATCCGACACAAGAGCGAATTGCCAAAGGCAACGGCAGCCAGTGTGGCTTTTGCACACCAGGCATAGTGATGAGTTTGTACGCTCTGCTTAGAAACGATACCAACCCATCAGAGCACGATATAGAGGAAGCCTTTGATGGAAATCTCTGCAGATGTACTGGCTATCGCCCGATTCTTGATGCCGCTCAGACATTCAGTGCTCAAAAGTCCTGTGGAAAAGCCGCGGCCGGTGGATGTTGTATGGTAAATGGTGGGAGCAAGTCTGGGGGGTGTTGCAAGGACGCCGGCTTTAAAGATGATCAGCCTATCAAGCGATTTACGCCACCAGGATTCATTGAATACAATCCAGATACGGAGTTAATATTTCCTCCTCCACTGAGGAAGCATGAATTCCGGCCTCTAGCGCTGGGAAACAAAAGGAAGAAATGGTATCGGCCAGTCACTCTACAACAGCTATTGGAGATTAAGAGTGTTTACCCGTCTGCCAAAATTATTGGCGGGAGTACGGAGACTCAGATCGAGATTAAGTTCAAAGCTATGCAGTACACAGTTTCGGTGTTCGTTGGTGACATTCCAGAACTACGCCAGTTCTCCTTCAAGAAAGATCACTTAGAAATTGGGGGGAACGTCACCCTGACCGACTTGGAATCCATCGCTCTCCAAGCAATCGAACACTATGGGCCGGTCAGAGGTCAGGTATTTGCTGCGGTTCATAAACAGCTCAAATATTTCGCAGGTCGTCAGATAAGAAATGTTGGCACACCCGCTGGAAACCTGGCGACTGCGTCCCCCATCTCCGATCTTAACCCAGTATTCGTTGCTTCGGACGCTATATTAGTGGCTAAGTCATTGGATAAGGAGATTGAAATCCCCATGTCCGAGTTTTTCAAAGGCTATCGACTGACTGCTCTCCCACCCGATGGCATTATTGCTCGTATTCGGATCCCCGTGACTAGTAGCAAGGGAGAGTTCTTCCAGGCCTACAAGCAGTCGAAACGGAAAGACGATGACATTGCTATTGTCAACGCTGCGCTCCGAGTCTCTTTGAATGCTTCATGTGTGGTTAGCAGTGCTGACCTCATCTACGGCGGGATGGCGCCGACGACGATAGCTGCTAAGAAAGCTGGAGCATACCTCATAGGCAAAAAGTTTACAGATCCATCAACCCTTGAGGGCACCATGAATGCTTTAGAAGCAGATTTCGATCTTAGATTTGGTGTGCCAGGTGGTATGGCCACTTATAGAAAATCACTAGCATTGGGATTTTTCTATCGCTTTTACCACGAGGTCCTCTCCAAGCTGGAAGTCAACGAGGCAGATGTGGATGAAGAAGTTATTGATGAGATCGAAAGAATGATTTCCACTGGGAAAGAAGACCATGACTCTACCATTGCCTACCAACAAAATATTCTAGGAAAGGCTAATCCGCATGTTGCGGCGCTTAAACAGACATGTGGAGAGGCTCAATATACCGACGATATACCGGTTCAGAAGAACGAGCTGTACGGTTGTCTTGTACTCTCAACCAAAGCTCACGCCAAGATTACTTCTGTCGACTACTCACCCGCCATGGATCTACCTGGCGTAGTTCAGTGGCTTGATCACACGGATATGCCCTCGCCCGAGGCAAACCGGTGGGGAGCTCCTGTCTGCGATGAGGTTTTTTTTGCCGTCAACGAAGTATTCACTGCTGGGCAGCCTATTGGTATTATACTAGCAGATAGTGCTACACATGCTACTGCGGGAGCAAGGGCTGTCAAGGTGGATTATGAGGAACTACCGACCATTTTCACGATAGAGGAGGCCATTGAGCAGGAGAGTTTCTTTGAACATCATCGGTATATAAACAATGGCGATACGGAAACAGCATTTAACAATGCCGATCATGTATTCACAGGTGTTACGAGAATAGGCGGCCAAGAGCACTTTTATCTTGAGACACAAGCCTGTGTTGCAATTCCAAAGCCGGAAGATGGTGAAATGGAAATTTTTGCCAGCACACAGAACCCAACCGAGACGTAAGTGACATCTGGCACTCTAGGCGTGTGCATTTTGCTAATATTAAGAAGTCAAACATATGTTGCTCAGGTCTGCGACGTCGCTGCAAATAAGGTGGTCTCTCGAGTCAAGCGTCTCGGGGGCGGCTTTGGTGGCAAAGAGACGCGGTCAATCCAGCTCACTGGAATAGTGGCACTAAGTGCAAAAAAGACTGGCCGTCCTGTTCGATGCATGCTAAATCGCGATGAAGATATGATCACATCTGGCCAGCGACATCCTTTTCTTGCCCGCTGGAAAGTTGGTGTGAATAAAGATGGAAAAATCCAATCACTCGATGCGGATGTGTTCTGTAATGCAGGTTGGACACAGGACCTGAGTGCTGCTGTCTGCGATAGAGCCCTGTCCCACATTGATGGCTGTTATAAAATTCCAAACATACATGTTCGAGGACGATTATGCAGAACAAACACAATGTCTAACACAGCTTTCCGGGGGTTTGGAGGACCCCAGGGTCTTTTTATCGCCGAATCTTACATGGAAGAGATATCAGATCGGCTCGGCATTCCCGTGGAAAGACTGCGGGAGATCAACTTCTACAAGCCAAATGAGGAGACACATTTCAACCAGAGCTTAAAGGACTGGCATGTCCCGATTATGTATAAGCAGGTACACGAAGAAACTTCATATACTAAGCGGCGCGACGCAGTTACAAAGTTCAACGACTCCCACAAATGGAAGAAACGGGGTCTTTCAATAATTCCAACCAAATTTGGCATATCATTCACAGCTCTCTTCCTAAATCAAGCTGGTGCTCTGGTACATATCTACCACGACGGAACGGTTCTTGTTGCCCACGGTGGCACGGAGATGGGACAAGGCCTCCACACAAAGATGACAATGATAGCCGCTGAAGCTCTAGGAGTGCCTCTTGAAGATGTTCACATCTCCGAGACATCTACCAACACCGTTGCGAACACATCATCAACAGCTGCATCGGCTTCTTCTGACTTAAACGGATATGCAATCTTCAACGCATGTGCTCAGATCAACGAACGACTGGCACCATACCGCGAGAGGCTGGGAAAAGATGCCGCTATGAAGAAACTTGCAAGTGCTGCATATTTCGACCGGATAAATCTCTCAGCAAACGGCTTCTACAAAACCCCCGATATTGGTTACGTATGGGGTCCGAACACCGGACAAATGTTCTTCTACTTTACTCAAGGCGTCGCAGCTGCCGAGGTCGAAGTAGATACACTAACAGGTGACTGGACGTGCTTGCGAGCCGATATCAAGATGGATATCGGCCGTTCGATCAACCCCTCCATAGATTATGGTCAGATCGAGGGTGCTTTTGTGCAAGGCATGGGCCTGTTCACAATGGAAGAGAGCTTATGGTTCCGCGGCGGCCCGATGAAAGGTCAGCTCGCGACCCGCGGCCCTGGGGCATACAAAATCCCCGGCTTCCGCGACATTCCACAGGAATTCAACGTCTCCATGCTGAAGGACGTGCAGTGGGAGAATCTGCAGACGATCCAAAGAAGTAGGGGTGTTGGAGAGCCACCTCTCTTCATGGGCAGTGTGGTGTTCTTCGCCATCCGTGACGCGTTGAAGGCGGCGAGGAAACAGTATGGGGTCCAGGCTGAGCTGGGGAAGGATGCAAATGATGATGGGCTGTTGAGGTTGGAGAGTCCGGCTACCCCTGAGAGGATTAGGACTTCATGCGTGGATCCTATTATTAGGAGGGCTTTTGTTAAGCCGAAGGATGGGGAGAAGAGCTTCTTTATTTCTATTTGAGGGAGCGGGTAAATTGGCGAAGTTGTCATGGGATTTTCAGAATAAGTTTAATCTCATTTCATCGTGGAGGGATGGGCGTTTTTGGTATAAGATATACATATCGTTGCTAGTCAAAGAAAATATTCCCAGTACCCGCCCTGCGCCCATAAGATGCCAATTAATAGTACCAAGGCAGCAAGTGAACCACTGGGAAATTTCTCGATGGAAGTCTTTATACCCGATATCTGGGGATTAATAAGTCTCGAGTAGATGTAGAAGCGTGGAGTAAAATTAACTACGTTAAATGAGGTTAGTATTAGGGTTCTCTTAGTTGATTAAGTTAAATGGATATGTAAACCCACGACCAGCATACGGACTCTTCGCCATCCTTTTGAAGTCTAAGGGCGCTGCTTAATAAGATATAACCATACGACTCTGTCTAGTCTACTAGTGTACTTAGGTTGGTATATAATATAAGCTGCATACTAAGAGGATAAAACTCCACCAATGTTGAAGGATACCTATTTTGCCGGAACACCCCCCGGGTTTCAAGGACGAAAACACCGAGAAAATAGTGAGACGTTGTAAAAATTCTTTAGATGGAGTGCTGCTTGTCTTGCCTATAACGAGGACTCCTTGCAGCCTTAAAATGCATTCATTGACAATCCGCTAATAACTCTTCACCTACCACGCCCGCTCTTACCCCTAGGAGATTTCATAACTCTACCACCGCCTCTTTGTCCGGAACTCCCATGTCTTTTATCCTCTCCCAGTCCTCTTCTTCCATTGGAAATGCCACCCCTGCCACTACCACCACGGAACCCACCGCGGCCTCTCCCGCCTCCTCTGCTTCCACCTCTGCTGCCACCTCTAGAATCCCCGCCAGTCTTCTTCTTGATAGCTTGGATGTCTTCACCATCAACATCCATCTCGTCATCATCATCATTAGTTCGCTTATTAGAAAACTTTAGCCGTCCTCCCCGTCCTCTTTGTACCGCGTCTCGGCCTTTGATAGCCTTCACGTATGCACCAACACCGCCCTCGTCATCATCAGCCTTCCCTTCTGCGGGTGTATCGAGAACCATCGCGTCGTCGTCGCTGTCCTGACCAAGCAAGAGCTTCCCGTCCAAGTCCATCTTAGCTTTCGTACGCATAGGGGCGCGCTGCTTGAGAGGTCTAGTTGACGAGATGTTCGCCAGCGCTTTGCGATCCAGGAGATCCAAAGGCTCGTCTTCATCTTCAACGATAAATGTGTTGCCGCCTTTCTTAGCAGGCTTTCTGCTCTTGCCGAATACCTCATCATCCGAGACATCAGAGCCGTCCGACTCGTCGCTGCCGTAGACAGCCTCATCGTATTCGCTCTCGAAGTGACCTTTTCTTCGTCCGCTTGTGGCTGCGCCCTCCTCATCGCTACCTTCGCCGCCTGCTGCCCCTTTAGTGGCCTCCTTTTGCCGTTTGGCCCTGTCTCTAGTCTTGCGGATATTGGCGATTAATTTCCGGTCGTCTTCTGGGCAGTACTTATCCACGACCTCGACACCAAATCTTCTGATCATGCGTTCGATGATGTGCTTGACCTTTGCTTTGAAATGTGCCTTGTGCTCATGACTCCAGACCATCAAGTTTGGTATCAGGGTTTGCAGTCGTGGAACCATTAGGTCTTTGGGCAAGCTGATTATGCAAACTTTGACGAAGCCTAGAACGCTGCGTACGATTTCGCGATTCTTGTGCGTGAGGAATAGATCCATGGTTTCGACTAGCTCGTTGAGAGTTTCTACTTTCATCGACTCGCGGAAATGGTAGAGGATTCGAGTCAATGCTGTGATTGACGCAGATACCATATGCGATGCGCTACCTGCTAAGCCTGCGCTGATCATGGTGAAATATTCCTCGAGGTTCGCTGTGACGGCTGGGGCGTCACTTGGCATATGAGGGACCTTGCTGTTGTCTATCACTGCTCCGGACGCTGAAGCCATCTTCTCCCCCATGAGAATCAGGAGATCAAACGCGGCAGTGCGTGCTCGCTCATTGACTTCCTTGCAGGAGATGACAACTTCCGAGAGAATTGAAGGTATGAAGTGGAGTGAGTCGTTAGGAAGGAATGGGATGAGCGTTGATATGGCTGTTAACCGGTCCCTCCGAGCTGGAGCGGATGCTTTCTCAGCGCTATTCAGCAGTAGCTGTTGTAGTTCGGTACTGCGCTCTTGCAACGCTTGCTGACCCGCGGGAGATTCGGCCAGGCGTGGAATGAGCTTATATGCTTTCTTCTGCAGCTGAGGATCACTGTCCATGACGATGATGAGTGATGCAATATTGAAGAGGGTGCTGAAACTGTCTCGAGGCAGGTAGATAGCAATGGTGATTACCAGGTCCATGAGGGTATGGCTCATAGGTGGCATCTTGTCTGCTGCGCTTTGCTCCTTTTTCTTTTGCTTTTCAGCTTGGGTTTGCTCCACGGTCTCCTTAAGTGATGATTCTAGCATGGATGTGACTCTCTCAAAGGTCTCCATCACCTCTTTTAATGGTGCGATGCTCAGGTATGCATTTATGCATTGCAGGATGTAACCTCGGTATTGAGGTAATGTTTGGCTGTATACGTTGAAAAGCACGGCCAGCATGTTACTCGCGAAGCCCGAAAGATAATCGATATTCTTCTGGGCAGTAGCCTTAGATACTCGGCTTTGTAGAACAAGATCCTCATCGCTCTCAATTGCCACTATGGCTTTATTCGAGTCTATTAGAGTTTGAAGCGCCCTGCAGACATCTGGACGCAGCTCGACTTGCTTGTACAATAGATTTGACAACAGCTCAGCGAACGATTGATCGAAGGACTCGGTAATATCAAGGGGCAGATCGCAGTATCCAGGTAATAAGGCCCATATCTGTTGAACAAGAGTCTCGAAAATCTTAATCTCCACTGACTTCTCGGCCTCACCATTGTCGATGACCCGTTGGAACATCGCCTCGCTCAGGGGTACGAATTCGGTCTTGAAGTGTTGCAAATTAGTATTGCTGACATAGTCGCGCAATATGGGTAGCATCCACGCTCGACCAGGCTGCCCCTGCTTTGGCTTTGACAGATTCAATGGCAGAATGTCCAAAACTCTTTCCGGGCCCATAGCTCGGATTGCTTTGCCAATAACCTCGTCGGCCTCTTTCTTTCCGGTAAAGGAGCCATTGGCACGAAGCTCGCCCACTGTTCGGACAACATCTGACATGATCGGATCGGCTCGCCAACGCAGACCATCAAACATTGCGCTCATGACGGTAAATGTCTCCATCCAAGCGGCCTGGTATTTCACGCTAAGGAGATCTACTGCTGCTTTGGCAAGTTTCTCTAGGACCTTCTCATCATAAATAGAAGGCTCTAAAAGGACAGTATCTGGGATGCAGTTTGCCATGAACGAGATTAAACATTCCGCCGCAGAGACTCTAATATTATGAGATGAGGATGCTAGGAATGAGCTGATCAGGTTGAATAACTCCGGGAGTTTTTGGAAGGTTTCGTCTGGGGTAATTTGCGCCGAAACATCATATCCTCGCGAGAGAACCGCAATCCAGGGCGGCAAAAGCTGGGAGTCGTTCTGTGATGGGCGGAGTTCCGAGATTACCTCGAGTAGTCTCGGGAGCTTTGATGAAGATGTTTCCTCGGCCATGCCTTCAAATATAATCTCAAAGACCTCGAAAGCGGCCATGGTCATATACTCGTTGCTGGACTTGGAGATATTTAGAAGAACCTCGCATAATGCTTCAATCTTCTTGCTGGGCCAACCACCCGATGCCACAGCTACCGTCTTAACCAATTGCAAGGCGTGTATTAAGGCAGGTTCATGCTCTGCAGATGCGCCCTTCTTTTGTTTGCCAGCCTGGGTCGCCTGTGCCGCGAGATCACTTAAGCTCTTTAATGCGGTCTCCGCACACATGTCGGCCGCAGGATGGTCGAGGGATGGACTCGGTGGGGGGTTCTTCAAAACTCTGGTGATTGCTTCTTGAGCCCGTTTTCTGATCTTCGGCCGATGATCAACCGCCAGGTTTAAGAGCCCTGCTATCGCCCGTCGTGGACCGATTTGTGTATGTGACAGTTCCCATGCTGCTGAATCTTGGGCGACCAATAATGACTCGAGACATCCTATAGATGGCCTAAGGAGTGGCGCATCCGCCTCGGGATATGTTAAAGCTGGAGCGAGGTTGGTGAGGATCTGCGAGAATTTGGATCGGAGCAGAGGCTGCGGGGCATAGGGTGTAATAACATCGAGAAGATAAACTACCGAAGTAGCCAAATCTTTGTTCACGCTTGTCGCCGAGACTGATTGCCGCAGAAGCGCCAGGAGAGCTGCAAAATATCCCGTTGGGGACGCTTCCGTCTTCTGGTCGCGAAGGGTATCTTCAACGGCGGACAGCACTACATGAGTCTGGGAGCAACTCGGTCAGTTCTTTGGCTATTTTAAAATTATAACTAGCGGAAATTCCCGTACCTGCTGCTGATTCTGTAGCTTTGGCGATCGGATCTTGTCGAGCTTTTCTTCGAGAGACATGGTGAAGGAAGATATGGGCTCTTGCGCCATGCTATTCATTGTGGTGGTATACCAGAATCGGTGCACAAAAAAAGTTCAAAAGTTTCTTGCGATAAACGATAGACGATTACGGAGTAGTGGCGGTGCAGTGCGGGTCGCATCGGCGGCCAATGAGCGCGGGCTTCTCGAATAGCAGCTCAGGGGGCGTTGGCTCGGGGATCCTGATTGAGTCTTCAGTTCTCTCTCTCTCCACAACATTCTCCAGACCAGACCGGACCAGTACGCCGCACTAATACCTGGCATCTGGCCTCATCAAACTCCTTTCTCTTCACCTCTTCATTTTATTCCAGACCTTCTATCCTCCTCTCTTGTGCGACCTTCCGCTGTTTTCCCCCTCAAACCAGTCTCTCCTTGACATTTGTCTCCTATTCGCTCCTCTAGGCTATTATTTGCCTTACCTGCCTTAACGACGCGCCCGCGCATCGCATCGCATCATAATTCCGCGTTAGTTGCCGCCTACGCCATCAAAACCATCAACCAACAACGCATCTCTTCGAATCTATCCTCCTGAGTCCATCTAGATTCATAGTCATCGCCATGCGTCTTTCTACTGCTTCTATTCTGGCGCTGCCTCTCCTGGCCGCTGCCGCGCAACAGGAAACCCCTCTGGACCAGGCCAAAGCTCAGGCCCAATACTGGTTCGACAAGATCTCCTCCTATATCCCCAACCCAAACAAAGCCCATGCGCCGGATCTGGGAGCTACTAAGGCGCCCGGCAAACCTCTTCACGTCTTGACCCTTGACAGCTGGGTGCAAACCATCCGAGGAAGCGTCAACCCAGCCAGCACTACACCAGAGGAGTGGTGGATTATGGTGACGGGAGGAAACAAGACATGTTTCGGCCACTGCCTCGCCGCAGAGACTGCGTGGAATCAGACTGCCGCGCTGTGGTCTACGGATCCAACTTCTCCTAACACGGGATACTTGAACTGCGATGACCAACCAGTTCTCTGTAACTCATGGGGCGCAGGGCCTCCAGCCTTATGGATTATGGAGGTCTCCGCGCCACCAGCGAACGTTGATATTCGTGTCAAGGGATTGAATGCTACAGAGACCACGGTCAAGACCTTCACTGATCTCCGTTCCTCCAAGGAGTGGAAGACAAAGCCTAAGTATATCAGCGCCTTCCATCCATTCGATGGCCCTCTCGCGGTGTACGGGCTTGCCGTTCCTCTTGGCTATGTGTTGTGGGTTTTCGCTACCGTCCCTAGCTGGGCGTTCATGATTGGCATTTCGTTCATCAGCAGAACCATTATGTACGTCACCACCTATCCCTATTACATATGATGTACTAATTGTGCCTTAGGAGCAAGAGGACTCTTCCCCCTCAAAGACCTGCTGGAGCCGCACCAGGTGGGGCCGCAGCTCCTCCCGCTCGCGTAGGTGCACCACGGGGCGATGGAATATCGTACTGAATTTGGGGAAATAACTAATTCTTGTATAGTAAATGTTGTCACATGAATGGGTACGGGAAAATGGTTAAAGGAGGATATCTGATAGTAATGTTGGGCTCAACGAACTTATTATTATAGTATTCATATGTAATTCCACTGGGTATCAAAACGCCTGTTTAGTCGCAAACTTCCGGCGTGATTTCCAAGCCACTGATTTCATGTCTTCGTGCAAGCGCTCTCCAATCTATTTAGACCTTCCAAGATCTGCCCTGGGAGTTTCTCATTCGCCAGTCTACCATACCGTAGGTCACTTAGCCCTCCAGCAGTGCCTTGCATGTCTTGTAGGAGAGTATCCGCCTCCTCCTCAAGCCTCAGGATCTCATCCTCAACATCATCAGCAGCGCTCTCCAGGTCAGGTAGTATCGATGTCAAAGTATGCGGCCTAGAGGTCGGTAAACTCGATACCGGGCCAAACAGCTGGGGAACGATCAGCAACAGCCGTGGTAGTTACGCTCATATCCTGTACTTACGGCATTCTCAATATCGGCTTCATCATCCTGCTCCTCATTTTCCGCCCGTCTCCGCGCCCTTACAACTGCCCGTCGCTGCGCATTCCCTCGTTTAACTTCTGTAGCTATGTTGCGCGCAACTGCATCAGTAAGCCGGGCACGTTGCCGTTGTAGATCCCGATATAGTGCTTTAATCTGAGGTGAAGCTTGCTGTGAGCGTGGGAATAGCTCGGTAAAGGCTTTGAGGGAGATGAGAGAGGGCAGGGGAGCGGGAGGCAGGAGGAAGCTGGAGAGGATGGTTGCCTCGGTCGGTGCCATAGTGAGAACGACTGTGTGGCAACAGCAACAGCAACAGCAACGTTATTTTTGTGGATTTATCCAGTATGGCTGGCTCAGCTCAGCTCAGCTAGCTAGTTAAGGGCTTGTCCGACTCTGGTAATGAGCGAATTGGTTGATGCATATATCTAATAAGCAGAAACCTGTCTGCAATCATCTGCAATGCAGTGGCGGAAACAACACAACACTGACTGACACAAAGGTGCTCCAATAGCTGGTGTTGGCGGGGGAGACGCGTTGAAAGAACGCGCTTCGAAAAAACGGCTCGTCTCGTCCTCGCTTCGAGATCCCAGCTGGCTCCTCCCCGTCTTCTCCTGGACAAGACAAAACACCAAATCCGCAACTTCCGCATCGCCGTACCAGACACGTGAACAACGCCAGCAAAGCAACATCCAGGAGAATAATAGTAGTATTAGCTCCGACTTGCTTTAATAACAGCGCGGAGATGGCGCCTTCAAAGACTGCAGGACCTGCTTCCCCTTTCTCCAAGGATGAGAGGGTTCTCTGCTTTCATCACGATATGCTGTATGAGGCGAAAGTGCTGGACTGCAGGCTTGTGGGGGGCAATAACTGGCAATACCGGATTCACTATAAAGGATGGAAGAATACTGTAAGTGCCCTGTTTCTTGGACTTTCGTTGAGAGTTTATCTGTTGTGGTTTTTGTGGCGGCTGTAAGTCTCTCCGCCTCTACATCACCTCACACCTCCTTCCGAAGCTGGGAAGGACGTGAGCGTGGAGTTGCCTCACTTTATAAGTTTAAACCCGACAATCTCCCTTCCCTGTCTAGCCAAGCGCCGATGTACTGTCTCTTTCTCTCTGTCAGGCACAAGAGGGAAAACCACATATCTCCATCACCCTTATCCCTCTGTTAAAATGTTGAACCTTCCTGACCGTACCAAACAGTGGGATGACTGGGTTCCTGGAGACCGAGTCAGAAAGTTCACCGATGAGAACAAAGAGCTTGCAGCACAGCTGCATAACCAGATGAAGGCCCTGCAACGAGCGCCAAAATCGGTGTCGAAGAAACGAGCAAATGGCTCGGACTTCAGTTCTGCTCGAGGCAGCGAGGAGCGTCATACCTCTGTCGCCGCGCAAGGCGGACGTGGTGGAGCTAGGAGAAATAGGGACTATGATTTAGAGCATGTAAGTATTGTCTGTTTTCTATTGATGTTTTTGCTTCGTGGTGTTTAAGCGATCCGTTTTCCTATTGTCGTGGTTCGTGGGGTGCGTTTGCCTATTGTTAGGTTTTCGGGCGTGGTCCATCAATGGCTCTTGCTATTGTCATTCAGTTGGTCATTGTCCCAAAGTTGGGATGCGCTTTTCGTGGCAGTACTTAAAGGGGGTGGTCACTTCGCAGCAGCTTCGTGAGTTTTCTCTTCTGAACCAGCGACGTTTGACCAATATCCCGAAATGCCACGATCAGCCAGAAGAACCAGCGCCCCCAAGGTCAAGAGAGCAGGCTCTCCCAACGGCTGCGTCCGAGCCACTAATGGCAAAGGACGGTATGCCTGGGAGGACTGTCTCGCGCCTGACGAGATGCTTTTGTTACCACCTCCCGGCCACCATTACCTTGCCCGGGAGAGTCGGTACAAGCGCCGGATGCTCCTGGACGCCCCCTCCGCCCCACGCTGGGATAAACCTTCTTTGGTTCACCCAAAACTCGCCGAACTTAGGCGGAGGGGGAAGGTAAACAGGTACAATCGATTGTACTATACGGGCATCCCAGCCAATGTGTCTCTGCCACTTGCTGGCATCATTACCACCAGCAATCTGACGGAGCAACAGGAGGAGAACTTCCACGCAAGACCGTCGATTAAGCTCGTCATCCCGGACCATATCAAAGCGATCCTAGTTGACGATTGGGAGAACGTCACAAAAAACCAGCAGGTTGTGCCTCTTCCAAGTGCTCACCCGGTCAACTCAATCCTGGACGACTATCTGGAGTACGAGATGCCTAAGAGGCAGGCAGGCAGTGCCCAAGCAGACATCTTGGAGGAAGTCATTGCCGGTTTGAAGGACTATTTTGACAAGTGCCTTGGACGTATTCTTCTTTACAGGTAAGCTAGCACTAACTCCTCAAATTGACCACAGCTCACACATTTGAATTAGATTTGAGCGTCAGCAATATAGCGAGATCCGCGAATCTTGGATGTCCAACAAAGGTGACCTAGCAGGGAAGGGTGCCGGAGATACATATGGGGCTGAACACTTGTGCCGCCTCCTTGGTAAGCTTCCTTCCCAACCATCAAATCATAAAGCTAACATCTCAAAGTCTCCCTCCCAGAGTTGATCGCCCAGACAAACATGGATATGCAATCTGTCAACCGACTTCGTGAAGAGCTCACCAAGATGACCAACTGGCTTGGCAAGCATGCGGAGACATACTTCGCCAAAGAATACGAAATTCCAAGTCAGGACTACGTCGAGAAAGCACGTGGTGCTTAGACAGAAATAACTCATCTCGAAGCTTGGGCCATGGTGTTGATGGTCTTCTTCATTGCGATACCTGCTTGCCTGGTGGACCATGGTGTTGATGATACCCCTACTTCTTACGCCTACTCTCGCTATAGACCATGGTGTTGATGGTCTTTCTATCCCTCATCCGACTCTCGCGATGGATCATGGTGTTGATGGTCCTTATTCCTCTTGCATACTCTCGCGTTGGATCATGGTGTTGATGGTCTGGCGCCGACATTTAGTCTTCTCGGAGTCCGGCTCAAGGTGTTGGTTGTCTGCTTGTTTTCAAGAGCTATTTTTCCTTTTTCCAAGTCTGAGGCATGGTGATGGTGGTCTGACTGAGACCTGGGAAACTACGGATTAGCATAGCTTCAGTCAGCTTGATATTATAGTCATTGATTGTGGAAACTACGAGCTTGCTATCTAGTTTTCAAAATCATAATACACGTCGTTTGTTTTCGTCCAACAGGTCAATTAGTAACTAAGCTCAAGATAAGTATTTCCAAGTGGCTCTGACCGTGCCCGTGTTCATTCCTACAAATATACCTATCATCGTGTAGCCTGTATCAACTGCGCCGATAAATGGGTCCTGATGGCGAAGAACGGCATATTCGGATTCGCTTCTCACTCCTTATCCCAAAATAGTGGTTTTGATGTGGATTTGGTCATGTTACATAGTGTACAGTTACTCCCCATCAAAGGTCTCCATACATCCGGACCCATCATGGTATGCTACATTTGCCATAGAAGGAACCAAACTCCCGCATGATATACCCTCCGCAAGCCCGCAATCGAGGGCTTTCCTAAATAGCTAGGAACTTCGCATCCAAACGGTACTCGCCGAGCTTCCTAGCCTTCAAGAACCGCAATCCAAGAGCCATTGACACTTTATTACTGCCTGTTCATTCCAATTCTTCCATTCTCCCAACGTATTCACAATCACCGGGGTGCTGCTTTCTCCAAATAAAATCCAGGTTCTGGTGTCCGTTCCGCCTTCACCTCTGCCTTGGTCAACGGCTTCTCCACCTCCTCAACTGACACCAATTCCTTAACTCGCATAATCTGGCCTGCGACTTCCGGTGTGACGGGATAGAAGACGGTGGTCATTCGATGTCGGAGACCAAGTGCTTTCAATACACCTTGTGTTCGTTTGGTCAGGCCGATGCCTGAGCGTAGGAGGGTGATGCGGAAATATGACATTTTGACTACGAAGTAGGTAGATTAGCAATAGGGACATTTGATTGATTCCATAATGCAATAGTAATTAATTACCTTTGTGTGTGAGGATTTCTTGGTGCCCTGGGGTTGGGAAGCTGATCTCGGTCGGTCACAATGTCAAGGTTCGCAAGAAAATGTTCCCAGTCGGCCCTGAGACAGGGCGCGCTAAAACCCCAGGATCCAGGACGCGACGCCTCACATTCCTAGACTCGAGTGAACGTTCAAATATGGCTTGAGAACGGGCAACCACGAATTTTGCATCTTGCCAATGCTATAACAATGGAGAGCTCTACGATAAAGCTCTCGGAGCTGCTCCGGCATCCCGACGACCTGGACAAAATTCCGGCCCTGAAGCTCGAATACTTACGGAAGAAGGGGGCAGTCGATTCGCAGCTCCGCGGCGGGCTCAAGGAGCAATTGGAAATTACGCAGTCTGGGATGAATGGGCTTACGGATGGGCAACGGACGGTACAGCTTATCAAGGAGGAGATGATGAAGATTGACAAGTTATGCGCCGAGTCGCAAAATATGATCCGGGACTTCCCCAATATCAACCTGGTTTCGCAGACTCATCGGAATTTCAGCGCCGTGCAGACAATGCGGACTAATTTGAATAGCTTCAATGACCGGCTGACTCAGGTGGAGATGATGCTGAGGGAGGACGACCAGGATCCAGAGAATATGCCGAATTTGCTGGCTGTCCACTATGAATTGACGCAACTTCGGAACATAAGGGATGATTCTATGGAACAGATATTGAGAGCCGACGATACGAGTCTGCAGAGCACCTTGGAAGATTATTTTGCGAGGTTGGATGAGACGATTGATTGGTTTGATGAGCATATTGGGACTATCGCCTTGAATCTGATCAGTGTGCTCATTAACGGGAACAACGGCTTGGTGGTTCGACTGGCAGTGATTATTGAAGCGGAAGAGAAGAGTGATAAAAGAGTCAAGGCGCTACAAGACGCATTGAAGGATCACAAGGAAATGGCAGCAAGATTCCAAAGCATTACGGATGGCGCGAAGACTGTTAGAGGCTATAAGGAGAAGTTCCTACAGGCCATACAGGTACATGCCGATGAGCAGATGACAGAAACCAAGCAAGCATTCCTGGAGGACCCATCGCTCTTAGAGAAGAGTCTGAGATGGTTCTTCAACGATCTCAACGCCGTTAAGCAAGGAATGGTGCCTCTTATGCCGAAGAAGTGGAAGATATTCCAAACATACGGCAAGACCTATCACGCACTTATGCATGACACTCTGGTTGGCATGATTGACGATCCCGATACTAGTTCTGCCAATATGCTTTCCATACTCAACTGGCCTGAAAAGTACTATAAAAAGATGGCAAAGCTAGGATTCTCCCAAGACGAGTTGACGCCACATGTCATTGACGCCCGAGAGGGTGAGCTGGTCCGCGAGTTCCGCCAACTCATTATTCGATATCTTGATCAATGGCTAGACAGGATATTCAAAACAGAGAAGAAGGATTTTGCTGAGCGGAATGTGGACGGCTCCAATTTGGATGTTGATGAATATGGCTACTTCCGGACGAAGAATCTGGTCGATATGTGGCGGATGTTGAGAGAACAAATTGATGCCGCCGGAAACTCTCAAAGGGCGGATGTCGCGGAAGGCGTTATTGACGCTATGATTCTACGATTGAAAAGCCGGCAACAGGGTTGGCAGAAGATGCTCGATGAAGAGGCTGCGAGATATTATGGCAGTACGCCTGAGCTCGAAGGTTTCCAGGCTCTTCAAGATTGGCTTGTTGCCACAGCGAACGACCAGATCGCCTGCATCGATGATAACGAGGAAGATGGCCGCTTCGCATATCTCTCAGGCTTCCGCCAGAAATTCGAGCCGTTGGTATCGCCTCAATATCTTGAGCGCGTGGATGTCGAGATCTCTACCCTTCGTGACGGCTATGTTGACCTCAGTACCCACTGCATTGCCAAATTTGCGCAGCTTATCTTTGCCGTGGATTTCCGAACTGTTATTCCTGACTTCTTCACTGCGAAATGGTATTCTGCAACTGCTATGAAGCAAATGGTTGTCACATTTGAGGAATACGTCGGCGATTACAAGGCAGTTCTACACCACTCCTTGCTCGACATCTTTATCGAGGAATTAGCAGATGAGCTGCTAATACGGTATCTTTCAAGCGTCAGGAACAAAGGAGCGAAGTTCAAACGCCAAGATCCTTTCAAAGACAAACTATTCAACGACGTCTCCGTAGCATTTGAATTCTTCAATAATAACCCCAATCTAAGTCCCGATGTTGGCGATACAATTAAGCAAAAGTGGAGAGTCACAGAACCATTTTTGCAGCTCGTTGAAGCAGACAAAAACATTATACCTGAGGTCTTTGCGGGCTTCAAGTTGGATTATTGGGATTTGCAGCTTAGTTGGGTGGAGGCTGTGTTAAGGACGAGGGATGATTTCGATCGGAGTATGCTTAATGCGGTTAAGACACGAGCAGCGCAGATTGATGTCGTTAGAGGAGTAGAAACAATCATGAGCAAGGTTAAATAGGGGAATGGAAGCTTTTTGGGTTTGCGTTGCTCTGGGAGTGCGGCGTTCATAGGGGGCATTTGGGAGCGGGAGGATGGGATGATCACTTCGATTTCAGTTAAATGCCGTTATATAGAGATATCCGACTATCCTAAATAAAATGATTGAAAACATGATACTATTTCCTTGATTGATAACATCAACCTTTTGTTGTATTTGCCTACGAAGTACACAATACATTGTGCAACCATTGCATTGAGTTTCCTTAACACGGCGAGCCAACCCCCGAGGCTCGGAAGGCCCGTCGCGTCACCACCACCACACTTTACGCGACTTCAACACAAGCTTCAAACTTAGGACTTATTAATGCAACAAATGGTAAGGAACCCTTTCCTGTGTTTACGAGCTATTACTAATTATCCATAGGCGCCAGGGCCCGACACTTTGAAGAGAAAACGCTCTCGACCCTCGGAGTGGTGGACTGCGACTCCTCCCACTTCAGTTAAACAACATCCGCTAGAGCAACAAACCGAACAACGACCTGAAGAGCGAGGCGGGAGCAGTCCGGTGGAGCATACAGGTGAAGAACATTTTCCAGAACAATCACCTAAGAATGCGAATGCCTCCAAAACTCTACAGTCAACACAAAGAGAAACCTCGAAACGAAGGCGTTCGCGTCCTTCGGACTGGTGGGCAGTGGACTCCTCAGTCTCATTCCAGGAAAATGAACCAACAGCGAAGAAGCGGATTAGCCCTAATACGATTGATCCGAAGCGAGCAATTAAGGAGATCCCATCTGCTTCGAATCGAGGGAAACCGGTGGACCAGAATGTTATAGCCGAGATAGATGAGAATGCGAATACAGAAGTGAAACCTTTGAAACGGAAGGCCAAATCCGACAGTGTAGCCCAATCTCGAGATCAGGAACAGAGCGCTGGAAGTAGCATCTTGCCCACAGCGAAGAAGCGCGGGAGGCCCCCAACACGGCAATCAAAGCAGGAGGGCACAGATGAAATTATATCCGCTCCTGATCGGAACGGGACGAAGAAACAGCGTGGGAGAGATCGCAAACAGCAAGCCCGCGTAGGCGAAGTGCTCGATGTTCAGACGGCTTCATCGGCATTCGGAAGTACACGCCCTCAAGTCGGACGAGTAGTTAAATCTTCAAAACATGGGAGCAGCCAGCCTCCCAATCTCAAGAAGCGCAATGGTCCATCAAGCTCAGCAGTCTCGAAGCAGTCTGCTGAAAACCCCAAGGCCTTAGATAGTAGGTACATAAGATTAGTTGAGCCTACGTATGCTAATATTATCTCAGAAGCGAATGAACTACGTGATACCAAGCGTCGCCGGGTCCGTGAAGCGTCACAGGAGGAAGAGGATGGCGGCCAGGTGCCAGAGGTGCCTCTTCGGTATCAACATTTGGCCGCTGTGACTCGGAGAGTGCCTCGCCAAACTATTGAGGCGAAATGGGAAGCTCTAAATCCGAGTTGCATTGAGCATATCTCGCAATTGCTGGCTGACATACAAAAACCTGCTGCCGTGCGTTTCAAAGATGAGCATAGGAGGACTCAGGCAAGCACAGTATTGCAGATGGTCTCTCGCCGGCTTGTTAGCAAGATCTCAAAGGGCATCCCATTTCCACCGGGGACCAGCCGTCAACGCGAAGACGACTTCAATTTCGAGAAAATAATTAACCGGAACAGGGTGCTGGACAGTCAACTCACAGCCGCTATAGATGGGAACAAACTTTTGGATGCTAGTTTGAGCAACGAGATGGCACTGTTAGAGTCGGAGACGGCTGCTCTATCTAAACTGGAGACCAATGCAAAAGCTGAGGCTAGAAAAAGGAAGCAGGGCGAGCGGAAACTCCATCCGCTGCTCCAGCCTGACGGTTCCGCGACGGAGGACGGGATGGACGATGCCGGAATAGTATCAACCTCCGTGCGGCCAACGTTGGGTGTAAGTTCTCTGAACTCCTTACATGTACCATCCACTAATTGTGTGTCCAGATCTTGGAGGATGAGAATATGCAAGCTGTTGTTCAAAAACTTGAGGGCCACGTCGACAGCATGGGTGGCAACTTGGAACAAGTTCACGGAATAACTGAAGCAATGGCGAAAACCAAAGCGGCTGTGCAAGTCATTATTTTTGACCACCTCGATCGTACTCGGTCTGAGGAGGTCGTATTGGGCACGGAATAATTATTGGGTTTTTCTGGTATCGTGGTCAGCAATTCTCGAGACCGCGGGAAGACGGAAGGAAGCCAAATAATCACGATTAATGGGAGTGCTCGGGGCATGCCGAGATGTGGTCTATATTATACCTTAGTTATAGCTACATACCTGGAGGTACTTAGGGTGCTACCTAGGCACCCGGGTTACCTCGTCGAGTGATGCCCCAAACGCTGTCACATGATTGTTAGCCGTTTCGAGACCTTTGCATGTGTACCTGCTTACTGCTTACCGCCTTGAAACCCACTTGAGCTGTAATGTAAAATATTCTCGGCTTCTGTTTAAGCTAGCTCGGCCGGCCCCGCAATTCTGTGCGTGAGCATCTTGAGGAGAGACAACACCAACCAAGTACTTCATATCTACCTATGCGATAGCTTCGTAGAATCCCCGAAATCCACCAGAACCAGAATCTTGCAAATAACGAAACGGTGCGCCGCGCTGCGACTCACCAATCGTCCAATCCCACTCCAACCCAAGCCTCTCTGGACGGTGCTTTGGCTCGTGCAAAGCGCTGCGGCACGCCTTCCCGAGTCCCCTTCGGCCTAACGGCCGTCAGCGTCAAGTTGCAATCCGATGGAATCTCTTGAAACGTAGGCTCCGATGCCATGGAACAAAATGCGGCCAGCAATGGGCAGGATACGAAACCCGAAACGTCGTCGCCGGCCGCGGCGACAGCTAAAGCTGGTAAAAGAAGGCGCAAAGTAAACCATGGTACGTCAAGGAAGTTGGCATCTTACCGATGCAATGGCCTGTTAGAAAATATCGCTGACCGAGAGTCGTGTGCCTGCAGCTTGTGTGTATTGTCGACGATCTGTAAGTCTTGCATTGGGTTGAAATACAAGGGATGAGCGTCGGTGGATGCACCTACGCGCAGATCTGTCTGGCAGAAGCTAATGTGATTTGGACCTGGTCAGCATATGACATGCGATTTGGTACGACCTTTTTTCTCTAATATATGCAGCCATGCGCAATCCATTGTATTCCATGACTAACTGTTTTGCGTCGTACAGGAACGCCCATGTGCGCGTTGTATAAAACGGAATATTGGGCATCTTTGCCACGATGAGCCGCGCGAACCGGAGACAGCCACGAAGAAAGCGAAGAAGCAGAACTCCAATTCGACGGCGGAAGAGAATAGTACGGCCGCGGACCAGCGACAAGGCAATATAGAGGGTGGCATGAGCAATTCGGTCGAGCTACCCCAGGAGCAATCGCAAGATAATAATAGCCTTACATCTGGGACCGCAACCCTCTCACAAGGTAGACCACTTCAGCTGGTTCAACCGTCACCTGTTTCAGGGATTCAGACAAATGCTCTCAACAGCAATAGCACACAATGTAAGCTATAGGATTAGCCCCAATCAACGTGGGAATGAGTATTGGCACTTATTAATGGGAGTACAGTTCTCGGGTATTCAAATGACTGGCTTGGGACACAGAGCCAATTCCAAGATATGCATAACTACCACCCCTCTTATATGTTCAACGCGCCGGAGGTCACAACTGAGTACAATCTCTTGAACGACTTCTTGAATAATAGTCTACTTGACGAAGGCGCTTTACTTCCTGACGATACGTCGAACTTGTATGCTGATCAAGCCGGTAACATGTTACCAGGAGGATTAAGCAACACTTCTGGTTTGCACCATTCTGGGCCCGTGGGCCCTGGGAATCCCCAGAGCAGCGGGATCTCAAGGCCAGCTAGTACCATTCCAATTGATAAGGCGCGAGAATATTATCTACAAGCAGCCGACCCAACAGGTAACGATGCTCCTGAAGAGAGAATGCAACGCCTTCTTCGAGCAAAGTATGACGCTGGTATGCTGAAGCCTTTCAACTACGTGAAAGGATACGCACGCCTATCCGCTTACATGGATGGCCATATGCATGCTGCTTCTAAGCAAAAGATCCTTCGGCAATTGGATCGTTTTAGGCCAAAGTTCAGGGAGAAGATCCAAGCCTTGACAGACATTGAACTCATTTATGTAGAAATGTGGTTCGAACGTAGTCTCATGGAATATGATCGCGTCTTTGCCAGTATGGCGATTCCCGCCTGCTTATGGAGGAGAACTGGCGAGATATTCAGGGGCAACAAAGAGATGGCGGAACTAATTCATGTACCAATAGATAAACTTAGAGACGTGAGTTTTCTTATCCATCTAGCCGATATACGCACTAACCAGCAACACAGGGCAAGATTGCGTTACACGATATCCTTACTGAGGAGTCGCTTGTTAACTACTGGGAGAAATTTGGGGCCATTGCATTCGACCAGAGTCAGAAAGCACTCTTGACGAGCTGTTCTTTGAAAAATCCAGATGATCCGTTGACCACTATTAAATGTTGCTTTTCATTCACGATAAGGAGAGATGACCACAAGATGTAAGTATTGAATTGCCTCGTCGCTTTCTCCTCAGCTTGCCATGCTGATAATTCACAGACCTTCTCTTATTGTCGGCAATTTTCTACCTCAAGACCCAGTAAAGCGTTAACCTCCGCTGGTTGTTCAAAGTAGATACTAGGATTTTGGGTAAATACACTGCATAGGCGCTGTTGGAGTTTATGTGCTGCGCAAGATAGTAGGGGGCGCTTTGCGTTATTGTGCTCGCTAGGAGAGCAACCCTTGAAAGTTCTAGCTTATTTTGAGGTGCTTGACTAAATCAACACAACACACATCACTCCCACTCCACTCAGCCCATTTTCCAAATCCGATCCCTTTTCCTTCAATTCATGCCTACCAAGAAGCACTGGTAGCGAGAGTAATTCGGGATAATAGGGGATTTTATCGTGACTTGACGAGTTCCCCGTCGAAGGGTCCCTGCACCGGGAATTGGCAGCACATCTCGCAGATATAGCCATGGCGCCGCTCCCATCAGCGCGCCCCGAGAAAGAGAAGCGTGTCCGGAGTCTCTTATGCAAGTTCCCATGCCCAAGAAGATTGCTGAATGATTGCTTATCTCAGCCCAAGCCTTCGCTGCCGATTTAGAAGCTCAGCTGCCTGCAGCCGCATCCTCGAGATCCCCAGGTCCCCTTCTTGACGAGATTGAGAAGTGCATATCCACCTTCCCTGGAAATTTGGGCACCGCTGCAGCATCGAAGTGTCAGGAAATCGATAGCTCCGGCACGACATTATGGAATATCTGCACCCGTCTCAGGCGCAATCACGACACCGAGAACACTGAGGCCGTTCCAATTATACTGGTCTTGACACGTGTGTTTGCATTTCTTCTGTTGTGCTGTGCGCACGACCATGGAAAGTCTACAACGGGTAATATTTTGAGGTTGGCCAAGATTGGTATCAAAGCTGCGAAGAATTGCTTAGGTATGCAGCTCGATGGTCCGCAGTACCCTTGCTGATCTGATGGCAGAGCGGAAAGAACTCGGGCTCGCCTTTAAGGTCCTCGAGAAGGTTGGGAAGTATGAAGACTCGTTGAAGGGATGCCAGTCGGAGCTCGGGCTAGAAGATGGACAAGAGCCCGAGCGAGTAAGCGCAGAGTATTTTGTTCTACGCACAGCTCTAGTAGGTGAAGCCTGTGCGATTTTCATATACGTCGTTTCTGACCTGAAGCAAGGCATGGTATCAGAAGCAGTATGATATTGTCGAGCACATGTACAAGAATTGCATGGCTTCGAAGCGCAATTTCGACTCGAATACCGCAGAGAGCCTAGCAGATGTTCTCTATGAGATGGGCAAGGATCTTATAACATCTCAACAATACCAGTTATCCGTTAAATGGCTTGAGCGAGCATACGAGGTGTTAACCACCCAGGAGCTCGACAGACTTAGCATGGATGCTAGCGAGCTTCGAATCTCCATCATACAATCACTTGTTAAAGCTCTGCTTCAGCTCAAGGACGATGGGGCACTAGAAAAAGCCCGTGGTTTTGTCGAGCTTCTCCAAAACGAGCTTGGAGACAAACTAATCGTATTGTTGCTCCGGTTAGAACTTGTTAATGCCAACACGGCGGATCCTTTCGATAGTTTGTCCTATAGCGAAGTCTTACACAGGATGATTCGGGTGGTGATATTGAGCGATGGCAATTTTAAGCTTTTGATGTTCCATATTCGAAAGCTGAACAACAAAAGCCCAAGTTTGGCCTGTAAAGTACTAGACGACCTGCTAAGGTTGCGGGTAATAAAAGAAGGGCGAGAGGAATTGCTTGAGAGAGTAGTAGTTACACGTTTATGGATGACGACGAGTCAGATGGATGCTCCAGATGCCCCGGGCTTGCTCGAGACGTTGCTCTCTACCGCGCTCGATAATTTCAACCAGCCTATAGGTTCATCAGCAACTTTGGCAGCACACATGGTATGTTCTGCCTCTTTCTCTGGCGATATATGACGGCCCTGATATCTGAACAGTTACTCTGGAAGCGTATCGAGTCGAACTACGCTCAGGGACAGTACGATATTGCTGAGAAATGGTGCCGTCTAGCTTTGCACCCAATTTTCGAGAAATCGGGAGACGTCAACATGGCTCGGATATCGAGGTGATTACTTCTGAACTTCAGAAAGGGACGGATGCTTACATGATATATGTAGGAAGCTTTTGTTATGCGCTCTAGCTAGACAAGATACTGGTAGTGCTAGAGGTGCCTTTGGGTCAATGTCGGATACGGCTAAAAATGAGCCCATGACAAGGTTCCTGATGTACAAAATCGCCATACGCTCGAAGGAATTCGAACTGGCTGCTGAATGCCTACAAATTATCAGTACCTCTTCCAACAGCGATCCGACCCTTTTATATGCTTGCTGCCTGGACTCCCTACAGGTTAACAACAAAAGCCAAACATTAACTGCATTGCAGCTCGTGCTTGAGAAATCCAATTATGCACCGCTCTCTCCTGTTCACTTGCCGTCGCTGCTTCGTGTCACCATCGGTATAACATCTTCATTGCTCGAAGAATCACAAAATGCAGGAGGCGAGGGGGACTATGAAGTGCTCGTGGACAAGCTCTGTAAAATGTTCGAAGGAGGTAAGGCTTCACAAAGACTCAAATTGTAGCGGAACTGACTCTTGAGCAGCTGTCTCGTCGATGAAGAAGCCACCGAACTCTGTAAAAGGCACCGACGTTTTATGGACTTCATCTGAAGTTGATTGGTTTTCGAAGAATTCATACAACACCGCCATTAAACATATATCTATATGGCCTCCACGTTATGTATTACGAATGTTGGTCTGTTGCACCTCATTCATCTCCCAATACCCCTCGGATATCAGTGAGCAGATCTCCGACGATCTAGATCTCCGCAAGATGTTTTGCGAGTTCTCCGCAGGAACTCTTCTTGTTGCACTAGCTCGTAGTGAAGATAATATCGAACAGCGATCCCAAGATTACCTCCGCTTGCGCAAGCACGTCAGTAGTTTCGATAAGTTACTAGTAGAAAGATTGCCTAAATTAGAAGAAGTTCAGAGTCAAGACCTGCTGCAGAAGCTAGCTGTCCTTCTAGCATTCGACTTCGAAGCAGCTTGTCAGTTAAAGGCTTGGGATGATCTGGGAGAAATTATCCTCAAGATCAATATCACCAAGAGTGTACGTGCCTTAGAACTAATGGCGGACTGTATCCTCTCTATTCAACCTCCAACTCAAGGTTCGTTGAATTTTTACATCTCACTACCACTGCGAACTAGTTCTAATTCTTCGTATAGTTCTCATCGTCAACTTAAAAAGAATCATAAATGAAGCCTGCAGTCTCGATGCAATGGACAATTCCAAACTGGCGAAGTACATGCGTTGTCTATTCCAAATCGCACTATCAGATAATGCTGGAGTAGCAGAACAACTCCTCGACCAAATCCGTGATCTAGCTGAAGAATCCCGAGATGTGAGGCTCCCCACCCCCTCTAATTTGTATATTCTTAACTAACATGGATGTAGATTGATCAGCCATATCCTACGGAGGAGCTTGATTGGATCGCTACCAAGTCTTTCAATCATGCTATCGACCTTTATTGTAATGGCCAAGATGAAGCTTGCAAGACCTGGGTGGGCAAGGCTCTTAACATCACTCATTTCTGCGATGATGGAGGAGCGTTGGAGAGGTTGTTGCAAAATAAATTGATGGGATTGAAGTTCGATGTTTGATTACATTTACCTTGACTACCACAGTCCTCAAAAAAGAGAACGAGGGGCGTATCGATATTCGTTTCAAAAGCTACACACTTGCGATGGGGAATTTCATGAGTATTGCTCTAAGGTCGCTTAACATGCTGTTAGATGATGCTGAGCTGTGGGTTTGCCTCTGATAAGAATGGTCTCCTGCTACACATAGTTCGGCACTCCCTTCTTCGTTAGATATTCAAGCTCTTGCGCTAGGGTAGGGATTGCAAAGTTGTAACTTTAATACTTATAGCCATGTATATTATACAAATGATTTGAGCCAAATTATATACAACTTCTAGAGTTCTACCCTTTAGCCATGTCCACCGATTAAACTAGAACCTTCTTGAGCACCTTCCCAAATACACCTCTAACCCTTTCCGGGTTCTCAGCAATATAAGTGAACACCGCCGCCGTGCTAACCGCAAAAGCTGCATTCTCCCTCCACTGGTTCTCCCACAGATACCGTCTAGGGAAAAGCGTAGCCAAAGCCCTCGGGGCGACAAAAATTCCCAGTTCCTTCCTCCGACCGGCATTCTCGATTAGCACACTCCACCCGCAAAACATACAACCCGTTCCTACGCAAATCCCCGAATCGATTTGCTGTCGTGCTGAGGTATGGGTGCCGATGAGAGATGGTCCGACGCGCGTGCGTGCTATGCAGATACCGTAATAAAAGAGTGCTATGAAGGACGCGAGGAAAGCAGAGGAGCGCGCGGATGATTTCAAGGCACGCTTTGCTCCGTCTTTGCTAGGGCGGCGCACTAAGAGAAGGAGGTTTATGGGGAGGTATGTTGAGATTGCCCAAATGAAGGAGCGAGACCAGCGGGAGAGGGCATGATACTCGCAGCTTTTCCCCGTGGCCATGTGGACTAGCTCGCAGGGGAAGGGGATGCTTTGTACAGGATCGCCATAGGATAACGGCAGGTTGTAGTCTTTGCACATCCCTTGGAGTAAGGGCGCCTGACCGGTTTCAACGCCGTATTTTATTTCGCCCCAGCGACAACGCCGGAGGGCGATGAGGAGCCGATGATCGACCGCCGCGGCTGATTTGATCCATTTGTTATAGGAGCGTGGCAGTCGGTCCGGCGTGTATATCCAGGCCCACATTATTAGAGCACAGGAGGTGGCGAAGATTGAGGGGTCTGTTAAGGTAGAGGCGAGGTTTTCAATCTAGGTTTTGATATCAGCATTTTAATAAGATGTAGGGATAGGTGCATGAACTGTACCTGCGTCCATTTCCCCGCTGCTTTGCGTCTGGTTTCTCGCCGAGACCATAATTCTCCAACTAGCGCATCAACGGCTCTGGTAACAGCAAAGAGTGTCAAATCCATGGTTCGCCCAGCAAACCGTATTGGTCTGAGGGCTGACCCCGTAGGTGTTTCTTCGGCGACATAATCGATGTAGGCGTCACTCTTCTTGGATTGGAGGAGCTTGAGGCTGAACCATGCTGCAATGAAGGTTGAAAGCAATCGAGTTAGTCTGTACAACGTTAGAAATAGAGTTCTAGCCAATACTTGACAAGAAATATAATCAGATTATTGGTGGACTTCGGGCCGGCCCAGTATAACTTTAGTTCAAAAATTGGTTGGGTGAGAGCACTTGCTGTGAGATAGATGGAAAGATAACGCAGTTGAATAGAAAGAAATCCCTACCTCTTCTGTACCGAAGCGGATATAGATGATAGAAACTTTGCAAATAACCTCCTCAATGGTATCTGAGAGAGTTGTTAATAATTGTTGAGAGTAAGAAACAGGGAAGATCAGAGTCACGTGCCTGCAAAAAAGTCGATCCCCCAACAAGGGCAGCACAGAAAGTAGGAAAGCGTTGCAGCTCTAGCCCGCCCCTCAATATGTGGATTAGGGAAGTGGAAAAGTCGTTCTTGGGTTTCTCATCTAGAAGCTTCCGTTTCCGGCCGAGATGCGTGAGGAGCAGCGTCAGCAACCTCGGTGCGGTGCTTGATATGTAACCCAGAATATAGGCACGCAACACAGGGCGCAGAATAGGAGGCACTCCTTGCCCAATCAGCCCTCCGACTCGAGGCCGTTGGCGTGGAGGAGCGGCTGACTGCATGGCCACAACAGCGGGGGAATGGATTGCACAGCGTGGACCTGATCAAACGACAGAAGATCGAAGTTTCGACACCAGATCGAGAATGTTCTGCAGCTCAGTCACCGCATATCAAAACCACCTGCTGTGATGAGATGAGGTCCCACGACCAGGCTACTGAGGACTAAAGACTAAAGACGGGCGGCAATGGACGCCACTTGCGGCGTCCCAGGACATTTGGCTGACATGCGGACTGGGCAATAATGGGAGTCCAAAGAGAGTTGGGAGGAAAGTTGAAGATTTTTACCGAGGCTATTCGACGACGATGGCTGCGAAAGGGAAGTACCCCGGACTTTGAGACAAGGAAGTTCGGCCGCTATCTCGATGGGCCAAGGCACTTCGAAACAGGCCCGTCGAGGACGGAAGTTAGTACGGGCGGAACTGTGAGTAGTGATGGGAAAGAGGGCTTGGATGATTAGCGTGGCGGTTGCGAATACTCCCGTCGTGACATCGTGCTGATCAGGGGGAACGGCGTCGTAGATCGGATTGGCTACACGGGTGCTACTAGCTCCCCTTTTTTGAAAGGCGTCCAATGTGCTCGATTACGAGCCAGAAAGCTCTGTTCTCTACGGTATCTTCCGCGACAATCGACCGAGGCCTCCATATAATTCCGAAACTATGGGGTACGGGGTAGGTGTTCAATACCGTATGTCTGCGGCGTCTTACTTGGGCTTGCATTGAAAGGGGCTTGCGTGCATGACGAGCAGAGCAGCTCTTGGGCAGACAATCTCCGCTAGGTTGAGGCGGCTTGTATTCTATGGGGCAATGGAAGGTTCCAAAGGAGGTTTCCTTCGCAAAGGGCTGCAGTACGTTGAAACGGGGTCGTCCTGGAGTTGCTTAGGAGGGGCCTATTCACAGTTCGATAGGTGGTCTTAGGCGTAACGTTAATGGACGGAGGTTTGAGTGCTGGTAAGGTTACTTGGGACTGGCTCTGGCTGCATAACGAAGCCTACTGTATTCATTATTGACATTGCCATCAGCACTAGCCGTATAACGGTCGAGGATGCTGGAGTTAAACACTGTTAGTATTAATTGTTGATATTATTGTTATTAATTATAACGTCAACACTCTGCCTCCCTTTTTTTTTTGGCATGTGAAGACCAAGACCCTCTCGCTCTCGCGCTCTCTCTCTCTCTCTCTCTCTCGCAGCTTGGACGGACAATATCCAAGCCACAGCCTCTCGGTGCCACAGCGTGCCCACACCGCTCTAGGGACTCTTCGCAGGGACGCTGCGGACTCTAAACATTCGCGCAAAACCCGCTCCAAGCACCAAGTGGAGACCGCTCGACTCTTGTGTTATGTAGTTGTCCAAGTCCCAAGCCCAAAGTCCAAGTCTGCAGACATCCCCATCCCCATCCCCATCCCCATCCTCATCCCCATATGCACCCGCACATCCCTTCCATATCGTCCTTCCCTTACATCTGCACTGCAACCTGTGGCCGGTCACGGAGAATTCTGGAATCCAAATCATCCTTCGGAGTTTGTCGCATTACCGCGGCTTTGCAGTCTCGTCACCACGATAAGAGAGAAAAGGGCGATTGATTGCCTGTAGTCGAGCCTGTTGTAGCGCGTGCCACAGCTCCTTCACTGCCAAAGACCATCGCAACCACCGCAGACCAACCTCAAGACGTCGCCAGCCTATAGGGCGCCTATACTCTCAAGGAGCTGCTCATATCCCTCCTGCGATCTATGGCTTGGGTCCCCGGGTGTCGTCAAAGCCGTTCCTGTATTCCCTCGCACCAGAACGCCACAAACCATTCGTGACGTTTATTTACAAGTGCGGGATAAGCCCTAAAGACTGAGGGACAGCGGGAAAGATCTCACATTCACTTCCATACCAGATCAGGCCCAGCAAAACCACCGTGATCATTACGTTCTTTCCACCCTACCACCAGTTGCGGTAGCCCAGTGCGACGGCCCCATGCTCGCGGTTCAACGTCCAAGCATGGGTTCGTCGAAGCCACCAAACTTCAATATGCCATTTGGCTGTACGTATGACTGCATAAGGCACAAAACTCTTCTGACTTGACATAGATTCGTTCAACGAGTCTAACTCAAATTTCCCCTTACCTTCGCAAACGCCTCCGGCTCCAGGGCCTTCCTTACTCGACGACAATGAATCCAAATTCCTAGACAGCTTCTTCGACGATGTGAGCCAGGATCAGTTCGACTTCAATTTCTTCACAAATGCGCCGGGTAGGGCCGATGCAGGGTTTGGATGGGAGGAACTACCGCCGACGTTTATGGGGACGACCTCTTCCTTTGGCCAGCAACCTGCGATGGGCGCTCATAATTTCCTTGATCCAAATTTCGATGCCTTGTCCTTACAGATGCCAACCGGCCCATCATTACCACAACCAACGCCCGATGATGTGATAGAGGCGGCGACACTGCTACAGAATGGGTCTGCGGGAAGGCCTCGTGGTGCTGCCCAGGGGACTTTTTTTCCTCCACAGGATATGTCGATACCACCTTCGAACGGCCTGATCAGACCACAATATACCCAACAGCGGTCGTTTCCTGGGGCCCATGAACGGTCAAGTAGTAGAAATGAGTTCACACCGGATACATATTATGCGGATATGGTATTTGGGAGAAATCCTGACAAGAACCCCCCACGTCCGAGGAATAACAACCAAAAGCTGGATATTCGGTGGGGATCAGATACGTCGTTCGCCGCGGCACAAGGTTTCATGGCCCCTAGTAATCAGGATACGGAAGCGGAGCTAGAACGCGCACATATTCAAACTATAGAATCGGCCCTCAAGCTCGACCTAGGCGAAGCAGGCAGCACCGATAATTCCCATCCCACGAGCCCCGTGCAACATTTCAAACCCCAGCTAGGGAACAAGTCGAATAGTCAGGTAGGCGATGAAGCAGACCCAGATTCGAGGCCAACGAAGCGGAGGAAGGGCAAATCCCACGAAGAAGGCGACGAGGATGACATAATCCCAAGCTCCGCACAAGAAGCCAAGAAACGAAGGCCAACAAAGAAAGAACCTCTCGAATCCTTAGCAAAAGACGCCGACGCCTCAAAACGCCGGAAATCAAGTGGTACCGGCGGGAAATCCGCACGAGAAAACCTCACGGAAGACCAGAAGAGAGAAAACCATATCCGGAGTGAGCAGAAAAGACGAACGCTCATCCGAGAAGGATTTGAGGATTTAGGGGAGTTGGTTCCCGGGCTGAAGGGCGGTGGCTTCAGCAAGAGCGCGGTACTTGTTATGGCTGCGGACTGGATGGAGGATTTGTTAAGGGGGAATGAGATGCTACGCGCGCGCTTGGAGCAGATGGAGGGGAGGAGGTGATACGCGGCGCAGGTGTAGGATTATGGAGGGGGGTTAATGGGCGAAAATTATTGGGTCATGGTACTTCTGCAATTCACAATTGGCTCGTGGCCGCGGTGGGGGAGGGGGGGGGATATGGAGTTTTACATTAGGCGATATTTTGGGAGGTCCGGTTGGGGGTGGGTGGATTGGCTTGCCTGCCCCTTCATGATACACAGGATCTTGGAAATCATGACTTGATACAAATGGGATGAAAGAACGGCGGGAGGGCGGTTTACGAACCAAATCCAGAGAAGCGCAGATACTAAATATGGTATCTACGTACATAGATCCTTTTACTTTTATTTCGAAGGGATCGGGGCTTCACATCGCGGAGTTAAACAGTCACAAACGCGGGCGGCTATACCGATATTCTTCACTTTGTGTAGCATCTACATAGAACAAAAAAAAAAAGATAATTCTCCAATCCCAGTAGCAAAATCTTAATTTTTGTGATATATGATTTTATTTGTCCAGGTCATGGAAACGCTCATGAGCCGCCATTGCAAAAGCAGGCATGACGGCATTGCACACAGCGCACATCGCCCTGTTACCAGCACCGTCATCTTCGTCGTCCGATTCCCATGATGCGTTGCCATCGGTCGACGTCTGTGTGGGTTGTATCATATCCTCGGAACCAGCTAGAGCAGTTGGTACACAGTGATGCTGGATTTCATTTCCCAAGGTAGGTGGAAGAGGGATAGCATGAGATGGTACTACAGCCTCCGACCCAGCAGGATGGTCAGGAGGTACATCTCGATCTTCAACTTTCCACTCTTTTAGGACTTCCTCTTGCCGCTTGAACATACGACCGATATCTCTCCTACCACCAGCTCTCCCATCATCGCTAGCGGTCTCAACCATGTTCGTCACCGCGACGTTCAAGAGACTGAGACTCCAACCGCTGGGCTGCGAGTGGAGTCTGCGGAACATAGGAATTAAGGCCACTTGGACGAGTTTCTCTACTATGGCATTGATGTCTTCCTTGAGGTTGAAGACAAAGTTAGGTAGAGGGCCGGATCTTGAGATTCGGTTGAAACTGCGCGTCCGAGTCCCATCAGCGTTCAGTGGTAAACGTGGACGTGTCGAAAGACGAAGCGTCTTTGGATGCGCGGTCCATCGTTTCCCACCTGCTGAGTCGGGCTCGTCGTCATCCTCTAGAAGGTCACGATGCATCCGTCTTATCAGGCTGGTGGTCAGCGTTCGAAGCTCTTTCACAACTTCGGACATGGTCTCCAGTCGACCATATGAGTCTTCGATGCTAATTTGGGACGGGACGTTCTTAGCTTGCTGGACTTCGGTATCATCAATCCCATTGATAAGATTCCATGCCCTACCACCAATCCCACGTTCTGCACCGGGAACGCCGAGAATCTTTTCGAGCAACTCGGGGCCCATGCCTGGAAAAGTTGCGACGTGGCCCACCGTTATAGATTCATTCGTCCCTTCATACATGCTTCTATCATCAAAATCAGCAGGCCGTGAAAGGACGTGGTTACGAATCCGCTGAGACATTTTGAAGCCAATTCCTGGGATCTTCCCAATATCGTGGCCGTCCAAGAATAGAGAAACGTGGCTCTGACGACGGGCTTCATCGCTAGAGGATAAGCAGGATGCATCCTCCAGGATCACGTAAGGTGGTAATAGAGTGGTCTGTCCCTTAGGCTTGTTTAGATTTCCGACGAGCTTGCTCAGGAGCTTGTTCGTCGAAATTCCGACCGTTGATGTGTAGCCTTGATCGTCCTCGAGATTCAATCTGAGGTGATGTGCCAAATGTGATCCTAATATGAGCCGCGTCATAAGCGTTACAGTATCGTTATCCTCACGGCCAAGAGGCGGAGTGACCGTGCAGGATCGTGACGGAATACCCTGCTGCGGATTGTCTGGGAAACTATGCCCGGCAATTTTTGTCGCATCGTAAGAAAATCCTACAGTAGGATCATTACGCTTCAGTTGGAAAAACGAGTGTTCGAGGTCATTCGTGTTCAAAATGGCTTGGTTGTAATCGATTAAATCGGTTACGTCCATCCATACCTCATCGAAACCAAGCTTCTCTACCTTACCACTCCACGTGAATGCTTCGAGGAACTTGTAGAGAGCTTTGGAGGCATCTCGAAATCGGCCAAGCTCCTCGCCCAACACAATCACGACGTCTGGGACGAGCTTCTTGGCCTCAGAGATGAGCTGGAGTTTGCGTAGTCCCCGCCGTCGAGCTTCATAATTGCAAGTGACCACGATTTGTTTCTGCGACCGCTGTCAGCGACCAAGACTTAAATGATAAACGTGTCCTAAAAGAGCTCGTACCTGTTGCACAGCCTTTGGAGGAGGCGTCAGCTTGGATTACGGAGTAAAGGATCTAATTTGGGACAGGGATATAATCGGGTGTACTCACTAGGGGCAAGGCCTTCAAGGAGGGATTCTCGCGCTCAAAAACAGACGCGTAAAAGCAATCATAATCCTAAGTGAGCCCAGTCAGCTCTGGCTGCTGTTGGTGTTGTGTTTCGTAGGCTGAGGCGGAGCTAACAACTACTAACAAAATGTAAAACGATCCTGTTGTCGTTGCGCGTCTGAATCCGCGGCCGCGCAGCCACAGCAGCCGCAGCTGTCGAGATCATAATGGCAATAATAACAATATGGGCAAGGGCAGACGAAAGCTACCACGGAATGCGTCTAGAGTTGACCGTTTCATTCTCGCCATACGAATAATAGTCGGCGCGCTAGACTTGAGATAGGACGCTGAGCTGCAGGCAGTGGGCGCCGAGCCAACAGCATTTGAGATACTTGTATGTCGTATGTCGTATGTCGTATGTCGTCGAGATGTTCCCCGGTTCGCGGTGCCCGAGACGGTCAACAATCCAGAGTCGACAGTTCGAGACGTCTGGGCTTTGTACCAACTACCAAATAGGCAATGGCTATAAATGGCAGCTGGTGGGGTCCACTGGGCTTCGTCAGCGCCGCTAGGCTGAAAGCAGCTACCGTTGCTCGTGTTGACTAAGGTACGAGTTCGTACTCCACCATCAGGTACGTACTTCGTACTCCATATTGCCTCCCTCGTATCGTCATTAATATTAATACCACCTACGGACGAACGTGCGTCCTCCTCATCGTCATCGCCATCGCCCTCAGAAAGCATCCGCATCCGGAGTGGCAATTTTAAACCCAGCTATTTGCGGACATGCCCTACTCGCCGTTGCAGGAGCAGCCCGTGAGCATTGGCAAGTTGCGTGGTACCCTTGGGCGGATCTTATGAGACCCGTTCCATTCTGAGATCTGCTCTGCCTGAGAAGTCGCGGCTATTCCAATCGCAGAGCCATGACACGCCACGGTTGACGCTGCCGGACAATGGCATGGCACACAGAGTCGCAGGCCATCATCCCACCCGGCTTGAGCGAACTCGAAATAACAGCGCCGTTGATTGGCATCGCAACATCGTGCCAGGACTAGTCAGCAGCCCCCAGTCCAGTGAAGCGCCATTACTCTTCCATCGCCGGAACCCATGCCCGCTGTGTTCTGGGCCGCAGTGTCCAGATGCCCAATCGAGGCCGTGTGATGGCCCGCAGATGGCGCTGCTGGCCCCCCAGCGCTTCGTGGTGCCACGGCCGCCAACAGCCTGCTGGCTGGCCTGGATGTACGAAGCAGCACGACCGGGAGATATTTTGGATCTGCCTTATCTGGGCCAATGCTTCTAGAAATACCCGTCGTTCGCGCCTAAAGTGTTGCCCGTTCCCGCATCCTCGTTTTGTCACTTGCATTAGATCATTCTCTGGCGTCTCCCCACAAACCTATTCATGGCGTGGACCGAAAGCTGGAAAGCTTGAATAATTCATATATCTCTGGTCATCATCTTCATCTTATGTTTTATGCCCTTCGGTTTATATTGCTGTCTGCTTTGCTAGATCTATTGGTCCCTGCCATTTCTCACAAGCAGGTCAGCCCCCCGCCTTAATATCGACGACGCAAGCGGGGTCCAGATACCCACCCCTATCACAGCCCTCGAGACATTCATCAACCAGATCCCCCGATCTTGGTTATAATGCTACTTTCTGTTCCTCAACATCCCTCAAGAATGTCTTTCGCTTCACAGTCGTCGTCGCCGTCGAAACGGCCGAGGCTCAGCCTTCAGATTAAGACGCCAGCCACCGCGGTGACGTTCGGAAAGTCTTCAACGGCATTGAAGGTTGATGTCGACCCGTCATCCCCTACCGCTTTCAATACACTCTCGAATGCATATGCTGTTGCTATCGAGAATGCCTCCCCACGAACCGCACGGCCCATATCAGCCGACATCAAATGCCCGAAACCTACTGCCTTACGGTTAGAGACAAAGAACTTTAGCGGTAGCAATGAATACATCCACCCTTCTCAACGGACTCAAACACCGGGACCGTTCACCATCACCTACCCAGATACGCCAAGTTCAGCCCACCCGGGCTGTACCCCAACGAGCGGGCCAACCAGTGGGCCTACAGAGCCCAAGGCTACCGCAACATCCTTCACATTCACACCACCTCAATCAGCTGGATCTATCGATCAATCGCTATCTAGAATATTTACATTCGATACAGAACCGAATAAGCAATCTTTAAGCACCCCACGAACGCCACGGCGCCGAGCGACGATAGGGAGCCAGTATCAGGTTGCGCCATACACACATCCCCGAAGTCTTCACAGCATCCTGAGGAACTCGCCACTCCCTCCGCGAAGCACTGTAACGCCTGCTACACCGAGTCGCGTTTCTTTGCGATTAGCAAATCGGGCGAAGAAAGTGGGTTACAACGACCCACTCACTCAAACAATTACAACAAATAAATATATTAAATCACATATCGACCTCTTAGCGGAGGACTCCCCGTATTCCGCCACGGATCCAGAGATGGAAAAGCCGGAAATGTTAGATTTAGCGCTGATACAAACAGCTGAGACGAGAGATGGTGGGCAAACCCCGGGTCCATTTGAGGAGATGCGGAGGAGAATGGCAGACAGCGATTTAGAAACACCCGGGACGAGGAAAAGGAAGCGGAAAGAGAAGAAGAGAAAGTGGGAATGGACGATTAGTAGTCCAGAAGCAGAGGGCGAGCAGACCAAAACCGAGGCGAATAAAACGCCGGTGACTGCATTTATGGTAGAAAAGACACCTAGCACGGCTGTCATTCGCGCCGCATCCGAGTCTACTGATTCCGAGATGTCGGAGCCAGAAGAGCGATTTGTTCCATCCGTGGGCCCTTCGACAGACTCGGAAATGTCTGATTCGGACCAGCGGCCAGGAACATCGCAATCACTTTAGTTAGAACTTGCGATGGGGCAGGACTCCTCACAAGTTTTGAGGATAAATGTCTAATTGTAAACAATTGTGTTCGTATCTGGCATATTGTGCGTGTGTGTGCGTGTGCTCCGTAGGGCTGACGAGACGCACGCCTGATGTGCCATGATCACCAGACCAGCGCCGTGTTGAGACATTAACTGTGCTTCAAGTTGCGGCCTCGCCCTCGCATTTTGTATCACTCAAATTGCGGCTGACCTGTATAGCACGCACCTGCCGCCAGCCACTGATTGAGGCTGCGCGATCATCCGCAACGATGATGTGAATTATATGTCCCTTCCCTTCCTCTCGCGATGTTTTCTACTGCTTTCTTGCGTTTTTCGTTTCCGTGTACTAGCATCATACTTCTCGACTTTATTGCCAGCAAAGTGCCTAGTTTATCAAAATGCCTCGAGATGTGGTCGATGTTGAGACTCCTCCAGACGGAGCAGATTTAGACTTAGACATTCACGCGAGCCATGCCCTCCTTGCAAAGCCAGCGCAGAGCATAAGAAGTGTCCAAAGCCGACGGGACACGCAACGGAACCGTCAAGAAGTCTTCGAACTGGATGGTATCCCTCCCATTATTAAGTCGGCAAATGGCAGTAAGTATTTTCGATATTTGTCCTTGACATCATGCTTCTCTAGCCAGTCGGATTACGATATCTCGTCAAATATCTCTTTGCCGTTCTTAGGCAATATGCTCTTTACTTGCTATAGTTCTTTATTGACGCTTCTAGATGTATTTTGGGCTGATGAGCAATGTACGCGGAGAGTGGGTCTCACTTCGACGGAAGCCCGCCTGCTTTTAGGTCTTCTCCAGACCGATGAGCCCGAAGACTACAACTATGAAGAGTATAAAGCCATGTTCGAGGACTTTGGAAGAGAACAGCAAAGGCTACAGCAGCTGGTCAATAGTATCCACTGGTGGGACTTTGAATCTTATTATCAGAAGGGTATCTGGAACGCGAGGATTGACTGGCTCGAGAGGATGAAGGGACCCCGGCTCTGGCTTCTTTTCTTAATGGCAAGAAGGAGAAGAATCTTAAAGCAAGCTGCAATAAGAGTGATGGAACGCTTGCGAGAAAAGCGGATCATGAGAGAGGCAGGCAATGGCTCACTACACCACCCATCCCAGTCAATCAGTATATCGCAACTACAGGGCGATACAGACCAGGTCCCTTTAACCAATGACGCTGTGCAGGCATCAGAAGTACAGTTGCGCTCTATGTCTCTCCGATCTCCACCGGTGATGGTCTGTGATGTAAGCCAAATATCAGAAAATCACTTGGAAATCTCTGGCAATACACCATCAGTAAGTGAGAAGCTAGGGTCGAGCTTTAGCTCAGGCCATCATTCGTATTCATTACATGGCCACAGTCCTGTCTTCGACAAGCGTTTCCAGGCAACCCGAGAACATATCAAACTTCAGGTTGAGCTTTTCATGCCTAAGCCTATGCCATACATTACGATCGGATGGTTCTCCACCGCGACCACTGACCCTAAAGAACGCGTTCTGCAATTCAACGAACCGGAGGACTTATTTAGGGCTCTCAGAAAAGGGGAGAACGAAGTGAGAGGGTGGAGAAAAGTGGTGTCACTTAAAGGCCTCAGGGGATTTGGGTTGTATAAGGCAAGTTGCTTTCATTCTACGCGATATAACGTTATTGTACGGGGCGAGGGCTTACTTCCCACAGTGCGATATCTCCCGTGGCGCGCACCTCCCTCTCATTCTCAACACATCACAAGAAAGCGTCCTCTCCCAATTCTTCCTCGCCTACAAGGTCTCAAATCGCCATGCCGACGATGCTGTAGCTATAGCGTGGCAAAAATGGGTTTACAAAAACCTGAATGGGTGCAAGAATAATCCACTGGAAGGAAGGTACTCCCTAGAACTAATCTATGGCTGGTCGAGCTATCGACTCGGCGCCGTTGTGGGTATCCCTTTATTGCTATCTTTTGCGATCCCCGTATGGTATATGGTAGCAATTGAAGATGTTATAACGGCGTGGACTATTGGGATTTATATTGTTACTGCTGCTGCAGGTATGTAGTCTCTGCGTGTTAACCGTGTAAATTTTATATTTGCTGACTTCTGATTAGCTCTAATTGCGCTTATGACTATCTTGGGGAGTTTGGGGGATAACTGAAGGGCGGAGAATGGTTTGCATTGTACCAGAGCTGGGATACAATACATTTATACAGTGCTATGATTTTTGTTCTTAGCTGGATAGCGACTAATAGTTAATTATATTGCCAATGCCATATGTTCTCGGCTCCTTTACGTTCAATGCATTAACGTATTCATCGACAGGTCTAATTGGGATAATAAAACCAACTTCTACCAGGACTTCAAGGGGGGGTAGAGGGATTAGCATTAATTATCTTCCAAAATTTGTTTGTTTTGTGTGGACAGCCAAAGGAGTGATTGTTCGACCTATCAATCTCAGACCTTGCATGTGACCAGGTCACGGATCTATAATCCAATGACATCAAATAATTCAAATTATCACTCCTAATACTTCCCGCTAAGTTTCACCATACCCGAATCCTCATTCTCCTTCTTGCTCCTCCGGCTCCACTCCGGCGCCTCATCATGGCCTTCATCTTCTGCTTTGATACCCTCCTCTTTTGTATGATGCACCGTAGTGCTATTATGCTCCGCAGGTGAGTATATCGTGTATAGAATCTAGGATCATATAATCAGCGCCGGCTTCTCTCCTGACTCGCAATTACTGTGCCCATTCCCCATCCTATATATACCAACCCCTAGATAAAACCATAGAAGAAACTTACCAAGGGCTCAGACCCCGTATTGACAAATTGATGCTGCGTCCCTGCCGGAACAACCATCAAATCTCCCGCCTTCACATCCTGATCTTTCCCATTAATTGTCGCCTTCCCTTGCCCACTTGTGAAGTTCAGGGCTTGGTCGACGGTGTGCACTTCATCGCCAATGTCGCCCCCTACGGGGACTGTCATTAGGACTACTTGGGAGTAGAGACCCGTGAATAGGACCTTCCGGAATTCACGGGAAGATGAAGGGAGTGAGGTGGTCATCTGGGGGAAGTATACCACTAGATAAGAGGACAAAAGTTAAGGATTGAATGGAAAACTATATTGGTAGAATTTGAGCTTACTCTCGTGCGATGGGGGCCCAGCGTTCGGTTTGTAGGACGCCATTGTTCTGACTACTATAGAAGAGATTCGAAATGGAGAAGGTTTGAAAAGTATCAATCGCGGTCTTAAACAGCGAAGAGCGCGAGTGAGTGATGAGACGGACATGTAAATATAAGAATTGCAGTAAGGAAAAATGAATAAGTGGTGTTTGATTACCAGCGAACGATTGCTATATACCTCGGGAAGGAAGGTATATTTCTAATCCCCCTAATTTTTAGGTCTAGACTGCTTCTCCATGATATCATGGTTAAGCCCCTAGTTCCAGTGTTCGTCATCAACTTGCATGACGCATCTCGGCCTCTCGCGCGGGAGAGCACGGAAAGCTTGTTACTAGTGATGCTTAACTGTATGACAGGAGGGGATTTCCTCGGAGATTCGGCTTCCTTCCTGGCGATCCTAGGTGTTTGCTATCCCTTGGATCTACGATGCCTCATTTTGCTGGTTAAAAAAACTGGATATGTACGGAGGGAGTATTTCGTACACCAACATCACAGCTTCATGGCGCACCGTGCACGTACCCCAGATTCCTACATCTCGGCCCGGATCATCGGTTTTGCCGACGACCCCCAACTCTTCCTCTTTCGGAAATCGTGCGATTCTACAAAACTTTATCTTTATCAGCGATAACATTAATACCATGAACGGCCTCCCACGACTATGTTCACGCCTAATACGCAAAGCTCCGGCCTCAGCTTGGGCATGTTCATCATGTTCCAATGCCAGCCAAAGATATGCCGCTCATGCCTTTAAACCATCGACGAGGGGAATCTCCAACAGCTCGAAACCCAGACAGAATGCCCCCCCTACCATGGAGGAATTGCGGGCTCCATTCAAAAAGAAGAACGCAACCACTCTGTTCTATGCCCTCAGCATTATATTAGGAACCGTTGCCTTTTCGTACGGCTCTGTGCCAATGTACAAGATGGTTCGTCGCACAGCTTCCCCCCCCCCAACAATCCCGCTTTCAGTGCAAGCTCAGGGACCTGACCACAAATAGATATGCCAAACAACGGGCTTTGGAGGACAGCCAATCAAAGCACATGGTGGCGGCGTCGAAGGAGAGGATATATCTGCCCGTCTCAAGCCGGTCACTGGCGCGAAGCGCATTCGAATCACCTTCAATGGCTCCGTCTCCGATGTCCTGCCTTGGAAGTTCGTGCCTCAGCAACGAGAAGTCAAAGTTCTACCGGGCGAAACAGCATTAGCATTCTACACTGCCACGAATAAATCGGACGAGGATATCATTGGGGTTGCGACGTATAGTGTGACACCTGGGCAGGTTGCTCCATATTTCTCCAAGATCCAATGTTTCTGTTTTGAGGAGCAGAGATTGAATGCCGGTGAAACGGTCGATATGCCAGTGTTCTTCTATATCGACCCAGATTTTGTCAACGACCCCAATATGAGGGGTATTGAACAGGTTACTTTGAGTTATACCTTCTTTAGTAAGTGTAATCTTTGTGCGATAAATGGTACGTCTGTTAACTGGAAGCAGAGGCAAGATATGATAAGAAAGGGCATTTGAGACCGGTGCCACAAGGAATGTAAAATGTACGATATCTATTAGCGCATTAGCATATGCATTGGGCGGCGTTTGACCGATTGGAAATTGCAATACTATATATCTATTCTCCTCCATGAACTTTCCTCGAGGTGTGCTCTTTGCCCCTGGTGATAGGTTTAGAGATCGTAAGGGTTGAACTTCTATATTCGCCCTTACTCGAGGGTGCCTAGCAAGTGCTGGGGACAGTTAGGGACAATTCCCGGCTACAGTGTTTTGTGCCTTTTGTGTCTTGGAATTCGGCAACCTCATATACTTCAATCATATGCTACCTGATCGTTGTCATTGTTTACCATGTTAGTTTATAAACGATATCCCTTGCCGTTTTACTTTCACCTTTGATGCTAGTCGCTATTTTCCATTTCTTGTTGCTTAGTCAAGTGATCGACAAGTCTAGACACATGATATATGACCAATCTACTTTCAAGTTTGCACTCACAACACGTACCCCCCTAGCAAACCATTTCTTTGTAGTTTGTACAAAGTATATATAAAACAGCGATTCCACTTTGATATTATATTGTTCACGGTAAAGAAAGTTTGACAGAAATCTCAGATCCAACATCAGTCCATCAAGTTTTGAGTCCGTCTAATTAGCTGCATTTGTACCCCTCCGAGTTCATTGTTTTCAGGTAAGCCCTTTGCAGGAGTAGGTGGGTGTTATTTGCCCAATCCTCCGGCGTGACGGCGACGTTAATAAGTATTACCACTGTCTTCCGTATTATAATCGATTTTGAATTATGACCAGAGGGTTGCCAATTAACGACTAGTGTGGAAATTTGTTACATGTCCCAGTCAACAGAGCAGCATGGCTGCTGTGGCCCGTGCCGGGAGAAATCTTCTTTCTATATAAAGAAACTATTACACCACTAATTAGTGGCCCATGGCTGCGCGGTCCGTTACCGTATAGTCTTACGGCACGGTCTAGGCCACGTGAATATACCCGGACAATGTACCAAAGCTTTAAGAGACGCAAATGTTCCGCAGCTTTGCTATTGTGCTTGCATGTTGCATTCTACCTCAGCTTTCGGGAAGATCGCTATGACGACCAGCACATGTTCCAGGCACCTGCGGCTATTAGGTCTAACGGCCCTGTGTCTTGAACGTCCGTATCCATCTGGGCGCCAATACGTTACTTTATTTACCTACCTGAAGCCCAAGGTTATCAACATTCACCCCCATCAAATGCCTCCGCCAATCTTATTACAAATAATACGCACTCCCCGAAACTATACATTCTCCCTTTGATAGCAATCTGGCTGTATCATCTTCTTCCCCTCTACATCAACCGCCACCAACCCCCATGCCACAACATTATAACAACAATCGCGAATATGAAATGGCTCTCCAGATGATGTCGCAAGAGGAGTATCCAATGGATATTGATGTTGATAATGGCGGAAACAGCGGCGAAAGCTCGTCGGCGATGATGCAACCAGACGCGTCGACCGTCTCTATTCGAGGTCATCAAAATACCACCGAGTGGAACCCTACCCTCCTTTACATGCCTATAGCGGTTCTTGGCAAACTCTTCAGCCTACTGAACCCAATAGACGCAACATGTTTAAGTCTAGCCAGGTATGATTCTACCCACATTTATTTGCCCACCTCCCTTCCCCACCTTCTGCTTCGAATTATCCGCCTTCATCATCACGCCTCTATTTCCTTGCCCAACCGCCTTTCCTGGTTAAACCTCTTACGACATTGACTCTCCCACTTAAACACGCCTACTTTAAAACAATTACTAAAGTCTTAACTCCACATACAGCAAGGTCCTTTACAACATCCCTCCCAGGCTCAAAGATCAGAAGCTTCCTTCTCAGATGGACACATCAACATTATATACGTACCCAGCAGTACACCTTCTGGCAGGTTCACCGTTCTCGAAGACCCCCATCGAGCGACGTCTCGTCTCTGCCCGCGGTTGCACACACTGTGTCCCAGTGCGCTACTTCCCAGCACATTGCGAACTTCACTTCCACCTGAAGTCGTGGATGCCGAAACACTTACGGTACTGCGAAGGCCTATGCAAGCAGTTTACTACTTCCAGAGCAGGTAGGGAAAAGCAGAAATACTTTCAACCAGACGCATATGCCGAGTTTATAGCGGATTGGTGTGCTATCGACGACACTCAAGACGAGCTTCAACTCAATGGCGGCAGATCCTTTGGTAGTGGCAGACTATTTGGCAATGTTCCTGCTCCCAATAGGCCTATCCAACAAATCTCCAATGGCCATTACCCCGTCGTTCGAAGCTGCCCGGTCATAGGGCGCTATACCGATCCTAACGAGGAGTTTTGTGGGACTTGTGGAGTCTCCTACAAGAAGCAGTATGAGCGGGGCCGCATGAGGTTGAACCCCATTACGGAGGATGGTGTAAAACTCCCCCTATATTACAACTGGCAGAGCAAGTGGAACGACAGAGTATATTGAAGGTTGAGAGTGGTTTTTGACGGGGAATTGCTTTCGGGGGTTTGCCTTGATGCTTGGTGTGGTACATGGACATATGCGATTGCTATTCATCACATTGCGTTTTATTAGCTACCTCAAACATCAGGTGCTTGCATCTGAATGTTATCTCTAAACTACAGCACTGCGCTTTCCTTTTCATCCCATGATTACGCCCCTTCCAGAAAATCAATTTGCGTGTTACTATCGTATACAATGATTTCATTTTGCCGATCTCAAGTTTCCGTCTCTACATCCGGCTGCCTACCCTTCAAAGAACCCATTTTAAACGTCCTCCTGACAGCAAACTTGGCCTCATCCTTTGCAAACGCCAAGTTCCTGACTGGCTTCCACTGCATGAGGCCCCTCTGCTTACGATGGAGCCCTTTCTTGTTCTCGTTATATTCCTTGATTTGACTTATCGGATTTGACCCATGCGAAGATCCAGATTTGCCTCTAGGTTCTTCTTCGTTGGCATTCTCCGTGGTTTGCTCATCATTCGTTGCATCATGGACACCAAGGTCGCTTGAAGAGTCGGTGGACTCGTAATCTTTACTATCTCTATCCTCATCATCTGTTTGTTCATTTATACTCTCGTTAGTGTCACCCCTATTTTCGTCTCCCCCCTCGCTAGGACCGTTAGCAGCTTTCCTGTAAGGACGCGTCCCGACATGACTGGCATACAAAGCTGGGTCTCTTCCGAAGGCGCCGCTCCAATCTGTGCCATCCTTTGACAGCCACTTCTGCTTCTCGTCATCATCTGCCAAAGCTAGAACATCTCGGCCCTGGCTTAAGGATTGATCGTGGAGTGCCTGGACCGCCTCTGGCATTTCCTTCGTCACGACACGATCCCGCACACCCTCAGAGTGGCACGCCTCCCAGGTCTCTTGCGTTTCTCGAGAGTCGTTGTCAGTAACAAAACGGGAATGGTCCTCGTCTGTACCAGGCTTGAATCTAGCCCTGAACTGCAACCGGCCCACTTCTTCGAGCTCAAGATCTGGAATGGATTTGAAGTTCTCTTCTGTGATGTAGTTTTGTGACAATCGCATGCCATTGTCCGTCTTCCAGATTGGGATATTGATATCCTCCTCCTTCATATCCTCGAGGTGGTGGAGCCAAACAACTGCATAGGCGTCTGCCTGACGCTTGCTGGAAGAATGAAACTCAAAGACAATGGGAGCCCTATAGCGATATCTCACTGGTAGTCGGACATTGTTTTTGCCTTCCTTCTTCGCAATATCCCAGTAAATCCCGTCCCCTTCGTCCGTCTTCCGACATTGAGATCTTGAGATCTTGCCAGAGCTACCACCAGTTCTCATCTTGAGCTTGGTGTGACCGCTATAACCAGTAGCAAGAATTTTATTACACAGGAACTCAAACGTCCCTACATCCCAACCCAGCTGTGTAGGTGGCAGTCGGGTCTCCACACTCCTAAATAGGAGGGAGACTCTAACACGTCCGAATCCAATACCACCATCAAGAGGATACCATCTAGTCACTTGCGAACTTGTTTGCAGAATATCGGAAAGCTTCAGAGGGACGACACCAAGAATTGGATCGTGCTGTCTCATTCGCTGATCTCGAACTGTGATCGTCACGATACCAGACCTCCAATCCCTCATGAACCGCTCAGTGCCGGCGTTGAAGATGGGTTTGCTGCTAACAACTTTTGTCCTGGTACGGTATACCTAATGGCGCTTTAGCAAAGGTTGATACTGTGGTTACTAACATTCAGTTCAGGCTTACCAATTCATCATTGTACAGAATCGTACAGTAGCTGCTTGGCAGCCTCTTGTTCTCCTCTTCCTTACTCTCTCCGCTTGGTTGGGCCGGCTCATATTCCTTACCCTTGCGCTTGCCGTCGCTACCCTGAATATTCTCAAGCTCTAGATTGACGATTTGGTGGACGATAATGCTACAGATACCACTTGGCCAGAGAGGATCTGGAGGTGTATGGACCACGGCATCTTCTGTAGCATTGTCCAGTGCTCCCTTCTCGTCTTGTAGCTCCGGCATATCCTTGAGCTGCTCTGGTAAGTTGACGTCCTTTCCATGAGTCCTGAGTGCTGGCCGGAATTGTGGCTTGCCGAAGAATCCCACCTCCCAATGAAGTTCGCCGGGCATAGTGCTGTCCTGGTGCATGCCTCGGAGTTTCGAAATTTGGGGATACATCTTACCCGGATGTTGAATCATTTTTTGCATCGACAGCTCAACCTTTCCCACCACATCGTCAGAGGTAGATCGATCAGAGTCCCATAGTTCCATGGACAGTTGTTCGTCGACCTTTATAAGGCTGGGTGTTACGAGGATAGCGCAGGTCTCTTCCCAAACTGGGTTCAGGTCGTCTTGAATGACTCGAGTGCAGTACATTGGCTTCCCATACTTGGAAAAACTGACTGTAACGTAGGGGTCGCTTCCGCCCCCTTTGCTTCCGCGCTGATCTTGCTTGCTGAGGCCTGAGGCTTTGTGGATCCTAATCCAAAGTATTCCCAGAGCCTCGACATCCTTTTGAATGTCGTCACCCTGCAGCAGCTTGCCCATGTCGAGAGTCATCGACTTGGGGGCAACATATTCGTTTGCAGCAGCACTAATGGCGTAGTTGACAAAGTTGGAGATCAGTGGGAGATTTAAGATGTTGATACCGCTCTCGATCATTGGAACGCAGCCTGCTTGAACCTTGGGCAATCCCATGAGGGTGAAGGTCAAAGATTTCAAAAATGGAGCTTCTGGTGACAGTTGGAGTCGCAACCTAACGGTTCCCACCAGTCCTTGAAGCCTATATTTCAAACAATTAACATATTGCTGTTTTAGGATAGGAGAGAATATGCAGCGGGCTAATCCAATTCAGATGTTGCAAAACATTAAATCGCGAATTCTTGGAATGGAGCGAATTAAACAAAGACTTACTCAACAAATATAGGTAATGGGACCCCAAAGAGGCCTTTTATTCCTAGATAAAACACCAGGTGCATGTGCATGTTCTTAGCTTTTGCAGAAGCCCCCGCTCCGGAGGGTGCAGCGTGATATGCAAATGAACATTCAAGGTTGTAGTAATCCCCGCCCTCCTCGTCGGCGGCCAATTCCTCGGGGTCTTTAGTTTCTCTATTCTGCCGATGAATATCATCCTTGAGCTCCTTAACGTGTGCATCAGGAAGAGCACGCAAACTAAGTATGCGAATTGGGTTATCGCCTTGGTTGATATCAGCAACTCGGACATTTTCGATGGCGCCAGGAACAGAAGCTTGCATGACATCTTCCAATGTGTCGGCAATACCAGCAAACATGTCGGGGTCAATAAGTCCCCACATTACCCCGAGGAGGGTATTAACCCATTCAACTGATTCTGGGATAAGATTTGCGGTTGCCTTCACTCGTCAATACGGCTATTTCTAAGAAGCGACAAGATGTAGAGCCTACCGTTTCGCCACGCACTTTCTCAGCGGACCACTCGTGGTCTCGCCCTTTGCGTACAAGATCTTTCATCCACAAGTAAATACCCGACGAAACGCATATCCCAAGCGGTATAAGTCCATACAATGCTCCTCCGAAGAATTTACCTAGCACGACAATTCCGATCAATACACCGGCGCAAAGTATCGTTGTTCTGTTCTCTAAAGCCTCATACATAGGTTCAAAGCTGACCGAAGGCGTAGGATGGAAGAGAATATTCGTTTTCTCGCCATGGATGGGGACATCAGAAGTGGTGCCGGGGTGTATTGGATCTGGAGGGGCAGTTATATCTTGATTTCTGCTATATTCTTCGCCGGACTGATGTGATTCCGTCTTGACAGGAGTGTCTTTATTGAGATTCGCATTCGGCACGGAGAGCTACGATTAATTATTAGTAGGAGCCAGCTTTCTAGAAGAGAGCCGACTTACCTGTGGGTTTTCGACAGCCTTCATGACGTCGGCATTGACATCTTCGATCTCAACTTCATTACCGGTTACAGGGTCGGTGACTGTCTTCCTCGTACCAGAAACGCCCGTGGGTTGACCATCCTTGTGGTCTTCGACGTTGTTTTTCTGGTGGACTTTGGCCTGTTCTTCTATAGCTGCATCTCGCTGCTTTTTATCGGCGTCTAAGCCCTCAACGAATCTTTGGATATTTGGGATGGGATTGGTGCCAGAATAATGACCACCGGGGCCCATCTTTTGCTGTGGCATCTCTAAAGTGCTGTCCTGGATAACCTAGATGGGCACTGCTAATGCCAACGAGAAAGAGGGGGAGGTAGGTTCTGCTTCGCCAATACTAAGAAGTCCTCTCTCTCTTCAACGCGTTGCAATTGAGGTCGGAAGGGAAATTGAGGAGAGCAAGAGGCGAAGAGGTAAGCAGGCAAAGAAACACAGGAAGAAAAAGACGAAAGGGTCGGCATCACGCCGCAAATTTAAGTATTTCTACCCCATGCTGTTGCACGACGTCGAGCAGTTAGTGAGAGCTTGCAAGTTCCCAGCAGGGAATGATGATGTCACTGATCTGCAAACAACCGGGGGAGCTACACTACAGTGTACAGAGACATGACATTTCGCAATGTAGAGTGTCGTTCCTCTAAGCAATAGTAACAGCCACAAATATCCCTTGGGGTGGCTCGTTCATATATATTATATGGAACATGGACTTGTTACCTGTAGTGTGTCCATTCTCATGCTCGTGCTAGAAGGTTGCGTAGCAGTAGACATGCATAAATATTCATAACTCATATGAAACCGAGAAAGGTTGGCAGCTAGGATCCACCGGTGATCTGCCGGTTAGTGAAGGGATCCTCCCAGTGCAGGCATCATGCCTATAAATAACGAGGTAACATCGGCTTGACTTCACTTCTCTGCAGAGTAGAGAAAAACAATAACGAAATAACGATAACTTAATGATCGAGTGGTTATCTGTCACCGTAATCGTGCGTTAGAACTGGAAAGATCAAACCATCTACGAAATGTCTACCGTCCAGTTCGTCAATTGCCGTCAATGCAAGAATGGCAGATTGATTTCCTCTCCTCTGACCGTGGACACGAACGGCTTCATAATCCCAAACTCCCCTATTCCTCCACATACCGGGGTTGTTGACATAGAGGGCGCCATTATTTCGCCTGGTTTTCTCGAACTGCAAATAAATGGAGCTCTTGGCTTCCATTTTGCTCATTATGAGGATCCCAAGTCATACCAAGCCGGTGTCCGGAAGTTGGCCAAATACCTGCCCTCCACCGGAGTCACTGGTTTCTTCCCAACAGTTCCTACCGTCCCGGCTGGCGTTTTCCACGCGGTCCTCCCCTTCTTGAAACCCAACCATGGTCCAGGCTCAGCCTCAGTACTCGGAGCTCATGTGGAGGGTCCTTTCTTGGCCCCTTCCAAGAAAGGCGCCCATGCTGCTGCGAACATGCTCGCTCCAGGACCTTCCCGGCTTGAAGATGTCTACGGGGGCGAGAACCTCAAGCAGTCTATTAAAGTTGTGACGCTTGCTCCTGAGTTGCCAGGGGCATTGGAGAATATCAGGATCTTAACTAATGAATATCGTATTCATGTCTCGATGGGCCACAGCGCAGCGACTCATGATGATGGTTTGAAGGGGATAGAAGCCGGTGCGAACCTCATGACGCATGTTTTTAATGCCATGAATCCGCTTCATCATAGAGAACCTGGATTGCCAGGTGAGATTCCACCAGAGACTCGTAAAGCATAGACAGTAGCCGAATTCACACGCTCTAGGCCTGATATCCCATCCCAATCCGCCATATTTTTCTCTAATCGCCGACTCGATTCACCTCCATCCTCGGGTTGTCGCCATGGCATACCGCTCATCTCCTAGTCACTGCATCCTTATAACAGACAGTATTGAGTAGGGGAATTTAGCTCTTTGTGTCGTTTATACCTTGCTCCTGACACCTCCCCCGCCTTTCACTAACTCCTGTTTGGTACTTCAGTGGGAGGAATATGGAGAATCCACGGCTCCCGAAAAGGAGCCTTGCTCGTCGTCCCCTCTTTTACACGTCTTGCACTAATATCCTAACAAAATAGTAAATGCTGACATATCATTCAGACTCTCCGGCCTCCCCGGCGGTATTTACCCAGGGCACGCCCAAATTCCACATAACCAACAGAAAACCGGAAACAAAGTATCGATTAAGGGCACCGACACCCTTATCGGGACCTGCATCGGGCTCGACGAGTGCGTACGGAACCTCATGGCATGGGCCAAAATTCCCATCGAAGAAGCAGTCATGTGTGTCACGGAAAACGTCGCCTCGGCCACGGACCTGCACGATCGAGGGAGATTAGAGGCTGGCCGGCGTGCGGACTTTGTGGTATTGGGCGAGGATGGGGAGGTGGCAGCGACTTGGGTTTTGGGGAAGAGAGTCGTGTGAATTTCTCACTCACTATTGTTCCCACAATTAGGGCTAGCTGTCTTAAGGCGGAAGAGATATAGGTTTGCTACCACCATGTTTGAGGTAATCCCATATCTGGACCAACCCCATTCCTCTTGGTTTTCCATGTTTACAGAGTCAGCAAAATGATATCAGGCCTTTGAATGAGACATCCGAGTTGAGTCTAATAGCCTGATTGATACACCCCAATATGTGTCTAATATGGTGATACGTTTCGGACCTTTTTTACCGGTTAGCCGTCACTTGTCAGAGAGTTGGGCTATCTTCGTACTATATCCTAAAATCACGCAGTTGGTAATACTCCAGGGCCATTGGCCACGTTCGCCGACCGCAGAGTCAAGTGGTTCTTCCCGAAATATTAGCGCGCATGATAGTAGGTATCTGGAAGTCAATAACATACAGCATACTCAAGGGCAGATGGCACCACTTTTTGCCATGGAAACTCATCCGACGCGAAGTCATCACATCTCAAATCAGGCTGTTCCGCTGGCTTCTTCGGTGTTTTGCCATCAAGCAGAACCGGCTCGTCATTCTTCGACATAAGACGGACCAGGACGCTATTCTTGTCGAGCAGATACCGCGGGTCGAGCGAGAACCTTACAGACGGCTTAACTTCAACTCTCATCCACATCGGGGTATCGGGTGGGTTTGCAACCACAACTGCGGCGGCGAAGTGGCGGAAGATCCCATCCTTCTGCGCCGAATTCTCTGAAAGATCCCAAGTTACAACGTTGGCTTCATCGTGATCATCATCATAGAATAAATTGCCATGCAGCGCCATGCGATGTTCGACAACGGTCAAAGATTCCCTTCCCACATGAGGCTCTAGACCGGCTGATAGCCCAATTGGAGTCTCGAATGTCAGCGGAATTGATATATCATACTTCTTCTTCTCCTCCACGGTCTTAACAGCTCCGTACACTTGCTTTGGGGCAAAATTCAATATTTGAGGGTCGGTCGAGGGGTCTGACGATTTGACACGGGGGTTTCCCGTATCAGTTGCTCTTGTGAAGGACACCAGAATTGTGGCCTCTTCATAGCGCCCGATGGCTTTTGCTTTGAATCGAAAGGAGAAGTCTATGGCGATCAAGCAGGCTGGAGTCCCCGCATAAGTGCCATAGTGCACACGGCTAAGGGTAGCACTGAAGGAAGTGCTCCCTACACGGTCAGCAGTTAATTGCTTTCGATTTATTGCGTCGTTGTTACGAATCCCAAGAAGAGGCTCATATGGTTTGTCTGTAAAGTCGGTTTCAAAATCCCCATTTGGGTGCGGCTCGGCCCGTTCCATGGCGCTCCACAGGCTGCCGGCCGTCACAGCAACAAGATCAGACGTCAGTTTAAGTAGTATCACAAGAGAAGGTTGCTCGTTGTATTATTTACTGGGTTGGGCACTGGATTTTGATATATCAGCGCCTGAGCCGCAAATGGGCAGTCAGCAGGCAGTGGCTCCTCGATATGCGGATACCGGCAGAAATCCCCGGGTACATGACTAGAAGGCTAACACCTGTAAGTACAGGATTGGCTGGCTGGGCAGACAAAAGCGGGTGCCGATATCAGCCATGCCCATTCTTCTTTACTGATGCAATACTAGTAGGGTTGAGAGTGGTGAGAGTGGGATGATACAGAGTAGGTATCTTCTCTAAGTGTGGCGCTGATGCCCCCTACGGGTATTTCTTCAGCAAACCCCACCTCCATCGCTCAAGCCACCGGTTTACCGGGTTACATTGTTGCTATTTTTAGCTTTACCAGTACCACCCTCGCACAGCAACACTATTCAACTTCTGATTAAAATTATCACCAACCATCGCTTTCACCAATAAAGGTTGCTCTCAGACTCTAGTTCTGTAGATGTTACATATAAGATATGACTACGAACACTATAGAAATCAAAACCACCATCGATGACCTCCGGATTCGCGGCCAATATGCCCAAGCCCACGAATTCATTTGCAGCCTCCCACCTAAGGTTTGTGCCATCCCTTCTGTCGCGATCGATATCATTCAATTACATCTGGTCCAAGGGCATGATGCACTCGCTGCCGAAGCTTGCGTCATAGCACGAAAGCCATTGTTTGTGAACGCAAGCGATTTAGAACATTCAGCCTTCACCAAGGAGATCTTTGATGTGGATTCCGTCTGTATTGAGCTTCTTACCGCATATGCCCATATGCGCCGATTCTGCGAGCTTAAAGCTGCCAAGGTGATCACTGAACGCATTCATGGTGTTTGGCTTGGCACTCAAGGTATTTTAATCGATTTTGTCGTATCAACCGTCCCCTTCACTAGTCTGCGTTAACTGGCTGTTGAAGGGGTGGAAAACTTAGACCTGCTGGAAGAAAGTACTATCCAGGCCGGAACTAACTGTCTTGAAAGCATCGAGCAGCAGCGTAAGGAACTATACTCTAAGTCCAATATCGAATCTGAGACCGATGGCATTGATATTCAGGAATCCCGAGTAAATGGCCCTTCTCCTTCCCCATGTATCATTTGACCATGAATACTTCTAATTGTGCTCCAATTCAGGTTCTTCTCGAGTTTTGGTATCTAAAAATTAGACTTGTACTCGCAGATCAGTCTCTTCTGGATAAGGAGACGGCTTGTTCGGAGGCCGCAGCCAGCCTCGATACGTTACGATTCTGGTGCGAAAGGCGCGGGCGCATGAGGGAAGCTCGGCACATTACCTATATGCGCCAAGGGCTTTTTGATAACATTGAAGATGAGATCAATATCTTAGAAACCTTCCTTGGGAAGCTAGACGAAGAGCGCTATCCCATAGAAAAGGCACTGACGCACCTTGATCTGGTCTTTTGTCTATCCAAAGCAGCAGATTCGGATCCTGTCACTCTGGAACAACACTCTCATTATCAAGAGGCTGAACGGCTCTTCAAAGCCACGGACCATGGATTTGGGCATATCGACCTCATGGATGCTCGCCTAGAAGCCAAGAAGGACATGGATCGAAAGACCCGGCTTCAGTGTAAAGATATTCTGGCGAAGATGTACCGAGATGCCGGATGCTATATGAAAGCGATTAGGTGTCTCGTTCTTTCCATTAACTCGGGCCTAGACGAAGGTGGTCACCTGCAAACATTGAAAAACATTGAGACCATCCTCACGGAAGTTGAGAGGCTTGGGTCTAATATGGTCAAAGAAAGCATGCTAATCCAGCTCATTGCACCCGCCATTATCCGATCGTCAGAGAGTGGTTGGGCGCTAGACATCTTGAAAGTGTATTTTGCTACACCGACTGTGTCAATGAGTGTAAAACACCACGGACTGCTGATGACCTGCTTTGCTTTCGCCCAATACAATAGTGGAAACCACCACCTTGCAGTTGAGCACGCACGGAAAGCCTTCAATATTGCTCTTACTGGCCACTCTTATGTTGACCAATCTGATGCTGCCTACGTCCTTGCCCATATCCTTTCAAAGGATGTCCAAAGGCAGACTTTGGTTTCTGAAGAAGTTAAGACACGGTGCCTAGAAGCCCGGGAGCTTATCCAAGTCTGGGTCGAGAAGGACCGCTTGAAGAGTTACGATTCCGGTGAGCGGGATAAATGCCTGCAACTTGCGGGTTTGGAGGAATGTCTTGGCATATTCTCTGATGTCGATGATGCTCATACTCGGTCACAAGAGTGGATGGAACGCTCAATGCGATGTGGCAATGACACTGGTGTTCTCGTCCATTCCGAATTAATCACAGACTTAAAACTTAACCAGCAGGTCACCCAAGGATATTATGAACAAGCACTGAAGACCGCCTTGGACGCCTACAAAGCGTGTGAAGAAAATTCAACCACAACCCCTTTCGTCCGTGCTCAATGCGCGATGCGGTTATCCAACCAGTATCGTACACAAGTCCATATAGGAATTGGCCAAGCTAGAGAGAACAGCAATCCTGATTGGAGCCCAATCATTCGAAGTATACTAGAAGCACTCAAGCACGCTTGGGAAGCTGTTCAAATCTTCCAATCATCCTATGGGGCAGCAATACCGCCATTGCTTCTAGCAACGGAATGCATGAACAGTGCAGTGGACGACTACACAACCTTCTTGCCTCAACAAGGAAAAGACTTCCTCAAGACGTATCTGCCAGAAATTGAAAAGACGGAGAAACTGTATGATGACATGAGACGCAATACCTCAATGCAAAGCGGCCCAATTCAGTCACTGACCTACAAACGAAATGTCACGTCCGCTGATAATACGGCGAAGTTGTACACCTTCACAGCCCAGGGCTACCTGATGCTTGATGATCCTGAGGCCGCGTGGAGATGGATGCAAAAGGGGAAGGCGAGGGCCTTGTCCGATATCTTCGGAAGTCGTGCCCTCGTTCCAAATAGCTTGATGGATGAAATCGGGGGCGACGACGACTCTCATGCGCTTTTCAAGCAGGAGAAGGCACTAACAGAAGCTATTCCCCATGCTTCCCCTCAGGATTACATTATCCTGGCACGCAAATTGGAGGAGTTACGTTCCTCTATGAGAAAATTACCACTTCTCAAACAGTTACTCGGCATCCGGGAAGGAGCTCTCAACTTGGATTTAGGGCAACGCTTGCTTGCACCTATTGATCCCACACATTCAAACTTGAGTCATGGAAAGGTAGCATATGTTGACTGGTTTCTTCCCAAACTATGGAACAGTTACAATGACAAGATCATGATGTTCGTGAGACGACAGGGCGACAAGGTCCATGTCTTTGAGCTTCCCATCCTGCTATCAGAAGTACAGATACTCTTAGAGGAGGCGTACAGGGTGACTAGAGAGGAACAGCGCTTGCGGAAAGGAGATGGTAATCGCTTCCTCGCCCGGTTCAGTCCGCTACTTGCTGGAATTGAAGACACCACATCGGAGAATGAGCTCCTGGTTTTGTCTCCTTCGGGTCCCTTAAACAAAGTTCCCTTCCACGCCATATCCATCGGTCAATCCAAGCGCAGACTTATAGAGAGAAACCCCATCATTTATTCGTCCAGTGCTGCAATCCTCCAACAATGCTACCACCGTGCAACCGCTCAGGCTTCCAAGGCGCCCAGTTTAAAAAGCACCAAAGCAGAATTCTTCGGTGTCTACGAAGAGGAGGAATTCCAAGAGGAGCAGCAGAGCATTTTTGAATCCATCGACCTTCTCAGTCGCCAGTTCCCCGGCGGCGAAGCTGTAAAAGGCGCCGAAGTAACCAAGCCGGAGTTCGTCAGACGAAGCAAAGACGCGAGCTGGGTTCATTACCACGGCCATGCAGTCTATTCCAAAACCGACGTCCTCAAATCAGGTCTCATTCTTAGCAACGGGACGGAAAACCCCAGGTCTAGCACAGAGTCCGGCATCCAGGCTGAGGGATGTGGCCCTGACGATCTCTCGGTCCCAGAAGCCTTTGACTTAAACATGATCGATAGCGCACCCCATCACACCATCATAGCGTGCGACTCTGGCACGCAAGACATCGCACCGGGGGATGAACCCTTAGGATTGATTCCAGCCTTGCTATTTGCTGGTGCAACGTCTGTACTAGGTTGTATGTGGCCGACACCAAGTCATGCTGGAAGGTTATTTTCCGAGTTGTTCTATTGCGATCTAAGCGAACAGCGGAATACGATGGACGTTGATGGAGAAATGGTTTGTATGCTGAACTTGGCGGAAGCATTGAGAAGGGCTGTTTGCCAGATGATGAACAAGGAAGGGACGAAGGCGCCGTATTACTGGGCCCCGTTTGTGCTATATGGAGCTTGGTTTCGTGTTGCATGATGAACAGTACTTGCCGATCCCCAAAGACCGTGACTGGGTATTGTATCGGGTGGGACTTTGATTCTTGCTTCAACCCTTATATATACATAAGCCTAGTCCCTTTTGCTTAGGTGGGAAACATCATCCAATAACCCAAGCAACGCAAATATTTGAAATCCTTAATTGTTATGTGTGTATTACACGGTTTTCTAGTTTGTGCGGGGCGATGTAGATATGCTACCTCAGCTATCCCGTTCATATACTTAGTTTATAGGCCATTCCATGCCAAAATGAGACCACGAGCAGGATATCCTTGCTGGGTGTCACATAAAACCCAAAACGCCAGCCATCCAGCCAATCTATTACGGCTCGCGGCCGTAACACCGGGTAAACAGTTACCCTACAACCCTTCTTAGTCCGCTCTACCTGTCTAAATCCCCACACTATACATCTTTCTTTTTTAGTATCGTGACGAGTCTCCATACTGATTTCTCATATCTGGCAGCTGGACGCTAGAGTCTTCATCCGTGCTTCCCATCTTCATCCTCCCATTTTCCAAGGCCCCCTTTTTAGTTCGGAAGGTGAAATTAGCCTCGTGCCAAACACCCTTGAAGGCAACGGCTGGGTGGAAAACAGTTAAGCAAATACAAGCAACTGCGATCATGGTGGGCTCCATGATCATGTAGAGTGCTTCGTCGTTTTTGAAGAGATCGCCGTCGAAGCCACCCGCTAGCTCGGCGCACCGGTATATGCTACGGGCAAAGATGGTGACAGAGGAAACGAAAAGGCCTGTGGATGGAATTAGTATTTACATTCGATGTGTTGTGGTGGTTTACGAAGGAGGACTGACCAATAAGGAATCCCTTAAAGAGACCCGTTTGAGTGAGCCAAGTATAGGTTGGATTCCGCGACCCTTTACCGGACCACACTCTAAACGCGAATTCCCCACAGCAGATTGCAAAGAGAACTAAAGACACGACTTGGAAGATGAGACCCGCCAACATAATGTTCTTCCCGAGGTCGCTGGATGACTGTGTGTTGGCGGTTGAAGCGATACCTCCTCCGAGGGCTTGTAGAACCAGACTAATTAAGTCGCATGTGCAGAAAATGAGGGTATATGTACGAGGCTTGAAGCGCGAGCAATCTTCACCGTAGACGGTAACGATGCGAGCCAAGCAGAGATAGATTCTGTATATTCATCGTTAGCTAGGGCAATGTCAAAAACGGAGGAGAAGTACGTACGCTGCAGTTAAGAAAGCTGGTGCTATGGTGAGAAGAATGAGGTACATGAGAAACATGTCGTGATTGAATGGGTTGTTGTGGATCATGACTCGAGCAATATATCCCACACACTCCATAATCAAGCCAAAGCTCATGGCGGTCATGTAGCCCCATGTCTTGTGCTTTATTCCAAAAAATAGTTGTGGGATGAATAAGAGGGCGAAGAGACCAGCAAAGATTGCGTTACCAGGAAGTGTTGGTCGATATAGGAAGCTTGCCAGTGTCAAGTCGCAAGTGTCGAGGGTACATAAATGGGGGTTGAAAAAGAGAGTAATGTTCCCGTAACGATCGCCCGGTCCACCATCATGTGTTAAATTGGACATATTGAGAAAGGTTGATACTATCTTCACAAGGAAGAGCTGCGAGTGCTGTGGACTAGCTCTGGTTCCAAGATGATTGAAGAGCTATAAGAAAAGGCACAAAAGGAAGTGCAAAAATGAGACGAGGTGCTTGCAATTAGGCAGGCTCAAGGAACAGACCAAACTTAACTTATTATAGGGATATGAAAAGTGGTGCTGGCATAAGATCCCGCCGCACTGGGGGTCAGCTTCGCCCAGGGCCGCGTACTCTGTAACAGCGACCGGGGCAATTGGGGTCTCGTAACCGACTTCGCACTGACAGATGTGGTGGAAAATATGCTTATTCTGACCAGCGCGCCTCGGAATTTGCCCAATGGAGAGATTTTACAAGCAATTGCTCGACCCAAGCTGTTGAGTCAGCAGCCCTATGGGGCTCTTCGTTGGTCGGTTCGAGCCTCGAAGGCTCAAACCGCAGATTATTGTGCCCTGCAATAATGATACGAAGCACATAAAGGACTGCGCCCCTCAGGTTTAATTAGGTGAAAACACGTCAACCGAAGAGCCTAGCTCAGCAGCTTGCGTGCTCTTATTGGTCAGACCGCTCCTCAGGCAGACAGACGTCTGGACAATACGAAGCGGTACAACTGTACGTACAGGCAAGCCCCCAATCTGAGTAAGACGAGAGCCTCTTGATCCTTCGTCATATTGTATTGACTAGGGCCACCGAATTCTAATTGGAATTCCAGGGCTTCGCAACGTGGTTTGTGGTCCGTGGGAATCTTCCCCATCCTCTAGGCTTACTTACGTAGTACAATTTCCCACTCACCACTCCGTTAGAAGCAATTCCCAGAATAGAACCGATTCCGTAATATTCCTCTGAGCAGTTGCTTGCTTACCTACTTCACTTGAATATAAATACAGTAAATACGCTGTACACCGTGAAATGGGAATCAACTTGGCAGTGAGACGACTAGTCTAGATATTGGAAGCTGGATTGCATCGTGCATGGTGCAGCAGAAGTAATATACGCAGAGGGCTGAGATCTGAGCCTGTCACTGGACCAGGACCTCAGGAATGAGGTTGAGACACGCGTACAAGGGAAGTATTCTACCGACCTACGAAGTACGTACCTAGATACTGTCCGTAGTACATACGTAAAGCAAATATTCTGCTTAGTAACTGTACAGTGCCCATACCTCTATGGACGGTTCGTATTTTGATGCTGACGGGGGAACGCGTTCGTCTCCATATTGGCTCCTTGGCTTACGAGGGATAGTCACCAGTCTTCCCAGAATGGCTAAGCGGCCACCGCTATTTTCGGCTAGGTCAGTGCTGAAAGATGTCCGCATTTTAATTGTTGCTTTCGCCGTTGCAGATTTCATGTTTGAACCAATAATGGAACTTCCAAGCTGTCTCTCATAACCCGGTCATATTTTCACAGCCGAGTGCGAAGCAGGTTGGAGCTCGACTCTGCGCTCTGCGCACCTTCGGGCACCTACGTGGACAAACATGGGCAAATGCTACTAATGTTCCCACTAAGTCGTACCTGCCAACCATGGCTAAAGTCGTACTCCGATGATAGCGACAGATCAGCGAGCGTGAGTTGCTTAATTCCCTGGTACACAAAGCCTCTAGCTACGAGTAACTCGTACCTCACATTAAACCCAGAGCTACTCTGCGAGTAATGAAGAAGCCCAAGTCACCGTTCTCTATTCTCCTCCTTAGCCATTGTCAATTTGCCATTTTGTTTCGTTCATTTATGTCTAGCTCATAACTACCTAGTCAAAGGGCAAGGTGGATCAAGTGCGGCCTTGGTATAGCTGTCACGGCCGGTCAATCTATACGGGCGTTTGTACGATCATGAAATATACCCTTCGCTCCACAAGTCAACAGACATGGGACATCCTCAAGATCCACAATGAGCAACTCATAGAGACGATAGGATAATTGGAGCCAGCACAATGACTATACATTTCGTCGTCGCCTGAATGGCGCTTCCTCTCCTGTCGAAATCCGGTACGCTATCCGTCCAGGCGAGTGCGTGCCCAAACACCTTTGCTATCCTTCGTCATCTACTCGAGCTATTTACCTGGTATTTTGCACTTCCCAAGCCTCTCCTATACGAAGAAGTACAAAAATTCGCATGATACTATTGACTCTAGGCAATGCGGAATACACAAGCTGTTCGGAGTACCTTCCTTTCGCGCTCGAGACGCAACACTCCGATCTCTGTATCGCCTCTACGATGACCTGTGCGCCGATCGTCTTATCCTTGTGACCTACGAATGCGAGTCCTTTTTCCGCCGCGGCTCCAGACGCTGGTTGCTGTCGCAGATTCCAGCTCCCCAAAATGCCAATCCCGTGCGCTATACGGTTCTAGCAAGCCTAGTTGAAGTGCTGGTGGAAGTGTTCAACTGCAAATTGTGGCAGGGTATCGGACGTGGCGGCGTACCCTGCGAACAGTTCGAAGAGCAGGCTACAATCTTCAGCAGAGAAGTTCCACTGGCGTGGACCAAAAATGTGGGTGGGTAGAAAAGCAAGTGAGCCTAATAAACCGCAAAAGCGAGCCCTTTGAACTAGGACGGAAACCTTTCAAGTCGAAATCTTAAGACCAGTACAGTGCAAATGAACAGTACACTGTATCACGCTTGAGGGCTTAGTACGAGGCAAGAGTAAGAAGAGATGCGGAAGGTCAGAGTGTTACGTTTAAGTTGATACTGTGTATATGAAGGGGGCTGGATTTCAAGGCATGCCATGATATCCTCGCTAGACTGGGATCACAATGCTAGTAGAGATGATAGAGAGTATTTTCCTGTTGGATGCACCGAATGCTCGACTGGAAGTTACAATAGAGGTTTGGCGGTCGAAGATGGCGGAGCGTGCTTGATTTCTAGACGACAAAGGCCTATGAATGATGTGCAATGCCTTGAGAGAACCTTCAGAGAACCTACTGAGGGATCGTTCAATACGCAGAGCTAACATGAAACCTTGAACGAACACCCATATTGCCCGTCCCCCTGAACCTCCATATATCTTAGCAGCGCGACTCCTAAAGGGTTATATGACCCTATTTCAGCGACAGAGCCGAAGCTCTGTTGACTAGATTGATGTATTAAAGAGTTTGCTGCTGCTACGACTGGCTCTGGGAAAGAAGGCCATGGAACTCAGCTATTACAACCTTCCCGTCAGGTCCGGAATACCATTACCTCTGCAAATAAAACCTAAGGCCATGGAATTGCAAAGCCAAAGGGGTAGACTCTGTAAATCCAATCTTTTAATTACCAAACTTCTGCTCAATTGTGTTTATAATTAATTTTAGCAAGGGGACTAGCTTATGCTAATACTGCTGGTCTTGTTCCACGATACTCGGCGGTCTCGGCTGGCACTTGAGGCCTGGGACACAATCTAGGTGCCTAAGGGGGCGCTGGCGACGGAATAAGCCTTGCACTGGCGCTAGGGGGCTTCTCAGCCTCATGGCCAAGGGCTTGTAGACAATGTGTTAGCACTTTTCCTAACAACTTAACCTATGAACATCCTCAAACCTCAAGGCTCCCTAGATTCGTTCCGAATGGTGTTTTGAGCTGAGAGCCATCAACACCCCACGCCCGAGCAATTTTCAGCTCCACAGCTAGAGCCTCAAGTCTCCCGGTACCATAGTATAAAAACGCCTGGTGCCACATACAGCACCGCCAGCAACCCAGGAGAGCCTCACATCATGGCAGACACCACTCCCATAGTCGCATCCTCGGAGCGCAGTAGCACCCCGCCATCCAGCGCCTCTGAGCAAGCCCGAATCCGCAAAGAAAGACGCGAAGCAAAAATCCGCGCTGGTGGCTCCGCAAGGTTGGACAAAATCACCGGTCTTGGAGGAGGAGTACCTCGAGGTGAGGCTGCCCCAACATTGAATCCTTCCGAAATGTAACCGTTGCTTACTCGTTCTGTAACTTTACTAGACGTTTCCCCACGACCAGCAGCATCCGCAGTCCAGCATCCTGACCCAGAGGAGGTAGACATATCCCAGCACTACTACGAGCCCAGCGGAAGAGCCTCCCGCCCCGCAAATGATCCTTTTGCTATGCCTCAGCCGCAAATAAATGAAGACCAGCTCCGTCAAATGATGCTGGGTATGGACCCCTCGAGAGGGCCACCCATGGGTGGCGAGGGGAACCCATTCGCTGGGTTTCCAGGAATGGCCGGTATGCCTGGGATGGAAGGCATGGGTGGACCAGGCGGGCCCGACCTAGATGACCCAATGATGAAAATGATGCAGCAGATGATGGGTGGTATGCCGGGAGGGGCTGGACCGGGTGCGGGTGGTATGCCACCATTTCCCGGTATGCCAGGAATGCCTGGGCAAGCCGCAGCAGCAGCAGCAGATCCATATGCCTACCTCTGGCGGATCATCCACGCTGTATTTGCCCTCGGACTGGGCTTATACATTGCATTTACAACCACATTCACAGGCACAAAGCTCGAGCGGGAACGAAGCGGGTTATATACTTCGACTGCTACCGATGGCGCTGGACTCAGTCCTGCGAGTGTGCATTTCTTCTGGATATTCGCCACGGCGGAGGTAGTATTGCAGACGAGTAGGTTTTTCATGGAAAAGGGAGTAGTGCAACCTGGTGGGATTATGGGGACAGTGATGGGTTTCTTGCCGCAGCCGTATAAGGGATATCTGGGGCTTGTGACACGGTATATGAGGATTTGGACTACTGTGAGTGGGGACGCTATGGTTTGCGTGTTTGTGTTGGGGGTTTGTGCTTGGTTGAGGACGAATTAGTTCCAGAGAGAACTCTAAAGAATATGAATCTATAAAACCGAAAAGACTAGGTACTCCTTATATAGTTTATAAAGTGGTGACTTTTATGCGGTTACGATGAGATAGGGCTGTGTATTCCTTCATTGAGCTTCTGTGGAATTTGGCTATAGCCTCTTATTTTATAGCAGTGAAGTCGATCGTACTAATGAAATTATTAGTAGAGTGTAAACTGGAAACTAAGTCTCTCTTTGAAGCTCTTTTGCTTTAATGAGAAAGAAGCACATGTCCAATATTGCGCCAGAAATATGGCATTTCTAAGCATATACCATACATTATCAAAATCTAGAAATGGCTTAAGCATCTAACGTATGGTATTTGGCAATGCATTTATAACTTTATTCGATAAAATATATCTTATACTTGTCCACGAAAATTAAATATTCTGTAAATCACATATAAATGAAACATACATAGGATTAGTGGGATATGAGGGATAGGTTAGAATAGGAGGCCTGTAATATGTCCGAAAGATAGGAAAGGGTTGAGAGGGGTGTGGAATGCTCGATTGGTGGAAGGTATGGTATTAATCAGGTAAGATGATTTTGAAGAGTGGTAATTTGGCTGGGTTAATAGCAATGGAAAGGGAGCAGTATGGATGGGTAAGAACATAAGCAGTAGAGAGTCGAGAAGTCCGCGCCACATATTAGGTTCCATCAGATCATAAGGTAAGTTCAAGCAAGATTTTGAAGCACGCGCTCCAAACAAAGCTTTCAGAAGTTCTAAAGGGCAACAGCCAACGATATCATATATTCATGTCTATCGCTCACAGCGGGGGGGTATGCGCAAAGGCGGAAATTACCATCCCAAAACTCATTAAAATCCAACCAAATCCCATCCATGCATGTCCCATGATGCTCCACAGCGGTTTACATTCATTTAGTTAGATATATATTTCTTTATTTCTGAAACCACGGGAATTTCTTCTTCGAGAAGTCCATAGCTCCACCCGAACTTTCCACTTGGAGACTTAGCTGATATATATCCTTTAAAAGAAGCGTTAGTGGATATATAGGAGAGTGGGGTGCGACGGGGGGTTACATACCTCGTCATCGACAGACATCCTACAATCCAGGATTATCTCTCGCGCATTATCATTTCTCGTGAGGTTTGGATACGGTACTACTTGGCTCTTCATAATGGGTAAGATGACTTCGGAAAGCACCTCGAACTTTTTCCAGTTGATTCGCTCCCCGTTGGCGCCGACGAATGTCTTGCTGCCCTCTTCAGCAGATACAAGATCGCGTCGGTGTAGGGGGATGAACGGGATCCGGGGTAAGGGGGAATTTTCCCATGCCAAACGATAAGCAAAGTGACTCTTCTGGCTGGCCATCAGCAGAACAAGCCTGGCAAAACGTTTTTGTACATCTGCTGGGACGAGTACCCTCGTCTGGGCTAGACGATGGATGGCAGTTCCGTTGATACCGGCTAGCACAGCGGCAAGGCCGTTATAATTGTTCAGCTGTCTCAGTTTCAAAGCAATGACCATAAACTTTTCAAGCATTATAGCCCGGTGCTTGGCTTTCTCTCGTATAAGGATCATGTTGGCGACCCAGTGAGCGATATGGTTAAAGTGGTTGATCATCCGATTGACATTTGCGAGGCTCTTGCATTTTTCTTTTTGTTCCAAGGGTAGACTAACGTGGCGGACGAGATCTCGAAGTCGGATGGAGGAAAACATAACCCAGTCAATCCTGGTCATTTCGTCTGCGATATCATCGTCGGGGATATTCGTAAAGATGCGAAAGCGGTTTTTGTTGAGCGGAAGGGTAGCTCTGGGTACCATCGTGGCTGCTTCCCTCTCATAGTCCTCAACTGTATGGAAAGATGGCGAAAATGATGATCGATTTGGAGAGCCAAAACGAGCTGATCCCGAGGATTCAGTTCTTGACTTTAACCGTTCCAATTCCTCATTATGCTCATCAATATGTAGGTTGCTGACATCTTCCTCCAATTCACTTTTGGCGGAAGTCTTCCGCATGCCTGGTGAAGCTGGAGCAGATTCCGCTATGCTGGTGGTTTCGCTTTCCACATCTGCATCAGTTCGGGCCCATCCCGTGTCGTCGTCCTCAACTACACGAGATTGAAGCTGTGCTCGCATAGTCTGAGCGGCAGCGGCAAAAATAGGCTCGCTGGATAAGTGATTAATAAAATTATCAAGATTCCGGCTCGTTGAGGGACTAGCGAAGTCCCCTGGATAGCTCGATACCCACTTGGCAAGTACCGTGATGATCCGTAGCTGGGTGGCCGTACGCGTAAGGTAATGAGTATTCTTATCATCTGCAATCCGCTCCAGGCGGTTTAGTATAGCTGCAAACAACTCACCAGGAGCTGCAAATTTCCTGTATAGACAGAGGAAAATGTCCGAGAAGTTGCTATCAGCCCTGGACATATGTTGACCTAGAAGTCGGTCAACAAGGTCCTCAAAAGTTACGCCGGCAACCTTTGCTGGCTTGTCGAAGAAGCTATCGTCGTTCCGCTGTAATATCGGGATATCGTCAGAATAACAATACGCCGACTCGGCATCAGACTCCTCCATATCAAGGAAGGAGCTGTTTCCTGATCTTCCAGGTGATGGTAACGGTGAACGCCTTTGACTCGGTAATAGTTTATTATTTGGATCGGAATTTTGGGAATTATCATTTCGGAAGGCGGGGTGCGCTGAAAGGGGTGGTGCTTCGTGCGGATCTGGGAGGGTAAATTGGTGATGAAGATTTGTTCGTCCATTGGGCCGTGATAATGGAGGTGGCCCTCGAGAAGAACCTGGGGGTGGCGAGGGGAAACCGCGAAGGAGGGAATAGTCTGAACTTGCACGGCTATGTTTAGAGTGCTGGCTGAGAGGTCTTTCAGTCGCGGGATTAGCCGGTGTCTCGAGGTGTGCTGATGAGGTAGCTCGGCGACGGGCGCCAGGCATTTCGAGAGGTGGATTGGTAGCTATTTGATTTGTTAGTAAGGGTGCTTAAGCTTCCTAACACTATGAGTGTTTGGTCACTCATTCTAAATTTAGATGGCTCAAACGCATATTTAGTTACACCGAGAATACAGGATGATATGAGAACAAGCCATGTAAGGGAATATGTCCATCTTGAACAAAAAGAGTGGGCGATAAGTGACAAAGCGAACTGACCATTTCTGTTTGCCATAATAGCCCGAAGCATAGAAGATAGGCACAACCTTGCACTTTCAGGCACGTTCGCAGCAGTTTTCACAGCCTCGACATTCGCTGGACAGGCAGATTCCATACTATCAGCATCGATTTGCCGAGTATTACTAGGATTGTCACATTTGCAGGAGACGAGGATCGTTGGCAAAGAGGATTTCACCAGGCCGTCTAAAAGATCAGTTAGCTATATCACACTAACATATTAGAAGAGCCATACTTAAAGTCTGCGGTAGTGCCGCAATAGTCTCCCGATTCATAACATCATAGAGGAGTAGAGCTCCATCCATGCGGGGCACTATGTGGCCATTTATCTGTTTCGGCCACTCTATGCGCCGGTCGGGCACAATATCGAATGCATCGAGGTCTAGTTCTATTAGACTAACGGTATATTCCACATTGTCCACCGACATCCGAAGACTTGAAGCAATGGATACTGGAAGAGCCCGTAGGCCGAGTGCACGTTGGATAAGTGTACTCTTCCCTACTCCAGAGCTCCCAATAACGGCAATATTGATATCAGACATTCCGCTTCTCGACTGGGGCTATATGTAGAAACTATCATCAGTCTATATCCTTACAATTGAACTAGGAGCACGTACAGGAAGATACACGGAATTGTCGACAGAGGGGCTACCAGGCGATGTTGGACTCGAGTCATCGGGAGCATCTTCCCCACATACAGGCTCCAATTGGGGAAACGATTTCTCTTCTTTAGCCAAAGCTGCAGAGAGGGGCGATTGGTAACTCCTGAGGAATATATCGTCTTGAATGGACCCTAGCCGTTCGCGACGGCCATACGGAATATCGTCGGGGGGGGGGAATGCGGGATCTTTTGCTGCGGCTCCAAGAACAGCTGAGCTCGCTCGCGTCGTGAGGGCCGGCCGCGCGCTGCGAGGCGTCGAGCTTGATCTCGATTTCGAGCCCGACACAGGTATACTCGGCAGAGGGGCGGTGGGAGGTTTGGAAGGCTTCGAGAGGGAGCGTTCTCGATGGCCGTCTCGGGTGCGAGAACGCGTGGATTTGGTGCGTGCGGGAAGGACGCCGACCTCATCCATCCTCGCAACTAATCCGGGGTTTGGTCTTTATAATCGGGGGGTCTCGGGGGTGGTCATTGACCATTCGAACGTTCGGCCAGGCTCCCCAGCAGCCTGCTAGGTGGTCGTTGGTCGTCGTTGTCGGCTCGTCGCAGCTACAGCACGAATACCTGCACGAAGTACGAAGTATCGCGATCGCAATTCATGCTACGGCTCGGTGTGGTGTGGGATCTAGCGCAGGGGGACCAGGCAAGGCGGGGATGTGGTGCTGAGTCGGGGATTAGGATTATATTATGGCATGATCGTGGCAGACGGGGACATCTTCACGATCGGGGTGAACAGTATATCATGCCGTTTCCGGAGCAGAGAAGAACAATAACAATCCGGGAGAAATGCGACATGTAAATTGAGGCGGTCATGATGGAACACGTCCCGAGGGGCATGTTTCCGCGATATGGGCGCTGATTGGCTTGGGAGGGCTTCAGACTTCGGGACTTCGTCCTATTTAACGCTTATTTCCGATTTGGTGGTCACAAGTCATCGTCGCCATCATCATCATCAGCTATTGTTTGGTCAACCGTTCAAATAAATATTCTGGCCAGTCTCCAGGCGAGTTCTTGCCATCTCATGTGTGTGAACAACTGGTTGGGGAAAAAAAGAAAAGAAAAGAGTCGAGGGGTTGGCGGTCATGAGAATGGACCAAGTTGTTCTGTCCCGGCCACGATATCTGCTTCGACGATGTCAAGCTCCCTGACGACTTATCTATCAAGCTAGTTCTTTACATCGGTGTAACGCGAGAAGAGACATGGACAATTACCAGCATCGCCTATTATATTTGAATCCTTCTTTGGGCTATTTCGTACGTTTCCGAAATTGATAATTGGGGTCTCTGATCTGCGGAGCCTAATTGAGTTTCTTATCACGACACAATCAGGTCTCTCCTGACTTGATATACCCATATGCGAAGTAGCAGCAAACCGGAATGCAGCATTCTGACTACTTCCTTCTTGTTCAAAGGTTGTGTATAGTATAGTACAGATGCTGCATCCAGGGACCCAAGCCTCCGATGGATTTACGCCTCGGTGCTTCTTGCACCAGGATTCGGTAATTCATGTACTAGCTGTACGGAGTACCACGTATATACCGGCCGATCTCGACAGCCCCAAGCCAGTATCCTATGGCTGACAACGACAACATGCAGCTTGCCATCCGAGAAATCCTTCGCGGATGGCAATCAATCGAGTAGCCTCAATGACGTCCCCTTCCCGGAAGCGAGTCGCACAGAAAAGTCCTGGCAAAAGTCCCCTGAACATACGAAGTGACATGGATTTTGCCCGGCCAGGCCGACAATAGAACCGAGTTGGTCCCTGAAGCGGCTCGACCCGCTTGAAATAGAGATGGAGAGCACTTACGGTAGCGGTATTGCTAGTCGATGTTGGACAACATCGCTACCTAGGTAGATGATTGCCGTGTTTGGAAACATAGAATCCGGCAGTCCAAAGCAGTGATACCATATCCGGGCCTGAATTGGTAGGACGGTACCGGCGATCTTGCAGCCGCATATGTGTGACGCTAGTGCTCTCGTTACGTTTCGTTGCCTTCGATTCTCGAATAAGCAAATACCTTTCCACCAAAGCTTATTGAGCTGCGACAGCCACAGCCAGACCACGGGATAAAGAACCGGGAAAAGGCGCTCTTTTCTTTTATCACTCGGCAGAGCAGGCGGAGATCATGGTACAGTACCTCGTAAACAAGGAGTGCTGAAACGGGGGCGTCTGAGGAGAAACGTCGACTGCTGCCGGTTGAATTGGATTGGAGGCTTCTCAGTTGCATTGCGAACTTACTCGTAAACGGCCGAAGGCGGTGTGTGTCTCCGACAAACAGACGAAGAACATAGCGGCCTCTACCGGATTCGGCTTGTCGACAATCATTCACGATCCAGCGGACGCTTGAGCTGCCTCCGCGGGTATGGCAAGGTTCCCCACCAACTTCCAAGCAATAGCGCTATGTTCTCTTGGTGACAAGTTGGTGTGTTGCACGGTTGCGGTGAGGTCAGAGAGGAGCTCCTTTCAGTTGTTTGTTCAGAGCCCAGCCAACAAACCGGTCGAGCGATGCACGAAATGCACGGAGACATGAGCCGACGCAAGGAGATGCAGGTCTCGTGGTTCTCCGAGCTCTGATTCGAGCTGCACAGCACCTCGTTCGCCATGGTGGCCTGGGCAAGACATTGACTGATGGAGGCCCCAAGCGATGGGCATGGGGCAATAAAGTTCTGATAGTCTGATTCTGACATGCGGACAGTGGGCTCGCGTGTCTTGGAATCGCGGTCAAGACTCGGCACTGGACGGTTTCATTCACGGCGTTGGCTAGGTAAGTAAGTCATTCTTTGCGATTTCAGCTCAGCAGGTTCCGGCCAGGGCGCGGAAAGGCTTCTGATTGCAATCAATAGCTGGCGAGTGTCTTGTAATAAGTAAGTGAGTGGGTGAGTGCTGCGTAAAGTATTTATTTGTCTTGTAGTGTCGTGACCCGACTCCCCAGGAGAGCCGTCCAGATCCAGCAACGCTACTCCGTACCGAGACGTTAGACCGTATTGGAGAGTGGGACCAGCACCAGCACGAGGACCAATGCCACCAACCCCAAGCCAACCCCAACCCCACTGCCAGCAGCAACCCCAGACCGACGATCCTCGATCCTCGACCCTCGACCCTGAAGACTTAAGTTCCTCAACCCTCAATAACTCCAGATCCTCCCTAACCCATTTTGCCCCTCCAAGAACAGCCTCAAGCAGAATCCAAGCAAAACCTGCTGCTTGGACAGAGCGCCCAGGGCTTGGTGGCGTCCACTCTGCGACCACCTACAAGTATCCTCGTACTATACCGAGTACTTGTACCCCCCTCTTATCCTCTCCTCCCTCAGTTGTTGCCCTTGGCCGCCTTCCATTCCACCCACATACTAGAAACCTTGCGCTTGGGACCTTGGATTCCGTTGCATTTATCCGCATTGGAGCGTTCTGTTTCGCAACCGTACACCTGACATACCGGTGATTTCCTATATACTGCAGTTAAAAAAGCTAAAGCTGTTCGACATGGCAACTGCTGCTGCCCTTCCAGCTCCGGCTACAGATCGATCTGCTGTAAGCATCTCCCGCGCTCTTCTATCTCTCATTATAACAACATCCATTCTCACCCGCCAATAGCTGAAACCCGCGAGATCAATGACGCACACTTTTCGAGACCACCGGGCGAGTACGGGGAGGACTGTGAAGCGGAAGCCCAAACCTGGCCAACCCTTCGACCCAGAGGACTTGACCCGTCGACTTACAGTGGTTATAGAGGACCAGAAGGCAAAGACCGAGCGGCGACGAGCTGCCAGAGCGGCCAAAGTTGCATCAACTCATCAGGATGTCATATATCATCACGTGCCAACGGTTGCTGCCGCGGCATTCGAGAGGACCGCAACACCAGATACTCTGCGGCAGGTACACAAGTTAGCCCGGCCCGCAGCCAGGGCTCATTTCGACGTCCTCCAAACCGAGAACCAACAATTGGGATATGCTGCTACGGCTCTTCAAAAGACGCAAGCCATTGATCAAGTCATGGTTGAGAGGGAATTGACCAGGAGCCGGAACCAGTTTCAGTGGAGTCCAGAGATGGAGGGTGCTGCCGAGGCAGACTTTGGCCGCGATCTATACAAGCCACCACAGCGAACCTTCACTACACATCTAAAAAACGGACAGGGTGGCCCTCGGCCGATGAGCACGGGGGATATTTTCTCGGAGGATGACGAAATCTCAGTAATCACGAAATCGAAAACCAGACCGTTGTTCGACGCAAACGATAGGAATAATTGGGTGCAGCAAGACGATAATAGCGAAAGCGGACAGCAGAAAAAAGAGTGGTCAAGTCCGTTCTTGCGGAAGAAGCATTCAAGTTGGATAATGAGAGTTAGGAGGGACAAGAGTGTCAGACGGGACAAGGACGATGAAGCGGCAGGTAGTGGAGATTCATGCTCGCCGCCAGACAGTAATAAAGGCGGAAAGACAAGGTTTCTGGATCGTTTCAAACGCCATCCAAGCTGACGTATGTGCTTATGGTAACTTACAAGAGGTGGCTTTTGGGCATGGCGTTAAGGGGGTGTGTGCCTCATCGAATAATGATCCTAATGAACCCTTCATCCTGAGCCATGTGGTTGTGTAATGTGGGACAACCATGCTCTCCTCCGTGGCATTTTCTTCCTAGCCACCCCGAGTTTAGCTTCGGGCCTGGATATATTTTGTTAGCCTTCTATATATAGAAACAATATATCGATAGAATCGGTGCTTCTTACCAGACAGACAGACAAGCCGCGCCGCTTTCCACCCACATGTCTCCTATGCTGCGCTATGCTGTGCGAATGTTCGTATATCTTGCATGGTATCCCTCTACCAGCAGATATTCCTTCGTATATATATTCGATCCCATCATTCCCCACAATGTAATCTCATCATTCATCATATTTCATGATTCAGCAGCATCGAGATGATCCTCGCATTTTCCTCCTCGATCTCCTTCTGGATTATATCAGTTGCATCACAAACCCCACCAGCATCTCTTGACACCATCTGCAGAACCAGCTTCGAGAACTCCCGCACGCCCTCCCCGTCCTTGCCATACGCAACTCGGGCGCGATTCAGTGCCTTAACCCCGTTTTGCAGTCCGCGGTCTTGATTCCATGCCTCTTGTTTCCCGCCCCTTCGCTTCTGTTGACCATTGGGGAAGCTAGGCGCGTGGTCGTCTGCAGGAGGCAATGTAGCGTTGTGGATATTTTGGAGGTGGGATTTCAGGCGGGGGTAGGTTTTGAACAGCTCCTGGAGCTCTTCCGAGTTGTCTAATGGTGCGAATGGGCCTTTGGAGCCCGCTGCGGCGCGGGTTCCAGCTCGCCCATGGGTTTCGGCGGGAGGTGAGGGGATGGGTGTGCTTGCGACGGGGGCGGGTTCGTCCGCTGGATGAGTGGTCTTGTGCACTGTGGAACATGCGACGGAGCAGCTTGTTTGTATTAGCGCGGCTTCTTTTTGTATCGCCTCTTGTGAGTGGGCTTGGCTTACTATGGGAGGTAGCAGCGGCTGCACTTGTATTTTGATTCTCGATCGTTGCAGACCCCGCAGAGCTTCTTCACAGGGCTGGACACTTTGGTTCCAGATGTGGTATCTTGTTGGGATTGATATTCCGCAGCAGCGGGTTCGGTAGGTGGGGTTGTGGCTTTGGGCGCCTCTGTAGCGGTCCCCGGAAGAGACATCTCCTCGGTATCTGTTATTGGCCTGTGATTGTCTGTATATACGTTGTGGAGGATGTGGTTGACGGCGACGCTGCGTAGGTAGGTTTGTGGTGGATATCAAGGCTGCGCAGAATAATGTTCGCGACGGAGATCTAATTTCTTGCAGGGATCATCCAAAAGTTTGGCGTCCGCCCGCGGAGCTGACGGCATCGACGGTGAAAGATCGGCGTGGCGAGCCAAACATCTTTAAACCAAGCGTTGGAACAAAACATTGCAACCCAGCTTCACCACCAACAAGTTCCAACCTCAACGAGAGTTTTGGTCTTTTTCACTATACATATCCTACGACATCATGACGACGGCTAGAATTTCACGGGCGGCTGTGCCGTTCATGAGGAAGCTCAGAAAGCCCACAGTACCCGCTGCTATGAGATGTGTGCATCAAAGTACTCGATTACCTGCGATGGCAGCGTCCAACTCGGGGACGAGACCGATACTACAGCCATTACATCAACCATCTAGTATGCTGAAGCCTACAGCCATAGGCGGCACACGCAGCATCTACATCCAGACGGAGACCACGCCGAACGTGAACGCTCTGAAATTCGTGCCTAACCACCCGATCCTCCCGGAAGGGCTATCGACCCCCTTCATCGAATATATGAATGCGAGATCGACCGTTGCCCCACCCCATCCGTCGCCGCTGGCTGCGCAGCTGATGAATGTTGATGGGATTACTTCGGTCTTCTACGGTCCTGACTTCATCACCGTGACGAAAGCCGAAGATGCCAATTGGGGCTATGTGAAGCCAGAAGTGTTCGCTCTGATCACCGAGGCTGTGACATCTGGGGCGCCAATTGTCAATATCACGGAGAACAAGTCGGGGGAGAGTGGGCAGGAGGGGGGCGAGGAGGATAGCTTGAGCTACAATGAGAATGACAGCGAGGTGGTGGGCATGATCAAGGAATTGCTGGAGACGCGGATTCGGCCGGCTATCCAGGAAGATGGCGGCGATATCGATTTCCGGGGCTTTGATGAGGAGAACGGAGAGGTGAAGTTGAAGCTTCGTGGGGCGTGCAGAACCTGCGATTCGAGTACGGTTACGCTCAAGAATGGGATTGAGGGGATGTTGATGCATTATGTGAGTTTTCTGTCAATCCATTGATTGATATATGAAGGTGGATATGAATGCTAATTTGATGCGATTAGATTGAGGAGGTGAAGCTCGTGACGCAAATATTGGACCAGGAAGAAGAGATTGCTCTGCTAGAGTTCGAAAAATTCGAAGAGAAGTTAAAGAAGCAGGGTGCGGCAGCAGGATAGATAGCTAGTTATACAGATAACGGGAGATGTGTAATTCTGGAGATGAGATAACGTAGTTAATGGGCGGCGGGATCGAGATGGTTCGTTACATGTACAATACTGGGAATATCCGCCCATTGATGACATGGGACTCGGGAGGCGGCGGCGGCGGCGGAGGCGAAAAGAAGGATGGTTTCACAAGAAGACTTTGACATTGTTTGACTTGAATATACCCAGATGCAAAATTGATAAAATCTGTATGCGGCGAGTGGGCGCTGTAGCAGTCAGTGTCTTCACTATTATTACATCTCCCCTCTCTCATCGTGATCAGAGCAGCCACATGCATTATGATTATTGATTCCAAACAAAGTGCAAAGTGCAAACCGCAAATACCTACCCCCTCCCCCCTCTCCTTGGAAAAGAAGAGGGAGCAAAACGTAACCATCTATACAATCGGCACCCATTGGCCGCCGCCTCGGAAACGCATCAACCTCCCTCTCAGTTCGATGGGAGGCTGTCGTGCCGCACAGCGAATCAGCAACTGGATGAGCGTTGCGCCGCAGGAGCCAAAGGGGTGTGCGTGTGTGTAGGTGGTGCAGGTGGGTGCAGTGCGCACTTTTGCAGGCATAGGGACCATCCCACAGGCATAGGCATAGGCAGAGGCAGAGGCATACAGTGGCTTACAGTGGCATACGACATAAGCCGTAGGATGATCTGTGTCCGGCATCATCCTTGATATTATTGCAGCGCACTCACTGGTCGCTGGTTATGCACCACCTGGACATAAAGCCTGTTTTCCATACTACTTTTCCCTTTCAACCTACATTTAGGTTTTTCCCCGCAAAATGATCGGAATGGGGGGGGCAAGGGCGCGGGGGGGTGGATGGGAGGGAAGTTGTTTGATAATTGACAGATGGATGGTGGCGCTAAGTATGATAGGGATTAGTTAAGTAGTATTATTACGGAGTATTATTATTTAGCTAGGCTTATCGAGCTATGCTGCTCCTCCGGAATGGGATGCCGATATGCGGATCTGGGGAAATTTGAAATGAGGAGATATGATATGGCCCGCTAGAGGGTTGCGCATAAGTGTGTACATGTAAAACATACCTAGGGACGTAGTAATAACTCTATTATTAAAACGCATTTCCCATTTCCCGTATGTCATGCAGGAAATATTACTGCAAGCAATAATAATAGGAGAAAACAAAACAAAGAAAAAAGAACAGATCGGAAGGGAAAGCTACCTACCTGGTAATTACCGTGTACGTACTCCGTAGCTGGAAGGATATCCACGGTCCAACGCCCCCTTCTTCGTCTTTCCCTCTCCCGGGAGTGGCGGTTTCAGGACCCGTAGAGATGTGTAGTTCGTACAGAGTGGTTCTTAGTGCCATAGTTCGGTCTCCCCATAGGTACGGGGGCATCTCCGTCGCACGACTGATAGGGGGGGAGGGGGGCTCCCTGTTTTTGATAGTTTCCCCTCGAGTGCTCCCTAGTAGTACCTAGGTAAGATAGTATGTGGGTGACACGTGAATGTTCTATTCGCCTGCTGGATGGATGATGGATGAGGCCTTAGCGTAGCAGAGGAGGCGTTGGATATCGAGATCTAGAGATGGGAGATGGGAGATGGGAAATGGGACATGGCTTGCGGACGTGGGAGGCGAACATAGGTATGTGTGGTGTGGTAAATCAGTAGGAGGACTTCTCCGCGGTGAGCGCCAAGTATACAGCACCTAAGGTACGATACCTAAGATACCTTGCCTAGGTAGGCATCTATGCCAGAAGTCGTGAGGTCGTGCCCATACCATATGATTGATGCATGTTAATAACCGTTGTGCAGTAGAGTGTGCAGAGCATGTACGGACGAGGGTTCTGCGTCTCTCTCTGTGCGTTCCCCTCCCCGCTCAATTGCTTGTTGGTGCTGCTCCTTTGCTGCTCCTCTGCTCTTCTGGCTGTTTTCAAGGACTTATTCATACAGCCACAGGGAAGGGGAAAGGAACCCCAGCACCCGGCACCCTACACGATGCACTGGACACCCTACGCCCCCCTACCTCTGCCACTCTCTGCTCTGGACATATCTAGTATCCAGTATCTACAGTAGCATCTACAGTAGTATCTACAGTACACAAGTAGTGCCCACTGTATTGTAGCACCTAATACCTACCTAATGCCTAGTGCCCTGAAAAACCCCCCCCCCCCTCTAAATCCCCAGCGCAATTTCTCCCTCCGCTACTATTCGATGTTATCAGTGTTGTATTAGTGTTGTATATTAGTTTGTAGTGGTAATACAAGTAGCATACTAGTACTGGCACTGGTAGGTAGGAGCACACTTATTACATAGTGCCCGTACACCTCTCTCCACCTCCACCTCCACCTCCACCTCCATCTCCACCTCCGCCTCCAACTCCTCCAACTTCCCCATCGCCTTCCTACACCTCCACCCACGCCTCTCCCCAAGAATCCCTATCAAGGCTTCTGGTGCACACAGACACAACATACACCACATACACCCTCCCCATCCGCAACATCGCACAGCTTCAACAGCTTTGAACCGCAGAGCAGCGCCGGAATCCAGATCCGCTTGATTGCTTGATTCCCGTTGTCTGTCCTCGAGCCCCGAGCCCTGAAGCGTCCCCCTTCCCCTTCCCCTTCACTCGCCCCCCCCCGAACCGAAGCTCGTCGCACACCAGCCTGCCCCTGTTCCCCGCATGCGCCGAGCGGTGCTTGCTGCTCGTACCGTCCCTCCTAGAGCAGAGCCCGCATTATTACTACATCGCCTCTCCAGCACGACCACCACCAGCACAACGACCACTACTCCAACCACCGCCATCACCACCCGAATCCTCCACCTTCATCAACGACTCCTACAACGACTCCCAACCTCGACCCTCAACCTCGACGACCACCGCGGCTCTCGAGACCAAGGCCATCCGCCTTTACTTCCCCTTCAACGATGGGCAACGCATGAACCCGGCGAACCAAAGCCTTCCAGGAATCAGAGTCGCCGCTCGCCTCCCACCTCCACCCCCCCGCGCCCGCGCATGCGCATGCGCCGAAGCTCTGTACAACTTTCTTTCTTTCACAAACTTGTAAACCCGGAACGGGAGAGGCTTTAGATGGGACTCGGGTTCAGCAAATACACATACTACATACACCGGAGAAGGGGCAAAGATACCAAAACGGCAGATAAACTAGAGCGGCTCACGATTTCTTAACGATACGGTAAATTGCCCAATCCCTGTCGCCTCTCCTGCGATTTGGCGCGCTGCGTGGTGGCAGCAGCAGGAGCAGCAGTAGTCTTGCGCCCATCTTCCCTCCCATATTCTTGGTCCAACAAAGGCTGACCATACTCTTCCAAGCTGCAGATTGCGGGGTTCTATTTTTCGTTTTCAGCATTGTCTTCTCGATCTAATACTCCCGACCCGAGTAAGTTGACTATTGCCACCTTCTCTCTATCGGTTATGCGCCTTCCATATATAGTCCATCCTCGGGGTTGGCGAGGCAGAAAGCTGCCTGTCAAATTGTTCCCTCCTTCTTTTCACAGTGTGAAAGGAAGCTGGGAGATTAGGAGAGCGGGGCGCTGGCTATCATAATGATATTACACGCTCTTTCCCTACGCCGCCTGTCTGCGCGCGATCTTCGGAATCCCCCAGGAACTAGGTGGCGCGACGGCATTGCCTGGGAAATCTATCGATCCGGCTGCAGGAAGGGGCCATATTCTTGTGGAGTTTCTTTCTACATGTTATTCCGCATACAACCGAATCTTCTCTTCACATATCGCACCAATCCTCTAGCAGCTTTGCCTCACTCCTGCAATTTAAAAGTAACCATGCACTGACTGCTCTCTCAGTTATAGACCTCACACCAGACATATTCGACTTGTTTTCCCATAGTGCCCACTTTCCAGCGCTCGAGACTCGCGCCAGACACGATTTACCGCTGACGACCTTCTTAAACTTGCCTTCCAACGGCCTTCACCTTCTCCTGTTCTATACTCACCTTCGAATCGCTGATCTGACTTCCCCTCTGTGTTTACAATTCGCACCGGTAGCTCTTCATATCCCTAATCCTGCTGCCTTATCACTGACTCATTTGCTCAGTCCAAGCAATACCCACTTAGAAGGTCAGTCTTTACTTAACTAGCCAAACTTCGATCCCAATGGAGAACGTTGGCAGATATATTCCTCTCTTTTACCTGCGAGATTCCCTTGATTCAACATCTAACTCGATGGACAGATTTTAGAGGCTTACTTACACCTCCGTAACCTCAGGTACGTTATTTGCCATATGTATATTGTTCGCAAGTGGAGAACAAGTATTCTGCATTCTTTAGGTCTATTTTGCGCTCCCTTAATTACCAAGTCATATTGAAACCCGTGTTGGCCTTTAAAGCCATAGCGCGACGTTTAATTGGCGGCATCGGGTTCAACGTGAGAAGGGGAGCTGTGGCATGGTGCCTTACTCGTGCCTCTTCTATGTTTTCACCCTATGTTGTATCATACTCTTCGCATAATCGTCCCAAGTTCTTAGCCTGCCAAGTTTCAGTTGCAATTGGCAGGCATCCTTGGAGGCAAAGAGGGCCTCGCATCCCCTATAGTCTTACTTCCCTTTCACCTTTATGTTCCTGATAGAGGTGTGCCAAATTACTAACCCACCCTCAGCGCCAGAATACTCCAGCAGAACTACCCTGATTCGTTCAGTGGCTTACCTCCTTTTAAGAACGATAGTTATTCCTCTTAGCCTCAGCGCCCAACACGATGAGTTCTATTGGCTCTAAGCTCAACTCCGGGGCGCCTAAAGGGGCTCAATCTGTGACCTCGAGCAACTCCTCTATATTGCTGGACAAGTTCAATGGCAGGCGGTCGACGCCGGACTCGGAAGCTTTAGCCAGCTCTGATGACGAGCCTGATCGACGAGAACAGACCCAACCAATCGTCCCACCTCACAAGCCGACTCGAAGATCCTCTTGGCTGAATGACACAACACCATCAGGCACCCAACCCCGGAAAGGCTCATTCGCAAGCAGCTCCATGTCGCCGACTGCATCGCATCCAACCACGCCTGCTGCGGATTCTAACACATGGGCCACGCATCCCCAAGGCAGTTCTGCGGTTAGCCGCGGCCATCCTGGCCCGAGTTCGTTTCCTTGGGGTAGTGGTATTTGGAATACTGAGGCGCGCAAGGAGCCACCGTCCAGGTTGACCGAAGTCCTGCCATCGCCGACATCAATGTACCCTCCAGAGTTAGCTAGCAATGGATTCCCAAGTGGTGATCTACTTAGCAACCAGAGAGATTTGCCGCCAAACTCAACCCTCCCGTTTCCAATCCCGCTACACCCAACGCCAAAAACGTACAGATCTCAATCTTATTCAGTCGGTCAGCTGGATCCTGATTCTTCCGTATCTACTACATCGTCGGGTGCGGCCCCGGGATTCGCAGGTCGAGGCAGACCTATGCCGCATTCTGGACTTCAGCATCGACCGTCGAGGCCAAGCATGCTGAGCGAGATGAGCGACAGTGGGCTGAGCAAGTTGAAGGAGGTCGACGATGACGATGACGAGAGCACTAATGGATCCAACCACGGTGTAACATTGCAGTCAAATGAAGCCAAGACCATCGAGCTACTGGCGAGAGAGAATGCTATCCTGCGACAGCAGCAATTCCAAAATGCGCGCCTCCGGCCTCGTTCCTCTACCAGTAGCGCTTATGGCTTTGGGGGTGCGCATGGCCTTCAAGAGACGTTGCCAGAGGAATCTGATTTCGCGATAGATGAACTCGATGAAGTCAATGAGCTTCAGGAGATGGCCTCAAAGGGTCTTGCAGGCCGCAGAATGAGCGAATATGGAGCAGGTGGCCCGCCTAGAGTTCCTCCCTATGGATCCTTCGAGAATCGCAAACTGGAAAACGTCAAAAAGGCCTTTTGGCAGAGCTCGCTTGGTTTCGGTGGGTTGGCAGATATTCCACAGAGTAGGCGTCACTCCTTCGCCGATGTGCCTACACGTCATGGGTCTATTAGCTCAGCTGGTGAACCGTTGTCTGCACGCGAGACCAACTTGCAGGAGGCTCTGTCGGCGAAGGATTACCCTAACAGATATCAAGAGGGTGCTGGTAACCCTCTCACTGATCATGGTGAGCAAACCTTTGATAAGTCTCGTCGGCCATCTCTTTATGGCCAAAGCCTGGGTCAGATCTCAGAAGACTCTTCTTTGAATGCACGTTATTTACATGACCGACCAACAGCAGCTTCCTACTTTGGTGGTATTGCCACCGTCCCTCGTAATGCCGAAACATACGCCTCCGCCAACTACCAGTCTCCGACTTACCCTTACGGCGCCCCTCCGCACTACCCCGCTGCCCGAGCTCCATCGCCGCATCGAAGCATGTATGGCATGCCACAGCCGCGCCACAATCAACTTCTCTATATTGTGCTTTTCAAATGTTCTCGGGCCGACGTCTTTTATGTTCAGGAAGGGACAGGACTCTCAGTGAAGCCGGGGGATCTTGTTATCGTCGAGGCAGACCGCGGAACGGACCTTGGAACTGTTGCTCGCGATAACGTCGACTGGACGACTGCGAAAGAGCTCAAGGAACACTATGCCGAAGAACATTACAAATGGCTCATGATGTATTCTCAGGGCGCGGCCGGTAATTCGGATGGTACTGGCGCTGGTTTGATGGCTGCTTCCAACGGTCTCCAGGGGAGCGCCGTGGGTGGTATGGGGCCTCCCAGCCAACATGGAATGCAAGAGCCGAATCCTGGTGAGATCAAGCCAAAGATCATCAAGCGGCTTGCTCAAAATCACGAAATCCAAGCCCTTCGAGACAAGGAAGGAAACGAGGCTAAAGCAAAACGAGTTTGCATGCAGAAAGTGAAGGAACATGGTCTCCATATGGAGATACTTGATGCCGAATTCCAGATGTAAGCCACTTTGTAGCCATTCATGTCTTGCGTTTGGCATGCTAACAAGTTACCAGGGATTGGAAGAAGCTTACGTTCTACTACTTCGCCGATGCATACATCAACTTCAACTCGCTCGTGACAGACCTCTTCAAGGTCTACAAGACTAGAATTTGGATGTCAGCCATCAATCCAGCATCTTTTGCCAGCCCATCGCTTGGCCTTCAAGCCCCTAGCGGCGTTGGGCCGGGAGCCGTTGGTGCTAGTCGAACCGCCCAGAACGAACGTCGAGCCCCTCAGCCTGAACAAGCTTCATATGCTAGCTCGCAAGCCAATCGCAACTATCAAGGCGCATTTCCACAGCCTTTCAACCCGGGTCTTGATCGAGGATCAGCACCGCAAACCGCATTTCAGCCCTCAGGATATACATATGGGTATTCCCCATTCGGCGCACCGCCCCGAAATGCCGCTGTCTCCCCGAGTGCTTATGGCCCAATGGACGGATTCACGACATTTACAAACCCAGTAGAATATCAAGGTCTCCCTGCGAGGTTCCCCTCTCCACACGGGACAACTGCGGCACGTGACGCGACAGACTATGGCAGGCAGTCTAATGGACTTTCGACACCCAATGAAGCTTGGATTAGTAACTTCCAGGGCCTCTCTATGAACAGTCGCTAGCGACTTATTAGAGAACCTTGAGGTTGGCCAACCCGGATATCAGAACTAGCACTCGATATACCGGTTCTTGACACTCAATTTGAAGTTACGGCGGCCACAGCTCATCCGGTGCCCGTGCTTTCCTCTCAATATGTGACATATATTGCAACTTTTCGAGGTCAACACGATACTGATGGATTCCTTTTCGTGCGCAGATAGTATCTGCACGCCTCAATACAAAATTAGAATACGATTCTGACATTTCGATTCAGGTCATGAGTGGGCAACTTGATGGAGTGGCAACAATCTTTTTCGCCGCTGTATCTCTCCCTCTACCTAATTTTATTCCTGGGAGGATCAACTTTTCCCCCTGGCGATTTGTGAACGGCTGAGCAGGGGCGGGCGCTTAGCTAGAGAGCCATCGTTGTTGTTTCAAACGATGACCTATGCTGTTTTGTTTTTAAATACCTGCCAATCCCCGGTTCATCATAATCTCAGATTGGCTGGAAGGCGCGAACAATTACTACGGATGAGGGGATTCCGGGGTGCGACTCTTACACCAACGTTTTTTTATTTCATTTGTTTTTAATACTAGGGGTCTCTAGCGCATCAAAGACACATGGCGTTTTCTTGCACAATTTTTTTTTTCTTCCTCTCATTCCACGAACTTCATGAAAATGGATATCAGAGAAAGCGACAGACAAACACACTTGCGATAGATAGATTTGCACATATTTGGCAGGTGTTGCTGTGTCTTTTTTTATTTATTTTATTTTTCTCATCTGGGAAGGGAAAGGGGGAAAGGCGTCTTAAAAAACCCAAGATTAAGAAGACGAGGGAAAGGAGGGGTAATTTGTAAAAGGGAATAACTTTTTGTTGCCTTGCACTCTAGGGCGGCAAACAACTTTTTCTCGAAAATAATCCTTTTTCTTTATCTGAATCTGAACTGAATGCAAGCTGTGTAAAGGGGAAGTAGTAGCGAAAATATTAGGGATTTGTACACCACTTTATTTTTTTGGCATTGATGATGATGATGTGAGGAGTCTGTGAGTTTGATTAAATGGATGAGTGCAGGTGGGTGATGTAGATTCGAGGTATGCGTCCTCGCCCTCGTCCCTTCCCCTTTTGGAAAGACCCAGCCAGGAAGTACAGTTCTAGCGAGACGCGGGTTTCCCAGCTTTCGACCTCCATCCATATATTGCGTTATCTTCCAACCCAGGACGCGCTTTTTATTATTCCGTCCAGCTCATTATTTCCGTTTCAATTCGTACGTCGGATATCTAGTACGAGTAATCCAGGGGATTTTCGTTCACGCGCCAAACTGCCTACTCACCTCAAGGACGTGCCAGGAGTATTCATTTCAAAGCTACGAACAGTACAGCACCATGGCAAAAGCAGCAGGGAAACGGAACTCTGAAAGTAAGTCCTACCTTGGTACATATCATACTTCATACTACAGTGTTTTTCCCCAATCCCCTCGCTCACCTACCGCCGAGGAGGATTTGCTAATACACCGCAGCCACCCCACCAACAGCGCGGCGCAAGCAACGAAAGCTATCGCCGTCAGCTGAATCCTCGATGCAAGAAGACCCCGGCGATGAATCCAGCGATGAGCTTTCCGCCGATACCCACCGCTACGTCAAGAAGAAGGCGGGTGGCAAAATTCGGCATTCTGAGCAGCCGGCTACTAGAGCGGATGAGTATGCGGAGGATGATGGACGGATTGGGGCACAGTATGTATATGGAAAATGATTACTACGGAAAGAAAAAAAAAAACTTTGGATTTTGCTGATTTTAGGGGGATGGGTAGACAGTTCTTGGCGCTGGTGCAGTTTGAGAGTAGGACGAAGAGAATGGATAAGAAGGCTGCGGGCACGTTCTTAGAGGGCTATACGCAGCGATTAGAGGGTGAAGAACGGACTTTGAAAGGGCGATCCGTGGAGTTGGGGAAGGTGGCGTATGGATACCCAGAAGCTTATGAGGTGCGGAGGGCTGATGTGTACCAGTTCGGAACAAGACGCGGATTTCATCGATGGGTTCACAGAGGCATTTAAGATCTCGCGACCAATTGGCACGCCAATCGACGAGGAGAATGGGGATAGTGGGTTTACGGCGCTGTATAAGAAGAGTCGGAAGCTTACTCAGGATGCGAGGGGGGTGTTGGAGGTGTTTGTGAGGATTGCGAGATTAACTGAGGAGGTTGAGAGAGAGGGCTTGGGGGATGTTCGATGGGGCGAGGAAGATGAGGAGCTGGTGAAGGTGCTTGATGCTGGACGTGTAGTTGGGATTCAGAAGCTGAAGAGCCTTGTGGGCTCGTCGCAGCTGGGAGCGGTTGATAAGGACACGGCTCGTTTGGCGGAAGTGATCTATAGGGAGGAGGAGGATGTGTTGCTTGTTGGCTGGGGAAATATTGCGAGACAGCAGGGAAAGGCTACGAGGAAACTGATGAAGACATTTGAGTTGGGTGGTGCGGGAGCTGCTTGATCATCTAGTTGTGATTGTTTGAACATGTCTAGGAGTTGCGTTGCGTTGCAACTGGCTGAGCTATGGTGTCATGTTCTTGCTTATGGGAAATATTAAGAGATAAACTTAACACAACTAATGTAGCTACTATGACTGGATGGTTGATATAGCTTCACGGTGTGATTTCATAGAACGTTGAAAATCGTGTGTACCTTGCAATGCCTTGGGTTCTTGTAGCCTTGGTGGGGAGATGGAGTGGCGGTGGTGGTGGTTGTAATGGCCTGAGGCATCAACATACGCTTGCTTGCATTTCGAAATTTAGAATATCATTTGTACCCCTAACCCCAAGATAGTCTAGTGTCATATTAAGCGAGGCCCCACCTCGATTCGCACACAGAAATCCTCAAAATTTCCTCGACGACTTCAAATTAAGGACCCGACCCCAACGACAACAACCGACATCCCTCCTCTCAATCAAGGTGAGTCTAATTGACGGACGCAGCTGGATAATTCCCCATTTCCACCTTCTTGAGGATAGAGCGCTGGACTGACTGATTCCCGCCGAACAGATGGGTGCCCTTAAATACGTCGAAGAGTTGCAGAAGAAGAAGCAGTCCGATGTGCTGCGCTTCCTTCTCCGTGTGCGCTGCTGGGAGGTAAGATAAAAACAACACATTACACTACACTACACACACAACGACCCGATCTACGAAACGGCGGTCCCCGAAAACAATGCCTTCGAAGATGTTTGTGTCTGAGAGGACTGAAAACTGGAGATATTGTTGGGTGGGCGCTGGATCGATCGTGGAAAACCCTGTGGACATCTTTTGATGTCTCTGCTATACACTCGTTGAACATTAGCTGAGAGTGCATAATATAGCTCCGACAATTGAATGTCATCCACCGCGCCTCCCGCCCGTCGCGCCCTGATAAGGCTCGTCGTCTGGGTTACAAGGCCAAGCAGGGCTATGTCATCTACCGTGTCCGTGTCCGCCGTGGAGGCCGCAAGAAGCCTGTGTCGAAGGGTGCTACATTCGGTATGAATTCATTTGAGAAAAACTCTGGTTTCGTATGAATCTGATTGCTGACGGAATTGTGTATACAGGCAAGCCCACCAACCAGGGTGTCAACCAACTGAAGTACCAGCGATCCCTCAAGTCGACTGCCGAGGAGCGTGTCGGTCGTCGTTGTGCCAATTTGCGTGTCCTGAACTCCTACTGGATCAACCAGGACTCCACCTACAAATACTACGAGATCATCCTGGTCGATCCTCAACACAAGGCCATCCGCCGCGATCCCCGTATCAACTGGATCGTGAAGCCCGTCCACAAGCACCGCGAGTCCAGAGGTCTTACCGCCACTGGCAAGAAGTCCCGTGGTTTGGGCAAGGGTCATGGTTTCCACCACACAACTGCTGGCCGGAGAAAGACCTGGAAGAGACACAACACGCTCAACCTCCAGAGATACAGATAGATGTAGTAGCAGGAGTTCTCTTTGGGTTGTTGTGGCGGTGGTGGTATTGCTACGTGCAGGGATGGATTGTTTTACGGCCATTGCAAATGCATGCTGCAACTGTTCGCTGTTATCGTGTGCCGACGAATTGAAAGTATTAACGGCCATTTTTATGATGCTATGCTATTTTAATTTGAGAGTGAATGTGAATCTTAAGAATTGTGCTGTACAGGAGAGTTCGAAATCGGCGTCAGTTCCCAACTCTCAATGATTTTATTGCAATACCACGTAGCCTTGATTATACAGTATATAATTACTAACGCCTATACAGTTACTAACAGGTTACTGTGAGAATCGTTATAAGTATCTCTCTTAATATATATGGTATAAATTATGCTTGTAATAACAACGCTTAGGAAAGCTAGAACAAGAACAATAAACAGCACACTATCTATATATTGCGAGATATCGAGAAGGGTAAGGAGATTACAATTTACTACTTTAGAGTCCCTAGTAGCTACAAATCTTGCTAAGAGGCGCTTTAAAAGAAAATATGTATTTACTTGCTTGTATTGTCTTGCTCCTTACTGCTAGATCAGAGCTAAGAAAGAGATAGAAGGCTTAATACGATCTTTTAAGGCAGATAGTCTTATCGGTACCATTGTGCGGAAAATGTTGGTAATAGCTATACGTATATAAGTGCATAACTCCTATATGTCATTCTATTACGAAGGTTTGACTCTTAAATCTTCCAGCTTCTAGGAGATCAATGGCTTGCCCATCCATAAACCCATGAACATAGCACTCACCGACAAGGTGAAACTTTCCATCGATAGGACGGAGTGTATAGGCAACGTGACCACCGAGAAGTATACACATATAATCGCCTGGCTTGGTCTCCCCAGGAGCTAAGCACAAGTATCCGCTATCTAACCAGACACAACCACGGCCAGCAGTTGCATAGAGAAGGGAACCCCATTCAAGGCGTGGACGATCTAGTGGTGGGGGCCGCGAGAAGTCATCAACAGACCTCCAAAAATTCCACTCCAGTTTGAAGCCCCTCTTCCTAGAGCGGCCCTTCTTAGCGACATCGGCCACAAGAGTCCGGCTGAAAGCTTCAGCAACAGTCTCTCCAGTTGGCTCATAAATTCCTTGAAGGTTTTTTGGCTCCCATCCCCTCAATATATCACCCATATGAATATTGGATGCATCCAGATAGTTGGGAAGACCAACGATTGTAGCCGTGCCGAGGCAGACTCCCTCAATCACTAGCTGTTTCTCACGTACTGAGACGCCCATGTGTGCTTTCCGAAATGTTCCCTCTCCACTTGCCAAATAGATAGGTGGTATGACGTGACCAAGATCGTCAATTTCTGCTCTATGCTCTGGATATACGGCCAAAGGATGGCTTACGCCAGGGTTACGCCAATCTGGAACCCAAGAGGGTAGATCTGGGTCTCGGAACGACGGATTACAGTAGCCAAGACACTTAATAGAACCTTGTTGTATAATAAAGTATTCGGCTACTTTCAGATAAACGCTTGGGAGGTCAAGGGAGTAGTCGGGAACGATCGACTGTTTCAAGACTTGGTTTACTAAACCCAACAAGGCGTACACCTTGTCTCTTGGATCAGTAGCCTTAAAGTGTCGATAGCTTGCAAGAGTAGCAAGCAGATCGGTGCTGTACCGCCCCTCATTCAGCTTTCTCTGGAGATGCGCCAAATTGAAAAGGCCACGCATGGAGACTGAGCCAAAAGGCTTGACATTATTGAAGTAGTCCTTTAGGTCAGGCCTGATAACTGCATGAGAAAGAAAAGCAGCAGTGATAAGAAAGCCCCACCAGTCGATAGTGGAATTTCCGCACTGTATTGTCTTCGAATTAACAGGTGCCGCTGCTTCTTGAAGGATCCAGACTCGTTGAAACCAATCCCTGGCGAGCAGCAATCGAAACTCTTCTACGGGACTAGAATCGAACTTGCAGTTGCAGTCGTCCAATAAACGCGCCAACTCTTCTTTACTTCTATTGCGAAACTCTGACTCGGCGTTGTCTATTCTGACTCCCTGTTTCAGCCAGTATTCTCCAATCGTTGAAGCCAATGTAAACGCCGAGGCACTTTCATCGTCGTCAGCTCCAAGCCAGATCAGGACCGAGGTAGACCGCCCATATATTTCTCGCATCTTTTGAACCTGAGATTTTCTTTCTAACATATTCAGTTGATCGATACATAACGCATCGATCCAGAATGTTTTATCCTCCTCGTGCGAGCGGAGGTGCTTTAAAGCAGTATGAAGGTTGTGCGTGATGGCCATTTCCTTTTGGTCCAGGAGAATCTTAGAAACTCTTGAAGGACTACCCCAAACGTACGATAGGGCGCAATATGGCGGGGGACAATCAAGGTTCATCTCCGTAATTGTGCACTGAATCGGTGATTCATGATTTCCTTGAAGTATTGTGACCACCCGGGTTGTATTTTTTGACACGTCTAACGGCATATACTTAAAATGGGCGTATGGCTCCATTTGGCCAAGTGACATTAGAGAATATGTATATGTTCCGATACTGCAGCGGTATCATGAATATAGGAGCGGATTTAGATGTTGTGGAAGTCTGATGTCGCTAAGCAACAGTCTTCACGATGTGCGACATGCTTGTAAAGTTGATGAGGGAAACAAAGACGATGATGTTGGCGGTTAAGGGGGCTTCTATCGGAGAATGCGGCAAGACTCTGGTGGCATGCATCGCCTCCTCTCGCCAAACGAGGCTGACGAGCTGATGAAGCTGGTGAAGGTTGCCTAATCCAGCCTAAGCAAAGGCACCCTGCACGGTCATGCAGTGATCTTTGAGGAATTAGGTAAAGACCATCTGATAGGTCCTTTAACGTTCACGGTAAGATGAGCTCGCAAGACAATTGAGGCGGTCTGAATTGTCACGTAACGCCTGGGAGCATGACATAGAGGGCCAATGTATCGAAATATGGGGCCAAATAATATCGTTAATTTTCGGACCGTAAAACTATTAAGAGCTGGGAACCGAAGCCGATTTCGAACTTTACTCTATAGTGGTTGGATCTGTGCTTGGTCATTCAAGGACTCTATTTATGAGCAGAGAAGTGCAACGTAATATTGCAAAACTGACGACTAGGTTCGCTAGCGAGTGCCTAAGAGCTTACTTACCTTATATATGATATATTCCTCGGATCTCCCCCCTGTTTCTATAATCTGAGAGATCATTACCTAGGAGATTGTGCTTTCTAGGTAGTAAACGAACTGCCTTTATCAAAAGGGCTATATAAGGCGATGCTAAAAGCCTCTCTCTAGCTTCCCTCTCCTATCCCACTTCGCTCTAGCAGTATATTCACCTCATACCAAGATCTACTTTCGCCAGAATAAAAAGAAACACCCTCCCTTCCTCATGAAAATAAAATTTCAATCCATATCTCAACTCAATTCCTAATTACGCCTTTCCTTTTAACCAAAATCAGAAGTACGAGTAGGGATCAAATTAAATCATCCCCTAAAGATTAGCGCAAGAGATTAGCTTGGTGCTGTTGAGGAATTGGTGTATATCCCTCGTCACTTGGGCTTTATCCCCGTGAAGCCGTTCGTAGTAGTTAACCCGCTTGTATAATTTTGGACTTGATGGAGTAGTCAGGTAGCTGCTGTAATAGGACCCGTGGGTAATGGGGGTATCATATTGATTTATCCAGCATGACGAATTTTGCAAACAAAAATTATATTTACACGCCCATTGCAAGCACAAAATAATCCCAGCTAATATATCCACGATATGCCTGCAAAAACTCCAGAATAAAATCCAACTCCCACTGATCGCCATCCCTGCACGTAAAACGGGTCTTGTAGAATTCCCACGGCGCAGGATACCAACCCGATTGATGCCAATCGACAATTCCAGCAATTTTTACGGTCCCCTCGTGTTCATCCCGGGATATCAGGATGTTGCTACGGTGCAAATCACCGTGAGTGAAGACAATTGGGACGTCATCGAGTAACCCGGACCGCCAGGTTGGGTCTGGACTTAGATCTGCGTTTTGGGTTTTCTGTCTCTTGGGAGTGGAAAACCAGGTGTGGAATGAGGAGACGTTTGGAAAAACGCCGGTGGGCTGCTGGCCAGCGAAGATGATGTCTTGGAGAGGTCCTTGATTGATAGTACCTATTATCATTTGTATTATTAGAGGCTCTAGTAGCCTAATGTAAGATATACGAAGGCTCACCAATAAACTGAGTAGCCGGATCCTGTTGAAGCTGGCGCAGCTCATTGATGATATGATACAGCTGCACGCAGACCCCATATTTTTCTTCAAAGTCCAAACCAGGCCATTCCTGTTGCAAAGTAGCTCCTGCTATTCGTTGCATATAAATGAATGTTTCTCCATCATCTTGACACCACCCGAACACTTCTGGAACAGGTACGTTTGGGCAGAAGCGGGTGATTGCCCAGAGACATTGTCCCTCAGATATGGTAATTGTTGGGCCATATTTGACTATCAGATTCAGTGCGGGAAATGCTACTGGGGTAGGTCGGTTTAGAGGTTTTGTTTGATAGGCTGCTGCCGCAAGGCGAACGTCAGCCGGGCTTGGTAAGTGCTTGTTTCCACTCTTGAAGAAAGTGGTTTCAGGAAAGGAGATATTTGTGGCGGAAGGGAGGGAAGATGGTAGCATATAAGACCCGGTTTTGGATTTGGTTTCAGTCATGCTGAAGCGTTTTCAAAGGGTTGCTAATGAACGTGCTTTTCGTGGCTTCAATATTATTCGCCTAGGCCACGTGTCTAATAAGGCTTAGTGGATTTTAACGTCACATCTACCTATGCGGGTCCTATTCCAAGGCTGAATTCTCTTCAATTCCCAAAAGGTGTCGATGAAACGATCAGACTCGCAATCTATCCACCTAGTTCTTTGGAGCTGAGTCAAGCTTGGAGAGGGCATCGACTTCAAGTATTTCAGATTCGATAAGCTTCTCAACAAACTGGCGTACCCAAGTCTGGCAATTCTGAATATCGACTCTTGTCCGCCGGCCACCCTAGAGAAATATACGTTAGCTGATAGATGGTATATAAACCCCAAAAGTTTGCAAGTGCTTACGGAAGAGCTGGAGCCAGCCGCTCTCAGACTTGGACCAGGAGCGGGAACATCAAGGGCCAACCTTTCAATAACATCAGTTGCAATGGTATCTATGACGAGGGGCCCGTAGTTGTCTCCACCAACGACGTTTACGCTATCGGTCCAGCCTAGAAGGACGAGCTCTTTGGCGCGTTCACTCGTTGCCATGTCGTAATTCCTCTTGAAACCGTGGACAAATCCGTTTCGAGCGTCTCCTTCAACGTGGATCACCTTTCCCATGTTTCCCGCCTCGCCAGCCTCGTAGGAAGGGACCCAAAGTCCCCAATGGGCGGGAAATAATCGATTGTTGTAAGAAACAAGGTAAATTGGGCGTTGGGAGACTTGAGGGGCCTGAGTCATGACTTGGGAATCTGGGGGGGAATGAAGGTTGAGTGGATGCTGGCAGAATAAACGATGTTGGATAGATGACGCTTGGGTAGACGATGCTTGAGTGGTTATAGATGTTATGCTCTCATTCTCTAGAATGAACGTAATCTACAGAATGGTACAGTACCGGTATGTGAACCGGATATATAGCATCGGTTGTAGGCAGAAGCTTACGACCAAGAGCCCCAGAACCTGTCAGTGGATGTGAGGCTGTCGAACCTACCAAGCAACAGCAAGAATGCATCGCGACGATGTTGGTTTCCCGTGCCTAGTCCAATAATACCTACCTGATGAAGTATGAAGTACTACGTATCTCGCATGGCGATGATATGTTGGTGGGAGTGAGCCCTGATGTTCGACGGTGGATGATATTGTAGCTAGAGTGTAGGCCCTAAACACGAGTTGGGTCGTCGTCAGATCTTGCGACACTTCGGCTTTTTCCCACAGTTCTAACATCCAATTGCGAGTGTACCGAAGACGATTTCGAGTGTGACTACAACTTTGTTAGGTCTTCTGATTGTCAATTCGAAAATTTCAACGCAATATGCAACAAAATTTGCCTGGAAGTTCGAATTAGGTAGCCCGATGAGAACACGTGCAGCTCACGTGAAATTCACGTGAGCCAAAACGGTTTATTCGGCTTATTTGCACCTCGCCCCTTTCTTATTTAATTATTATTAACAGATTCCGAAAGCTCTTACAAATTGCAAAGTCCCACGACGATTTCCTTACAGAATACTATCGATCAAGGCACTACCGGACACCGGATTCTTATAGACGGCAAAAGACGGAGAGCCGCAAACCCGGTCTCAGTGTGGGTGGCTCCTTGCGAATTGCGAGTTGCAACGCAGCAATATTAATAATAGGAGCAGCCGAAATGAGATCAACGGAACTCCTAGTCCGAGTCGGTCACAGATCCACGGCTTTATGGTCTACGAAGGAAGGGCATTGTTTCATAGCAATAATAACAGCGGAGAACTAATTCGTTATTACCATCTCGGTGCGAGTACTCGGGTTCAGGCTGCTCAGGCTTAGACTCAGGCCCAGGCCCAGATTCAGGTTCAGTTCCAGTTCCAGATCAAAACCAAAACACAACAGCGTGGGGGCCATCACCAGCCCTTGCATTCCATTATCGTAATCGGATCAAGCTGCCAACATCCCCGGGCCGCTCGCCCACTCTCCTCGTTCTCTCGTTCTCGAATCTGCAATCTGAAATCTGTGATCTGCAGGCGGTGGCTGATGTACTGCTCGTTATCTGAGATGCCATGCGCCCTCAAGGCGGACTTCCTGCCCTAAAGCCACGAGCGCCGGGGCCATCTGGTTGCGAATGAGATGGTGTTTCGACTCTCTAGTCCCCTCTTCCAGTTAGTTGCCCACGTTGGGATATGCATGGCTCTGCCATTCTCTCAGATGTGTAGCAGGCACAGGGTTGCATTGGATATATATGAGCACGAAAATAAATGTCCGGTCTGCAGTCTGCATCAGAATCTGCGTCCGCCTCCACATCCGCATGCCGGCCGCCGGTTCTATTATCCAGATGCCAGTGGTACACCGAGTACATACCTCCGGCCACTGGTCCTAGATCCGTGCCGAAAGCTGGCTTGCCTAGGTCCAAAGGTAATGTCTCACGGGAGCTCTCCCGAGCATGAAAGCAGTGGAGGAGGATATCGCCCACCGGGTGGCCACCGACTGGGCGCGGCAACGTTTGTTTGGGATCACATCATATATCGACGATGGGTGGATAGGGTTTCCGGCCGCCTCCCGCGGCAACCAGGACATCCCTTGGAGTAATCACTTACCGTACCTTGATGGCTTGTAGGATATTCTTCTGCAATATATGGTGGTCTGGTCGTCGCCCCGCTATGATGGAGAAGTGGACGAGCGGGGCTTGGATGAGAGTTATATAGGTACGCATGGAGAGTAGTACGCGGTGTCTGTCTGGCATTGTGGACTGTATGAAGAGGGTGAAGGGGGCGCAGTATGGCGGTCTGACTGGATGGCTCGGTATCTGTACGCCATACGTACGTATGTTGGCTGGCCGATATATCCTGGAACGGTGGTGGTTGTTATCATCCTTGAGATACCGATCAGATAACATGCCGAGTAAAGCATCATTTTCCTTATCATTCCATGCGCCTCTTCGGGATACAGGAGGCTCCTGACAGGAGCCTCCGCCTGTTTTCAAATGCCGATCTGTGACTGCTTAGGATACGATTGTCCTGCTGAAAGACTGAAATTCGGACACCGCCAGTACGACTACGTCCCCGTACTTGGTGAGCGCTGAGAATGACGCCACACCGAGCGTCTATGGCAAATCCGTCGCAGGGCACGAAAGTACCGGAAGGGGTACATGTACTTCGTACGGATGCTGGTGCAACCTGGGATAAGAGATTCGGTATCCTAATCTGGCCGGGGCGACGGAAGCTGGGATTATCAGGACCAGGACCAGGACCAGAATTCCCAGCACATGTCGCGACGACAGGTCGATATGATGCCAACGCGAGGATGTTATCGGTTGTAGGCTTGTACTCTTCGTACTCTTCGTACAATAATAATGACGGTTAAGCAGGGAGGGGGCGGACAACGTTACCAACGGAGAAGCTTTGAGCAACATACTGGAGTACGCTCCGCAACCGGCTCCTGATTCGAGTTCTGGTCGTGGCTTGTTCTGGGAAGCGGTCAGACAGATGGATATTATCTTTATCTGAGTTGGGGATAGCAAGGCTGCTTTTGGATGTACATGTACCTCAGCTAGGCAAGGTATATATCATATCTGATAATGTATGTACGGAGTATAGGGACCAGTAGTCAAGATGGATACGCCATCGTCCCTAGCTCATCGATCATCGATCATCGATCATCGCCCATCGCCAACGGCTACAAGTCCAGCTACTACTGTACCGCACTGCGGACCGTCCCGATTATTCCCAAGCCGGTAGGTGGTACAAAAGATAGATAAGACAAGGCAAGGTACAGTACATGTACCTGTACCTGAGGGATGGGAATCCTCACGTGTGTGGAGAGTACCATATCTCGAGGAGAGATACGAAACAGATGTGGCATTTGCGCAATATGCAGCAAGAGTACCGCGTGGTACTCGGTGCGACGCCATATATTAGTAGGGGGGCGCGTACTCTATCGCGAGTCGGGAGAACTCTAGGCACTCTGGGCACTCTGGGGGCGCTGTAGGGGGCTCTGTCAGGGCACAGCGACACACTTTACCTTTACTCCCCTTACCCCGTACGTTCGTAATTGCTCCGGTTAACGGCCAACCACCCGCCCAAATTGCGTGCATCAAATTACCTAATAAGGTTTTACCTTCACGACCAGACGAGACGAAACGAGACGAGACGAGAGGGCTAGAGGCAGTACGCAGTAGTCGTCTTCTGTGTCTGCAGTTAGTAATAGTGTATGATTTATAAGTTAATAATATAAACTTGTACCGTACTGTCCCTCTAGGGTTCTTGGGGGGAAGGGAATACCTTAGGCTCAGCTCCAAACAGTTCCGAGTAGCAGTTAGTAACCAAGTGAGACAGGGCCACGGGAACTCACACACACTCTCTCACTCTCTCACTCCCTCACTCGGATCTGATAGCGACGCCCTCTCTGCTATTCTATTCTCCCATTATTACCACCACCACCACTACCACTGCCACTCCCCTGACTCTTGACTCTCGGCTGCTTATATCTGGCTGGGTTGCTTATCTCTGCGTCGCTGCGTCGCTGCATACGGCGCCGTATCTCTGCCCATTCACGGAAGCCCGTCGTCCTCCGTGCTCCCATCCAGGTGTCGCCTTCGTGAACACATCTGATGCAAAAATGCAAAAATGCAAATACCGCCGCCACTTCCTTCGGCGCCATACATACCTTACTTACCTCTGTACGAAGTACCTTCGGTGCTCTACCCACGCCCGCCCATATCCGCCCAATCAACCCCCCCGATCGTCCCCCATAACCCCCTAATCCCC